CCAACGATACGTCGGAAAAAATTAATTTTATGATGAATAGTTGTCATCATAAATAAAAATTTATCCAACGACACGTTAGAAAATATTTTATTTACGATGAATATTTGTCCTCAGAAATAATAATTCTTCCGACGACACGTCAGAAAAAACATAGTTTTAACGACAATTTGTCAGCATTTTAGTAAAATTTATATTTTTGACTAAACGTCGCTAATAATATATTAGTGACGCATACACATCATCAGAAATGTATGTACACCGTATAAAAAAAACGTTCGGCCTCAATTTCTAGTCGCAAATAGTTATTTTTGATGAATTATGGACGTTAGTATAATTAGTATTTATGACGTCTCGTCAGAAAAATGGTTTACCAACAAACATAATGCGTCAAAAATAAATTAAGTTGTCGTAAAAAAAAAACTTCGTCAAATTCATCCGTCATGTGTGATTTCTTTTGTAACGTCGTTTATTTTATTACTAACGTATTCATGTCGTCAATAATATTGTAAATTTGACGACTTGTCAATAATATTATTATTAGCGACGAGACAATTTCTGACGACGTTTGACGACGAAATGTCATCGTAAAAGATATTTTCTGACGAAAATGTATCAATTATGACGAAAATCGTGTCGTCGATAATGACTGCCTTTTTTGTAGTGCTTGCAAGTGCTCTGATACCACATGAAGAACACAAATGAAGCAATCTGACAACCTTTATTGAATAAACGAAATGCCAGAGCTTCAATCTCGGACTCCACTAACGTCTACTAACCTGTCTTTCCTTAAATCAAGCTAACACAACTAACTAACCTTCCTGAAGAGTGAAGACTCTCAACTCTGCTAACAACTTGCAGAGGGACTCGACTAGCACAAGACATAACTATAGGTACCAAATTGAACTTATTCAAACGAGGCAGTTTTTAACTTAAAAGTTAAAACAGACCGACTCCAAACTTCAAACACTTATTTGGCGCCAAGCTTCAATCCGTTTTCCACAAGGATTCTATTCTTGATTCCAGCAGATCATCAGCCTTCATATCCAACAAAAATATGATTCCTTTTGGTCGTAAATCGTAATACAGAAGGACAAATGCGGCCGTCTTTCGTATCTGCGCAAATTAATCAAGAAGTTAAATAGATCGGCGGCATCTGGCAGGAAAGGACCGACGCCGGCCGGCCAAGCGAACAATCTGCATCCTTCCACGGCCTGCCGGCTTCCCCCTGCCTTCTGTCTTATCCCCGATTCCACTCAGTTTAAATAACCCCCCGCAGCCCCTCAAACGAATTAACATCGCTGCCGCGCGGGAAGAGAATTAACATGGGCTCAATCGATCATCAACCAATGGCAATAGTGCAAGAAGAACATCAGCAGCAGCAGCAGCATTTGGTGTTCATCCCATTCCCATCCGCCGGCCACCTCGTCTCCATGGTGGAACTCGCCAAGCTACTCGTCCACCGCCACTCCACCCTCGTCATCTCCCTCGTCATCATCACCTCCCCCTCCACCGCCACCGCCGCCGTCACCCGCTACGCCGACTCACTCGCGGCCGCAGCCACCCCGCGCGTCAACCTCCTCCGCCTCTCCGGCGAGGACGACCCTTCGCTCCCAGCCGGCAATGCTGCTGTCTCCATGATCGAATCCCAAAGGACACGTGTCAGAGAAGCCCTGCTGGAGTTCACCCCGACAGCTCGGCTCGCCGGGTTCGTCCTCGACATGTTCTGCACCTCGATGCTGGACGTGGCGGAAGAGTTGGGCGTTCCCTCGTACCTTTTCTTCCCCTCCGGCGCCGCTTTTCTCGGCTTTACGTTCCATATCCAGGCGTTGCACGACGAGGAAGGATTCGACGCCGCCGCGGCCGCCGCGGAGTCCACCGAGGCTGAGTTGGTCTTCCCGGGTTTGGTCCGCCCGCTTCCGGGGAAGGTCTTGCCTTCAGGTCTTCTGCACGAGGAATGGGCGGCTGGATCATATAGAATGGCAAGAGATTTCAGGAAAAGCAAGGGCATTTTGGTCAATACGGTGAAGGAGTTGGAGTCATATGCGGTCGACTCCCTCTCCCGGACCGAGAACCCGAAGGTGTATCCGGTGGGACCCATTTTGAATCTGAAGTCCGGCGACACGTCGTTCGAGGAGCCGAGCGGATTTGAGGACGGCGAGGTGATTCGATGGCTGGACCGGCAGCCAGAGTCGTCGGTAGTGTTCCTCTGCTTCGGGAGCATGGGAGGGTTCTGTGCGGAACAAGTGAAAGAGATCGCTTGCGCTCTGGAGAGCAGTGGCCATAGGTTTCTGTGGTCCTTGCGTCGACTCGAAGGGGGACCGGCGCTTATCCCAAAAACAACCGATTACGGAGATGTTAGGGAGGTTTTGTCAGAAGGGTTTGTTGATCGTACGACGGAGGTTGGCAGGGTGATAGGGTGGGCTCCACAGGCGGCTGTGCTGGCTCACAAGTCCATTGGAGGGTTCGTGTCACACTGTGGGTGGAATTCGACGCTGGAGAGCATGTGGTTCGGGGTGCCCATGGCCGCCTGGCCAATGTACGCGGAGCAGCAATTCAACGCTTTCTTGCTGGTGAAGGAGCTGGAGATCGCAGTAGAGATCAGGATGGATTATCGAACTGAAAGTGGAGAGATCGTGAGAGCCGAAGAAATCGAGAGAGGAATCAGGAGCTTGATGGAACAAAACAACCCGAGGACGGAGAGGATGAAAGAATTTCGCAACAAGGTCAGGGCTGCGTTGATGGAGGGCGGATCTTCATCATCTTCAATCGCTGAGTTTGTTGAAGATATCGAAATCAATTATAGGAGTGAAAGCAAAGAGATTGAGACGGCCGAAGAAATCAAGAGAGGAACCAAGAGCTTGATGGAGCCAAAGACAGAGAGCTTGAGCAAGGACAAGATGAAAGGAATTTCGTTACAAGGTCAATGATATGTATTGATGGGTGGTGGATCCTAATCATCTTCCGATTTCAAGAAGCCAGTCCTTTGAGCATGAAGCAATGTCTGATTGAGAATAGGAGCCCTCCCAGTTCTTGCGGTCAAGTGTATGCCTTATTTTGGAAGCTTCATATATAATATCTTTGGATTTATGCTTAATTTTTTATTAAATACTATAAATGTATCTTCATTTTCCTTTTGTACTCAGACCCTTTGGCACACACTCTGTTATCCAACTTGATGAGTGAAGTCATCAAAGTCCATGCAAAAGAAAACGAGTATGGCACATTCTCTAGTTTGAGAATAAAGTCGATTGTTGTTAGGGGTGGGATTCGGTCGGTAAACAATTTACCGTTTACCGAATTTACCGGTTTTGGTATACCAAAGTTGGCCAAACTGGTTACCGATTACCGATACCGATTTGTAACCGGTTTACCGATTACCGAATTACCGGTAAACGGTTACAAACCGGTATTACCGGAATACCGTGAGAAGCGATTTCGGGCGGTTTTTCGGTCGGTTTACCGAATATTTACCGAACCGAATTTCTGAAAGTGGGGTGATGTTGTAATATTTTGATTTATTTGAGTTTTTTTCATCATTTTTTTAATTAATAATTTATTATTAACTCTTATTTACAATATTTTTGAGGCCTATACTTACATTCATGTATGTAATATTTTATATTTTTGGGGGTAAAGCAACAAAACGCAGCGTAGCACTAGGGAGTAGGGAGGGGGGAATCGGTATCGGTAATACCGGTTTACCATCGGTATTTACCGATACCGTGTTCGGTAAACCGACTCTCCCAACTTCCCACTCGGCTGCCGATACCGCCGGTAAACGGTAATCGCCGGTTACCGGTTCGGTAAAACGGTAAACCATTTACCGGATTACCGTTTACCACCCCTAATTGTTGTTGTCATTATTAGTTTGTTGAGAACTATTGGGGTCTAATAATTAGTCGAAATGGGCAAACTTTAAACCCAAGAAAGGTCAATGGATAAAATTTAACAATTTATGTGTCAATTGCTTAAAAAATGGAAAAATATTCAACCATTTCAGAAACCTCAACCCAACCCAACTCAACTCACTAAATATCTACAAGTTTATAGATACCCATTAATTCTGATGAACAAAACTACCTACTATCAATCAGAAATTAAAATAAAAATCTAACACCAATCTACACCCGAACATATTATCCAAATCGCCTCAAAACACCTCACTGCCGTTCTAGACTAGACAAGTCAACGGGGACATACAGTATTGCCACCTCCAACCGTACTATTGCTCCGACGACAAGGACCAGCTGCTCCGCAGGACTATTCTCCGCCCGCCAGAGGCCGAAAGCCTAATCGGACTTTACGACCACTTGCCGAAGATAAAGTGACGCAATAATATTATATTCGTATGGTCGAGGAATTTTACAATGCTATATAGCATGTGTGCTATAAGTTTTTACCTTTATGGTACAACTTGAAATTGTACCTTTAATGTTATGGTACAACTTCAGATTGTACCTATACTTTTTATACAAATTCTTTTATGGTACAGTTTAAACTTGTACCTTATGTGATGCTACAACTTCAAGTTGTAAAATTGTACCATAACATAATGATACAAATTCCTTTATGGTACAACCTAAACTTGTACATTTAATGTTATGGTACAACTTCAAGTTGTACATTAAAGCACCAATACTATATAGCATAGTAGAAGTGCTCTCGTATGGTCCTGCATAAGAGGACAAATGTGTCCCTGTCTCTGCGAAGCTGCCACGAAAGCACAATACCATTCCATACCATCCAGTTCCTTCCACGACTACTCTTCCTTTCCTAACCTCCTCCTCCTCCTCCTAATATTTACCGCTAAAATTTGGGATGAGTTAGCTTGGTTACTAAATTTCTAGTAGCCACCTTGGCTACATCAATATCCACCATCCATTTTTATCTTTTTCCTATTTTTTTAATCTCACGATTATGATTGCTCAAGGATAATTTTGGAAACAAAAAATAAACCACACTGGATTATTCTATATATACACAAACCCTAATTCTACCCTGCACCCCCCTCCCCCCGCCGACCCACCCCTCCCCCGCCGACCCCATCCCACCCCACCTCCTCCCCCCGCCGACCCACCCCTTCCCCCGCCGACATTCGGCTATTGCCGCTTCTCCAGCTGCGCTCACCATCATCTCTGCAATTGGAAGGAGAAATTCCATTGGAATGGTATGTTTTTTTTTAATGGTAGTCATTTTTTTCAGTAGTGATTTTTTTTAAATGGTAGTCATTTTTTTCGTAGTGGTAGTGTTATTGTCGTATTGGTATAGTTTTTGTCGCATTGGTATTGATTTTGTCGCATTGGTAGTGATTAAATCTGCAATGGTATTGATGTTTTGTGAAATGGTAGTGTTTTTATTTCTTGAATGGTATTGATGTTTTGTGAAATGGTAGTGTTTTTATTTCTTGAATGGTAGTTTTCGTGTAATGGTATAAATTTATTTCTGCAATGGTAGTTTTCGTGTAATGGTATAGATTTATTTCTGCAATGTTATTGATATTTTTCAAAGTGGTAGTGTTTGTCTAATGGATTGGTACTGATTTCGTTTTTTTTTTTTTTTTTTTTTTTGCAGAAAGATTGAGAAAAATATGGAAAGGAAATCTGGCTGGGGATTACGGAAGTGAGAGAAAGAGAGAATTTTAATTAATAGATTTTTGTAACTACCTTAAATGTAATTTATTAAAAAATTAATTAATATAATTTATTTTTTCATACCCAATTTACCCTTAGTAACCACGGTGATTACTACTTTGTAGTAATCACCGTAACCCCTCCCCTAAAATTTTTCTCACCGGAAAACAATAATCCACCAATCCATTACCAAGCCCCCGCCTTCTACATCTCTTATCCAAACCCCACCCCACAGTTACAAAACCCCGCCGCATCCGCCGACGGAAGGGTGACTACTAATTCGTTAAACGATGGCAGAGCAAGAAACAGAGCAGCAGCAGCAGCATCAATTGATCTTCATTCCATTCCCAGCCGCCGGCCACCTCGTCTCCATGGTGGAACTCGCCAAGCTACTCGTCCGCCGCCACTCCACCCTCGCCGTCTCCATCCCCATCGTCACCTCCCCCTCCACAGCCGCCGCCGTCACCCGCTACATCGACTCACTCGCCCCAACCCCGCGCGTGAACCTCCTCCGCCTCCCCAAAGACGACGGCGGAGGCCAGTCATTCCCCGCCGCCAATTTTACCCCTATGATCGAGTCTCAGAAGCCCCGAGTCAGAGAGGCAGTCTCCGCCGAGCTCGCTCGCTCCGGGGCTCGACTCGCCGGCTTCGTCCTCGACATGCTCTGCACCTCGATGTTGGATCTGGCGGAGGAATTCGGCGCTCCCTCGTACATTTACTTCACCTCCGGCGCCGCTTTCCTCCGATTTCAGCTCCACGTCCAGGAATCGCACGACGAGGAAGGGTTTGACGTTACCGAGTTCAAGGAAGCCGAGTTGGCTTGCCCCGGTTTGACCCGCCCGGTTCCAAGTAAGGTTATCCCTTCCGGGTTCCTGAACAAGGAATGGGTGGCTTTGGTATACACAATCACAAGGAATTTCAGGAAAACGAAGGGTATTCTAGTCAATACGGTGAGGGAGTTGGAGTCGTACGCGCTCGAGTCTCTCTCCGGTGGGATGAACGTCCCCAAGGTGTATCCGGTCGGACCAATTTTGAACCTGAAGGGCGAGAAGTCGCGTAGGGACGACGACGACGTGACGATCGAATGGTTAGACCAGCAACCAGAGTCGTCGGTGGTGTTCCTCTGCTTCGGGAGCATGGGAGCCTTTCGTGGGGAGCAGGTTAGAGAGATCGCCTGCGCGCTGGAGGGAAGCGGACACAGGTTTTTATGGTCCTTGCGTCGACCTGGGGAAGGAGGACCGTGGGCTAGCCCGACGGATTATGAAGATGTCAGGGAGGTTTTGCCGGAAGGGTTTCTCGACCGGACGGCGGAAGTAGGGAGGGTGATGGGATGGGTGCCACAGGTGGCTGTTCTGGCTCATAAGTCGATCGGAGGGTTCGTATCTCACTGCGGGTGGAATTCGACGCTGGAGAGCTTGTGGTTTGGGGTGCCGATGGCTACATGGCCGATGTACGCAGAGCAACAGTTCAATGCTTTCTTGTTGGTGGAGGAACTGGAGATAGCCACGGAGGTTAGAATGGACTATCGAAGTGAGAGTGAGGAGGTCGTGTCGGCTGAGGAACTGGAGAGAGGAATCAGAAGCTTGATGGAGGATTGCTCCAGGAAGGGGAGAATGAAGGAATTTAGTGATCTAGTCAGGGGTGCATTGATAGATGGCGGATCTTCTTCGTCTTCCATCGCTGAATTTATTGGAGATGTGAGTAACAACGATCTATGATCTTACTACTACTAGATGTAACAATCTCAGGTGATTCGAAGATCTTACTAATACTTTGTGTCAATCAACGGGCATGGAAGATAGTGGAAAGTGGAGAAACTGTGTAGCGGCTGAGGAAGTCAAGAGAGGAACCAAGAGCTTGACGGAAGCATGGACAAGGAGAAGATGAAGTGATTTCGTGACAAGGTCAATGATGCATTGATAGATGGTGGACCTTAATCGTCTTCAATGGCTGAACCTAATGAAGATATAAGCCAGACTGTGGTCCTATAAACCAATTTGATTCTGAAAGAAGTAACTCCATTATACACAAATGAGGAAAACAACTTGTCCTTCTTGCGTTCTTGGCATTCGCAACCAGAAAAACAGGAAATATGGTTAAGAGAACAATCAACATTTCAAGCATGTCAATCCATTTCGTTCATGCTCTTTCGCTTAGTCTCTCTCTCTATCTCGCCCATTCCCAAATCAAGAAGCCTCGTCCTTTGAGCATGAAGCAATGTCTGATTGAGAATAGGAGCCCTCCCAATTCTTGCCGTCAAACTCCTTGATCTCAACATGGGTCAGAGTTCCAGGATCCACGCACCTGAACGTGACCGCGAAACCATCTGGATTCGATCGGGGAGTGTAGAAGGAAGTGATCCCACAGATCTTGCAGAAGGTGTGTTTGGCTGTGTGAGTGCCGAATGTGTAGGTGGTGATGTAGCTTTCTGAATCCCCAAGCAGCTCGAAGCTCCGGGAAGGGACAATGAAGTGGACGTTCCCTCTCATTGAACAGTCGGAACAGCTGCACTTCCAAGCCACAACGCTGCTTGGTGCTCGTACTCGCCATCTCACTTTGCCGCAATGGCATCCCCCATTGTGAGTCACCAATTCTTGTTCCATGCTCCGCCGCACTAACTGTTCAGAAAAAAAAAAAAAACAAAAAGAATACACAGGCCCAGAATTTTAGAACCCAAAATTTGCATCTTCAATCAGGAAACGACATGGCCGATCCCCACAAATCCATGTATGAAGAATCGAAGAATCACGATCTCGGTAGTGAAATCGGTATAAGGGTAACGTTTGAGTTGCGGCACCCGGACGGGATCCCAATTGCTAAAAAACAAACCGAAAACAGGAAATCGCCGTAGAAAGATGGAACCGGAGAGGGAAGAAGCGAAGTACCTGCTGGAGAGCGAACCAGAGAGGCGACGAAAACTGGAGAACGTGAAGACGAGAAAGCTTGCCGAGATTCTCACAGATTTAGTGAAGTCAACGGGTACAATCGCATTGGGCCGCAACTGGACCTTATTGGGGAACTAATTTTGGTGTGTATAATGGGCTTTAGATTTCATCCACAAAAAAAAAGGGCTTTAGACCGTCAGGTCCAAAGATATCCCGTTCATATCAGCATGAATAGGTGTGGAATGAGTTCGATGACCAATATGACGCATAAAAATAACTTCAGTGACTAAATTGGTATTTAGCCCCGCCTAGAGATTCAGTACTCTTTTCTCAAGTCAATTATTAATCAAATAAAACATCGAGAGGGTTAAACAAGGTTTAGCACTCTAATTGCCTGCTAATTAATGCACTAAACCAAACCCCTTCTCTGACTTACTCTGCACATAAAACTGAACATTCCCCCGGGCACTAATGGCGGCCTCGGCAAACTCTTCTTCTTCGTCGTCACCGCCACCTCCTGCTCGGCCGTACACCGGGAAATGGGAGCACGACGTCTTCTTGTGTTTCAGAGGCGACACGCGGCTCAATTTTATGAGCCACCTCAGGGAAGCTCTCCGCGAGAAGCAAATCAGATTCTTCGTGGACACCATGCTTACTGTTACGGAGGACATCAACGAGCTCCTCTCCGTCCTCGGAAGATCGGCGGTCTCCGTGGTCATATTCTCGGAGAAGTTCGCCGATTCAACCTGGTGTCTGGACGAGGTGGACACCATAGTTCGGAGCGTTGACCAATTCGGACATAGGGTGCTGCCAGTTTTCTACAGAGTGGATTGGACCGCCGTGGCTGGGGACTCCGGCGCTTACGCTAAAACCATCGCGGAACTCGTCGATGAAGATGCCACCGAAGAGCGGAAGCAGGAATGGAAGGATGCTTTGAAGGCTGTGGCTCATAAGACTGGTCGTACCTCTGAGGCGATTCCGTGAGTACCACTTTTCCGCGCCATTCTCATGTATTTTCCCCTCATTCATCTATGTAGAGCAATAGTTTACAATTCAAGAGCATATGATAGATGGAACCTATGAAAGAGGGTTATCCTCTGGGCTTTAGCATTCCAATTTCTCATTTGGGGGTTTCTGTTTTTGCCCCTGGAATCGTAGGGACGATGCTGAATTGGTTAAGCAAGTTGTGGAAGACGTTCTGAGTACACTTGCAGCCATGTCGTCTAGCATCCAATCCAACAATTTGGTTGGCATGGATTCACGGGTTTTGGAGGTTGAGCGGCGATTAGCCATGAGTGAAGTGGATACTATCCGCATCGTTGGGCTTCGGGGAATGGGTGGTGTAGGGAAAACAACTTTAGCTAGAGCTTGCTATGAAAAGCTAAGATTCTCAGCAAAAGACACCAAGTTTCATTTTGTTGAGAGGATCGGTGAAAATTGTGATAAGCAATATGCTGTTGACGGATTCGTGCAAGAACTCTATTCGGCATTGTTATCTGAGAATTATATCAGTCACGGGGATTTGAATATTGGATATCGAAGGGCACGTCTTTCCCGCTTGAGGGTGTTCATTGTTCTGGATGATGTGCATACTCCTTCTCAATTGGAGCAGTTGCTTTTAAGAGAAGCATTGCATCTTACAAAACTCTTTGCTGCAGGCAGCAGAATCATCGTGACCACTAGAAATCAAAGGGTACTTGAATATGCAAAGGCGGAAATACACATTGTTGACCATCTCAGTGATGATGAATCTCTTCAACTTTTCAAACTACATGCTTTCCGACCAGGCTCGGCTATTGATGATCGAATTGATTTGTCACATCAGGTTATATCATACTGCAATGGGAACCCATTGGCCCTTAAAGTTTTAGGGGGTACATTGCTACCGAAGGACAGAAAGTATTGGAGAAGTTTCTTGCAGAAATTGAGTGAAATTCAAGAACCAGAAATTCATCATGTTCTTCGGAGAAGCTATGATGAGTTGGGAGATGATGATAAAAGATTGTTTCTCGATATTGCTTGTTCCTTCTATGGGATTGTGAGATCTTTATTGATAAAGTATATGGAAGCTAGTTATACCTCGGCATACAGTAGAGTAGATGATCTAATAGATAGGTCCTTGTTAATCTCTGTTTTTGACCAGCTTCAAGGTGAGGTAGTTGTTGTGCATCAGTTGTTGAGAGAAATGGCTTGGAACATCGTTAATGAGGAAAAAAATGTTGGAAAACGCAGCAGGCTGAAGAATCCTGATGATATTCACAACTTGTTGACAATTTGGAAGGTAAATATTTTGATAATGTTTTAGTATATTTTGGTGTTTCATAATATGCTTGTTGGATTTTCTTTGTCATAATTCGTGTTATGTTCTTAGGGAGATAGGGAAACTCAAGGGATCCATTTGGACCTTTCGAAAGCTGAAAGGATGCATTTGAAAGCCAATGCATTTGAGGGGATGGACTCTCTTAGATGGCTTGAATTTGCCTGGCCTAAATGCTTTGGGCATGGGCATCACAAAATCCAACTATCAGATGATATCATTAACTCTCTTCCCAATGAGTTAAGGGGTCTATATTGGGATCAGTTCCCTTCAACTTCTCTACCATCAGGATTTTCTCTAAAAAAACTTGTCTACCTCATTCTAAGCCATAGTCCGATTGAGATATGCTGGGAGCGAGATCAGGTATATATAATCTAAACACACACTTGCCATCTTCTGTCATCATAAACAAATGGTCATAACTTTTATCTCAAAGGTTTACCATACTTGGTATATTTCTCATAGTTCCAGTACATGCAGGGATTTGTTTAACCTTATTTGTCTTTGTTGGTGTTTTGGCAGCCTAAGCTTGAGCATCTGATGTTGCTTGACCTCACTTACTGTGAGAATCTAACTATTGTCCCAAACCTGTTGAGGTCTTCACATCTAGAGCACCTTCTTCTCCGGGGATGCAAGACTCTGGTTGAGTTACCTGCAAGCATTCAATCTCTTGTCAAGTTGGTAAGGTTGGATGCTAGAGATTGTCAAGATCTCCAGCGTGTCCCAGCCAGACTCAACTCGAAGTTCCTCAAGCAACTTCTGTTGTCCAATTGTCCCAAGGTAACACGCTGTCCAGAGGTTAATTCAGGAGAGTTGCGAGTTCTGGATTTAGATGGAACGCCCATCAATTCCCTGCCGAATGCAATTTACAAGGTCAAGGCGGGTGGGGTGTTAAGTCTCTATGGGCCCAACATCACTAGTTTCCCTAAAATTTCAACGAGCTTGGAGCTGCTCCGTCTGCGCAATACTGCTATAGAGGAGCTAGAGTTTGATCATCTTCAAGGTTCTGATCTGCCAAGATTTGATCGACTGCATCTGGTCCGGAACTCTCAGCTCAAGACTCTGCCGAAGGCCATCTGGAAGATGGTCTCTGTTGCACTTATTGTCGAGGATTGCCCTTTGATTGACTGTTTGCCAGAAATCTCAGAGCCTTTGCACTTGACTCGCCTTCGTATTGCTGGTTGTGCAAGGATCACCGATGTTTCGTCTTGCATCTCCAATATGAAATCTTTGGACTCTCTTGTTCTTCCTGCCACGGGTATTAAGTCCCTGCCTTCTATTATCCAGGAATTGGACCAACTCTCTTATCTCGATCTGTCTTACTGCACTAGCCTTGAGTCCATCCCGAACACCATACATAAACTTGCCAGGCTATCCGAATTGTCACTGGTGGGCTGTAAGAGCATCTGTTCATTGCCAAAACTTCCGCCAAATCTCAATATCTTAAAGGCAAATAATTGCGATTCATTGCAAGTTTTACCGAGCAACATTGGGAATCTGAGTTTTCAGCACTTGAGGTTTGATGATTGCCCGCACCTCGACCGGAGCTCACTTGACGAAATTGTAGCAAATTTCCCTGATCAGGCTTTGTCTCAGCACTCTCAGGTATATTCATATCCGTGGGTATTATGTATTTAAATATTAAATGTTTGTATGGTTAGCACTTACGATGAACAAAGTTAAATAAGAGTCGTTTCTGGAGCTGACAATTTGTCATTGCAGGTTGGTTTCCACTACTCTGGGATTGACATTCCAGAATGGTTTGATCCACCCAACATGGAGGGAGTGAATAATTACGTGACATTGGAGCTCCCCATGGACTGTTCGGAACTAAAGGGAGTTGCATTTGGCGTTGTGTATTCACTGGATCAATCCTGTGGTTCCATGTCTATCTTATGTGGCTGCTTCATAGAAACTGAAATGATCACGTATTGGAGATCTTTCTCCTGGAATTTTCACGTTCTTGACAGCTCCGATCGTGTTTATCTGTGGTCTGGTGACAGATTTGGCAAGTCCAAGAAAGATGAAGAGGAAGAGGAAGAAGCTTCTTGGTACCAGAAATATGCTGGGCTAACTGTCTCATTTCGGTTTTTTGCTGATGTAGGTGTGGGTCCTCTCCGTGATGTCAAAAAATGTGGCGCCTTTCTACTTTACTGACAGTGATTCCTTTTGATAATTTTGGACCATGCAGAAGAGAATGTGGAAAGAATCCGTGTCTATAGTCATGATCTGTTTCTGGTATGTTGATACTATTTATGGTTGTACAGTATCTGCCTGTCCTTTCTTTCTATCCATTTGGAACACTTGGTAATTTGCTGTGTGTCCAAATATGTTGATATAGGTTAGCTCTGGGCATTTATTTTCCAACTGTTATTACTTATTTATCCCCCGTTTCTTCTTGTCCTGAAGTTTCTTCAGAAAAATGTTTGCAATCCACCTAATCTATTCGTTAATTGGGACTTCAAAATGGAGGATGGTTTTTTTGTCTTTGGTGATGACTAGACAGATTAGGTTAGGGGTGGAAGCAAAATTAAACAATTGGAGTCAAGAAGTCGTACAACCAATCCCCACAAAGAAAACTAAGAAAAGACACATTATAGCTTAAGGAAAAAGAAACCATTATAGCTCAAGAAAGTCAACCCTCCATAATTATGAGACTGTACCTTTGACCAAGCTAATTAGAACTAAACAGATCGAGATCCCCCAGTCCAATGGCTTCTTCCTCTTCAACAGCTTTAGTGTCTCCTCCTCCTCCTCCTCCTCCTCATCATCATCATCATCATCATCATCATAGTGCCATGTATACTGTAGAATGCGAATATGATGTTTTCTTGTGTTTCAGGGCTACTGACACATGTCATGGTTTTACAGTCCACCTCAAGGCTGCTCTCTCCGACAGGAAAATCAAAGCCGCCTTTAACGCAATGCTCCAGAAAGCAGACTGCATCGACGAGCTCCTCCCCATCCTACAAAATTCTGCACTTTCGATCGTGATTTTCTCCGAGAACTTTGCGAGTTCGCCCTGTTGCCTCGATCAGGTGGCCACCATTGCCCGAAGTATGAAAGATTTTGGACATGTGGTGCTGCCGGTTTTCTGTAATGTGGATTGGTCTGACGTGGTGGAGGATTCTGGCATTTATGCTGCTGCGGTTGATGCTCTGGATGCCACCGGAGATCGCAAGAAGAGATGGAGGGATGCTTTAAAGGAAGTCGCTGATGTAGCTGGGTTTATCGCCAAACAGATGAAGTGGGTACTAATTCAGATTCCATTCTGTATACTACTTACCATTGTTATTTAGGGGTTAAATAGTTTATCGAACAGAAAATGCTAAGAGTGATTTATTCCAATGGTTTTGATGTTTTAGTTGTCTACATAGAATGTTCTGCCCATTTTCCTATCGAAGATTTGGCAGGAAATATGATTTATAATGTGTTTTGGGCTTATAACTTTCAGGTTCGACTCTGAATTGATTAAGGCGATTGTGGAAAATGTTATGAAGAAGCTCAATGACATGCCACCGAACATCTCATATGAAAACATGGTCGGTATGGATTCTCGCGTTAAGGAGGTTGAGCAACTGTTAGCACTGAACACATCAGATGATATTCGCATTATTGGCCTTTGGGGAATGGGCGGTTTAGGGAAAACAACTCTGGCAAGAAGGTGTTATAAAATTCTGAAATCCTCAGCCATGGAAGAACACAGAACACATTTTGTTGAGAGAGTCGGTGCAAACTGGGAAAACCAATACGGGTTTGGGGGCCTGGTACAAGAACTCTATTCAATTCTGTTGTCTGAGAAGGATTTGAGCCGCGGAGATTTAAATAATATTCACAGAAGGGCGCGCCTTTCTCGTTTGAGGGTGTTCCTTGTTCTTGATGATGTGCAAACTTCATCGCAATTAGAACAGCTACTATTAGGAGAAGTGTTGGATCTCACCAAACTCTTTGCTCCTGGGAGTAGAATTATCATGACGACTAGAGATCGAAGCGTGCTCAAGTATGCAATGGCAAAGATATACCCTGTCGAATGTTTGGACAGCGATGAATCTCTTAGACTATTTGGCATGTTTGCATTCAGGGGAAAACCACTTCCTTCTGATGAGTGGATGCATTTGTTACATTTGGCGGTGTCATATTGCAAAGGAAACCCTTTAGCCCTCAGAGTTCTTGGGGGAGCATTGTTTTGTCAACAGAGGGATTACTGGAGAGATTTGTTGGGCGAATTGGGACAGATTCAAAATCTGGATGTCCATCATCTTCTTCGGAAAAGTTTTGATATGTTGGCTGCTGACGAGCAGAGATTGTTCTTAGATGTTGCTTGTTTCCACAGTGGGATGCAAAGGTCTGCATTGATCAAATACATGGCAACTAGTTATCCCTTAGTGCATGATAAAGTGAATGGTTTAGTGTATAAGTCGCTATTGTGTGTTTCCAACAAGGAAGGAGAGATGATTGAGGTGCATGATCTGCTGAAGGAGATGGCTTGGAGCATTATTAACGGGCAACTGAAGCTTGAAAATCGCAGTCGGTTGGAGGATCCTGACGATGTACACAAGTTATTGGCAAACCAGAGGGGGAAAGCTTGGAAGGTATTTGGTTTGAACCTTTTCAAAGCTGTAGAGACATATTGGGAAGCTAATGACTCGAAGAGAGATAGAACAGTGGAAGGTATATGCTTGGACCTTTCCAAAGTCAAAGAGATGGAGTTGAAAGGAAATGCCTTTAAAGAGATGAAACGTCTTAGATTCCTTAAGTTCTGGAGCCCAAAAAGTTCCAGTGCCTTCCCAATTCACAGGAAAATCCTTCTACCACATGGTGGCCTCAACTCACTTCCTGATGGGTTAACGTGCTTGCACTGGGATGGATACCCTTCTACATCTCTGCCATCAACATTTTCTCCAGAAAACCTTGTCAGAATTGTTATTCGCCATAGTCCAATTGAAAAGTGCTGGGCGGGAGTTCAGGTATATCAGAAAACACTTGCCCAATTTGGTGTGTCAATATTACTTAGCATCGTTCTCACTGTTTCTGATGGAGGATTAGTTACTAATGCGGCATCTATATGTACTGCAAATTTAACTCTGTACTGAGACAACTAAGACCAGAAACTTGAACTAATGAGTTGTAGTTAGCATTTATGTTCCCTCCATCATCATTTTTTCTGTCATTAATGTTACTGATGTGGCTGAGCCTTTAATCAGTGTTTATAGGCTGCCATAAAAGCCACATGAGAATAAGTGCTAATCGAGGAAACGATTATGCGAAGGTGATCTATTAGGACGAGTTTAATGCTTTAGTTGTCTCAATACATAAGCATCGTGCCCAATGTTGGGCTATGTGCGAGTTCAGTAACTAAATTAATTATTTAGCCCCTCCTCCAGATGGATTATTCAATTTACCTTGGTTTTTTTGTTCCCCTTCTTGGCAGCCAAACCTTGTGAATCTGCTGCTGCTTGACCTCTCCTGCTGCATAAATCTAACTGCGATCCCCGACTTATCAAGGTCTTCGAATCTCGAGGAACTCCTGCTCAAGGGATGTAAAAGCCTAGTTGAAATACCTTCTGATGTTCAACATCTTGACAAGTTAACAACGTTGGACATCAGAGACTGCATTAATCTGGAGAGTCTCCCAGCAAAATTTGACTCGAGCTTCCTCAAGCTTGTTGAGTTGTCCAATTGTCCAAAGATCTCCCATTGTCCGGAGATGAACTCAACAGAGTTGGACCTTCTGGATTTAGACGGGACCCCCATCAGAGAGCTACCAAGTGCAATCCACAAGCTCAAACGAGGTGCCACCTTGCATCTGTGTGGCAAAAACATCTCTTCCTTCCCCAACATTTCAGCAAGCCTCGACAAGCTTCATCTATGCTGTACCGTGATAGTAAATATCGATTTCAATGACGATCGAGCTTCTTCTGAATTGTTGCCAAGGTTTCGTCGGCTCGTGTTGGTTCGCAACTCTCAACTCAAAAATCTACCAAGTTGTATCTGGAAAATGGTCTCCACTGAACTCATCGTTCAGGGGAGCCCGTTGATCGAAAGTTTACCAGAAATCTCGGACCCCGTGGAGGGATTTACTCGGCTAGTCATAGTCGGAGGCACGAGTATAAAGAGTGTTCCATCTAGCATCAGCAAATTGAAATCTTTAGTAAGTCTCAGTTTTAGTGGCACAGCTATTAAGTTTCTGCCTTCCTGTATCCAGGAACTGCAACATCTCACATTCTTAGATTTCTCTTACTGCAAAGGCCTCCAGTCTGTTCCGAGTGACATTCATAAGCTTTCCAGCTTAGCTGCATTGTTTCTGAGGGGGTGTTGGAGTATTCGGTCTTTACCACAACTCCCTCTGAAGCTGGGGTTTCTAGATGTAGGTGATTGCACATCGTTAGAATCTCTGCCGAGCAACATTTTGGAGCTAATGAGTTGGTGTGGATTGATCGCTGATGGTTGCCGGAAATTGGATCGGAATTTCCTTGATCGAGTCATCGCGCATTTGCCTGAGCTTGCTGCAAGGTCTCCACGTTCTGAGGTATTGTCTCCTACTGCACATTCTCTTGTGCTTTCAACTAAATACAAATGCTTGCTAATGTTACAGACGATTCCTATCAATTAGCTCTAGTTTAAGCAAATTAGCATCAGTAATACGATACATGCATCAAATTAAGAGCAAAGGTCATGTTGTCACAGGCTATAATTATATATTCGAGGAGTGAGCTTCCGGAATCATTTTGCTACAATCACGTGTATGGCAAGGAAGAATGTTGCGTGACGATGAATCTACCTGCTGCAAACTTCAGTAAAGGACTAGTTAAGGGGATTGCTTTTGGCATTGTATGTTCTTACTCCGGTGGGGGGTTCGTGGATGCCCATGCGACATTGGATTGCAGCATCGTATCTGAAACTACCCGTGGGTGGATTGACGGAGGCACTAGCCAACGCACCACAATCAGTTCTTGGAGGTTTCCCCTCGAAATTCTGTTCGAATGCAGCACGTTAGACCTTGTTTATCTGAGGGCTGACAACAGGTTGCGAGGGACCAAAGATGCAGAACAAGAAGTAGATGATGAAGAAGAAGCTTGGTATGTGAAATATGCTGGGCGGGAAGTTTCGTTCAGACTCTATACTCGAGCTGCTGGAGATGAAACTTCCGTCGAGAAATTTGAGAACAACTTTCGAATCAGACGATTCGGCATCTATTTAGTGTACTCCTGATAACTTGCTGCGTAAGTTACTGCATTTATTCTGTGAACATTTTTGCATTCTTCTCTGCATTTGAATCAGAATGTTGAATTTACATGAATGCACTTTGTATAGGTCCGAACATTAGTCGTTTAGGTTATTTAAGAATTGATGTCATGTCACAAGTCAGTTTCTCTCAACAACTTATTTGTCCAAAAAAGCTCGAAGAAATGAAGTAGTTTCTAGAATAAGAAAAGAATTTTTAGACATTCATTTGAAACAAAAGTTGAATCGAGAAATTGCATTCACGTGGGGTCGTTTGGTTTTGGTGATACTTAAATCAATGCATTGTGGTCAATGTATGTATTGTAATATATATGTAATTAAGGAAAATGGTGTAATATACTTTACATTGTTTGGTTTTGGTGATAGTTCTTTTAGTATTCAACATGTTATATTAGTTTTTGTGAGAAAAATCACTTTTTCCCTTACTTTTATGAGAACATATATATATAATTAGGGGTATACTTGAAACAAAAAAATGAACTCAACAATCTCCACAAAACTATTTCAACAATCTCAAGTTTTAGTAGAGATAGTACTATCATTCATTTTGAGTGATAGTTTCCATTACATCGAGCAAACAATACATGTATTGTTTGTGAAAAAAAAAAAAAAAAGCATTATGGATCAATACCTCGAAACTGTACCAACTCCTTAAGCCTTCCGAACGCTGTGGTTCTAGACCTCGCAATTGGGTCGGGTTGGGTAATTTTGGATTGAGGCATCCGGTTATGGGTCGAGTTATGTTGGGTTGGCTGGTTTCAGGTCAAATGATGACCCAACCCATTCGGTTTCGGGTCGGGTTACATAGGGCTATGAGCTCTCTCAGAAACAATATCAAACATGCTTCATTTTTTCTTAAAGAAGACAAATTTTCACATATGCATGACAATAGTTTACCTAACAAATGTCAATTAACATATTCTCAAATCCTCACATGCTAATGAAATGAAATACAAATTGCGCAAATCGTCAAAAGACAATCACAAGAGTGATGCTACTACATAAAACACATGATATTTGATTATGCTTAAACTCCAAACATGTCATTCAAATCCTTGTGAATTTTTTTAAACATCTCACCAACTTATGAGTGATTTTATCATTTTGGAAGTGATATATAAAATGGAACGTGTCTAACGGGTTGACCTGCTAACCCACCCAACCCAAAGTATAAAACTTCTACATTTTGAGTAAATTCGCTCGGAACAACGGGTCGGATTGTAATTTGCCAGGTCTATGTGATTGTTCTATGTGGTTGTTTTACAAGAAGAATATTTTTTTCGACTTCTATTTTAACCGATTAAACCGAAATGATAACCACCCCTTTATTGTGCATACAATCTCATCAACATTAATCACAAGACCCAAAAATAATTAACCATAGAACAAACTCACTCTCGTTAATATACGAAGAGTAGTCATACATAATTAGAAACACAAACCCACAAATTACTTTTAACATATTCTCAACAGAAATCACTAAAATTAATTTAACTCAAATTCTTAATCACATCGGCGATGAACCGATTCAAAGCGACCTCGGCCGACCCACCTTCCGCCAGCGCATCCCTGCTCCGATCGCTCAACTTCTTCACCTTCTCTCTCGCCTCGCTCCCTTCCGCCATCAAACCCTTAATCCCCTTCTCGATCTCCTCGCTCCCCACCACAATAGCATCCTCCTCCGCCATTCCGAACTCCTTGCTGTACTCCATCTTCACATCCACCCCCAACCCCCACTCCACCACCATCTGAAACGCGTTCAGCTGCTGCTCCCCGTCGATCGGCCACGCCGCGATCGGCACCCCGAACCACAAGCTCTCCAGAATCGAGTTCCAACCGCAGTGCGACACGAACCCACCCACCGCCGGGTGGGCCAGAATCGCAGCCTGCGGCGCCCACCCGATGATTTTCCCCACTCCGGCCGTCCTCTCCAGAAACCCTTCCGGCAGGATCTCGGCCGGGTTCTCGTAGTCCAGGGGGAACGAGACCACGCCTCTCGGAGGTGGGCGGCGCAAGGACCAGAGGAATCTGAACCCGGAATTTTCGAGGGCGGTGGCGATTTCCTTCACTTGGGTTTCGTTGAAGCAACCGTTGCTTCCGAAGCAGAGGAAGAGAACAGAGGAAGGCGGTTGTTCGTTGAGCCAGGTCAAGATCTCGCTGCCTCTTCCTTCTCCGGTAGCGTCTTCCCGCTTCAGCTCTAAAATTGGTCCGACCGGGTAGACCGGAGGGGTTTCTCCCTTCGATAGGTGCTCGATTGTGGTGTTTTCCAGATCTGGAAACGTGTTGATTAAAATTCCCTTTGCGTCTCGGTACCGTTTGACGAAATCCAAAAATCCGTCGCAGAGGAATGGGTTGAGAACAGGACGAGGGAGGACTTTGCCCGGAATCGAGTTATTGAAGCCTTCGATTGACCAATTGGCTTCTGGGTTGTTGAAATCGGTGACGGGAGTGTTGTGGTTGTCCCGGAGATTCTGGAGATGGAGGGTTAGATTGAGGCATCCGGCGCCGGAGGTGTAGAAGATGTAGCTGGGGAGGCCGAATTCGTCGGCGACGTCGATGAATGTAGTGCAGAACATGTCCACGAGGAGCCCGGAGACGAGAGGGGAGGCCTGGACGAGCTTGGCGACGGCATCGCGGACGTGGGATTTGTATGAGTCCATGAAGAATTTGACGACGTCTTTCACGGTGGAGTCGACGGCGGCGTCGTTGGGAGGGAGGTCGACGAACTTGACCCGGTCGGAGAGCGCGGCGGCGGCGAGGGATTTGGTGTGGCTGGCGTAGTTGGCGTCGCCGTGGGGGAGGTGCATGATGAGGATGGTGATGGAGAGGTTGGGGTCTCTGGTGGCTAGCTGCCGGGCCAGTTCCGCCAGCGCCGTTATGTGGCCCACCGCCGGCGATGGTATGAACACCAACTCCACTTTCTTCCATCCGATTTACCAAGGAAAAAAGACCAGTTAGTAGCTAAATACTCTGCTGACAGATAATTGTTAAGCTAAATTCAATAAGTAAATCTACGTGAATAATTTTTTTTAATGGATCTGCGTGAATAATTGATAGAATTGCACTAAAAGTCGAAAATATATATTTTCTCCCATGTTAAACAAGATACTTCTCCCATGGATTACGATGCAAATATTTGAGTTCACACCAATTCATTGATTGGTAAAGAAATCGAGAATTGTAAATCGTACCGGAAAACTCAATAATGTAGTATTTTATACTTAAATTATGATTCGGTCGTTTCATATAGCTAAATTTCATTTTCCGATTAAATTTCCGATAAGAAATATTATGATCGCATCGTCTATATAGTTTCACAAACACTCGAACAAACATATAGATACTAATTGTACAAAAAAAAGAAGCAAAGAAATATTACCCTGGTTTCGTGCTTTATAGTTGCCATCTCCGATTAATCCTTTTGTGTTCTTAAGAACTTTGAAGGATAAGAAGTGAAATTGAAAAACGAATGTTAAGTATGGATTATAAAAATGAGACTTTGCTTATATACAAATTCAAGAGAATCCAAATGGGCAACGTTTAGGTCACCAGTTCAATAAATCATCATCAAGTCAGGTAAGGTATTAATTAACCGCTACAAATTAAATGAAAAAATAAACATTTCGAAGCACTAATTGTCTAGTTAGTTTCTCGATGAGAGTTTTTTTTTTATATTTAAAGGAGGCAAACCGCCAAACAATTACAGACTCCTAACGATTAGGAGCGTAAAACAGGACAAACCAAATCAGAACCAAACCAGGGGATCGAATAGGAAGTACAGGGGAACACAACCTAATTAGCTTCGGTTCTAGAAACTTGTCTAGGAAAGCTGACTCATATCATGTCTTCTCTGCAAATTTTGTCAAGCTCCAATGGGGGATCGATTAGCTCATACGTACCGAAGGGATAGACGAGACTGTGCTTCGAGAGCCAGTCTACGATACTTATGCACTAATCAAACCATCCATTCTTTGGTCAACATTCGTCTGATAGTGCCCAGGATTGTTGCATACGGATGCACTCTGTCGTTTCTCTTATCAATGAGCTCTAGAGCTAACTTTGGGTCGGTCTCAAGAATGAGGAAGCGAGAACCCTTCTTCCAAGCCAACTCCAATCCCTACAAAATGCCCCATAATTCAGCGAATAAAGCTGTACCAGATCCAAACTTGCTGCAGAATTCTCCAATCCAATCTCCATCATGATCTCGGAGTATGCCCCCTGTCGTAACCATTCCTGGGTTGCTCTGCGCTGCGCCATCTGTATTCAATTTGTGCCAGCCTTGAGGGGGTTTAATCCAACTAATTAGCTCCTCCACTCTTGTCTGATTCACATTCATTGAGGAAGACTTCGGAGCTGGATTCCAAGCTTTCACCCACTCCGAGGCCTTAGCCACCACATAGTGATGCAGAGTGGAGATAGTCAGCTTCACCCCTTTAAAAATCCTCTCGTTCCTGCACTTCCAAAGGTACCAAAGGATTTGGCTGAAGAAACTATTTCATTGGCTAGGCCAATTTCCAGCTGATTCATACAGAGTGTTGGTCTTCATCCAGGTATCAAGATTGTTGTTGAAAAAGCTCACTCTTCCTCGTTGTTCCAAAATCCTGTTCCACACTGCCTTGGCCCTTCCACAATCTCTTAAACAATGAAGATTGGTCTCTCCCGTATTCCTGCACTCAAGGGCACGAGTCGTTTCTCGATGAGAGTTAGTGATTCATTAAAAGTGAAATAATAAAAGCTCATGTCCAAAATCATATCCATCTAAACATAACAAGATTACTAAATCATGGTTCAATAAATTGTTAAGCGCGAGATGAATATTTGAGACTAGTTTATGTGTAGCCTAAGCAAGCCTAAGCGGCATGTAGGGGGTGAAAGTTTGTCCTGGAAGACCCACTGACACGTCCCGTCCCTAAGGGTCGGGACGGTTCAAATGTCTACAGGGACAGATTAGGGGCGGGTCATTTGTTGACCCTGTAAGGGTCGGGACGGGTCGGGACAACTTAGGGACGGATCACGTTTTGACCCTGTGACCCTTAGCAACAACAAATATCTCATACTTCATTGGACCTTTTTGTAAAGTTTTAAAAGTTTAGGCACTAATTTGTAAAAATAAAAAATCTGGGTACCAAAACGTAATTTTACCATCAAAATTTATGGACTTATTTGTAAAAAAATAATATTTAGGTACTAAATTGTAAGAGAAAATAATTTTGGGTACTAAAAAGTAATTTGTAAAAAAAGTAGTGTGTAAATTAGAGTCGACCCACTGACCCGTCCCGTCCCAACCCTTGAGGGTCAGACAGGGTCAAGAAGGAGACAGGGACGGGAAGGGACGGGACGGTTATACATCTTGATCCTTCAGGGACGGGTCAGACAGGGATAGGGACTAGGGATGGCAATCAAACCCATGGCCGCGGGTACCCGACCGCCCCGACCCAGTCAACGCGGGGAATCCCCGCTTTGACCGGGTATGGGGCGGGTATGGGTAAAACCCGCAAAAAGTTTGATGGGTATGGGGCGGGTATGGTTTTAGCCTCCCCCGCCCCATACCCATACCCATACCCGCCCCACCAAGAGAATTTCTTCACATATCAAAAAATATGTGGATTAAATTATAATCTATCAATGATGATAATGATAACTCGAGAAAATAAATAGTAGAAATGCAATTGAGTAACCACCTTAAACAAAACCTAATTCATTTTCCTCAATTCTCACTCCACTCTTTCACTTTCCCCCTTGTCAACAAGATTATGATAGTTAATTATTACTTAGTAAATGTATCAAGAGTTAGAGCATAATAATTTAAAAATATTATAGCCTATATTATGTATTAATGGATGTTTTAGGATCATATTCTTTGAATCGTATTTAGAAAATGACCGTGTTTTGTTGACTTCATGATATAATAGGTTTATTTATGGTTATAATTAAAACTTTTCTTGTAAGTTTTAGGTATAATAATGTTGGATGTACGGGGATGGGTATTACCCATGGGTACCCGAAACCCACGGGTATGGGGATGGGTTTCCAAAACATTTCCCCGCATGGGTATGGGGCGGGTATGGGTTTGGATATTTGAAGATGGGGATGGGGATGGTTTAGGCAAACCCGCCCCAAACCCGACCCATTGCCATCCCTAATAGGGACGAGACAGGCAAATTTTCAGCCCTAGCGGCATGCGCTAGAAGAAGATATAGAATTTGTACTACATGTGAATTAATAGTGGTTTATTATACTTTCACATTTTAATCCAAATAATTAATAACTTAACTCTTCCCAACAAGAACAATAAGTAAGAAGTTTATTGAATTATAGCTTAATATTGAAATATTAAAAATATTGAGATAATAAAAATGAGTTTGTAGATTATGTTAATTTCCATTCTTGATATTGTCAGCTTAACTTAGTGTTTTTCTTTTATGATAAATTAAAAAAATACTCATCGTAGATGTAAAATAGTGATAACAGAATGAATAATTAAGTGTACTTAGTTAAAAGATCTAGTCTTGCACCTATTCAAAATTCCGATGGGTGAAAATATCACTCAAGACAAGTGAAAATAGAGAAATTATGTTGAGGCCAATCTAAATATGACGAAGAAAGAATGGGGCACGACGAAAATAATGTATGTAACTCGTTCCACTCTATGTACGTCGAGTAAATATCTGACAAATCAAATTCAAAATTGCCAATCTCTAATGTCAAGTATGGTTGTGTCATGTGTGAATTCAATTTTATAGTACTAATGCTAGTTTTATACAAAGCATAGTGCCGCGTTAGAATCTTAATATTATACCCATTTTTGGCATACAGGACACATTTTTTTACAAAGCTCACTCTCCGAGTCAATCCTTCCCACTCCTTCCTTCCTCCGAGCCAAAACCAAAATGAAGACGGCGGAGCTGGTTTTCGTCCCATCCCCCGGCGCCGGCCACCTCTTCGCAATGCTCGAGCTCGCCAAGCAGCTCGTCAGCCGCGACAGCAGACTTTCCATCACCGTATGCATCATGAAACGACCCTACGAATCCGTAGCTCCCGGCTTCACTTCCCACTCCCTGGCCCCTGATCCCAAAAACTCCAACCAGATCCGATTCGTCGACCTCCCCGCCGTCGACTCCGACCCGAACGCAACCCCTGGCCAGCTCCTCCTCTCCCACATCGCCGCCCACAAAGTCCACATCCGAGAAATCGTTTCGGCCCTCACCCAATCGGACTCGAGACTCGCCGGCCTCGTGCTCGACATGTTCTGCACCTCAATCGTCGATGTGGCCAACGAATTCGGGGTTCCTTCCTACGTCTTCTACACCTGCGGCGCCACTTTCCTCGGGTTCATGTTCCACCTCCAGAATCTCTACGACCGGCGGGAAATCGATCCGATTGCGCTGAGGGACTCCGACGCCGAGCTGGAGATTCCGGGCTTGATGAATCCGCTCCCGGGGAAGAACCTTCCTTCCGATGCGGTGGAGGAAGAGTGGCTCAAAGTGCTGGTCGAAACCACCAGAAGGATAAGAGAAGCCAGGGGTATTATCGTAAATACGTACCTCGAGCTCGAATCCTACGCCGTCGATTGCTTATCCAACGGTGGGACTCCTCCCGTTTACCCGGTCGGTCCGATTCTGAATCTGAGAGGGGAAGGTCACGAGACGAAGGAGAAGAACGAAATCATCGAGTGGCTGGACGCTCAGCCGCCGTCTTCGGTGGTTTTCCTCTGTTTTGGGAGCTTGGGAAGCTTCTGCGAGGAGCAATTGAAAGAGATCGCGACGGCGCTGGAACGCAGCGGCGAGAGGTTTCTGTGGTCTGTCCGCCGATCTCCAGAGAAAGCACCAGCAATGGAGGTTCTAAACGGAAACGGCGCCGATTCGTTCGGTGATTTGCTGCCGGGAGGATTTCTGGAGCGAACGGCGGGGAGAGGGAAGGTGATCGGGTGGGCGCCGCAGACGGCGGTCCTGGCTCACCGGTCGGTGAGGGGATTCGTGTCGCATTGCGGGTGGAACTCGACGCTGGAGAGCATTTGGTTCGGGGTCCCGATGGCGGCGTGGCCGATTTACGCGGAGCAGCAATTGAACGCGTTCAAATTGGTGAAGGAGATGGAGTTGGCGGAAGGGATAAGGATTGATTACCGGAGGGACGGCGGGGTAATCGTGACGGCGGAGGAGATCGAGGGAGGGATCCGGCGGTTGATGGCTGCGGCGGCGGAGACGGATGGGATGGGGAAGAAGGTGAAAGAGATGGGCGAGAAGGGCAGAGAAGCGTTGACCAAAGGTGGGTCCTCTTACTCTTCTATGGGCCGTTTGATTGAGGATTTGATGGATAATAATAAGATTATGCCGTGAAAATCAACGGCTAGTATTTGTCGGACTTCAATCATGGTATAATTTGAGTGTCGTATGGACAATCCTACACGAACTAGTCTCAGCCTGATGGAAAATATTTGTTGGCACAACAATTTTTTTTATGAATGATTTTGTATTTGTAATTTAGAGCTCGTATACAATTACATCCGAGTTTTACTTGAGAGAACGTTACAACAATAAATGAAAGAAAATCTTTAGCTTATGTCGGGGAGAATAGCTAGTAGTGCCTAATGTTGATTCAAATCACCTTTCGCCACATTCTAGTTTATGCAGAATCGGCAAAGCATTTACTCATATGCTTTGCCTTTTTCATGCTAGTTTATCAATCCGTCACATAAATAAGCACATGAGGTTGGTCAATCAAATGGTTTTGCATTGTTGAGTTGGTCAATCAAATGATTTTAAGGATCATAGTTGGACTGATGAAAATAAAGAGTGTTAGTACTTTGCCTGCTCATGAGGAGAGGATGTGACATGTGAGAGGGAGACGAAGAGATCATATTCGATTGGAAAGGTACTAATGTGAGCATGAAGGTAAGAAAAAGATTTAGGGTTTGTTGTTGATGATATGCTGAATGTTAATTCTCCAACGACGTTGGGGTCGTCAATCTGAGGAAGGCTACTGCATTTTCAAAACATCGAGATTTGTTGCTATATGCAACAAGGAAGTAGACGAGAGTCGAGAAGACAAGCTGATTGTGAAGTCGAAACCAGCCTCCTTTTTCCACGACGAGATAGAAAGCCCTTAAGATATAGAGAAACATACTTATAATAGTGAGTCAGCAACCAAACACATCTCAAAAAGAGACTGAAGGAAGAAGATGACACTGAAAAAAAAAAAGAAAAAAAAACAGAGGCAAAACATACATAATGGAAAACATGCAACAAAAAAAAGGTGATCAGAGAACTAATTTTGGTTGCCCCACGGAAAAGGATGATATTTACCTGCAACCAAGTTTGCAGGCTCCGGCCTACAACCTCTGCAGGTGGAGGTATACTATTTGTTGAGTTCCTTTCTTTTTTTGTTTGCAATTAAATGTTAACGAAAGTCGCTTTTCTTTTTTGTTTGCAATTAATATCTTAATTACCATCAATAAAACATGGCAAGATCACTTTAAAAGAAAGTGAACCGAAGTACGTGGACTTTGATCTCGACTACTCGGGTACGTAGGTAACCAATTGGTTCAAGTCCGACTAACAAATATTCTCAACAATTTTAACATGTAAGCGTTAACACTTCAAATCACACCTTTTTTTAAATCGAAATATGTGGACTATGATCAACTTGTATTTTAATAAATACCTAATTAATTATATCATATAATTAAATACGTAGATAAAGCACAAATTATAATGCACATTAAAACTTATCGATTTAATTAGTACTATTTTTTGGGCGTTGTGGGGTGTGAATACACTTTCCCACACGTAATCGTACTCCCTAACCTAGAATCTTTAATTTTGTAGACCACATCTCGGTTTTGATCCTAAGGTTGAGATCAAACAAAAAGATGTTCGATCAACCACAATTAAGATCGATGACAACTACGAACAATTCGCGACGATCCCCCAACTTCGAGGCGGTTGCCACACAACCATAAAATTTGATTTCTCAAATATTATGGATGGATAGGGTTGAATTGAACAATTAGGTTGATTTCTGGTTTTCTTTTTTCACCTCTATATGCATGCTAGTTTGAAACATGTCAAAAAGAAATAACCATAAGTAAAGAAGGGGGAAAAGAGGAGCGTAGATAGAGAACTCTGCTGTGGAAAGCTAGCCGCTTCCGTTAACCATTTAACTGCAAATTAAAAAAAAGATGAAATAAAATAAACCCAACCAATAGTATGCCTCCACCTGTAGAGATTGTAGGAGGAGCCTGCAAACTTGGTTGCAGGTAAATAACGTCCCACGGAAAATTAAGAAAAGAGAAGTTAGAGAGAGAAGGGGGCAAAAGGGAGCCAATTTCACACTTGATGGAGTGTTTACTAATTAATCACATCCTCAATAAAACGACCAATGGAGCGATAAGAAGACCCGCCGTCTTCCACCGCCTTCCACACTTGTCACTCATCTCTTTGGCCTTTTTTCTCCTCCCCGTATTCTCCGTCGCCATCAAGAATCTTATCCCTCTCTCAATCTCCTCCACCGGCACCACCTCTCCGCTCAACAGCCGGTAGCTCATCCTAATCTCCACCGCCACCTCAAGCTCCCTCACCAACGTAACTGCATTCAGCTGCTGCTCCGCGCGCATCGGCCATGTGGCAACCGGAACACCAAACCACGTACTCTCCAACGTCGAGTTCCACCCGCAGTGAGACACGAACCCACCGACAGATGGATGGGCCAGAACCCTCGTCTGAGGGGCCCAACCGATCACCTTCTCGAGCCCAGCTGTCCGGTCCAGGAACCCATCCGGCAACGCCTCCTTAACGTCGTCGTATTCGGACGGCTTGAAATCCGCTTTGCCTTTCTGCGATGGCTTTCTAAGAGACCACAGAAACCTCTGCCCGCTGGCTTTAGGGATGGCAATAATATCCATAACCGTAGATATCCGCCCGAATCCGGTCTAATCGGGCAGGGTAAAACCAAAACCCGAAGGACATTTAGTGGGTACGGGTAAAACCCGAACCCGAATATTGCGCGTAATGGGTGGGCATGGGTTTCTCACTATCCGACCCGAACCCGCCCGATTATACACATGCATATGTATTTGTCTAGAAATATCATTATTTTTCTCTAACATATTTTATATTTAGCATATAAATATAATATTTTCACGAAAGAGCACTTCTACTATGCTATATAGTATTGGTGCTTTAATGTATAACTTGAAGTTGTACCATAACAATAAATGTATAAGTTAAGGTTGTACCATAAAGGAATTTGTACCATTATGTTATGGTACAATTTTACAACTTGAAGTTGTACCATCACATAAAGGTACAAGTTCAAGTTGTACCATAAAAGAATTTGTACAAAAAGTATAGGTACAATCTGAAGTTGTACCATAACGCTAAAGGTACAATTTCAAGTTGTACCATAAAGGCAAAAACCTATAGCACCAATGCTACATAGCATTGTAAAATTCCTCCTTCATGAAATTGTGTGATTTTAATTAATTTTCTTTATTCTAGTGAATTCTTGTCATACTTTTTCTCTTACGTAATGTAAGAATATATGTGAATGTTAACATATTGGTTGGATCTATGAAGAGAAATTATTACTCATGGATAACCGTGGATACCCGAAACCCGAACGGGTATGGGCATGGTTTTGATTTCAACCCGTTTCACATGTGGGTATGGGTATGGGTAAAATCTGAAGTATTTTGGGTAGGGTAACGGATATGCACTATCCGCCCCCGACCCGACCTATTGCAATCCCTAGCTGGCTTCCAGCGCGTTGGCGATCTCCTTCACCTGTTCCCCACCGAAGCTTACCATGCTCCCGAAGCAGAGGAACACCACCGACGACTTTGGTTGCTGGTCCAGCCAATCCACGATCTCCTTCTCGCCAGCGGTATCTCCCTTCTTCAGCTTGAGGTCAACGAACTAGATGCTTGCGGAGCCGGAGGGCTTGAAATCGCAATTAGATTTTTGGTGGAATATATATGGAATATACATGTATCCTCATCAGCGGCTTCAAAGTCCAGCAACAAGTGGAGTACGAGGTCCTTAATTATTATATTTTGTTGGAGACTTGGAGTACGAGGTCCCTTTTTATATGTTTTTGGAGGAGGAACAGATTTTTAATAATAATTAGTTCTTACACTAAAGCACGAGGTCATTTTCTATGTGCTTTTAATTTCCACTTGTTTCTGTTTGGACTTCTGTTTGGACTTCACGGCGAAAAACATAATCGAAGCATCTAAGGCAAGGTTATCAACCCGCAGGCTGATTCGGACCCGTTCGAGCTAGTGGATTAAGAGTTAATTGGTCAACCGTTTTAGCTCGGTTTGGCCCGGAAATATGAAAAGAGTTATTATATTGTGTTTATCCTAATAAATTATATAAAATCTTATCTAACATATGGGTTATAACATATAATATTACACCAAAATAACATATCGTACTTAGATCCAACATATAGTGAAAATTCACACACACTTATATAACATCAATATTCAAATATTCAACTTAGGATTCCAAAGATTGAGTTAGGCGATAATAAAAAACGGAAAATAGGCGCATTTCACAAACCAAAGAAAAAAATGACACAATTTTACCTCCAACCTGGTACCTTGTAGCGGTCGACCCGGCAGGTGCGTGCGGCCCGTTTTCTCACCGGGTCAGGGTTAAATTGGGTCGACTCGCGGGTTGACAACCTTGATCGAAGGTGAATTGTAAGTTTGGTCTGATATTAATGCAAATTTACTTTGTTAGTGGTCATTGATAATTCTTTTATTCTATCGGTGGCCTTTGAAATTAAATCAATATTCTATGTCGTTACTTTTCGCCAGACTCAGTTCACAGCTTTAACTTATTTTTTTATGGCATGGTTTACACAATCATCGAAGTCATTCAAATTTAACAGAAAAAAAATTAAAACCAGACCCACCATGTCAAAAATCCTAACCCAATTCATGACCGGACCCAAATGTCATTTTCTTTTCTTTTCTTCCCCTCCACTTTCTTTCTCCACCACAATCTCCTCTGATTCTCTATGCAAAAATCCTCCATTGATTGCTCCCTCTGCCCTCATTGCAGCCGACTTGCCCTCATTGCAGCCGACTGACAACCACGACCGACTAGTCACTAAGCCTCGCCGCTACGACTCCGAGGAGCAACCGCAAGCCTGTTGTAGGCGTGGATCTTGGCACCTGAGATTAACGTGATAAGAGGTGATTACGAACAGAAATAGGGAGAGATTAGACGAAGATTTGGGAAGAAGAAGAGCAAGAACTGGCCGGCGGCCAATTTAGGAAGGAGAGAAAATTAGGGTTTGGGAATATGTAGAACTTTTTCTTGATTGATTCCTAATTGAACGATGAAATTACTTTATATAGGCTATAGGCTAACTCTAATCGACTTACTGTAACCAAATATCAAAATACCCTTAAACTACTACTCATACCCTCAACAACCTCGTCTCCATGTGGTGAGTCGCCCTATACTGCGTGATTGTAATGATCTTGGTCTACTTAGGACTTAATTGAAAATAGTAGAAATAGAAGGATTTCTTTGGATAGTTTGTAAAGCTATAAAAACTTGTATTAGAGTGTTTGATGAACTGTTGGGTTAGAGTGTATGCCGCGGCGGATTGGTTTTAAATTTTTTGAGTTAAATTTGGGTGACTAGACAATTCTTTTAGTCATGTCATAACAAATATTGATGTTACTAACATAGTCTGACGGAAGATAATGAAAAGTGACCAAACATAAAATATTTAATTTAATTTCACCGACCACTAATACAATAAAAAAAATTAGGTGACAAACATATTATTAGTAATCTCAGTGATAAGCATGCGATTTATCAATTCTTTTGAGTATTGATTAGTGATTTACACGGTTACCAAACGAATGTAAGAAATAAAATTAAGAGGGCGAAAAAGAAGAGAAGCAATTGCGAAACTTTTGTGAGGGTTATATTTAGGGCTGTCAATTTGGATAACCAAAACCAAACCAAATCATTAGCATGAAAACCAAAAACCAAATTAGGCATATTCACAAAAACCAAAACCATTAAGAGGCTTATCGGTTTTTGGATAACCAAAAATCGATAAGCTCCTTAATGGTTTCGATAAATCAAAAACCAAAAACATGGTTGACTTCAAAGAAATCAGGGGTTCTTATCGAGTTTTTGGTTTTAACCGAAACCAAAACCTTTAATATGCTAAATAGTTTGAAACTGAAAAACCAAAACCATTAACCTTTTAATGTTCTGGTTTCGATTAAACCGAAAAATCAAAACCAAATTGATAGCCCTAGTTGTATTTGTTTACATGAGGATTTGTGGGACGGAAAAGTAGATGCAATATGAATATGATATTCAAGTTGGAAATAAAAATCCGATGGTTTGTTTTTTCCATTGTTTTTTAAGATGGTTACAATACTTGAAGTTTTTAATTTTTTTTTTGACAAAAGATAATCATATATTGATTTCAAAGAAGAAATAGTTACATCCTGGAATTCAGCCAGGTATGATAGTTAAAAACTCGACTCATGATCGGGTACAAAGAGAGGACTTTCCTAGCCACCAAATGGGCTACCCTATTTCTACGCCGACCTACAAATCGAACCCTCAATCCCGGATGGATGCGAAAATAGTGCATGATCTCTTCTAGAACAGCACCCACCCGATTGTCTCTGGAATCACCATGATTGATTTTATCAATGATCACCTTTGCATCACCTTCGAATTTAACACTGGTGAAATTATTTGCTAGACACCATAAGACCGCCTCCTTAAGAACAAGTAGCTCCACCGTCATCGGATCCTCCAAGGCATGAAACTGCACACCCTTAACCATAAGAACCACCCTAGTAGGGTTTAGCAGCACAATCCCTCCAGCCGAGTGCGATCCAGGCCGAATCGCCCCATCCCACATACAAACAACCCCCTCGGACCCCTCCACCCCCAAATGATCCCCCAAAGGGACCGCAGGCTGTAGACCCTTATCCACTGGGAGCTGTATCCATTCGTCATATTGCTGATGAAACTGACGCATCAAAGCTGGGAATCCAAACTGTTTACCTTCAAAGACCACCCAGTTCCGAGAACGCCATATTCGCCAAAGGACAGCAACCACCGCCATGAACAACTGGGGCTGGGACACCAAATCCATCAGCCTCTTGAGAAATAACGGGAAAGTATGCCGAGGCAACCCCTCCCCCACGTATTCCAGACTAGAATAATCCCATAGAGCCCGAGCCACCGGGCAATAAAGAAACATATGTTCCATCGTCTCCGGACTCTCCCAGCAAACCGGACGTCTAGGGGGAACAAGAACCCGTTTACCAATAAGGGCCTCAGTAGTTGGTAAGATCCGATTGAGAATCTGCCAGACAAAAACTTTCAGCTTAGGGGGAATATTCGAATCCCACAACCGAATCCAACTAGCCTTATCCATCCAACTGATCGTATCCTTCCAGCCTCCACCTCGCTTATCCAAAGCAACCGCCAAGTGGTAGGCAGATTTGACAGAAAACAGCCCATCAGATGTATCATGCCAAATAAGCTTGTCCTCTACATTCTGACAAGGAAGAGGAATTGCTTTGACAGCCCGACAAGTTGGCGGGTCAAACCACTGGCTCAATTTTTGGTCATCCCACCGCCCCTCCCCCTGACAAATGACCTCCGCTACAGGGGGATTCCCACCCGCAGGAATGATCATAGGATTATAAATCGGGGGATCAAGCTGGAGCTTCGGGATCCAGTTGGAATGGAGCAAAGAAGCAGACTGCCCATTACCAATTTGCCACCTTATGCCCTTTTCTAATAATTGACGACCAAACATGATACTCTGCCAACCCCACGAAGGTCGTGAGCGGGCCGTAGCATCCAAAAACGTCCCATTTGGGAAATACTTGCCTTTATTGACCTGAGCGAGAAGGGACTGCGGTTTGTTAAGGATGCGCCAGCCAATTTTAGCAAGGAGCGCCTGGTTGAATTGCTCAAACCGACGAAAACCCATCCCGCCATCATGTTTACTTTTGCACATATTCCGCCAGGACATCCACCGAATCCGAGGATGCCCCTCAGCATCCCCCCACCAGAACCGCGCCACATGCTTATCCAAAAGACGACATAGAGAGACATGGAGCTTGAAACAAGACATAACATGCAGAGGCAAAGCCAAGGCAATTGATTTGATCAGCGTCTCCTTAGCTGCCCAAGATAACGTCCTCTGTTTCCACCCCTGGAGGCGCTCTAACAATTTTCCCTCCAAGAACCGGAAAGTCGCCACTTTAGATCGAGCAAACAGCGTAGGTAGACCCAGATATTTATCATGGACCCCCACCGCCCCCACCCCCAGAACTGTGGCCAAGAATTCCTGGTCTTCCCGCACAATATTTTTACTGAAGCAAACCGCTGATTTAGCCAAATTCACCTTCTGGCCACTCAATTCCTCATATTCTCTCAAGATCACCATCAGATCCTCACATTCCTGAAGGGTTCCATGTAAAAATAAGTACGAATCATCCGCAAAAAACAAGTGCGAGATCCTAGGGTCCCGAGGAGCCAAGTTTTTAAATAATTTGTTTAGTTTTTAACTTTTTATCTAACTTTTTTATCTATACACATACGTGAACTTTTTGGTTGGTGTGACATATAATATTCAATACGGTAATAAAAATTTTATATGGAATGTGTCAAATCTAAATAAGGAATTTTCTAATAAGGGTGATGTCTAGGCAGGATTTGGGACCACAAGGTGTGATGGGGCTGCGATGAGGGTTTGGCGAGGTCCATGATATGGTGCAGGATCTTCTATGGACCTAATGTAGCTTTTTCACAAACCGTTTCTGTCTAAGCGTTTTTTAAGCAATTTAATAGAGTTAGATGACTAAGACAATATGTAGAATTCACTACTAAAAAAGACAGACAGTCCTGATGAGAACTTCCAGACAACCTAAATTCTCATAAGAAACATCACTTATTCTGACGAAAAATCTGGATAGTGAGCTATTTGCGTATCCAACTTTTACAAATCACATCAAAGTCTTATCAGCATAGTTAGTAAATTACGGTACGGGAAAGTTACGTAAGAAATACGTACGGGTATTATACTTGGTCTCTAAGCTAAAGTTACGTTTAATAGTACGTTAATAGTCATAAATATATAAAATTAATCATTTTAAAAATAAATAAATATATAAATAATACTAAAGTTAACAATTTAATTCATAAAATACGGATAATAAACGTGTTATACGGGTTTTATACGTGTTTAGTACCGGCTTCATCAAATGAACGGGGGAAATGAAACGGCTTGACAATAATACGGATACGGAAGTTTTAAACGGATAAAGTACGTACGGGTACATATACGTGTATTAAACTGAGTATTTACTATCAGTAATTGTGATATTTTCCGTAGGAATGCCCACTTTTGGAGTGTGTAATTCCGAACAATTACGATTATCATTGTATCTACTTTGATCCTTGCAGGAACTATTGGATATGTACCATTTGATCCAGGATAGGCCCAATACCTTGATGAATTATCAATTTATGGGAATTCAATGGATCCTTCAATCATGCACGATGGACGGTAGGAACTGATAGATGATTTATTAATTTTGACTTTGAGCAAATATTTAAAGCATCTAAAAATATTGTCACAAAGTTGTTTTACCGAGCACCAAGGCAAAAAGAAAGAAGAAGTCTTCGGCAATAACCTAATTTCATAATCTTTCAACTTTTTCATGGTGTTGCTAATCAGTAATCACATCCTCAATGAATCGTCCAATGGAGTGGTAAGAAGACCCGCCGTCTTCCACCGCCTTCCGACACTTGTCACTCATCTCTTTGACCTTAATTCTCCTCCCCTCATTCTCCGCAGCCATCAAACCCCTTATCCCTCTCTCAATCTCCTCCGCCGGCACCACCTCTCCGCTCGTCTTCCGATAGCTCATCCTGATCTCCACCGCCACCTCCAGCTCCTTCACCAACATAACCGCATTCAACTGCTGCTCCGCGTGCATCGGCCACGTGGCAACCGGAACACCGAACCAAGTACTCTCCAGAGTCGAGTTCCACCCGCAGTGGGACACGAACCCGCCCACCGATGGATGGGCCAAAATCCTTGTCTGCGGGGCCCAACCGATTACCTTCCCTAGCCCAGCTGTCCGGTCCAGGAATCCTTCGGGCAACCCTTCCTTAACGTCGTCGTATTCGGACGGGAAGAACTCCGATTTCCCCTTCTGCGGCGGCTTCCTAAGGGACCACAAAAACCGCTGCCCGCTCGCTTCCAACGCGGCTGCGATCTCCTTCACCTGTTCCTCATCGAAGCTTCCCATGCTCCCGAAGCAGAGGAACACAACCGACGACGTCGGCTGCTGGTCCAGCCAATCCACGATCTCCTTTTCGCCAGCTGTACGATCTCCCTTCATCTTGAGGTCGATGATGGGCCCCACCGTGTAGATCGGAGGTGTTTGACCAGTCGTCAGGGAAGCAACGGCGTGTGACTCGAAATCGTGGAACGTGTTTACTAAAATACCCTTGGCCAATCTCGTTCTTCTCGTGTGGCGCATGAGAGCCGGCAGCCAGTCCGGCTGCACCACCGCCGACGGGAGTTGCTTCCCCTTGAGCGGATCCCGCAAGCCCGGAACCGCCAGCTCAGCGTCCGAGTCCTTCAACTCGTCCGGGTCGAACTCGCCCCTGTCGAAGAGGGACTGGACGTGGAGCATGAAGGCGAGGCACGTGGCGCCGCACGTGTAGAAGACGTAGGACGGCGCGCCGAGCTCGTCGGCCACGTCGATGAACGAGGTGCAGAACATGTCGAGGACGAAGCCCGCGAGGCGGTACGATGACGCCGTGTTGTTGGCGGAGGCGGCGGCTTCCTTAATCTGCGGGGCGTGGCCGTCGATGAAGGAGGCGAAGGCGTCGGTGGGAGGGGTTTCCGGATCAACGGTCGTGGGCTGGAGGTCAACGAACCGGAGCCGGCCGGAGGCGGAGGGCTGGAAATCGTAATTAGATGTTTGCTGGAAAGGCATCTTCATGAGGCAGAAGGCGATGGAGAGCCTCGGGTCGCGGTTCACGAGCTGCTCCGCCAGCTCCAGCATGGGGAAAATGTGGCCGGCGCCCGGCGACGGCACGAAGACCAGCTCCGCCGCCGTTGCAAGTGTGTTTGTAGTCGCCATGGTGGTTGATTTTTGTTGTTTTGTTTACTGTGAGGGGGTTGGTGGCTACTAGTTAGCTAGCCAATTGTGGTACATATATATATATGATGAGTTAGAAAGATATTGTTTGGTCAGACTACAGCGAGAGCCGTAGCTTGGTGGACAAGGTTAAGATAGGTGACGTCATGGCTTTGCTGGCAAACATGTGGAATACGATGCACGTAGTCAGGGGTTGGATTGGATGTTCTTTTTCTGGCATCTGAACCGATTTTCAACACAATAATTGAGTTCTTCACTGAAACTGCATACAGTAGTAGTGATGATGGATGGGCCTCCGTTTTTTGTTTTTAACTGGAGACAGGAACAGTTATATTAGCTTTTAATTTCCAGTTGTTTGGTTTCTGTTTGGACATTTTCTTTTATCGAAATTTGTTAGAGATTCGGAGGGGAAAGGAGGGCTGCCCTGATATTTGAATATTATGGGATTTTCAGGCTGAAAATAGGGACACAATTAGAGCATCTCCATTGAAATTGAAATTAGAATTGTATTATGATATGACATTAATTTGCAATTGTATTGATGTAGATGATAATTGCATCTTTACAAGCTTGCATATAATGCAATTATGGAATGCAAACCACATCATCTTTTTTATTATTAAATTATTCATTAATTTTTATTATTTGAGTGTTTATGTTTTAATAAATTAAATAAATAAATTAGTTGCAATTGTATGTTAATTGCATTGATGTGGTGCAATGCAAGTAAGATGAGTTGGATTGCAAAAAAATGAAGTAACAATAAAAAAAAAAACAAATGCCATTGCACCAATGGAGATGCTCTTAGGGGTGATGGTTCGGTTTGGGTTCGGGTACCCATTTTTTGTACATAAAAAATTGAAACCACGACTTTTGTAAATCGAACTTAATATCGATAAGGGGGATTTCGGGTTTTGGTACCCGAAATCTGAAAATCGAAAAAATATGAGTTGCCAAAAGTTTACTCATTTCATGGGTCATTATCAAGTTTTGGGCTGAATGCGAAACCGACAGCCACCCTATTAAGGTAGGAAGATTGTTTGAGTCAACTTGCCTAGCTAGTAGGGTTATTGCTTTTTTGTTTCTCTTTTATCCAAGATAAGCCCCCAGGGCATGGCCGGACAACACAATTACAAGACAGACACTAACAAAGAACGGTAGTCCGTATGCAACCGGACTCCCGATAAAAGAGCATGTTTTGCCACGAGGTGGACAACTCTGTTGAAGCTCCAAGGAGCGAAGTGACACGAGACTGAGGAAAAGAAGGGAAGAAGAGAGTGAACTTCCTCTAGAATGGCTCCCACTCTTAAATGAGAAGTCTGCCTCGATGTTATATCCTTGATCACCAATTGAGAGTCTCCACAAAAAGTAACAGACAAGAAATTATGGGTGAGACACCATTTCATAGCATCACGAATAACAAGTAATTGTGATGTATAGACATCCGTAATGCCATCATAAAATTTACCAACTGCAAATGACATAAGTCCATCACCTGTACCTGAGAAGCCAACGAAGCCAGCAGAACATCCTTGAAAATTTTTTGTAGGCCCATCGAAGCGGACTAGAACACGATTATTAGGGCAAGCAGCATCTACTCTCCGTGCATGTGAACTATTGCTTCACATCAAGAAAATGGAGTAGTTGGTACTGACGAGTTGTCGTGCAATCTGTCATTGAGTCATGGACTGATGGTTTATGTATTTAGGTCTTCTTATGAAATAAAAAAAGTTGTCGGTTTTCCCCAAATATGCTAAATATCTACTTCGATCCTTTTAGAAACTATTTGATGAGTCATTTGAATTGGAGTCGGCCATATAATATCATGAATGAATTATCAAATATCAATGTACTTCAATCATGATCGAATGTAGGAATATACAAATGATGTATTAATTGTTTATTTTGAGCAAAGATTTCAAGCCTCTCAAATGGTTACAAAGTTGTTTACCGAGCACCATAGTAAAGAAACGGAAAACATCTTCAGCAATAACCAAATTTCACAGTATTGAACTTTTTAGTTTTTTGTTATGGAGTGTTACTAATCACATCCTCAATAAAGCGACCAACGGAGTGATAGGATGACCCGTCTTCTTCCACCGCCTTCCTACACTTGTCACTCATCTCCTTGACCTTAATTCTCCGCCCTTCATTCTCCGCCGCCATTAACCCTCTCATCCCTCTCTCGATCTCCTCCGCCGGCACCACCTCTCCGCTCAACTTCCGGTAGCTCATCCTGATCTCCACCGCCATCTCCAGCTCCTTCACCAACATAACCGCATTCAGCTGCTGCTCCGCCTGCATCGGCCACGTGGCAACGGGAACACCGAACCACGTGCTCTCCAGCGTCGAGTTCCACCCACAATGCGACACGAACCCACCCATCGATGGATGGGCCAGGACCCTCGTCTGTGGGGCCCAACCGATCACCTTCCCGAGCCCAGCTGTCCGGTCCATGAACCCTTCGGGCAACCCATCCTTAACGTCGTCGTAGTCGGACGGGTAGAACTCCGGTTTGCCCTTCTGCGGCGGCTTCCTAAGGGACCATAAAAACCTCTGCCCGCTGGCCTCCAACGCGGCGGCGATCTCCGTCACCTGTTCCTCATCGAGGCTTGCCAAGCTCCCGAAGCAGAGGAACACAACCGACGACTTCGGCTGCTGGTCCAGCCAATCAACGATCTCCTTTTCGCCAACTGTATCTCCCTTCTTCAGCTTGAGGTCAATGATGGGCCCCACCGTGTAGAGAGGAGGGGTTTGACCGGTCGTCAGGGAAGCAACCGCCTGGGACTCGAAATCGTGGAACGTATTGACTAAAATACCCTTGGCTTCCCTCGTCCTCCGCGTGTGGCGCATGACGGTCGGAAGCCAATCCGCCTCCACCACCACCGACGGGAGTTGCTTCCCCTGGAGCGGGTCCCGCAGACCCGGAATCGCCAGCTCGGCGTCCGAGTCCTTCAACTCGGCCGGGTCGAACTCGCCCTTGTCGAAGAGTGACTGGACGTGGAGCATGAAGCCGAGGCACGTGGCGCCGCACGTGTAGAAGACGTAGGACGGCGCGCCGAGCTCGTTGGCCACGTCGATGAAGGAGGTGCAGAACATGTCGAGGACGAACCCCGCCAGGCGGGACGACGACGCCGTTTTGGAGGCGATGTCCCTGATTTGCGGGGCGTGGCCGTCGATGAAAGAGGTGAACCGGATGCTGCGAGGGGTGTCGGGGTCAAGGGTCGTGGGCTCGAGCTCGACGAACCGGATCCTGCCGGAGGAGGACTTGAAATCGTGTGAGGTTTGCTGGAAAGGCATCTTCATGAGGCAGAAGGTGACGGCGAGCCTCGGGTCGCGGTTCACGAGCTGCTCCGCCAGCTCCAGCATCGGGAAAATGTGCCCGGCGCCCGGCGACGGCACGAAGAGCAGCTCCGCCACTTCTGTTAGCGTGTTCGATATTCTCACGGCCTCCATGATTTTCTATTTTCTGTTGTTTGGGTAATACTGTGATGACTGATGATGAGTGATGACCCAAAAGGGATTTGATATTTATCAAATTTTCAAATTTTCTTGGAGAGAGCGGTAGCTTGGTGGACAAGGTTGAACTTTGCGTCCTTTCTTCGTGGTATTGGAAATTTGTGTGCCTTTGGAATAGTCAAAAGGTGGGGTTTGAGAAGAGAATGGTGTTTAGCTCTTTTCTTTCGGAGATTTGTCGAAGTGGGCGTATTGGAATTGAGTTTTTGAGGTATGTTCTTCCATAGTTGATGACTGTTTGATGTAAGATTGGTCAACCTGATTTTATACTACTAACGAGAAATAGTAACTCAATGATGAAGCCGAAAAAGTCAGTGGAAAGTTGTACAAGAGTCTCGTCCAATTAGGGCTGTCATTTCGGTTTTCGGTTAGCGGCTAACCGGCCGGTCTAACCGGTAACCGTCGGTTAGCGGCTAACCGAAAACCGAAGGAAATTAGTCCCGGTCGGTTGGCGGAAATTGGATCTGGGCAGGCGGTTAGCCGAGTAACCGAAGCCGTCTAACCGGCAAACCGACCGAATGATACGACGTCGTTTTGGCCGGTGAGAAACGACCCCAACCCTAGACCCTCGCGTGAATCGTCGACAGCCGCCAGACCCTCCATCCCTCTCGTTTTACTTCCTCCTCATCCTCTCGTTACTGGCGAAATCCTCGGAGACCAGAGTCGCCATCGTCGGCCAGAGCACAGCCGCCAGCACGCCATCGCCGGCCGCGCCTCCAGTCGCCGCGCCAGTCTGCCGCCAACCTCCAATCATTGGTAAAGTTTCCAAAATCGCAATCCAGGCAGCCGTGGCCGACGTCAACTCCGACCCCACCGTTCTCCCCCGAACCAAGCTGCTGGCATCGTTGCACGACATCAATTTCAGCGGATTCCTCGGCATCATTGAAGGTAATTATTAATTAATGCCTATCTTAATCGATCAACCTCTGCAAAAAAAATTTCAAATCCTTTCTTAATACCCTCCTAATCCCTAATTTTAATTGCAGTACTAAGATTGATGGAGACCCAGACTGACAGCTCACGTGCTGTCGTTCATCGCCAACGAGCTCAGCGTCCCGATGCTCTCCTTCTCCGCCACCGACCTGACCAGACCCTCAACTCGCTGCAGTTCCCGTTCTTCGTCATGACCTCGCAGAGCGACCTCTACCAGATGGCCGCCGTCGCCGACATCGTGGAGCACTACGGGTGGAGGGAGGTGATCGCGATCTACGGCGACGACGACCACGGTCGGTTTTGACTGGTTAAAGGTCGATTTTTCGGTCTTGGCGGCCGGTTTTCAGTCTTGGCGGTCTGTTTGGGTCGGTCAGTGGTCGGTTTTTTGGCGGTCTTCGGTCGGTTAGGAGAGCAGACCGAACCGGCCATCTCTTTTTCGGTGGCGTCGGTTTAACCCCGCCTTAACCGAAACCGTCCGGTCGGTTTTACGGATAACCGAGGCGCAGAGTCGGTCGGTGGGCGGTGGGCAGTGGTCAGGTCTCGGTTTAACCGAAAACCGAGAAATCTGTTTTTGGTTAAACCGAAACCGACCAGTTGACAGCCCTACGTCCAATCATTCATTTACCTGACACATACCAAATCAGATATTTATTATTCAGTAAGTCTTGTATCAAGATTTATGAATGAACCTAGCAAATTTCATTTTGCAGCAGACAAACGAATTTTGTGGTATATTCAAGGTTCAAAGAAATTGGGTTTAACATACAAGAATGAAGTAGAAAGCATGTTGATCGAATTTACCGATAGTGACTTGGCATGATCACTAGATTATCAAAAAAACACATTGGGTAGTGATGGTAATGGGTCAGAGCGGGTACCTCGATACCCATGTCCCGCCCCACGCTACTACGGGGCGGGTCGACCCACTTTTATGTGCTATTTGAAAAAAATACAAGCAAGATTTTACTTTTTACAATAAAACGAAGGGGAAAAGACTTCATGAATGAATAATATTGATAATATAATGGGTAATTGAGTCTATTTAGTTGAAAGATCAATTCTAACTAGTTGAAGAAAAGTCAAAATGAAATATATATGAATGGATGGCGTAAGAAATTGATCTACAACGTGCCAAGAACGGGGCGGGGCATAGCGGGTCGAAAGTTAATACCCATGCCCCGCCCCACGCTACTGCGGGTAGGGTAATACCTGGCGAGGCAGGTTCAAATTGGCATCCCTAACATTAGGGTACATATTCTGTCTGCGTTCAAAACACATTTCCTAGAGTTCAAAGAAGCAGAAGACTGGTGTTTTATCGTCAGCGAAAGCATAATATATCACAGCTACGGATGCAACATGCGAAGCGGTTGGATAATGGTTTCTTTAGTTTTTCTTCATTACAAGCTCTTTTATGTCATTCTAGTAATACTAATGTTCGTCCTCCTAAAGTATTTGGTATTTCATCTTTTGACAAATATTCATTAAAGATAGCTTCGACTTTTCGGAAACTATTGGTGGCAAGTTAACATAGAGTAATTTATCAAAGTCTTTTCTTATTGATGGATTACCCTGATAATAGTGTGTTCTGAATTCACAAATAAATGATTCTAAGAAACCCATGTTACAGATTCTAAGATTATTTAAATGTCAAATAATTTGTTATAGGAAAAAGCATAAGTTATTATGGTTGTATTTGATGTATCTTCCTGGGGATGTCTCCATAAGAATTCATAATTTATTATATTTAGGCAAAATACACTTCCATAGCCATAACTTTACAGTTTGTGACAAATGTAGCCAAGTTTTGAAAAATACACAGGAATAGCCACAAATTTGAAACTACCTTGACAATTATAGCCATTTATGTTAAAAATATTGACGGTGTTAGAGATGCCGTTAACGTCTGGCAACAACAAGCTGAGATGGCGCCTCGTCAGCTTCCACGTCAACTCTTAATCGACCTGTCACGCCACATGTCATGCCATGTCAAATTAAAAATATTATTTATTACATTTTTTTTTTGAAAATAATTAATATTTTCCTGAATTGCGGATTCTTCCTTCAACCAACCGCCAAATCTTTCTTCTCTGATGCATCGTCGAACCCCTTCATCGTGATTGTTCATCGACAACCTAGATTGTGGATTCCAAATCTCAATCCATAACCAAGATTGTAGACGAGGCAACAACGTCAGCCGTCGAACCCATTCCCATTTCCCTCTCTTTAATTTCTGGGAACCCAAAACAAGAATCATTCATTCCCTCTTCTTCTTTTCCCCAGTTCCTCTTGCCACCTTTATTGTTCTCCACCATTGAAGAAGAACAACCAAGAGCTCAATCGACGACAAAACCCATTGATTCCACAAAATCAAAAGCGACCCATTTCATCAATCGATTCTTTAGAGTTCGCAACCCAGAAACCCCAAAATAAGATTTGGTATGGGTGAAGAGATCCAGTATAGATCCATCTCTCTACTTCTCCACCGTCTCTCTCCCCCTCTGTAGATCTGCCAGGAATTTGTTGACACCACCATGGCGATCGAGGTGGCGACTGAGCTCCAGTAGTTTCCACCGGTAGCAGCTTCCACCTAGCAGAGATTAGAGGCCGCTTCCCACCAAACTTCTTGCGAAGACGGTGAAGAAGAGCCGGGCAAGAACAACGACGACGTGGGCGCTAAAAAAACTAGGGTTCATAGATTGTGGATTTCAAAATCCACCACCGGAAATCCTTTCGAACGTCGCCCGTCGTCGTTGGTTGGCACCGTCTCGTTCCTATTCTCGCCAGCTGTGAAATGATGTTCATCGTCCGGCTTGTGCTGAGAATTAGAACTTCTCGCATACTGGGTTGTGTTCGTTACTGTCCACAATGGTGGTAGGAGATCGTCGGGAATTATGGGTTTTATTGACAAGGAAATGGAGAATGGAAGGGCTTTGCGGTTTTGAGACAGAGGGATAGACGGTTGTTAGCTCCGTCCCAACTGCAAAACCAAAGCAATCCTCTCGTCGGAGGTAGAAAAAGCTCGATTCCTGGTTTGGATCTAGGAGGCAGTAAGGGGATTAAGAAAAATGGGAAGGGCAGATAGAGAATAGGAAAGAACATAATAATTTGGTAAAGTGGGGTATTTTTATTAATAAATATAATTAAATTTATTTTCCACCCTGGCATGCCACGTAGACCAAATTAGTTGCATCGTTTCTCCAGTCAGAAGTCATTATAGTTTCGTTACATTAATGGACGGAATGGCTATTTCATTGTATTTTTCAAAACTTGGCTATATTTGTCACAAAGTGTAAAGTTATGGCTATAGAAGTGTATTTTGCCTTATATTTAATACTTTTTCAAATGTATGATATGTATCAGTAGCATTTGTTCCATATAAGTTTGTCTTTGATGGAATATTCATGTTGTTGAGATAATGATAAGTTGCTCCATTTGTTTTGTATATTAAAAAATTAAACATTTCGCTAGGTTACAGTTTCTTGAGATCTTCATTTGTTTGTATCAATAATCTTGTTTGATTTTTTCAGTCTACTAATTGTTTGAGTGGATTAACAATCATGATCTAAAATATCAGGATTGTTAAAACTAGTGGTGAATATTTTGATATGTAAGATTGAGGTATTTTACTCAATCCTCCCTCTTTACGAGGTCTATATAAATTTTTATATAAGTATTCATAAAAAAACAGTTGAGCATCTTTGTAGTCGTTAAAATCACATTTTCGTGAGGTTTCACGTTGATCCTCAGTCTCAGTTTTTGTATAATTTGTATATGGTTTTCGTCTCTACAATAGTCAAGGGCGATTTTATCATTTTTTTTATGTTTTCATGCATATTTGGTTCTGATTCAATTGTAATTGCGTCTAGAAAATCATTTAATTTGTTCATTTGTTCATCAATGTTTGTCATAGAAGTTAGTAGGGTGCTACGATTTCTAACGGACTAGATCTTTCTGATTTATAGTTCCTCAGATGTTTTTTCTTATCTTTAATTATAATACATATGTTATTATCTAATTTGATTATGATTTCTTGAAGTTTGACTATTATTTATTCAAGATCTTAAATTGATAATATTTTTACTAGCTATTCAATTAATTTTATGCTTAGAAGTATTCTATTTGAATTAATATTGTTATGGATTTTACTAGAAGTTTTGGATACCAAAAGATAATTAAAAGTACGCCCCTTTTGACAACTTAAGTGGTACTCGAGAACCTAGTCTCCAGCGATGATGAAGTCAATTAATCATCGAGTTGACCAAAAAATTTCCGGGGGCATTTTAGTAATTTTTTGGACACTTTTTCGGAAGGACATTTTCTTTGGATTTTGAATGCTACGAATCAAGGATTCGGTGTGAGGCTATCTTTTACCGATGATTAAGTCTATTAAGCACCAATTTGGGTGTATTTGTTCTGTGTCAATTTTTGGCAGATTCCAAAGTGGTACCATCATAGATTTTGCGCAATTTTTTGGAATGGCCGTTTTCGTTGGATTTTGGAGGCTGGAGATCGCGGATTCGGCCTGAGGCTTCCAGTGATGATGAAGTCAATTAATCACTGATTTTGGCGAAATATTTCGTGGAGCATTTTCGTAATTTTCCGCACGCTTTTTCGGGAAGCCAATTTTTCTTGGATTTTGAAGGCTACGGATCAACAATTCGACGTGATGCTATCCTTCACCGATGATTAAGTCCATTAAGCACCAATTTGTGCATATTTGTTTGGGTCAATTTTTTGCAGATTCCAAAGGGGTATCACCACTGATTTCGTGCGATTTTTTGGAATAGCCGTTTTTGTTGGATTATGGAGGCTACAGTTCGCGGATTCGGTCTGAGGCGACCTGGGGCTAGTCTCCAGCGATGATGAAGTCAATTAATTGCTATTTGGGCGAAATTTTCTCGGTGGGCATTTTCGTAACTTTCCAGGCGCTTTTTCGGAAGGCCATTTTCCTTGGATTTTGCCGGCTACGGATCAAGGATTCGGTTTGAGGCTATCCTTCACCGATGATTAAGTCCATCAAGCACCAATTAGAGCGTATTTGTTCCGGGTCAATTTTAGGCAAATTCCAAAGGGGTACGTACCATCACAGATTTCAGGCGATTTTTTGGAATGGTCGTTTTTGTTGGATTTTGGAGGCTACAGATCGCGGATTCGGCCTGAGGCGACCTGGGGCTAGTATCCAGCGATGATGATGTCAATTAATCCCCGATTTTGACAAAATTTCCCATTGGGCATTTTCGTAATTTTCCTCGCGCTTTTTTCAGAATGCCATTTTCCTTGAATTTTGAAGGCTACGGATCAAGGATTTGGCGTGAGACTATCCTTCACCGATGATTAAGTCTATTAAGCAACAATTTGGGCGGATTTGTTCCGGATCCATTTTTGGCATATTCCAAAGGGGGATTTTTTAGAATGACAATTTTCGTTGGATTTTGGAGGCTACAGATCGCGGATTCGGCCTGAGGTGACCTGGGGCTAGTCTCCAGCAATGATGAAGTCAATCAATTGCCGATTTGGACAGAATTCCCCGTAGGCATTTTCATATTTTCCCGACGCTTTTTTTCGGTAGGTCATTTTCCTTGGTTTTTACAGGCTACAGATCAAGGATTCGGTGTGAGGGTATCCTTCACCGATGATTAAGTTTATTAAGCAACAATTTCGGCGAATTTGTTCCGGCTCAATTTTTGGCAGATTCCAAAAGGGTACCATCTCATATTTCAGTCGATTTTTAGGAAAGGCCGTTTTCGTTGGATTTTTTGGGCTACAGATTGCCGATTCTGCCTCAGGGTAGTCTCCACCGATGATGAAGTCAATTCCTCGCCGATTTGGGCGAAATTTTCCTGGGGGTATTTTCTTAATTGTATGCGCGTTTTTTGCGAAATGCCAGTTTCCTTAGATTTTGAAGGCTACGGATCAAGGATTCGAAGTGAAACTATCCTTCACCGATGATTAAGTCTATTAAGCAACAATTTGGGTGGATTTGTTCCTGATCAATTTTTGGAATATTCCAAATGGTTACCATGACAAATTTCGGGCGATTTTTTGGAATTGTCGTTTTTGTTGGATTTTGGAGGCTACAGATCGCGGATTCTGCCCGAGGCGACCTGGGGCTAGTCTCCAGCGACGATGAAGTCAATTAATCATCGATTTGGGCTAATTTTTTCTGGAGGCATTTTCATAATTTTCCTCGCGTTTTTTTACGAAAGGCCATTTTCCTTGGATTTTGAAAGTTACGGATCAAGGATTCGGCGTGCGGGTATCCTTCACCGATGATTAAGTCTATTAAGCAACGATTTTGGCAGATTTAGTCCGGGTCAATTTTTGGCAGATTCCAAAGGGGTACCATCACAGATTTCAGTCGATTTTTTGATAAAGCCGTTTTCGTTGGATTTTGGAGGCAACAGATCGCCGATTCTGCCTGAGGCGACCTGGGGCTAGTCTCCAGCGATGATGAAGTCAATTAATCACCGATTTGGGCAAAAAAATTTCGAGGGCCATTTTCATTAAATTCCGTGCGCTTTTTCCGGAAGGCCATTTTACTTGGATTTTGAAGGTTACGGATCAAGGATTCGGTGTGAGGCTATCCTTCACCGATGATTAAGTCTATTAAGCACCAATTTGGGCGTATTTGTTTCGGGTTAATTTTTGGCAGATTTCAAAAGGTTACCATCACAAATTTCTGGCGATTTTTTTGAATGGTCGTTTTCATTGGATTTTGGAGTCTACAGATCGCGGATTCGGCAAGGGGCGACCTGGGGCTATTCCCCAGCGATGATGAAGTCAATTAATCGCCAATTTTGGCGAAATTTTTCTAGGGGGGCATTTTCATTATTTTCCTCGCGTTTTTTTCGAAATGCCATTTTCCTTGGATTGTGAAGGCTACGGATTGAGAATTCGGTGTGAGGCTATCTTTCACCGATGATTAAATCTATTAAGCAACAATTTGGGCGGGTTTGTTCCCTATTAATTTTTGTCAGATTCCAAAGAGGTACCATCACATATTTCCGACAATTTTTTTGGAATGGCCGTTTTTGTAGGATTTTGGAGGCTAAAGATCGCCGATTCGGCCTGAGGCGACCTGGGGCTAGTCTCCAGAGATGATGAAGTCAATTACTCACCGATTTAGGCGAATTTTTCTTGGGGAATTTTCGTAATTTTCTGCGCTTTTTTGCAAAATGACATTTTCCTTGGATTTTGAAGGTTACGGATCAAGGATTCGACGTGAGAGTATCCTTCACTGATGATTAAGTCTATTGATCAACAATTTGGGCGGATTTGTTCCGGGTCAATTTTTGGGATATTCCAAAGGGGTCCCATTACAAATTTCAAGCAATTTTTTAGGAATGTCGTTTTCGTTGGATTTTGGAGGCTACAGATCGCGTATTCGGTCTAAGGCGACCTGGGGCTAGTCTCCAACGATGATGAAGTCAATTAATTGCCGATTTGGGCGAAATTTTTCCGAGGGGCATTTTTGTAAATTTTTGCATGCTTTTTTTGGAAGGCCATTTTCCTTGGCTTTTGAAGACTACGTATCAAGGATTCGGCGTGAGGCTATTCTTCACTGATGATTAATTCTATTAAGCAGCGGTTTGAACGTATTTGTTCCGTGTCAATTTTTTGGTAGATTGCAAAGGGTTACCATCACAAATTTCGAGCGATTTTTTGAAATAGTTGTTTTTCGTTGGACTTTGGAGGCTACAAATCGCGGATTAGGCCCGAGGTGACATGGGCCTATTCTCCAGCGATGATGAAATCAATTAATCGCCGATTTGGGCGAAATTTTTCTAGGTGGGCATTTTCATTATTTTCCTCGCGTTTTTTTTTCGAAATGCCATTTTTCTTTGATTTTGAAGCCTACTGATCGAGGATTCGGTGTGAGCTATCTTTCATCGATGATTAAGTCTATTAAGCAACAATTTGGACGGATTTGTTCCGTTTCAATTTTTGTCAGATTCCAAAGGGGTACCATCACAGATTTCAAGTGATTTTTTGGAATGTCGTTTCCGTAGGATTTTGGAGTCCACAGATCGCCGATTCGGTCTGAGGCGACCTGGGGCTATTCTCCAGCGATGATGAAGTCAATTAATCGTCGATTCGGGCGAAATTTTTTCGAGGGGTATTTTCATAATTTTCCAGGCGCTTTTTTCGGAAGGTCATTTTCCTTGGATTATGAAGGCTACGTATCAAGGATTCGGAGTGAGGTTATCCTTCACCAATGATTAAGTCTATTAAGCACCAATTTTGGTGTATTTGTTCCGGGTCAATTTTTGGCAGATTCCAAATGGTTACCATCACAATTTCGAGCGATTTTTTGAAATTGTCGTTTTCTTTGGATTTTGGAGGCTACAGATCACGGATTTTGCCCTAGGCGACCTGGGATTAGTCTCCAACGATGATGAAATCAATTAATTGCCGATTTGGACGAATTTTTTATGGGAGGGCATTTTCATAATTTTCCTCTCGTTTTTTATGAAAGGCCATTTTCCTTGGATTTTGAAGGCTACTAATCAAGGATTCGGAATGAGACTATCCTTCACCGATGATTAAGTCTATTAAGCAACAATTTGGGCGGATTTGTTCCAGTTCAATTTTTGGCATATTCCAAAGGGGGTACCATCATAGTTTTCAAGTGATTTTTTAGATATGCCCGTTTTCATTGGATTTTGGAGGCTACAAATCGCAGATTCGGCCCGAGGCGACCTGGGGCTAGTCTCCAGCGATGATGAAGTCAATTAATCGCCGATTTGGGCAAATATTTTTCGAGGGGCATTTTCATAATTTTCCACGCGCTTTTTTCGGAAAGCGATTTTCCTTGGATTTTGAAGGCTATGGATCAAGGATTCGGCGTGAGGCTATCCTTCACCGATGATTAATTCTATTAAGCAGCGATTTGGACGTATTTGTAACGGGTCAGTTTTTGGCAGATTTCAAAGTGTTACCATCACAAATTTCAAGCGATTTTTTGGAATGGTCGTTTTCGTTGGATTTTGTAGGCTACAGATCGCGGATTCGGCATGAAGCGACCTGGGGCTAGTCTCTAGCGATGATGAAGTCAGTTAATCGCTGATTTGGGCGAAATATTTCTTGGTGGTCATGTTCAATATTTTCCTCGCGTTTTTTTTTTTTTGAAATGCCATTTTCCTTGGATTTTGAAGGCTATGGATCGAGGATTCGGCGTGAGGCTATCTTTCACCGATGATTAAGTCTATTAAGCAACAATTTGGGCAGATTTGTTCCCTTTCAATTTTTGTCAGATTCCAAAGGAGTATCATCACATATTTCAGGCGATTTTTTGGAATGGCCGTTTTCATTGGATTATGGAAGTTACAGATCGCGGATTCGGCCCAAGGCGACCTGGGGCTAGTCTCTAGCTATGATGAAGTCAATTAATCGCCGATTTGTGCGAAATTTTTCTGGGGGGAATTTTCAATATTTTCTTCGCGTTTTTTTCGAGATGTCATTTTCCTTGGATTTTGAAGGCTACGGATCCAGGATTCGGCGTGAGGCTATCATTCACCGATGATTAAGTCTATTAAGCAACAATTTGGGCGGATTTGTTCTGGGTCAATTTTTGGCACATTCCAAAGAGGCACCATCTCAGATTTCAGGCGATTTTTTTGAATGACCGTTTTCATTGGATTTTGGAGGCTACAAATCGCCGATTCCACCTGAGGCAACCCGGGGCTAGTCTCTAGCGATGATGAAGTCGATTAATCGCCAATTTGGGAGAAATTCTTCCACAGAGCATTTTCGTAATTTTTAGAGCGCTTTTTTCAGAAGACAATTTTTCTTTGGATTTTGAAGACTACGAATCAAGAATTCGACGTAAGGTAATCCTTCACCGATAATTAAGTCTATTAAGCACCAATTATGGTGTATTTGTTCCTGATCTCAATTCTCCTAGTTTGCTTTCACCGGCAGGGAAACACAAGCCGATGAACAAGAAAAGGAAGGCCGTGAAAGAAAGGCGCCGTGACAGGTTGAGCCGTCTTCCAGAACCCATCATCCATCACATCTTTTCCTTCCTCGCCACGAGATCCGCCGTTCAAACCTCGGTGTTGTTACGATCATGGAGGTCCGCCTGGAAACACGTCCCTGTTCTGGACTTCAGCCAGCACTCCTTCCAGCGTTACTCGAGCTTCCACCGGTACGTGGGGAATGTTCTGTCCCTTCGCTATCCCCTCAATCTGCGCAAGGTGAAGTTTGCAGACGGTGAGCGGAGGTCCGATGGCAGGGACGATTCTCTGGTGATTAGGGTAATCCAATACGCCTTGTCCCACGCTGCTCGGCATCTGGTGATTGACAATGCAGATGACGTTATATCCCCTGACATTTACAGGTTCTCAGATTTGTTTGGCTCGACCACCTCCTCCTCGAATTGCAATCTCGAAACCCTAGAATTGGAAGGTTTTGAGATTGATAGCGGGTTTGGGTCTCCTGGGTTTCGGATGCTGACTAGTTTAGATTTGTGGACTTGTCTGGTGGCTTGCGGTGAAGAAGAGGTTCTTGAACCTTTCTCTAACTTTCCTTGTCTCAAGCATTTGAGCCTCCGTGATTTGCTCGGCGATTTCCTCTTCCCTGAGATTAATGATCATCCCGGTCATATGAAAATATATGGACTCGAGTTGGTTAGTCTGAAACTGCACACTGTGAAGTTTTACCGCATCGAAATAGATGCCCCGAAGCTCGAATTCTTCGGTATCTGGGATGACGTTGAATGGTTGTATTACTCCAATTTGATCCTTCCTTCTCTTGATCATGTCGATATCGGTCTCCATGGGAAATTGCGTTTCGACGAGGAGGACAAGGAATGTGTAGCGCTGTAGTTGATCAACCTGTTCCGTGGTTTGCAGAACGCGAAATCTCTGAAGCTGTATAGTGACACCACCATTCCGGTAACAACCCTTGTGACTGCTTCTTGCATACATAAAAATGATGATATGTTTCCTTTCTCCAGATACCATTTTTCAAAGTTTTGTTCTTTCTGTAGGTGCTGAGTACGTTTAGTGGGATTTTGGGAAATGAGCAGTCTCCTTTCTTGAGATTGGAGTCTTTGATTCTGGATTCTAGGATTGAGATTGTGCCTTACAAACTCATCAATTATTTTGTCAAAGGATCTTCCTGTGCAAGTCCGACTATTCGTTATATATCTACTCCTAGCTAGCTAGCTAGCTAGTAGTTTGACCACTTCTGCAAAGTTTCTGATGATGATGATATATAATGCTGTGGGTTGCTGGTTTTCTTCCATTAAGATCATTTAGGAACAAAGTTGTACCTATTGGTTCTCATTGCCTAAACTTGTTTTTGCAGTAGTTCGTTAGGTCGAAGCCATTAGTTAGACAGTTAGACTTGGTTCTTCCTGGGTTGGAAGCCATTAGTTCATATAGCAAGTCTGAGCAGAGCAATTTCTACAGTGTAACAAGGACGTTTACTGTTCTTTCAGGATTCGAAACAAATTCAGATGTTCATGTTGTTACTGAATCATGGAAAGTCGATCCAGATATAACTGCTTCTCTGTGCATTCTGGGGACTGTTTGCACAAGTTCCTGCCTCTTAACAGTCGGAATACAATCAAGAAATGTTATCGATGACATCTTGAATAAAGCGACTCATAGAAGAGCAAGACGAGCCACCTTCCATCAACGCCTTTTTGCTCATCTCACTAACCTCCTTCACCGTCTTGCTCTTCCTCCCCTCGTCATTCTCCGCCGCCATCAACCGCCGTATCCCTCCCTCGATCTCCTCCGCCGTCACCACCGTCCCACCGTCCCACCGGTAATCCATCTTGATCTCTTCCGCCAACCCCAGCTCCTCCACCAATTGAAACGCATTCAGCTGCTGCTCCGCGTACATCGGCCAAGCCCCCACCGGCACGCCGAACCATATGCTCTCCAGCACCGAGTTCCACCCGCAGTGCGACACGAACCCTCCCACCGCCTCGTGGCGCAGCACCGCCGTCTGTGGGGCCCACCCGATCACTTTCCCAATTCCACTCACCCGGTCCAAAAACCCGGCCGGCAGCGGTGCCTCATCGAAATCCTCGTACTCACTCGGCGGTCCAACCTTCCCTGCTTCCGGCGACCGCCGGAGTGACCACAGGAACCTCTGACCACATCGCTCCAGCGCCACCGCGATCTCCGTCACCTGTTCCTTCCCGAAGCTCCCCATGCTGCCGAAGCAGAGGAACACCACTGACGCCGCCGGTTGATCGTCGAGCCACTCCATCACCTCCTCGTTACCCTGAACCGCCTTCAGATTCAAAATTGGTCCCACCGGATAAACCGGAGGGATGATCCCGCCGGTGGAGAGGAAGTCGATTGCGTGAGGTTCCAGCTCGAGGAACGAATTTACGGCGATTCCCCTGACTTCTCGTAACCTCCGGGTGTTGTCGATGAGCAGGGGAAGCCACTCCTTCTCGACGACGGCGGAAGGCAGACATTTACAGGGGAGCGGCTTCTTCAAACTCGGAATCTCCATCTCGAATCCGTTATCCTTAAGCTCGGCCAAGTCTCCGAGCTTTCCCTCGTCGTAGAGCGCCTGCAAGTGAAGCATGAACCCGAGGAAATTCGCCCCCGATGTGTAGAAAACGTAGCAAGGAACGCCGAGCTCGCCGGCCACGTCGATCATCCTCGTGCAGAACATGTCGATTACGAAACCGGCGAGTCTGGGCGAGTCGTCGCTCGACTCGGTCCGACGTCGGATGATGTCGGAGGCGATTTTTTTGATGGAGGCAGAGGAGGCTTCGAGAATGGAAGGCAGGGTTTCGCTGGGATTGGTGTTTGGAGGGAGTTTCACGATGGGGAGATCGATCAATCGGATTCGGGAGGCGACGGAGGAGTCGTCGGCGGTGGGATCGATGGCGGCTTTGAATCCGGCGGTGAGCATCGTGGTGACGCAGATGGTGACCGAGAGTCGTTGGTCGTGGGTGACGAGTTGCTTCGCTAGCTCCACGGCGGAGAAGAGGTGGCCGGCGGCTGGCGCGGGGACGAAGACGAGCTCGGCCGTCGTTGTGGTCTTCATGGTGTATGGATTATGATTGTGATTAACTGATAATCTTTTTATATATATGCTTAATCATGTAATTAAGGGAGAGGAGAGTGACAGAGGTAGCTTGGAGGACAAGGCTGAGATAGATTTCGTCATGGCTTTGCTGGCCGGCCATGTTTTGGCTCCTTATAACTAGTCGTGTTGAGCTAATTAATATAATCATATACGACCATAAAGGTCCAAGAGGGTATGATCAGTAATTAGAAAAAGATCTTTGATCAATAAATCAATTGTTATGGTAAATTTTTTATAATCAACTTATAGACAAATGGAAAATTTAAAAGTTCAATCATTCATATCAAAGAATCATATATGTTATCATATTATAATTTTGATATAGATGGTGACTTGTGACCATGGTTGTCATGCCAGTGGTATGCCGGCCGGTTAGATCAGGTTCAACCGGTACCGGTCATGAAACCGGCTGGAATACCACCGGTATGATGCCTTGGTCAATACCGGGAATTCCGGATGGTTCAACCGGAAATTTAACTTCCGGAAACAAACTAATGCGGCGTCATTTTTTTATGGTTAGAGAGTCCGATCTTTCAGCCTTCCATTCCATCTCTGTATTTCTCCTCCTACGAACCCTAAAGGCTAAAGTGCAGAGAGTTTGGCGGCACAGCAAGCTCGACGACGGCGAGGCAGGGCCGCGGGGCTCGGTAGCTGCGAATCTAGGCAGTGAGGCTCGACGACGGCAAGGATGGGCAGTGAGGCTCGGAGGGCGTGACGACCCGTACGTCGCGGGGACTCGGTGTTCGTGGCTACATGCCGCACTTAGCAGTTAAGATTGGATTGATTGTCGGTTTTACTGTGAAGAAACGACAGCAATAAATAATTGGGGATTGGGTTTAATGGAGAGTTTAATTGGGATTGAGAATGAGAAGGATGGGGGTGTTCCTTGGAATGCATCCCAATCTGTCGGTCTCCGTGATTTTGTTCAGGACTTAGGGCTCCATGACCCTGGTTACCAAGGGGACCTTTTTACCTGGACCAATAAACGAATGGGCCCCGATTGCATTCGTGCGCGATTAGACAGAGCATTGTGCTCGCAAGACTGGATTAACATGTTCCCTGATACTGTTCTTAAGCATTTTACGGATCAGGGATCAGATCATCGAGCTTTACTCCTTTCTGACAAGACCTATGCCAGAACTAGTCGTCCCCTGTTCCGCTTTGATGCTCGGTAGGCGGAGAATCCGGAGGTTAGGGCAATGGTTCAGTATGTCTGGCAGGAGGAGGTTCAGGGTACACCCATGTTTCGGCTCTGGGAACGCCTCAAGAAGCTTCAACATCTGCTCTATGGCTGGAGTCGAGCTGGTACGACGAATTCTTGGCGGAACATCAAAACCCTCCAAGCTGAAATTGATCGAATCAGATCGATTCTCCCAATTGACTGGGAGGAGATTAAGCGTTTGGAGATGGAATTGAGTAGACAATGGGAAGCGGAGGAGGTGTATTGGCAGCAGAAGTCCCGAGTAACGTGGTTGAAGAAAGGGGATAAAAATACCTCGTACTTCCATACGGTCACGAGGGTTCATCGTAAGAGAAATTTTGTGGCAGGCCTACGGAATGATGAGGGGGAATGGGTTACAGGAAGAGAGTGGTAAGGCTGCTCTTGCAGACAGTTTCTATCGGACACTCTTCACCTCGGAAAACCAGATTCCTAATATGTCTGAGAGGGTGGCTACTTTGCCTATACCTCGTAGCGTAACCCCCGAAATGAATGCTCTGTTAACTGCGGAAGTCTTCCCTGCGGAGGTCCGTAGCACAGTCTTCTCGATGGGATCAAAACAGGCTCCCGGTTCAGATGGGTTTACGGGAAAATTCTTCAAAGCGTTTTGGGACATTGTGGGCAATTCTGTTACTGAGGCCGTCTGCTCATTCTTTGCGACAAGTCGGTTGCTCCGCAGCTTTAACCATACTTGGCTCGCTCTAATTCCTAAGGTGGATAATGTGGAGACTATGCGCCAACTTCGTCCGATTAGTTTGTGCCAGTTTGTCTATAAAATTATAACTAAAATAATGGCGGGGAGGCTGGCTATTCTGTTACCTCAGGTCATCTCGGAAGGTCAGAATGCCTTCATCCGGGAAAGACAGATCATTGATAATGTCCTTCTCGGGCATGAGTTGATGCACTTTTTAAAAATCAAAACTCGCGGTAAGAAAGGTTACATGGCTCTTAAGGTTGACATGGAAAAGGCCTATGATAGGGTAGAATGGGCCTTTCTCCTGGAAGTTTTGGATAAAATGGGCTTCAACTCTGTTTGGAGAGGTTGGATACAGGAATGCCTCAGATCAGCGTCGTTCTCCATCATGATGAATGGGAATCCCTCGGGTTTCTTCTCTCCTTCTAGAGGCTTACGCCAAGGGGACCCACTGTCTCCTCTGTTGTTTGTTATCTGTACGGAGGGATTTGCGGCTTTACTTCGCCAAGTTATTTCTGAGAAAAGACTCGAGGGCGTGAAGGTGGCTCCTCGCGCTCCTAGAATTTCCCATTTGTTCTTCGCGGACGACTCCTATTTATTTCTTCGAGGCACTCTTCAGGAGTGTGAAAATCTCATTGAGGTCTTGAATGAATATGAGGAACTGAGTGGTCAGAGGATCAATTTGGGAAAGTCAGCCGTTTGTTTTAGTAAGAACGTTACTCTCCCAGACCAGGAGTTTCTGGCCCAGATTTTGGGGTTGGGGCGGTTGGCGTGCATGATAAATATTTGGGGCTGCCTACCCTCATTGCTCGCTCAAAGATGGCAACATTCCGCTACTTAGAGGAGAAATTGTTGGAACGCCTTCAGGGATGGAAGCAACGTACGCTTTCCTGGGCTGCAAAAGAGACTTTGATTAAATCAATAGCTTTGGCTTTGCCACTGCATGTCATGTCTTGCTTCCGACTCCCGTTGTCTCTGTGTCGTCTCCTTGACCGGCATGTGGCTCGCTTCTGGTGGGGAGTAGAGGAGGGACACTCCAGGATTCGGTGGGTTTCATGGCGCAACATGTGTCGGAGTAAACATGAGGGAGGAATGGGATTTCGCCGTTTTGAACAGTTTAACCAGGTCCTCTTGGCAAAAATTGGTTGGCGTATTCTCTCGGAACCTGACTCCTTGTTAGCCAAAGTTTATAAAGGGAAATATTTTCCAAATGGTACTTTCCTGTCGGCTACGGCTAGATCCCGTCCGTCTTGGGGATGGCAAGGTGTCCTTTATGGTCGACAGCTGCTTGAGAGAGGGCTGAGATGGCAGATTGGAAATGGGCGTACGGCGTCTCTCCTGCATTCTAATTGGATCCCTCAGGTGCATCCCTGGCCGGTGCAGTATAATCCCCGGGTTCTGCCTGATGGGGGGAATCCTACTGTTTCGAAAGTAATCAGCCTTGACGGCGGTTGTTGGGCGGAGGATAAGCTGGGCCAGTGGTTTGAGCCAGTTATGTGTAATGCAATCAAAGCCATTCCTTTGCCTCGGCAGAATCTAGAGGATAAGTTGATTTGGCATGCCACGGCTGATGGGGTTTTTTCAGTAAAATCAGCCTATCATTTAGCGGTATCTTTGGAGAGAGGTAATGGTCGATGGAGCCAGTTGGCTTCTTGGATGGATAAGCCAACTTGGATCCGTTTGTGGGAGGCTAATATCCCGCCTAAGTTGAAGGTTTTCTGCTGGCAAATTTTTAATAGAGTCCTTCCAACCACGGAAGCTCTACGTGAGAGAGGGGTTGAGGTACTTCCCCGGTGTCCGGTCTGCTGGGCGGAATCTGAAACTATGGAGCACTTGTTCCTGGACTGTCCCGTGGCGCGTGCGCTTTGGGATCTGTCGGGCTTAGAACATCTTGGTTAAGGTTTGCCACGTCACACTTTCCCGCTCTTTCTCAAAAGGTTGATGAATATAGTGCACCAGTCTCCTCTATTGATGAAAGTGGTGGCTATCCTGTGGAGGATTTGGCGATCTAGGAACTGGGTTGTCTTTGAAGGCAAACAGTATGGGATCCCGGCCTTGATGCGGCAATTTCATCAGTAATTTGAAGAATGGGATAGCCTGCCCGTTGTTAGCCTCCCGAACCCTTGCGCTCCTGTGGTGGGGCACCAGTCGTCTGGTGTCAATTTATGCGCTTCTTGTAGGTGGGATGGGGCGACGAGAGCTGGGTCTCATTCAACAGGAGGTATGGTGATTGTGGATGATAAAGGGGAGACAGTGTGGGCCGCAGGGATTCAGTTTCCGCACATTGATTCGCCTCCAGTTGTGGAGCTGTTAGCATTACGGGAAGCCATTTGTGGGCTCTGCGTCTGGGATTTTCTGCGATGCAATTTGAGGGCGCCGCCAAGGTCATTATTGACAAAATCAACCGCGCAGACGCGAGTGATAGCCAGATGGGAGTAATTCTTCAAGAATTTATAAATCTTTTAGCTGTCCATTCTGGGTTTTGTATACGGTTTGTAGGTCGGTGTAACAATAGGATAGCCCATTTGGTGGCTAGGAAAGCCCTGTCCTTGTACCCGGCTACGTGCCGTTCTTTTGATTTTCAGGCCTGGCTGTCTTCCAGGATGTAACTATAGATTTGTTCAATCTAATGGATTATCTTTTGTAAAAAAAAACAAAAGAGAGTTTAATTGGGATGATTCGGTGGAGTTGATTTTCTTTCCATTGCTTACATTGTGGTTGATTTGGAGTAGAACTACTATTCTTCTCCTTCTCTGTTTCAATGGAGAAACCTTCCCCTATTTTGTCTACCCATGAAACCCAATTTGATTCCCACCACCAGACTACTACTACTATCCTTCTACCACATGCCACATATTAATCACTCAAATGAGTCAACTATACCGGTCACGGAAGGAAGAAAGGTCTTGAATATGTCCTCATCACTTAGTACAAAGAGAAGTTTTCCCGATTTATTTATGAATTTTTCTCATTTCTTATCATATTTGTGTTAAACAGGCGTAAACCGGTATGTATACCGGTTGTATTACGGTTGTACCATTTCACTTGTGAAACCGACGCACCGGCCTAAACCGGTTTGACAACCTTGCTTGTGACCCAAACAACTCAATAAGCAATTAGAAAGACATGAAAAAAATGAAGAAGTTGTTGTATCATAATAATCATTGCGCGGTTAGAAAAATGACATACAAACATCTTACTCTTTTTTTGCAGTGTGTAATGAAAAATTCTCAATAAATATCTCAAATTTTGTTGCTCTTTTCGTAAAAATCACAAGACTCATTTTGAAACGAGCCGAAATCAAATATAAATCCGAATCAAATTCAAGTTAACCAGGTTAGCAACCGCAATGAGATAGAAAGAAAGAGGGAAAGAGGAGAGAACAATACAAGTCCCAACATAAAACAACATTGGCCAACCATCAATACCATCGATTTATGTTGATGGAATATTATCAATCACATCTTGGATAAAACGAGTCATAGAAGAGTACGACGAGCCACCATTCACCAATGTCTTTTTGCTCATTTCACTCATTTCATTCATCGTCTTCCTCGTCCTACTGTCACTTTCAGTCGTCGTCATCAGTCGTTGTATCCCTCCCTCGATCTCCTCCGCCGTGACTATCTTCCCGCTACCCCACCGGTAATCCATCTTGATCTCTTCCGCAAACCCCAGATCCTCGACGAACTGAAACGCATTCAGCTGTTGCTCCGCATACATCGGCCAAGCCCCAATCGGAACGCCGAACCACACGCTCTCCAGCATCGAGTTCCACCCGCAGTGCGACACGAACCCTCCCACCGACTGGTGACCCAACACGGCCATCTGCGGGGCCCACCCAATCACTTTCCCAACCCCAGACGTCCGATCCAAAAACCCTCCCGGCAACACATCATCGAAATTCTCGTACTCGCCCGGGTCTCCCGTAATCCCCATCTCGGAAGGCCGCCGAAGGGACCACAGGAAACGATGACCGCCGCGCTCCAGCGCCGTCGCAATCTCCGTCGCCTGCTCCTTCGTGAAGCTCCCCATGCTCCCGAAGCAGAGGAACACCACGGACCCCACCGGCTGGCCGTCCAGCCACTCCATCACCTCCTTGTACTCCTCCTTCTCCTCCTCCTCCTCCGGTCGAGCCGAATTCAGATTCAGCAACGGTCCGACCGGGTAAACCGGAGGGTTCCCTGCAACCGAGACCGATCCTAAAGCATAGGTTTCCAGCTCGAGGAACGTATTTACCACAATACCCCTGGCTTCCCGCAATCTCCGGGTATTGTCAATAAGCAGGGGAAGCCACTCCTTCTCGACGACGACGGACGGCAGGAACTTACAGGGGAGCGGCTTCTCCAAACTCGAAATCGCCATCTCGGATTCCGTGTCCTTGAGCTCGGCCAAGTCCCCGAGCTTCCCCTCGTCGTGGAGCGCCTGCAATTGGAGCATGAACCCGAGGAAATTCGCCCCCGATGGGTAGAAGACATAGGGAGGAACACCGAGCTCGCTACCCAAATCCATCATCGCCGTGCAGCAGAGCATGTCGACGACGAACCCGGCGAGTCGTGCGACGTCAGATCCGACTAATTCCTTGATGTGGCGCTTCGAGCCCTCGAGGATGGTGGGCATGAATCGGCTTGGATCGGTGTCCGGGGGCGGTTTCACGGCGGGGAGGTTGACGAATCGGACTCGAGAGCCGTCGTCGCCGGCGGCGGTGAGATTGGTGTTGTTGCCGGATGGCAGGGGGATGAGGCAGATTGTAGCTGAGAGTCGTTGGTCGTGTTTGACGAGTTGCTTTGCTAGCTGGATCATGGAGAGGAGGTGGCCGGGGGCGGGGAAAGGGATGAAAACAAGCTCGGCGGTGGTCTTCATCGGTGGAAGAGTACTGTAATCAGACTGTGAATTGAAGGAGAGAGAGAGAGAGAGAGAGAGAAAGATACAGAGGTCGGTATGATATAATGAACAAGCCTGGCCGGCACCAAGCCAAATGTACGCCATGGATTTGGTCTCGTGTTTGAGTCGATTACAATAATTGAAGGAAATCATCAATGCGACAGCTAGCATCACAACTCATTCAACCACCTAAGTCTCTATCACATTTACACGTACAATTAATCCAGAAGATATAATATGATATGGAGGCCTGCGGATCCAGACAGGAAATCAGAAAAATCCTGCTCAGCTAATCTCCACTATGCCGTCGGTGGCTTTGATTGACCCCACCCCTCGTTTTATTTTTCGTTTCCCCGAGGAGGAGGATGAAGATTTTTTTTAACCTGCCTACTTCTTCATGGATATGATTCTCCTCCTATCTTTGCTTCTTTGGTTATGTGTTTCGGAGAAGGCTTGACAATCGTTTGAGATCCTGCCATGGTTTTGACTTCGTGAAGGAAGGCGAGGTTCATTTCACTTGGGCTCTGCCTCTTAGTCTATCGTTCAGATGTTTGTGCTTTAAGTACTCGCAAAAGTCCGCTCGATATCGCTTCGCGTAATAGAAACATAAATATTTTAAATAATAATAGTTTTAATGTTGACCCAAAAGTAAAAGTAATCTTATTTCATTCTTAATCATTCTTTTCATAGGTTTGTTATTTACAATAACATATGGTCATGAACTTGCATAAGGTAGAAAGGTCATCGAATAGATTATTTATGTTTAAACTTCTTTCATGACGCTTCAATTTGTATGGCTAGTAATTGATCATGTTGTAACTTTTGTAGAATGAAACCAGTTCTCTGTATCTTTTCAAAAGTTATAAAAAAAAAACGGTTTAATGTTTAGCTGAAAAATTATCAGAATTACTTTCTAATATAAAAGGTCATGAAAAATGACTAAACAAGATTTCTAACATACAATATGATTACAAATTCCAAAAATAAATAAAGTATTTAAAATGGATCACGTTAGATTTATTTAATATTAAATAATACTATTTTTCATATTAAATAATACTATTCTAGAAAAAGAATAATATATGGTAAGGACAATTTTATATTTATAAATCGGAGCTACTGTTTTTAAGTTACGAAAAAACTTCAATTTTTTAAAAAGCAAAACTTTAGAGGTGTTTGGCTTGGCTTCAACTTTTGAAACATAAAACTTCTAAATTTCGGGCCAAACATAGTCGTACTCTTTTGGTATTTTTTGGGTTTGAGGTAATCGTGGTTCTCCTTTATAAAAATTTTGGGGAATGATGGTGGGGAACAAATTAGGATTCCACTGACAATTTTGAGATGGGCTGCAAAATGGTGGGCAAAGGCAATGATTTGTGTTCAAATTAGAATACCCATGTGTTTGGGTTCAATTGTAATCATGCTCAACAAAAAGGAAGAAAAAGGAAAAGAAAAAGAAAAAACACTAAAGAGGATGAAACTCGGTCCAGATACAAAACTCATGGTAGCAGCTTTGGGAAACGGTGGTGGGGAACAACTTAGGATTTTGCCGATTGTATTTCAAGATGGTCTACAAAATGATGGCCAAAGGCGATGATTTATGTCCAAGGTAGGATACCCATGTGTTTGGTTACCCAACAAAAATGAAGAAAAGAAAGAAAAAAACACTAAAGAGGATGAAACTCGGTCCCGATAAAAAACTCGTAGTAGCGGGTAGCAGCCTTGGAAAATGGTGGTGGGGAACAACTTAGGATCTCGTCGACAGTATTTCGAGATGGGCTACAAAATGGTTGGCAAAGGCGATGATTTGTGCAAAAAGTTATAGACGAAAAACCTAGCGAACAAAGGCGATGATAACACAAAGGCGATGATTTGTGCTAAAAGCCATAGACGAATACCTAGCGAACAATAACAAAACACAAATGCGATGATTTGTGCAAAAAACCATAGACGAAAACCTAGCGAACAATAACTAAACACAAAGGTTGTAGAATGGAGAGTGAGGTAAAAAAAGGATTTGGAACTTCCCCACTTGCACTTGGAGGAGTGTGAGAGCCACTAATAAATAGTAATTCAAACCTAAACTTTTATATACTAATTAACTAGCAAACAATAACAAAACACAAATGCGATGATTTCTGCAAAAAAACATAGAGGAAAATCTAGCGAACAATAACTAAACACAAGGTTGTGGAATGGAGAGTGGGGTAAAAGAAGGATTTGGAACTTCGTCACTTGCACTTGGAGGAGTGTGGGAGCCACTAATGAATAATAACTCAAACCTAGGCTTTTATATATTATTATATTATTATTATATTAATTAATTAATAGAAGTGGTGTGTCTCGCTTGGATCTGCTTTTAGTTATGTGGGTTCCGGTCCGGCACCTAGAGGCTTTGTCGAGCTTTTGTTTTTTATTGATGGGGTTGGTAAGGTTTGTAGTTGTAGACATTTGCCTAAGTATTATGTTCTTTTCTTGGGGCTTGGGCCAAAATCTCATTCATAAAATGTCACAATATCCTCATTTTTTACAATAAACCACAACGGCTTTTCATATCTTCAAGGGTTTGTAAAATATATTCATTACCCATGTGTCAAATCAAAGATTTTTTTGGTATACACAAATTAAAAAAATCATTCATAAATTGGCAATTCAACCAATTCTGAATATTGTTCTTCATAGATAAAAAGGCCTTTGGAAGCTTTCGGTTTCAATAGGTAAAGTCAAAACTAACTTCAAGCCCAAGTAAACTAAAAGACAATACAAATTTATTAACTATATAACAACAAATTTCTTGTATCCTAATAAAGGTGTGTCGCTTACAATTATTAGAGGTGTGTCGGAGATCCCGAGTTCTAAATTTTTGTACAGTCGAAATGAGGGTCTCTAACAAAATTTTCGAGCGAAGGTGTGTAGGACGACATCCCTTGCTCTAACTTGGGTCTTACCCTATTCTAAATACGTATACAAATATGGTAATAATTTAAATTTTAATAACTAAAATAGAATTTACCCAACATGTATTTGTTAGAAACTCATATCTCATTAAAAAAAAGTACTTAACTTCTATGACCTGTCCTCCATCCCTCTCTCTTCTTTTCCCTTTTTAGTGGTTAGACCATTAGCTTTCTGCATATCGTTTTAGAGCCCAACTTAGATCGAACCTGATTCAACTAACCGATCTATAGAGGTTTAATAACCTTGGTTAGGGTTTGATTTCATTGATGGGGACATCATGATTCATGAGGTTGGTTTGTAGACCTTTGTCCACCTTGGGCTAAAATCTCACCATCTGGGTTTTCATATAATGAATTTCCAATGTAAAAACTAAAAAGAAAAGGAGTAAGGAGCCAACTTTGAGCTCCCCAAGAAATTCGCCGGAATGGAAAGCAATATACCATACGTAAATAACTAAATAAGTGGTATAAATTATAAATTGTTAATATCCTAATATCAACTCAATAATTTACAAATAAATAGCTTTTATCTTAAGTTTTAATATTAACAAAAATTACACCAACTCAATGGACAACTTTCATATGATTTTGAGTTAACCATTAGTACTGTGAGGAACAAATCATGTAACTGTTAATCACTCAACATATATTGCCGGGAAAAAAGCTACTATTTAATATTTATCAGAAGAAGGTTTATATATTCATGATTTCTTCAGAAGGAGCCAGTGTCCGTAGCGCCGGCCAGCCGGCCGCCTTGTCCTCACTCCGCCGGCCATTCCCTCTCTCTCTCTCTCCCTTACACGATTCACCATCCGATGAAGAAACGCACCTAGTTGGGAACCATAATACGTATCATTTTGTAAACTCTCATTATTGCATTACCGCACAACTCTCATCACCCGATCCCATTTTTCGTCCAAACTCCAACCCAAGGAAGCTATAAATAAGACGTGGCTGAGTACATTCAGTCTCACCACCACATCCCATTAATTCTAAACCTGAAAGCTTGCTTCTTAATCTACAAATTAAGCACTTGCTTTCAGGTTTTGAACTTCGAGCCAATTAATACAAAAATGGCGAAGACACAAAGCCTGTTGATTGCCTTTGTCTGGGTTCTGGCCGTGGCATCCATGATCATGTCTGCCGCCGCCATTCGTCCAGCAACCATCTCCGGCAGCAATGTTCAGCCTCAGTTCCATCATTGGGGTTACCACCACGGCCACCACGGTGGTAAGGATCTCGTCATTTTATACACCTAGCGTATAATATTGCTTTCATGTTAGAACGCGATTAACGTATCGTTTAATACGTTTTCTTTTATGGTGATTTTTCTAGATCATCACCGCAAGCTGTGAATGGACTGAACTAAATTGATGGAGATTATAAGCGGGATGTGGTGTCTACTATCTATTTATTTTATCGTCGGTGTGATGTTGGAGAAGTGTTCTAGTGCTATTTATGTTGTCTGCCAATGTTCAACAATGTTGTCTTGATGAGATTATTATGTATCCAATGTCATGTTTATGTATGGTTTTCTGTTCTAACTATCAACCTATCAAGTAATAAAAGTTAATTATTTCTGTGTCACATATTTCCGACTTCCAACAATGCATGTCATCACAAGAAAACAACAATGCTTTCTATTTAAAGAAAATTTTGCTATGAATCAGTAGGAGTCACATTGGTCATTTCAGCAAACAAACAGCCACAAAAATAGAAGCCAATTTTGCTGCCCCTCCCTCGGTTTTTGAATTGAAACCAATGAACGTGTTTGTTAAAATATCAAACTAAAGACAGAATACAAGAGTTTTTTTTTAACGTGGTATTGTCTTATAGACCCAAGTCTACAAAGAGGACCTCACTAACTCTAAGGTTTTAGGTATTATTATTACGGTTTACATGTGTAGTTCGATCTCGATCAACAAGTTATAATATTTATAGGGCTTGATCCGGGAACCTCTAACCCTTATGTGTCTTTGTAGTACATAACTACACTAAATTGTACACGGTTCTACAATTAACACTCACTCGCTGAGCTCCTTTTTAGAAAAAGAACATAACAAACACACCAAAACACGCGGAGAGTTGTGTAATTAGGAGCATTGCCAAACAATTTATTTGCTAAGACTGAAGTGATCTTATGATTGATGAGATACACCACGGTATGTACCGTTTCTGACCATCCATGACTCATTACGGGCGAATGAAAAAGAATGGTTCGTGTTAACTCCAAAATAGGGGTGGTAGTCGGTCGGTTTCGGTTTAACCGAAAACCAAAATCCCGGATATCGGTTAAACCGAGCCACCCTACATACCTGCCGACCGCCAACCGTGAGAGTGGTCACGGTTAGCCGGCCAACCGACCGGTCGGTTTCGGTTTTAGGCTCGGTTAGCCGGCCAACCGGAAAATACCCTTAAGAAAAAAATTAAAGCAACAAAATTCTGAACCAATCACTCCTCACCCTCTCACTTCTCGATTCTTCTTCTTCCTATCCACTTTCCAGAGCAGCAATCCTTCTCTCTCCTTCCTCCATTTCAAACCCACAACACCCACCACTCCTTCCTTCTCCCTCCTTCCTTCTTCCATTTCAGATCTGGAAACACAGAGCAGAGGCGCGGCGGCGGCGAGTGGAGGCGGCGGCGAGTGGAGGCGGAGGTCGAGCTGCTGCTGCCTACGAGTGGAGGCGGAGGGCGAGTGGAGGCAGAGGTCGAGCGGCGAGGCGACGAGGGTGGAGGCAGCGGAGCGACGTCGACGATGGTGGAGGCGGCGTGGCGACGTCGACGATGGTGGAGGCGGCGGTCGTGAGGCGGCGGTGGTCGTGACAGTTCTTCTTTCTTCTTCTTCTGGGTTTTCATGTTCTTCTTCTGCGTTACATTTTGAGAGGTGAAAGGGAAGAGAAGAGAGAGAGGATGACGGAAGAGAAGGGGGTGAATCGTATAGGGTTTGGGGAGGGACTAGAGAGGGGTCGTTTTGAGAAGGGGGCCGGGTCGTTTAGGTTAGGCTGAGTAAAGGATCGGTTAGTCGGCTAACCGCCGGTTTTCAACCTCGGTTGGTCGGCTAGCCGAGCCTTCTCCCCTCGCTATCGACGACCGACCGACGCCATTGGGATCGGTTTTTCGGCTAGCCGAAAACCAGACGGTTCGGTTGAAACCGTCCGGTTAGCCACTAACCGGAAAACCGTCCGCCAGCCCTACTCCAAAACATGTTGATTCTTCTATTTTACGAGTCCATTACGTTGAGAAACCCCATGACATGATTGTTGGGACAAAATGTCACGTGTTTTACAAAATGATATCAAAGGATCAAAGTTGAATTCTCCTACTGGGTCTAAACGGAATTACCTTGTTTGGATGAGAAATTCTAATTGATCAATCTGACACAATTGAGTGAGATTGACTCATTTGGCAGCATAAAATTTGAATGAAGCAATTTGTCATGGGGAATTCTGAATTAACTCGTTTTGAGGCAATTACAATTTGCAATTGATCCATCCAAAGAACCCCTTAATTAATCATTTTATGGAAGTGAGTCTTGATCAACTGAATCAATCCCTTTGCACAATTAAGAACATCCGATTTGTACCTCAAAAAACAAACCCATGTATACCTGGTTGCATGATCAATAAAGAGAGCAAAGTACCGAAAACCAACATGCATGAGAAGTGACTGAGGATGGTCCCCATAGAGATCTGTGTAAACTAAATTAAAAAGGTGCCTCATACAATGTTGTACTAGACGATAAGGAAGAGTGAGTACTAACCTTAGCTTCTATACAGCTCGTGCAAACCGACGAAGAAAATGACATTGAATCGATCAAGCTTAGCAGGTAAAATGTTATCATGAAATATGGTTAGATAACCTAACCGCGACAATGCCATAAATCTTAAAATGGTTGATTTAACCGAAAATTTCAAAGGTCGAAGTCGAAGAGAAAAACCCGAAAGATGTTGATTTCAGCCGGCCTTGTCCTCTCCTCCGATCCGTATATACCTACCTCCGTCGCTACATGATTTACCATCTGAAGAACCGGACCTAGGTGGGAACCATAGTACGTATCATTGTTAATTATCATTATTTCATTAAGCACAACTCTCATCAACAGATCCTGATTGGCGTCCAAAACTCGAAACCAAGGAACCTGTAGGCTATAAATGAGAAGTTGGCTGAGTGCATTCAGTCTCACCACATCTCAATTCCAAACCTGAAAGCACATTCTTAACCCACAATTAACCTCTGCTTTCAGGTTTTGAACTTCGAGCAATTAATACAAATGGCGAAGACACAAAGCCTGTTGATTGCCTTTGTCTGGGTTCTGGCCGTGGCATCCATGATCATGTCTGCCGCCGCCATTCGTCCAGCAACCATCTCCGGCAGCAATGTTCAGCCTCAGTTCCATCATTGGGGTTACCACCACGGCCACCACGGTGGTAAGTCTCGTCATTTTATACACGTAGCGTATAGATATTGCTTTCATATTAGAACGCGACTCATCGTACCGTTTAACATGTTTTTTTTATGGCTGATTTTTCTAGATCATCACCGCAAGCTGTGAGTGGAGATTATAAACGGGATGTGGTGTCTCCTATCTATCTATTTATAGTCGTCGGTGTGATGTTGGAGAAGTGTTCTAGTACTATGTATGGTGTCTGCCAATGTTAAACATTGTTGTCTTGAAGAGATTATTATGTATCCAACGTCATTGCTATGTATGATTTTCTGTTTTAACTATGAACCTATCAAGTAATAAAAGTTTATTATTTGTGTTACCTATTTCCAGAAAATGGCTTGAATTGACACCAAGGAACGTGCTTGCTGTAAGCGCTTGTGCATTCGTCCAGCTGCCAATAAGGCAATAATATTCAACAACCCACTTCGGCACTTCCCATATGCACTCAAAATCTCAATGATGTCAGATTTCACCCACATTTTGGACAGAACAACGCACACTGATTTTGTTCACATCCTGTCTTGCTTCAAATTCTAGTCATTTCAAAATTCTCATGAAAGGTTTTAAAAAAAAAGGCTAAATTACACATTTGGTCACTCGAATTATACAAATCTTTCACGTTTGCCACCCAAATTACTTTTCTTTCTTATTCGCCACTAACTTTACAAATCATTTCACTGTTAGTCACCGGCCGTTACACTCCGTTAAATTTGTCCTACGTGGCAGTCAACTATAAAGTTTGACCATTAACTAAATGACGTGGAAATTAAAAAAATAAAAAAAATTAATTTATTTGTCCACCTCATCGTTCCAGTTACTATATATATGATTTGTCATCCTGAAATTAATTATTTTTTAATTTAATTAAATTATATCACGACAACCCAGGACCTCATCAGCGCCAGCCCCATGACCAAACCCAGCCCCTACTACGCCACCTAGGCTGTCGCCACCACCACCTCCGAAAATCTTCTCCACCTCCACCCCGAGCCCACCACCAGCACCCCCGCCGGCTCCACCTCCAAACCCTGCTCCCCCTCCCCTCCCGAACCCTGACCCACTACCCACTCCTCCCCCAGCACCAACGCCACCCCCAATCCCACCTCTCGCACCAGCACCACCGCCAAACCCGATATCGCCAGCTCCCCAACCTAGACCTCTACCACCTCCGCCGCCGAATCCACATCCACCTCCTGCACCACCACCGAACCCTCCTCCAGTTCCACCACATAGTCCGCCTCCAGCTCCAGCTACTGGTTTTCCGCCACGGGCCACGGCACGCCGACAACCCCCCCCCCCCCCCCCCCCCCCCCCCCCGTCGAAACAGCAACATCAAATTTCCCTTGGAGTTGTACTCAGATGATGGCCAGGATGTGGTAGAGTAAGAGAAAACGTTAAGGTGAAATACTGCCCGGAACGACGGTGACTTATCTTATCCCCGGATTTGAAGTCAATGGTGAAGAGCTCAGATCTTCCGAAGGTGGAAGTGACTAGATCTGAATGGAGGGTTCATTCAATTTGGAGTCTCCATCATCAATTAGTTGTTTTGGAATGATCCGATTAGGATAGATATGTATCCATAAGTGACTGGAATGAGCCATGGCTCCAACTTAGGGAAGACCAAATAGACGCTAGGCATCTTTAGTTTTTGAGTTCTTCTTGTTGATTATCAAATATTTTGGTTCAACTCTCCAGCTGTGGCGGATGCTTGAGAACCAAATCTATCCACTGACTGCGAAAAGGGCTGTTCCCGGAGACGATTCTGTCGCTGGTCGGTGGGGCGGCAGAGGAGGAGGCGAAAGTGGTGGGTGTAAATCGGGATGACGTCGGAGGGAGCCGGAGATGAAGCAGATCGGTCTTGATGGCTGATTTGAGAACCAGATCCGTCTTTGTCGCTAGTTTTCCGTCGATGGCGGGGTCAGAAGTCTCCACCATAGTTGTTGGGGGAGATCAGTGTTTGAAGACTGAATGTCGTTATGAGATTGAGCATGCAACAAAAAGAGGCTGAAAGGATGAATGTGAGTGTGACGCCGCTGCAACTGGCGAAGGAGAGAGGCAGAAGTGGTCCAGGAGGGAGAGACAAGACCGAGAGATGTCGCCATTGTCGGAGGAGTGACGAGAAGAATGGAGAGTTTGGAGTTACATATATTCATATATCTGCAACTCGAGAACGTAATATATATTATTTGATTTTTTTAATTTAATTAATTTTTATTGAATAAATGGTATGATAAATCATATTCACAAAGTAAGTGAAATGATGAGGTGGACAAATAAATTAATTTTTTTATTTTTTTTAATTTCCACGTCATCTAGTTAACTGTCAAACTTTATAGTTGACTGCCACGTAGGAAAAATTTAACGGAGTGTAACGACTGGTGACTAACAGTGAAATGATTCGTAAAGTTAGTGGCGAATAAGAAAGAAAAGTAATTCGGGTGGCAAACGTGAAAGATTTGTATAATTCGAGTGACCAAACGCGTAATTTAGCCAAAAAAAAAATAGAATTTCGACTGTGGTGAATATTTTCATCTTCATATTAGTTTAAGCATTTGATCTCCCATTTCAAAACGGTTGCATTGCAATAAAAGTCATTTAAGAAACGGTTTCAACTCGAGGTTTTTTTCCACGTGAAAAACTTACTTAATGATATTGATGTAAAAATGATACTCACTTCGATATATTTTGAAACAAAAACATTTCACATCATCAATTACGTACTCATACACTAGCGATTTGTCGTACATCACAATGTTACATCAACCATTCATGTTTCATTAATTGTAACTATCGTTTGGTAAATTTTGTTAGTTGGTTTGATTCTAGAAAAATTATTTTTTTTTTCTTAATTAGGTTGATTGGGAAGAGACTGCTAATTAGGCTAAGTGGCGCTAACCAATCAACCAAATTCCTTTTATGACGAATGGACATTATGTCCAAAGTCCAAACTACCTCCTAACATGTGCATTTGCGGACAAAATATAGTCTACAAAGATTGTGTAAGCCTAAACCAGAACAACCATTCGACTCGGCACACCAAAAGAACTTAAATAACTTAATAATTTGAATTTGTTTCATAATAATATGTTAATACGATGTGGAATGAAGACGCTTAGAGGATAAGAACTAACATCAATCAAATTTAACACCTAATAAGAAAGAGTTAAGACTAACTTCAACCCATAAAGTTAAATTTGGCTCCCCAAATAGCTAAATATGGCTTTTTAGCTCTCCAAACCCCATTTTCACTCCAACCCTACACAATGCTAAATTTAGCTTCCTACCTCCCTTTTTTCAATTTATTACAATAAAGCATACCTATTTGACCTCTAATTTTCATATTTCACTTTAATTTTCTATAGTTAGTTATTACTATTGATAATAAAATTTTCGATGTAATATTTTTTAATTCGGAGACAAAAAAAGTTTCGGAAAATTAGTCATTATTTTGTTACCGTTAACTTCGGGACCAATGACAAAATATCAATTAAACATATAACATTTCATATCTTCTTTCAAACAATTAAAAAAACAACATACACAATCAACCAATGACAAAATACCACACAAAAAAAGCAAAAAGAAAAACAACACAATCAACCAATGAGAAAATCCAAAAACAAAAAACAAAAAATAAAAGAGGACCCACCGCGGGTCCACCATTTCCTCTAGCCAAATTTGGCTTTTCCACCTTTTTGGAAGCTAAATTTGGCTCCCAATTCACCAATACCCATTTTTAGCTCCCAAAATAATGTGGGTTGGAGCACAAAAAAAGAGCTAAAGATGGGTAAATGGCTTTTTAGCTCTAGGGTTGGAGTTAGTCTAAGAATAATGTATATTGCAGACCCTATTTTCCTCACATACCATACTTCTGGCCTTATTATATGACCAGTTTAAGTTTTTTTCTTATGAATTTTGTGATTGAGAAGGTTTTTTTTATGAAATATAATTATTGTCAGGAAAAAGTAAATGTGCACATTGGCTTATCGTGGTCTCCTTCACTATTTTAATAAATATATTTCAGTTCCTAATATGTCACCACCAGGATCCTTGGCGCAATGGTAGCGCGTCTGACTCCAGATCAGAAGGTTGCGTGTTCGATTCACGTAGGGTTCAATCCCCCTAAAATATAAGGGTCCACTTTTTTTTTGGTTTTTAAAAACTTCAAAACAGACGAATGAACCTCTTGTTTCTGCCAATCTGCCCTTCTTAAAAACCTCAGAGAGAGCTTTTTTTTTATTTTTTTTTATCGAACAACTGTTTATGATCAGAGAGAGAGCTTTGCAATCAGTATCACTCCTTTTGGCTGCTTCAGTGATTTCCTCAGCCTCTACAGAAATTTACATTGAATCAATAAATTGTTGTTCATTGGGAACCTCCTGCTTAATAACGAACAACTGTTTATGATCAGATGAGAAGCATGGCGGTGGGAACACTGAACCTCCACTTGTCCCATAGGCTTCCCAACAGAAACTCTCTGCGAATCCTTCACCAGAGCTTAACACCAGATGAACATCTTCTAAATATAACCCCTCGCACGATGTGTACTCGCTGCAACTAAATCTCATGGCTTCACTTGTAGCCGAAGTTCCTTTGATGTGCTTGAAGGATATGCTCTTCACCTTCACTCCCTTGGTCTGAGTTCAGGACAACATACATAGTTTAAACCAGGTAGTGAGGGATGATATAGGCTCTTTAGCATTTGAATGATAGCTGCCTGGAATGTATCGCTTCATACCTGGTTTGCACACGGTATCTTCGAATCGCAATAGAATTGGTTGATGATAATCGGGTTCGATACGTTTTCCATGAGCACGTTCTGGAAGTTGATGTCACTGGCTTCACCATTGCCCCCCTAGTGTACAAACAAAGGAGAGAAATATAACCCATCCGCCAGGGTCAAGTGTGGGTTGCTGCACCAGAATGGTAGTTCATGAGATTTACTTTACCTGCCATGTTTTGATCCGCAGACCATTCTGCGTGTTGGACAAGAATGCTCTATCAACCGATACACTTTTCACAGATGCTGTTGAGTTCGATTTCCCCAAGCTTCCGATGCTAATGAATTATGATTAGGAATTAGCACCATTGGATATACATATTATTATGCTCAGGGTGTTCCAGAATCTCATACCTTATACCGTGCCCTGGTCCACAAGCAATGTCTTTGATATTGATTCTTGAAGAGTGACCAACTATAGAGATGCAGTCATCTCCTGCAGATAGCATCATTTTTATCAGAACTAATAAACATCTACTCATTAAGGTACCCTTAACAATAAAGAGCCAATTATCAAGCTACCTGTTCCAATGGTGGTATTCATGACGTTAATGCCACGGGATGAACTGATATGGATCCCATCAGTATTAGGACTAGAAGCAGGTGCCGTCACAGCAATCTGGGATATCGAAACTCGAACACAATTGGTTATTGTCATGTGCATTTGCTGACCGTCGACCACTCTAAGGTTTGTGACTTTCAAATCCTTGCACCTGTGGAAGGTAAGTGCCTGCAGCATGGTTTTTGGACCCCCACAATTGTCATACACACACATGAACGCATAACAAAAACATTGTGACTGCAGCAGCATAATGTGGCACTAACCGTTGGAGCTGTTCGGCATGGCTGCACCAAAAAACAAATTGATCGAAGCAAGGTTTAGAAACTAACTTGAATCAATGAGAAAACATGTGGGAAGAAAAATGAAGGGATGCATATATACATTAGTCTTATTGGTCTTGCAAGAGTTAGCCCACCATTGCCCTCCCATACCATTGATTGTTCCCCCTCCATCTACACTGAGGTGGTTGACCTTCGAGAAGTAGAGCCACCTTCGACGATTCAATCCCCTCCAGGCATCAGGATCTTGGGGTGCTACAATTGTACCATATATCTAACAGACATTACAATTGGAGGAGCAGAGTTAAGAAGTCAGAATCCAAACTCATTTCACACACTCACTAACACATTGGTGAATGGTGATGCCTTACACAGAATGTGATTTTGGATTTACAAGGGCCTGAGAGAACAATCGGGTGCACCAGATAAGTACCAGCTGGGACTACGATTCTGGGTCTTTTTGGTGAAGAACAAGCTACTTCCCAACAATCTTTCAGAGCCTGATATGCAAATCCAAATGAGCACCCACCATTAAAAGGGGAAAAGACGACAAAAATTGGGCAGTAATTCAGCAAGAAGACGACAAATTTGGCCATCAAGGGATCTTTAGTGAGACAAGGGTGCAAAGATGGAAACTTTTTGACTTAATCATGACGTGAAACTTACCAAGTGAAAAACCGAAGGCGATTACTTTTCAATAATTTTACCTGGGTATCATTCTGAAATCCATCTCCAGCAGCACCAAAATCATGAATGAAGAGAACCCTTTTCGATTTAACTCTTCCATTGGGAAACCCAGATCGCGGTAGCTGCAACCCAGACTCGAATCCTTCTACACAATGCGTGGAGGTTATCGCCAGTACAATTGACAGAGCAACAGCAAAACTGACAGTACAGCTTGCCGCGAAGCCACAGCAGCAACGAAGTTCTGGGCTTTTCATGGGATCGCCAAGTTTATGTCAAACAGACTCTCAAGGCTCAACCCATTAATTTCGATGCTGCAATTAGCAGGAAAGTCGAAGCCAGTGATTGGAGACGAATCTCTGCTTTGCTTAGCCCAATCACCTTCTATGTTTGACTTTTGATGTTCACATTTTCCTGACATAACGAATGAACTAAAAAGAGAGAGGAGTTGCTGTCGCCGTTTTGCGTTTGGGCTCCTTGTCGTATCGTCGCGTTTGGAGTTGAGAAACGGCGACGTTTTTTTGTGGATCCACGACAGTGCGAGAAAGATCCGAGCACATTCTTTCGCGGCAAAAACGCCAAATATGTGTAAATTTTGAAATGCCCGCCAAAAGAAGAACCATTTCTCCTTTTCAATCGATGGCTATTCTATCTCCGCCCCCTAAACGCAGAGGGGTAGTCTTCCGACTACAGAACTCATAACCTATTTCTTCTTATTCTTCGATTCTTCTTATCATCCTGTTGCTGCTGGGTTTTCTCGTTGATTCTGCGGTATGCACACCATCTGTTTGATAATATGCCTCAACAGAATGGAATTTCCGCTCTGTTTCTGTTTCACCCCTCTTTTGTTGATTACGTTATCTGAAGTGAGGATCTTTGTTCTTTAGGAAGATGTATGCTAGAAAGGCGTATGAGTTGGTGAAGGAGTTAGCGCAGTGCGAGAAAGGGCATCTTCAGCAATTCAATGTAAGATTCGATTTTTGCTATTCGATTGCTATTGTAAAGAAGTGGTTAAGTACCATACACGGGCCTGTATAAGATCCAGCTATCAATTCCCAATTGTGGTTTCTTTCCTGGGTAGATGTCTATCAATCGTGAATAGGTTTTCGGGAGTTACATGTTTAGTGTTCAGATATCCAATGTCGCAGAGAGATTTTGCTAACTGATGGGGGAACTTTGGCAGGAGGATTTGTTCAATCAAGTCATTGACCAGTGCACCCAACATTTTCTAGAGCTTCAGGCTTTGTTTAGGTAAACCATACCAATTTGATTCTGCTCCGGCTACGAATTGTATCGATCATTGCCCTCTGTAATTCACTTTGATTGGACAACAGGAAGAAGCAGGAAGAAAATGTGGCTATGGAAACTAGAAATGAGGATCACTATGGAGCTCTTGTTCACCATCTTGCTTTACTTCGTAACAAGCGCTGCTTAATGGCTTACGTGTGAGCATCTTCTTCTTTTGTGCTCAATGAACTGTGTTTGTTTCATATATAGGGTCATATGGTTGACTTGATTACACGGGTTTGAACCATGATATCCTCAGCTCCTTTGGTTCATTATGTCATGATTATTGGGTGATTGTGTAGGTATAACCGCACAGAAACTATACGAAGTTTGTCATGGAAAGTGGGGTTTGAGCTCTTTGAGCTTCCAGAAGAGATACAAGAGAAGCTCAGCCTCCCAGAGAAGAACTATTTTGGGAAGCATTCTGCTGCTCTACAGACATATATGGCTGATGTTGGTATTGACTTGAATGTGGTAATTGCCTTCTCTTGCTCTCGAACAAGCTCACTCACAAGTTCATTCATCAACGTCACTGTCTTTGTCATTGATTTTTCAGTATAGATATTATAAGGTACTTGAACAAAACTGTCTGGCCCTTTTCACATAAGAGAAGAGTATAGGTCTTTGGTTTCTTTAGATGGTGAATATAAATTCATGAAGTAACAACAGTATAAAACTTCAGGCATCCACCAATTTGATGGTGCTCTTTAAAGTCTGAACTTGCAACTATTGTATATCCGAACCTAAGCTGTGTCTACTAGTTGAGGAGAGCCCAAACCATTCTTACTGAAGCACTAGAGAACAAAGAATGAAGTTTCATACTCAAATCGCTCAAACATGACAATGGGGAGAGAAGACATGTTTAGACTTTACACTTTAGACTGAGTCCTATATGGCATCGGAAAGTATTTCAGCCTTCAACAAACTTGCATATATTTTCTTTCACTTTTCCGCCCTGTTGTGAACCTCTTTTCTGGGGTTCATTAAGAGCTTGATTATTTGTGTATGCCAGGATATGGTGCCGCCTAAAGATCCTTACATCAAGGTGAGAGTCCTTGATGATATGGGTGAAGGGATATTGCTAAGCAACAAGACTGCCAATCTCGCCCGTCATTCAATGCACTTCCTCAAGAGAACTGATGCCGAGCAGTATATTGCACGAGTGAGTTTTTGTGGTCTTTACCCTATTAGATCAAACTTGTATAATGTGAGATGGCATTCCAACTATTCCAGTTCACTGATATCCTGCCCTTGGTTTCCAACAGGGCTTGATGGAAGAGCTTATAGGTTGACCAATGCTACAGTAAAGAACAACATCATCATGACAAGAAGTTCTTCGACCTACAGCCAGATGCAAAAAAGCCTATTAGTTTCTACCTTTTTTGTGCTTGATATTTGTAATTGTAATCCCAGATTGACCATGGTAGAAGACAAGCAAATACATGCTCATTTGTAGTTGTAGACTTATAAATAAAAAATCAGGACATATTTAAGGTGTTTTGTGATGTTTTGGTAAAGCCCATTTGGGTCAATGGATCACTGTAATGGGAAAGCTTGCTTTTTTTAGTATGTGCTCCAGCCAGTTTCGTTATAAAAAGGGTTTGGAATATTGTATAACATTAAGCTGGGGTAGCTCAGTTGGTTAGAGCGTGTGGCTGTTAACCACAAGGTCGGAGGTTCGACCCCTCCCTCTAGCGTTAGCGTCTTTTCTTTTTTCCCCCGGCTCCATTTTTTTCCTTCTCCTAACTGCTGCAATACGTGCTAACTGTCCCCTTGAAAGTTGCAACCAGCGACAACTGCATCGCCATGGTTTTCTGATCAGCATCCCAAAACATGCCTATTCCAGTCAGGAAAAGAAAACCAATGGGTTCCTTATCTTCTCCAAGGAAATGGGCTGCCACCATCTCCATCATTGCTCGCTGCCTTCATTTCATCATCATAATCCTCCAAGTCCCTCTCTTCAGGTACAATTCAATTCACACCATTTGATCTTTCATTTACACCATGTTAGATCAATGCTTTTGATTGCTTTCCTGTCCATGTCCTCAGAGAAACTTGTCCCTCCATTTTGCCGATCTAGATTTCCTTGGTTTTCCATTTACAATTGAGAAAAAGGGGGGAAAACCCTTGTTATGTTCATGGGAATTCGGTAATACATATTGCTGGTGTGGATGAATGGTGAATCGTTTTTTCCTCTTGAGAATTCCCTCCTTTTTCTCCTTTGCAGGGTGCCATGTGCAACAGGCAAATGTTCATCCCCTGTAGAGCTAACATGCTCTCAGTTGATAGCAACCGAAATCGTCCCACCATTTCTAGTGAAGCTTCTTCTCTACCCTGGAGCCATAGCAAAAGCCCTGATCCGCCATAACAAACGCATACCCAGATTCAGTAACCTCCTGAAACTCTACAATTTCACCACTTTGAACAAGGCCTCCACCGCCGCGGTTGGCCTCCGCCATCTCGAGGTTTGTATCCCATTGTTGTTCTAATGTAAATAAGTAGTTAGTTAGAGTTCACAAGGTTTCATCGTTGCTTTGTACTCTGCAGATAGTTGCAGGAAGCTATCTGTCCGTGGCAGGGGCGATACTAGGAGTGCTGAGGCCGAGGAGAATGAGCCTGTTCGGAGCGCTTATGATTGTTTGGGGATTTGCTAGGGAAGTCTTTCTGATGAAATCTGATGGTGAAAATGATTATAAACCAGGAAAGGCTGTTCAGATCTACCCACAGATGTTCCTTGTTGTGGTTTGTGCTTTCCTGTCCATAAGAAAGGATGTCAGGTGGCTGCTACGGAGCTTCAAAGCTCGCAGAGTTGGAACCAAATACTTGTGATACTCGAGGTCGAGGAAAGCTCTGACTTTTAGGATCTGCTGGGTCTTTTGAGTTACTGTTAAAGGTTCAAATTCTGTACCTTGCATTGAGGCAAAGATTCATACCCTCTTCAACTTACTGTGATATTTGATATCAATCGCTTCCTCAGAGTTAGATTGGAATTTCTGTGTCAACTAAGACCCTAGCTAAGCCATTAACGAAACCATGTCCTAGCTTCGAATACCAAGTTGAAAGCAACGTAAATTACTAACGAATTTCAATTAAGTGGCACCATAATATCATCGCCGACAGGACTCTGCTAGGAATGGCAATGGGTCGGGTTGGGTCGGGTTTTACCAAATTCATGGGTTTATCAGTGAAAAAAAACTCGGGGTAAAATCCATTGGGTTTGAAAAACTCAAACCCAACCCAACTCGCTGGGTATCTGCGGATTCATAGTTATCCACGGGTTTTTGTCGTAAAAAATTTATAATAACAAGTTCCTATCAAAATTAAAGTCAATTATGAATCTCTCAATACAAATTATCCAAATATAAAACACCATTCTAGAAAATTCAAGCAAATCACAAAATTAATTATACAAATTGTTCAACACCAATCTAGAAAACTCAAGAAAATTGAAGCAAATCACAAATTATTCATAAATAACATGATTAATTGAAAGCTTCTTCCTCCTTGTCAATTAAGTTTCTTCACTCTCCACTCAATAACATCAACTTCATTTCACACAATTAGAAAGAAAAAAAATTAGACATGTCTCCACAAACATAAATAAGATTAGTTGTTTGGAATATTAAATATACCGAGAAAATTAATTATATGAGTGTGGGCGGGTACTCATTGAACGGGTTGTTTACATAAACCCAAACTCAACCCAACCCAGTGGCCGATGAATGATGAACGAATTTAAACACAAATTTAGTTAAATAGATTTTACTCGCGTTAATCGGATTAGATCGGATGAATACACGTGAGTTCGAGTTATGTTGCCATTCCTAGACTCCACCGCCACAGACTGGCACGGAGGCGCCACTCTATGTCTCTTGATGTTTGTTCCGGAATCCGGAGACTTATCCCGTGGAGGTGACAATTACTGTTTTTAAGTTACGGTTATATGGGCTTGGACATCTGGTCCACTGGGCCTCTCTATTCGAAACGTTTGGGCCTAGGGTTCCCAAAATATCCGCTACGCGTCTTCTGTTTTCCCTGCCGTGTCAGGATACAAACTCCCACTCCAAGGCGGAAAGGGAGAAACCCAACCGACTTAAAATCCAAACAACACACGCCTATAAATATTGACGACGCTCCCTCTTCATCATCATCAACCAGACGAACGATTTCTCTCTTATAAGAACCTCCAGTAATCGTAATCTCCAACCCGCCGGAACAGCTATCAATCTACACCCTGTAAGCACCTCTTCTCATCAGTTCCGTCGAATTATTTGATCCAATTCGATTCGATACAATATCCTTTTTCAGTTTTTCACTAGGTTTCCTTGGTAGGAACTGAATGTTTTCCTTTTCCTGGGTGAATTGTGTCTCTTGAATCATGTCCTATAAATAAATGTTTACCATCCATTCCAATGGATCCTATAGCTAACAACAGTGCTACTCTCTCTCTCTGGAATTCTTAGGACGGACACCAATAGACGCTCAGGTCGCACGTTGCTAGCTATAGCTAGTTGATTAATCATGATGAGCCGATTGCTGATGAAGCGAAGCAAGAGTAATAATGGATCTTCAGCGGTGGTTTCCAAGTTTCCTGCCGGCGGCGAGGAGGAGCAATGGGGAGAAATCAAGTGCCCCATATGCATGGAACACCCTCACAACGCAGTTTTATTGCGGTGCTCGTCCCGCAACAATGGATGCCGGCCTTTCATTTGCAACACAAGCTACCGCCACTCCAATTGCCTCGACCAATACCTTGGCACCTCCAACCCATCACCATCCAACAACAACAACAACAACAACAACTTGGCCTGGGAGGATGATGGTGACCTAGAAGAAGATATGGTCATCGCCGACGGGGACTACAGGCACGAGCTGACATGCCCTCTGTGTCGGGGATCGGTCTCTGGTTGGGAGGTGGTGGAGCCCGTCCGCCGCTACTTGAACACTAAGCCAAGGGAGTGCTCCACTGAAGATTGTGGCTTTGTAGGCAGCTATTCTGAACTTAGGAACCACGCCCGGTCTGACCATCCTTTGATCAGGCCGGCCCAGGCCCAGCCTGAAAGACAGCAGGCGTGGGCCCAGATGGAACAGGAAGAGGAGGAGGAGGAATTGATACAGAGTTCGGATGATTCCAGCGATGGTACTGGGAATAACCTTATGGTTAATGTACGCGTGACATTGCCAGATGAAGAAGTTGTCGAGCTTCAAATTGAGATTCCGTGGGCGCTCTTGCCCCAACAGAGTCACGACAATCGAGCAGACCACGTCGAAGATAACCAGGCTCTGCCTGCTATGGCCCAGCAAGCAACTACACAGAGCTACTATGATCAAACATACCACACTGGTAATGTAACTAATGACATTAGCATTGATGGATATGAAAGCATGCATGAAGATAACCAGGCTCAGCCTGCGATGGTCCAGCAAGAAGCTCATCAGACTTGGAATGACGAACACCGTCAGAATCAAAATTTTGAAAGAGATCTCAACACAAGACAAGATGTCGACTTTTCCTGGGGTAGGAATCGTTCTAATAACGCATTATTCCAAACAAGGAATAGATATGGAGGTATGTATGGGGATAACCAAGCTTCGCGAACTACTTTCCATCCTAAAGTTTGCTGGAATGGCAGGCAACACTGCAATCAAAATTTTGGAACAGATCACAACAGGATGCAAGATGTTGATTTTTCTTGGGGGAGGAATCGCTCAAATAGCACATTGTTCCAGACAAGCAACAACATGTGTGGAGATAACCAGACTTGGCCGACCATGGTCCATCCTGAAGTTTGCTGGAATGACGAATGTTGGAATCATCAAAATTTTGAAAGAAATGTCAATGTGAGACGAGATGCCAACTCGTCTGGGGTTAGGAATTCGTCTACTGGAGCATTATTTCGAACGAGGAATAGCTATGGGGGCATGTATGGAGAGAACCAAACTCGGCCAATTGTGACCAGGCCTAGAGTTCATCGAAATGCCAGGCGACGCAGGAATCAAAATTTTGGAAGATATCTCAATGTGAGACAAGATGCCAATTTATATAGGAGCAAGAATTGCTCAAGTAGACCACTATTCCGAACAAGGAATAGATACATCAATGAAATCCAAATGCATGAAGTTGGCTTAGCTAGCAATGTTTGGTGGATGCCCTAGCAAAGTAAAAATAGATAGACTCTAGTTGATGTCATAACTTTTTATTTTATTTGGTTTAGTCGAAAGTCTTTAGGTGCCTCGTGGATTTTTTCATACGTATCATCGAAATTATATTTGAGAATAAAAGTGTATGCTTCAATAGATTATCTTATGTGTCTTGTGGTATTATGAATTGCATGCTTTTTGAATTAGAGGAGAAAAGACCACTATTAACTATTAAAATTGGATTGGAAAATTTTGAATAGTAAAAGCGCCAAAAGATAATATTACCAATAGTCCAATACCATGACTTAGAACTATATAGATGATGTTAAATAGCACATTGTCCAAGACAAGGAATAACATGTATGGACATAACCAGATCGACTTGGTCGACCACTCTCCATCCTAGAGTTTGCTAAAATGACGGGCATTCGAATCAAAATTTTGAAAGAAATCCTAATGTGAGATGAGATGCTAAGATGTCAATTTCTCTACTAGCAAGAATTGCTTAATAGAGTAGTATTTCGAACAAGGAATATATACATCAATGAAATCCAAATGCATGAATTTGGCTTAGCTACCTTCTGTTTGGTGGCTGCCCTAGTAATACAAAAATAGATAGAATCTTTAATGTCAACTTTTTTTTTTATTTTATTTGGTTCAGTCAAAGGTCTTTAGATGCCTCTTAGACTTATCCATTTATGTATGGTCGAAATCATATTTGAGAATAAAAGCATGGAATATTTTGAATTAAATGCTCTTTGGTTCAAAAGAGAAAAAGACCAGCGTTACTAAAATCATATTGGAAAAAGTTGAAAGGTAAAAGCGCAAAAAAAAAAAACAAAAATTGTTACCATGACTTAGACCTCTCTAGATGATGTTGAAAGAAGTGTGTAAATTAAGTTATTTCACTCGTACAATATATAAAGTGAGTAAGTGTTCTTGTTGTATGTTGGATCTCTTCTTTAATGTGTGGATTGTATTATTAGGTGGACTTGAATTTGTAAGCATTATTTTGCACAACTTGCACACGTTGCCAATGTTGTATAAGTTGTCTAGGTTGGTTTGTCATGTTTCACATCACCATATCTCGATTTCGTCACACTTTATTATAGATATGGATTTGGCCTTTTTGGTACAAACTCGGAAAATGTTGCTGTTTCGTATCATGTTCGTATCACAAATTTGCCGACTCTAGAGGTTAATTATTGTTGAGCAGAGATCATTCTGGCCATGTTTGTAGAACTTCATCTCGGTGATGTTGCATCTCATTTTTCTTAGAAAAGGTGGAAACCCTATCACCTAATTAAACTGATCGAAGAATATAAAAGAGAGGCCAGCTGGCATAAGACAATATCCTGCCGGCGCCCGGCACGGCAACAAATGGTCTAGCTCTAGATCGAGCTGCCTCAATCATCGAAGCGGAGGCCGAACTCTCCCCGCCGGACAGCCGCCGCAAGTGGGGAGAGGGAGATGTGAGGAGAGTTTATTGGCCTAGTTGTTAGGGTTTTGGCGTTCCTTAGGGTTCTCTTTGTTTGTTTGAATCGTACTGCGGGGGAGTTTTGGCCGGTCCGGCGGACGAAAACGGTGCAGAGAATCGTGCGGACGGGTCGTATATGTAGATGATAATATCTGGTTAGTTTAGATAGGGGATTTGGACGTGACTGAGGTATCTCGATATGACATATATATATATATATATATAAGCGTGATTTTTAGGGTTCGGTTGGAGAACAAGATTTGAATCATGGATTTATTGAATTCATAGATTTAGCAAAATATTATGGGGTTATGTGATTGATGGATTTGGTGATTGATTTGGATCCACAATGAGCTTCGCCTAAGATCCGTTGTTTGCTTCAAGTATTTAGATGTAATAAATTCGTTGGACTCATGGACTTTGAGAGTCCAAATCTGTGGGCCTCACGAACTCGAAAATATCACCTCTTTAGGTGGGAATTGATCATGAATTTTGAAGTCCATCATTTTTTACCAACATACCCCTTATATTTTCTTTCTCTTTTTATATCATTGAGGGTAATAAAGGTAAATTACACTTCATACATACAAATTTAATTACAAAATCCATCATGAAATCTATCAAACAAATAATGGTCTTTATCAAATCAATAATGAACTCAAAACCATCATATATCCATGATTTTTCAAAATCCAAGTTATACAAAAACCTTCATTTTTCAAATCCACGAAGCAAACGACCCTATGTTTTTTTTTTTTTTTGCTACTTTTTGTATCGTGGATTGTAGTTACATAGATTTTAAATCTCTCAAATCTAGAGATATCAAACGGATACGGTGACAACCCCTAATGGGTTGTCAGATTCACAACCCACTTCATAGTCCTTAGATACGTTCTCTCTCTCTTGTCTCTTTCTTCTTTTTTCAAATTAACGGTTAAGATTAAAAGAATGATATTTTTGGAAGAAAAAAAGTTTCCCACACCCAATTATTCACACTACCATATATAAATAGAAAAAAAAAACCCATTACTCCTCCCTCTCTCCCGCAGCTATCACCGTCGCAGAGCCCTCCACCATCACAACCCTCCACCGTCGGCGCCGTCGCCCTTGTCTCCCACAGCCGCATGCCGAGCCCTCTACCGCCGCCGCCTCCACAATTCTCAACCTCCCTCCACCACTGTCGTTGCAATTCTCTCCCGCCGGCCCGTCGTTACGTCTGCCTCCCACCACCGCGACACAATCATCCTCCCCATCGGAGCCCTCTCGCCGCCCTTCGTCTCCCACTACTGTCGCCGTCGCGAGGTCACCCTCTCCCCTCTGCCTCTCTCTCCCGTCACCGACTCCCCTTTTCTAGATCTGGTTTTTTTTCCGACTAGTGGTACCATTTTCTTCTGGTAGCGTACCAGTGTGTTATTCTCTACTGGTACCGCTACCCGTGCTAGTGGTCGCGCTGTACTGGTAGCGTACCACTAGAAAAAATCATTACTAGTAGAATAATAGACTTGTACACTTTTTAACGCACTGGTACTTTTTTTTCCAGGTTCCCGGAGGGAGTCTGCCGGAGAAAGTCTGCTGAAAGGATTTCACCGGAGAAAAAGTCTACTGGTCGATGCGGAGTGGCCGCTAGAGAAAGGAAGAGAGAGATAGAGAGAGATATAAATGTACATGATCTAAATTTTGTTTAAAAAAAACTTGTATTTAATATGTGTTTTTAATTCCCAATGTAATTAATACAGAAAAATTAATTAATATATTCTTTTTTTCATATCCAAAATGCCCTTGGTTGTCAATCTGGCAACCCCCTCAAATCCCGTCCCTCAAATCTCTCATAATTATAGAGTTTCTACATTTTGATTTTGGAGATTTTCTAACTCCTATTATATCTCTTTTTTTTTCATTTATCCCACTAAATACCATTCTCAATAAATTCTCAATATTTTTCGAGCCACTTTAATTATTTTTGTTAAAGATAAACATGTCATTTACAATAACAAGTTCCTATCAAAATCAAAGTCAAATATCAATCTCTCAATACAAATTATCCATATATAAAACACCATTCTAGAAAATTCAAGCAAATCACAAATATACTATACAAATTGTTCAACACCAATCTAGAAAACTCAATAAAATTGAAGCAAATCACAAATTATCCATAAATAACATGATTAATTGAAAACTTCTTTCTTTCAATTAAGTTTCTTCATTCTCCACTCGATGACATCAACTTCATTCTACACAATTAGAAAGAAAAAATTAGACATGTCTCCACAAACATAAATAAGATTAGTTGTTTATAATATTAGATATACCGAGAAAATTAACTATATGGGTGTGGGTGGGTACCCATGGGTCGGGTTTACCTAAACCCAAACCCAACCCGGTGAATAGTGAACGGGTTTAAACCCAAACCCGGCCCAAAACCCGTCAACACATATTTTACCCGCGTTGACCGGGTTGGGTCGGATGGATACCCGTGGGTTTGGGTTTTGTTGCCATCCCTACGTTAGATTAGTGGGATCAAGATAGGGTGAGTAACCTTAGGGTGAGTTACAATGAGTAACCAAATTTGGACCCTTCTTTTAAGTGGTTGCAGATCTAAGGGTGGAGAATTAATGGAATTTATTTACCCTAGTTTTCTTAATTGGATCGTATCTTCTTCATTCTAACTCGGATTTCAATTTTTTTTGCACAGATGGAACGAGTTCGTTGTGCTCTACAAAATGATATCCATTTTCAATATTTTTTGAGAAATTTTTTTTCATCCCTCTCGTTACCAACTCCATACCATATGGTATCTCCTTCGTTGTTTAGTCATTTTCGGAAATTTTTGCACAAAAGGAACGATTTAATCATGATCTATTGGATTTCAAAATTTTCTGGGGGAAAAAATTCCATACCTCTTGTTACCAACTCCATACCATACTATACCACCCTGGTATGAGGTGGTATTTTTCATACCATATGGTATGTTGTTATTTAATACCAGTCAATACCATATGGTATTGACTGGTAATAACTGACAAAAATTTTTTGTTCCAAAAAATATCAAAGTGGATATCATTTTGAATCGTTACCAACTCCATACCATACTAACCATCCTGGTATGAGGTGGTATTTTTCATACCATATGGTATGCTGTTATTTAATACCAGTCAATACCATATGGTATTGACCATACCATATGGTATTGACTGGTAATAACTGGCAAATTTTTTTTGTTCCAAAAAATATCAAAGTGGATATCATTATGAAGAGCACAATTAATCTGATCTAACTGTGTAAAAAAATTAAATTCCGAGTTAAAACGAGTGAGAAATCTTCCGTTAAAGATTAAGGGAAAGAAAATTAATGATTTTTCCAGGAGAGAAAAGGAGGCGCTGATGTGGCAGATTCTTATTGAGTTATGCATGGGGTTACTCACCACAAGGTTACTCACCGAATCTGCTCTTAGATTAGTGCAAAAGACAAATAGTATATTTGTACATTTTATACGGTATGAAGGATATCCAGCCATGTTCACATGCGTTAGATAAAGTGCCTCTAATCGTGAACATTTTATATGGTGTATACTTATACGTTTAGTTTCATGATTGCAAACCTTGGAGATGTTAAGTCAAGGTGCTAAAAGGCTAATAAAAACTAATCAAGTTCTCACTAAATGAATTCATCATAAATGCTCATTCTGGTCTACGAGACTATGCAAAGAGAAGGGATAAGATGCTGATATCTCAATTTCTTGCCTTTAATAATCTTTGATCCGATAGATGAAAGTTGAGAACAACTAATGAGATTGTCTTCTTTTTAGTATTCTTAAAATAACAAAAGATTAAGCAAGAGAAGAAAGTGACTTATAAAATTTTGAAAGCTAAACCCGAATTATTAGATGGAGCTTGCAAGTTATCAATGTGTGAGCGGTGACAAAAATTTGAGGGTTATATATAAATAATTATAAATTTTCAATATTTCTAGGTATTTTGGTATATACTACCAATCTCATATTCCCGAATATCGAATAAAACTCATAAGTTAATCACAATCTCAATCACTAAAAACTAACTCATTAATAAACATACAAAATAACGATAAATTTGGTACGATATTCGATACGACACTTATAACTTATAACTTATAAGTTCTAAACTTCTTTTCCTTGAGTTTTTTTATTTATCAAGTCTCTTATCCATTTTATTTAGTTTCAATTGTGTTTTTGGTCCCATTTCCGTCGTTCTCTGATTATGGTTGGAAATTAGGGATGTGTTTATCCCTTGCTTGTGGTTGCATCCTGTTTTGTGCACTTTTTCACTTCTTGTTCTCTATAACAAATTAAATGGCTTTCTCAAAGGAATGGTTGCATTTTCGGTAGGCATTCAAGATACACTTCTAATTTGGGTTTTTAGACTCTGTTGTTGGTGGGAATGGCTTTCCTGCTTGGTACCTTTAGTGGCCGGTTGGGTAATCCTCGAAGAGGAAGCGTTGTGCTTGAGATTGTTAGAGCAAGGATTTTGGCAGTTGTTCTTAATGTTTATAGATTTCTGCCTTTTGAGGCTATGTGTTTGCTCATTTTGCAGGTACAGCTGCTAATAGGGCTGCCCATTTTGTGGCATAACAGGCCCTTTCATCGGAAGTTCGACTATTTGTCGACTACTGCACGATGTTTATCTTTTGTTCTTTAACTCTGTATTGGCTAGGGATTTACCTGGCTACTGTCTATGTTAAGAAAAAAAAGCCATGCCCACACCTAAATGATAATCTTTTGACGGTTTGGGACTATTTTGTTACCGCGCCAGATTTAAGTGACCATATTGGTCAATTACCCTTCACTTCAACCGCCAACGGAGGGAGTAGTACCGTACCGGAGCAATTGGGTCAATTTTGACTACGAAGAAGGGCCCGACTTGCAGCCCAAGCATTCCTTTCCTGAAGACTTCGGAATTCTATTCGCCTCCCCCAAAGCACAAAACCCGCCGTCAGCCGGAACCACCGCCTCCAGTCGATTCGAATGCCGACCGGGACAGAAACCGCGACGGTGTCTGAAGCTATGGAGGATGGGGCGGGCAAAGAAGAACCGCAGGGCGTCAAATCCCTAGTCTCCTTCTACTCCAACTACGTATGGAACCGCCTCGCCGCTTTCGTCCCCACCGACTCCAATTTCCTCGCCAGAGTTGCCAGTATCCGCCCCCAGAAAACTCGCCGCCGCAATGTCTGCCTCCCGCTTCCCTTACCTTCGCCTCCTCTCGCCTCCTCTCCGTAAGTGAAAAAAAATTTCGCTGACCTTTTCCTCTTTTCACTGAGCTGCCTCGTTTGCTTTCTTGGTAAGTTGTTTGCTTCTTTCTTTTCAGTAGTGGATGGGTAGAACAAGCATAGGTTCGTTTCAATTGCGTCGATTGAAATCCTGGAAGTTCTAGTATGGAAGAACAGAAGCTGAGTATTGGTTTATGTCATTATACTTGCAGGATCAAACCTCATTCTTCTCGGGTTTATGATGTTCTGGAAGATATTCTAGAGCACAGTTACAATAACTTGCATAGCATTCAGAAGAATTTGCTGTTTTGGCAATCTAGAGCTGAGGTTGGCAATTGAGATCATCATCTTTGGTGGTAGAGAGAGCCTTACCTTTGTAATCGAATTTCTTGGTGCATTGCGCTTGCCTGATGGCATCGATGTGTTCGTTTCAGGGATCAGATGGCCAGAAGTTATACTTCATGTTGTTCGAAAGAGGGCCACAGGCTTTCGTAGAAGGAACAGCTCAGTTAGTTCGTGAGACGTTGAAAGATGGTTACTCCACACAGCAGCTTGCTCTATCTGCATCGGCTTTCATAAGTGAAAGACTGGCTGTCTTGAGAACCTTAAGATGTGCACTTGCTGCTTTCTTGGCTGAGGTTTGCCTGATCTTGTTGTGTTTCTCATTTGCTTGTTTTGAATGTGCTTTATTCCCAAGTTACGTAAAACAAAATGCCAGACTTGAAAGTGAACCAATTGTTGTACTGTAATGGTAGGTGTACAGGGAAGTTGATAAACATGGGGAGGAGTTGATGAAAGATCCAGAGAAGGCATTTCCCTCAATGTTGATCACTATTGACAGTTTATTTTCACATTTGGAGGCATCAATTGGCCACCTACATGCAATGCGAGAGGTGACCTTTTCAGTCATTGTGGACATGGAAATTCAATTTGATCTTATTTTCCTTAGTCTGTCTCATCCTAAAAAGTTTAATTATTCACTTTACATGCATGCTTTTTGTGATAATGTTAAAGATCTTTGGTATTTTCGCAGACTGATTCCTCTGTCGATGGAAGCTATTCACTCCCTCTGCTGTTTGAGAAACTTCCAGAGGTTGATCAAGGTTCTGAGTGGACAGACTGTGAGATAATAGATGCCATCAATGTGTTATACAAAAATCTAGAGAAGCTGGACTCATACTTGTCTCTTATGGTAAGATATGACAGTAGCTTTCTGCATCTTCTCCATTTGTTGTCGTTGATGCCGGCTATTCACCACCTGATGATGTCTTGCTTATTTGGACATCAGTATTTGGAATACACATACTAACAAACATGTAATTCAGGTAGTCAAACATCAAAAGCCTAGGAAATTAACTCAGCATTGGATACGCTACACCTGCGGTGCTGTTGGCCTCTCAGTTTGTTCTATTTGGGTCCTTCGGCATAGCAGATTGATGGGAAGTTCTGATATTGACAATTGGATTCATGAAGCAAGGGACTCAGTAGCTAACTTCTATGTGGACCACGTTGAACAACCGGTATGTGTTGCTTTGGTCAAATTTTTATATCTATCTGTCTATCTTCTTCTTCTTCTTCTTCTTCTTAACTGCTGGAGAAATAATGGCACAGAAAATAGTTCCATATTTGGAGTACACAGTTGTACTGGTGTTATTTGGTTCAATATACGCATGTCATTAAAGCTGATAAGCTATTGTTTTTCCTGTTTTTTTTTTGGTATAACCAAAGAGGGTAATGAAACTGAATCACTCCTTGTGGTAAATCTATCGGGTAATTCTTCCTGTTTTTTGGTAGAAGAAAAATTGCCTTCGATTATCTTTAAAAGTACACTATTTTTGCTTAAAATACCCTTGGTTAGACATACAGATTTGTCAATTGCAACAACCATTAATAACGAGATATATTTTGCAACTGTTTACAAACTGAAATGCTAGTGGAGCAGACTAGGCAATGTTTATCCTTTATTGTTCTGTAGACAGCTACGGGATGACAGTCTCGCTCTTCTCTATCTGTCTCCCAATTCAGGGTTGAAGTTGTCTTTTAACTCAGGACCAATGTATGTTTCAATGTTCTTTGCAAGATGTATCTGATTAATGATGGGTAGCCTTTATTGACAGATTTTGTCAATCAGAGACGATCTCTTTGACACATTCAGGAAGAGACATAAAGGGGTCATGGAAGTCGAAGAAGTGCAGTTGACAGCCAATTCTCTGCACAGGTAAACCCTGGCCTTTCTTGAACAGATGCACGTGCTGATTGTGTACATTTATATACCTGTTTATCCTGAGAGAGGGAAATGGCTACAGGATGTTGAGTACTCGAACTTAAGTCCTTCACTGTCATGTTTGCATCCACTTTCCTTCTGGGTTATCCTGTTGGGCCACTGCATTTTCAACATCAACCTACGAAATGATAATGGTTGTTTCTTTATGTAGTTCATTCCACTTATTCCTGCATTTAATGCCAACAGTTTTCCGATGCTAGAGGACAGTAAGTGTATGTTTTGCATGGTTCTTAGCTTCTAATGCCTGTCATCCCGACAAAGAGAAGAAACAGTTTTCCGATGCTAGAGGACAGTAAGTGTATGTTTGCATGGTTCTTAGCTTCTAATGCCTGTCATCCCGACAAAGAGAACAAATGCTAATTGTGAATGGGGCTTGTAAGACCATTTTTTTCTTAGAATAGTAGGGATATTGCAGAACAAAGATCCGAGAGGATTAGAATTTCTCATCTTCCTTATGCCTTTGACAGGTTGTATTTTTATATCTGGTGGGTTTGATAGATTTACTTCTTATGTTAAGTGTGATTATAGGCAACATATTCTTGAACTGTTCAAATGTATTTGTTCAATGTTGACCCTCTCTCACCCTCTCTCTCTCTACTATAATCGATCCATTGGAATGTTAAAATGTTGTTTAATTATGCCGGTAAGGATGAATGGCTTTCACCAAAGTTTATTTTCACTTACCTAACCTTTACACAACTCCTTTCATCTTGCAGAATGTTGTTGGCTTTCAGTGAGCAAACTAAAGGTGAACCATTCCATGAGAATGCATCAGATCAAAAAATGCTTGAGATAGTTATGAACAGGTATTCTTCATGCCTGATTTTGGTAATTCTAGAATAATCGATTGTGTATATTGCTTTAAGTTGCTTTTGGAAACATTCTGCATTGTTTTGCTTTTCAGCTCCTGCTGCTTTGGGATCTTGAGTAAATGAATATACCTTGCTTCTAAAATGCAGGTATGAACAAGAACTTGAGCATCCAGTTCAGAATCTGGTAAAGGGAGAACTAGCTCGTGGTTTGCTCATCCAGGTACTACTGACTAGTTCATCGTGTTTTTCCCCAGTTCGTGGTTTCATATGTAATTAATGCATTACCCCCCCCCCCCCCCCCCCCCCCCCCCCCCCCCCTCTCTTTCTTGCAGGTTCAAAAACTAAAACTGGATATTGAGACGTGAGTTGGTCAAATTTTCATATTTATACATGTTCAATCACTGTGCTCTAGCTTGTCTGATGAATCTATGTTTGCCAACAGGGCTATGCTGGAACTGGATCAAATCCTCAAGGCAAATGAAATCAACTTCGCCATTCTAGCAGCCTTACCCGCATTTGGCCTCTCCCTTCTTCTGCTGGTGTTGTTGAGGGCGTGGATTAAGCAGGTAACCTGAACATAGAATTGCTAGTAATTAACGCATTTGCTATAATGTCAACTGCCATTTTCGATAGTGGATCTTCTTCCACTATCGAAGAAGACAGAACTGTTGTTTTCTGCTTTGTACTCGTGTTGAATAAAAAAAAATTCACATCAGGCAAGTTTGTGTTGTAGTGTATTTATAACAGGAAACAACTTATTTTACTTCTGTCCATCTAGCTCAGTCTATTTGCACCTCTGACAACCGTTTGCAAGTGGTTTAAATTCTATGTTTTGGCTGTATAAATCAGGACACTAGAGCCGAAGGGAGGGGGAGAATAGCTAGGCGCTACAGGAGGCTGCTTTTGATAGAAGTAGAGAGAAGTATAATGCAGTACCAGGATTACCTGGACCACGGGATGGTAAGTAACTAAATGCCTTACTGGTTTAATTCTCAGTGGTTTATGGTCTTCGTCGTGTATTCTTTCAAAGCTTTATATTCGTTCCCCCCTCCCCCCCAAGTTGGATGATTCTCTCCAGCTATCTCTCTCTCTTCTTATTAATTTGCTTTCTATTACAGGCACCCGAGTCCCAATGCATGTTCGGAATGGTGTTGTACAGTCTGAATCGCTTGTGTCTCGCTGTCGAGGGGCACGCAATGGAAACTGGCGAATGGCAATTGTAAGTACACCTCAACACAACTTGCTTGCTACATAAGTTACTACAAATCTTCCCTTACTGTGTAATGACCCAAGTCTGGACATTGTTTTTCTAAAACCAGGCTGAGACAGGATATCGTGGATCTGGGAAAACCGAGCCTGACAACCGATTACAAGCTAAAAGTAACGTCGAGGATGGAGCGCGCATATGAGTGCTTGCTTCCTTCGACCACACGCCTGTAATTTTTGGCGGTCTCTGTGTTGATTTTTCATACCTGAAATACACAGGACCATACAAGGACTAGCAGTAGGAGGTAAAGGGTGGGGGGGTAATTGAAGAGGGATCCCTGGCTTATAAAGTTCTCTCTCGATTTTTGTTGTAAGCAGCGACCATAGAAGTTGTCAGGTGGGATGGTAGTGAGCTTTTTTCTACTTCCATGCGTGGTACGGCTTTCTAGCCTTGAAATGGAGAAATAAGTAAAGAGTTCGGATTTCTGATTCCATTTTTTTGGATTTTGGATTTTGAATCCGTGATTTTGATCACATAGAGAACGTTTAAATATTGACGAATGACGAGATCTTCAAATGGGTGTTTGGGTCTCGAGACTTTATGGTCGTCAAAGTGAATTAACAGATATGATAGTAGGATGCATTGCTCTACGAAAGTAATTATCTATCTAATAATGGTGCAGTATTTAAGTGTTAATAAGTAGTCTAGACCATGACCATCCCAAAAAAAAACCTGAATCTAGACCATTAGTACAACCTCCAAGTAAATGAGTAATATAGTTTGACATGTAATCTACTTGTGCCAATCAGCTTCTTCTCTATGTGCACCACCTATCAAACAATTAAATTATTCATGATTTATTTATTTAACAATTATTCATGTTGTTTGCTTTCTAATGGTATCTTTTTGTGAAAAGCTATTTAGTATCAATAATTCGAGTTGTTGAAAAAAAAATTAATATTGAATTTTACCGTTCACTAACAAGCTCTCTAAAAAAGTCAACTTATACGGGTTTGAAATTTGCACAAATCAAAATATCATGTGTTTAACAAATAGAATTGTCAAGATTTGAACACAAGACCTCTCGGTCAATCATTCTCAACACGCTAATTTTCATTCTGAATTAACTATTATACCTAAAAAATTCCATTTTCCTCTTGAAACCCACCCGGTTACACTACCCTCCATCCCTATATACAAATTCATACCATTACAATGTAGTTCAATTTAGTTAGACCATAAATTTTTATGGGTAATGACTATTTATTAGCCAAACCTATCGAAATACTAAAAGTTCAAATGTTAACTTCCAATTAGCAATTTTGTTAGTAATATTGACTTGACAACATGACGACTTGTAAGAGACACATGAAGATCAACATTCCAAAATTTTAGTATTTTAACTAAGAAAAGAGGTACAAAATTATTAACGATAACGTAAAAATGACTAATATTTTGAGGCATTATAAAACGTTTGGTTAATTAATAGCATTTGAATAGGTTTGAATAATATAAAAAATCTAAAAAATGTTTGGATAAAAAATAGATATTACCCAATTTTAATTTTAAACCAAAATACCAATACTTGTATAATCATCGTCAAACAAGTTCAATGTGTTATAACTATGATTATAACTTATAGGATAGGATGCATCATGCATATTATAAACTCCAATACAAATTTTGTTGGTTTATTGTTAATTTAATAATTTATACAACGACACCCGTAAAAAATAAAAGTTAGTCCGGATTCCGGAAAGGCGGGCTTGGAAGAGCCGGAAGGGAATTTTGATTTATCCACCTCCGCCTACACCGACGTCAACACTCTTGGGCCGCCGAGCGAGCTGCCTGCTAATATTATTACGCAGTAGAATATCGACTGCTTAATTACAATCCAGACGCTCCTTCTGACAAAATCCCCTTTTCTCTACTCTTCTGCCGCCCGGATTATGATGATGATGGAAGGAGTGGCCCTCAAATTCCCGCCTCTCAAGCTCTTCAACCCTAATTTCCCGACTTCTCCCGCAACCACCGTCACACCTTCTCTTGCCCGCTTCGCCCTCCGCAGCTTCTCGTCTTCGTCATCATCGTGTTCTGCTTCTCTTCCCATTTCCGCCACCGCCGGGAAAGAAGCCGACTCGGCCCTCGGAACCCTCTCCCTCGGCCACCTGACCCGACCCGACTTCCCCATCCTCCACCAGGTAACTACAAGTTTAGAACTTGAATCCCCTTTTCAGTTCCTTGTGCCGGAAAGTTCCTGTCTTTGGGGTGCTGTTGGACTGTTTCTGAATTGGGTTGTTTTTGTGAAGGAGGTGAACGGGTCGAAGCTTGTGTACCTGGACAATGCTGCAACTTCTCAGAAGCCCCATCAAGTGTTGAAGGCTTTGCAGAGTTACTATGCTGGTTATAATTCTAACGTTCACCGAGGAATTCATTACCTAAGGTTCGGGTTCCTCTTTTTCTTTCATCTGAAGGAAATTTTATAGCTTTGCATTCTGAAATTTACTTTCGTTTGTTGGCAGTGCCAAGGCAACGGATCAATATGAATTAGCAAGGAAGAAAGTAGCTGATTTTATAAATGCAGAGGAGAGCCAAGAGATAGTGTTCACCAGGAATGCTACTGAAGCAATCAATCTAGTAGCATACTCCTGGGGGATATCGAATCTGAAACCCGGAGATGAGGTGTTTTTTCTTTTTTCTTTTTGCAGTTTTGTTATCTGATGAACTTAGTTACAATTTGTAGTGAAATTGAACTTTTGACCAGGGTGCCGAAGTTTATCATTTGCTTGTCAATACCAATAATATACATGGAAGAATATCATAGTTGTAGTCTTGTTTTATTCACTGAAATAGTCAGCTAGTAGTAGTGTGATGGTGTGGTTAAGTAGTTGGAAGACTGTGTCTTGTCCTGAACCTTGTCTCAACTTAGCAGCTTGTAATCGGAAGTGTAGAATGTGCACAGCTGAATCAAATACTTGCTCTTTTCAAGGTTTTCCCCCCTTCCTTGAATAATTCATCCTTATCCTACTTGAGCGGATACATGCTAGATTTCTGAAAGAAGTAGGATGTCCACACTTTAGCTTTGAGTTGTTGCCAATGGTAAAAAGAGTTTACACAGCAAGAAAGTCTACTTGTCTAAAACGAAGTTGTTCACTCTACTCTTCTCCCTTCTCTACTGCTTCTGTTTATGCAAATTAGACGAAGAATCTAGAGATGTTACAAAAGGTATTACCACCCTGTTTAAAATCATATTTCCTAGACTCTAGCAATAGCTGTCTTTTGGCAGGCCTCTCGGATATAACCTAGTAAAATCCTATAGCAACTAAGATTGTATATCTAAGAAACTGATAACTGTCTTTAGTTTTTGGAAGTATGTTGCCACCTCACAATGTCTTCTGTTGATTATGTTTGCAAAATCCAGTTTCTTTATTGGTCTTTTTTTAATCAACCCTTAATTTAGCTTGTATTTCTTCCAGGTCTTACTCACAGTGGCAGAACATCACAGTGCTATTGTTCCTTGGCAGCTTGTAGCTCAGAGGACTGGCGCAGTACTAAGGTTTGTAGATTTGGATGAAAATGAGGTTCCTGAAGTGGAGAAGCTGAGGGAATCAATTTCTCGGAAAACAAAGTTGGTTGTTGTGCACCATGTATCAAATGTGCTGGGTATGTTTCCTTTTCGTTTATCTCTCTTAATTTATTTGGATTTGCTGGTATTTGTGCTTATGTGTTATGTCGGGAACATATAGTTATTTCGATTTGCTGGTATTTGTGTTTTCCTTCTCATTGGCTGTGTGAAATTAGCTTCTTCTAACTTGTAGCAGTAAATAATGTACTTTTCTGACTGGTGTTTTTCTCACCCATTTGTACTAAGCACAAGATGCTAATTAAGTGGTTTGTGTATTCTGCAGCTTCTTTTCTTCCTATAAAACATATAGCACGATGGGTTCATGATGTTGGAGGAAAGATACTAGTTGATGCTTGCCAAAGTGTTCCACATATTGTGGTCGATGTGCAGGAGCTAGATGCAGACTTTCTTGTTGCTTCTTCTCACAAGGTTAGGTTATGGCCTTAACGTCTTTCCTTACAAGATTTAGCTAAGCGAATGAAGTTAAGAAATAATCATGCTCCAGATGTGTGGGCCTACAGGCATTGGATTCTTGTATGCCAAAAGTGACATCTTATCAGCCATGCCTCCATTTTTAGGTAAGCTACAATGAAAATATGGAACTTCCTGAATTCCTGAATTGTGGTGCTAGCTTCAAAAATTAGGGATAGCCAGTACAGAAGTGCTAATGTGGTTGTCTTTTATAGGCGGTGGGGAGATGATATCGGATGTTTTCTTAGATCATTCCACATATGCAGATCCTCCCTCAAGGTTGGTGAATTCTTCTAGTTGTGCTCCATAAAGAATATTCAAGAGCAATGTAGAGACTGTTGTTGCACAAACATATTGGATTCCCTTGTGCTGTTGATTGCGTCCATAATAGTGCTCGAGGAAGTCTGAGCGGTGATTATAGAAATTAATTATGGCATGGCTGTCTCTTCCTCTGTACCAGATTTGAGGCTGGCACCCCAGCTATTGGTGAAGCAATTGGCTTGGGAGCAGCGATTGATTACTTGCAAGGGATTGGGATGCAGAAGATTCACGACTATGAGGTGAGTTTCTGGGGAAGCATTACTTCTAAGGGTCATCGTTTCATTCATTTATAGTGGGCTTCTTTTGGGATGGGAAATGATGTAGATCTCTTCTGCACATATTGATTGCTACCCATTGTTCTGATAGACTAATCAATAAGCGTTATCCATTTTCCCAGACAGAGTTGGCTAACTATTTATACGAAAGCCTGTCTACCATCCCCAATGTCCGAATATATGGGCCGAGACCTTCAGAAAAGGTGAAACGTGCTGCCTTGTGTTCTTTCAATGTTGAGGATGTTCACCCCACAGATCTAGCAACTCTACTTGATCAACAGGTGAGTGAGCAACTAGTTACTTCCATAAATCATCTCTTGTAGCAATAAGGTTAGTAACATCCATTTGCAAGAATGCTGACGTACTTTTGTGACTGACTCTCTCAGCATGGAGTGGCTATCAGATCTGGTCATCATTGTGCTCAGCCTCTCCACCGGTATTTAGGCGTGAATGCAAGTGCTCGGGCCAGTCTTCATTTCTACAATACCAAAGATGATGTGGACGATTTCATCAACGCCCTAAGTGAAACAGTCAGCTTCTTGAACTCTTTCAAGTAGAGTGAGCAAAATCCGCTTCATTCGTTCCTTTCCCCCCAAGGCTGCCCTGCTCTCCACATTGATGTCAAGAAAACTGGATACTGAAGGATTCTCAGCTTGTAGTTATTTGCTGTCAGGCTGCTACATCTTGTGGTCTTTGTACAATAGCCATAGGACGGATGTATACATTATTATACAGTGGATTCCCTTGTTTGATAGAAATAATGTTAAGATATGTAAGTGTCGAGAATCAAACATCGGCAAGTTATGTGCAATCGTATTGATTCAATCGGAATAAAATAAAGGGAAGTTGGTTCAATGACGAGATTAAGTATCGATTAAGCTGGTGTAAATTAATCATCATAAAGGGAGTATACAGTGCAAACTGCAAAGAACTTGGAAAAGTTGGTTCTCAGCCTATACAATGGAAATTTTTTGCAAAAAATAATAAATGTTGAGAGTGGGATTTGAACCCACGCCCTTTCGGACCAGAACCTTAATCTGGCGCCTTAGACCAACTCGGCCATCTCAACCTTATGTCAAAATTTTGAAGCCAGGTAATTTATTATAGATATTATTTAATTTGCGATTTAATACTATGTGATTTTATTTTTCTTGGGATATAATATTAGGTTTTTTTTTATCACAATTGGGATCTTATATTATGTTTTATGATAATTGTTGGGAGTTCATCTAATTGCTACATAATAGTAACGTTTTTTTACATTATTAAAGTTCTAATAACTCAAATTTTGATTCTTCATTTTACATGGATGTTTTTTTTTATTCTTCATTTTACATGGATGTTTCTTTGATGTCATCATTTTTATATTCATCTTCTCTATTCTTGGATTCTTCAATGTCTTCACCAATATTTTTACAGTAGGAGAAAGTGATCTACCATGTAGACAATATGCTCTACCTTACTGGCCATGTGGTCGACTCGATTGACAGTATGGTCTACGACAAACCTCCACAAAAATTCAAGTAAATTACTTGAAGTTTATCACAAGTCAGCCTAGACATGCCTTAATATTTGTATCTTACAAAGAACAAAATGTCGAGTTCGTCAAAAGAACAAACTAAGCTTGACACTCTGAAGGTTATAGATCACCCTTATTCAACCATCAAGCGGTCAAACTAACCCAAAAAAATAAAATGAACACTCGATATATTTTAGGATATTGTTTTTAAGGAAGATTATCCACGGTAAACTTGCACTAAAAATCACTAGGCCGCGAACAGTATCATTCGATGAAAAACAATTGAGAGCATTAGTACAAAGTTATTATATGGTTATAGAGCTATATAACATTTTGACCTAGTCTAAACTTAATTGAGCCAAAATAATCATGATCTAAAAGTAATGATACTTTGGGGATCAATGCGACATCAACATGACATTTTATTCTACTCAAATATCAATTCAATCTTTTTTTAATCGAAAATTCATGCAATCGAAAATCATACTACATTATAGTCTTTCCAGTTATAGCTAATCCCGATATAAATTGACCAAACCATAACACACCCCTATCTGTCTGCAATGGTAATATCAATTATTTACTTCTCAATTCACGTTTTTTTTTTTTTTCATCCTTCCTTTTCAAACCCTTATAATAAAATTAAAAAATAGGATGCCGTTTTGCAAAAGCAAAGCCATGCATGTAACCAAAATATTCGTTCAACATCTCCTATTGGCGGAAAAGTGAAGAAAAGGCCTCCTAATCGAATCCAATGCCAGAGTCCATCCATTTTTCCACGCACGATACTCCACGCGCTCTCCCTCACGTTACATCCATCATCATCATTCTTGTCTCCTACGCAAACGACAACACACCCCCAAAAAAAAAAAAAAGCACATAGGCTCAGCATTCCACCGTCACACAGGCGGCGCGTCGTATCACCTCCGGCAAGTCCGGCCCCCTGCTCCACTCCCCACCACCGCCATTCCCTGCCGGATCGTAGACCAGCACCAACCCTTCCCTCAACCCCCTCCCGCTCCTCCCGCTCCGCCGCAGCAAGTCGTCGATCGAACCAATCACCTGCACCATCACCACCTTCTCCTCCACCGCCACGCAGCCGAACCTCACCGTCCCGTCCACCAGCCTCATCTGCTGCGGCACCGGCGGGCTTTTTACCCTGCTCCACTCCCCGAACCCACAGCCTCCGCCACCCCTCCGCGCGTCGAACCGCCAGAACGACAGCTCCACCGCGTGGCTCGCCAGAACGTACACGAACCCCCCAGCAGCGCAGGCCGCCACCACGCACCCGCCGCCGGGCACCGCCCGGCTCCGCAGCCACGCTCGCGTCTCCACGTCGTACAGGTCCATCGAGCTCGCGTACGCGCACGCCTCCGCCCCAGCGCGCGTCGTGGCGGCCTCGGGTCCGGCGATCTTCAGCCCGCCGATCACGTAGAACACCCCGTCCACCGCCGCGCCGACGCACCCGTACCTCCTCCGTGGCGCTTGGGAAACCACGCGCCACGCGTCGTTAACCGGATCGTACTCCTCGACGGCAGCCACGGCAGGCGTCCGAGTGGACACACCGCCTCCGGCGACGTAGATCTTCCCCGATACGACGGCGGAGGCGAATTTCTTCCGGGGGGAAACCATGGGGGAGATGGAGGAAACGGTGTCGGTCCAGATGTGGTAGCATAAAGTGTGGGCCCGGGCGAGGATGTAAATGGTGGGCCCCACAGCGGCCAATCTGGCGTGGGCGAAAATTTCGGGGGAGAATGAATGGAATGGGAGAGAAGATGCTTCAACATTCCAATCGGCGGGGGAGCGGTGGAGGAGGAGGGAGGCGGCGAAGAGGGTCGGGGAATCGGAGGAGGAGAAGGCGAAGAGGGTGGGGCGGAGAAGGCCGCGGAGGCGGCGGAGGGAGAGGAAGGAGGCGGAGTCGAGGAGGTGAGACCAGCGGCGGCAGACGGCGGAGAGGGCGGGGAGGGAAGCGGAAGGGACGCGGGCGAGGCAGTCGAGGAGGAGGTCGTCGGGGAGTGAGGAGAGCGTGGTGGTGGCTGCGGCGGCGGAGATGGGGTGGTGGAAGGATTTGGAAGGGGAGTGGTGGTGGGTGGGATTTGGGAGGCAGGATTTCACCAGCCATGAGAAGTGGCGGGAGTTGCAGCTCTCCGGCGACATTGTTGATGATTCGCTCTGAAGAATTGAACCGCCGCCGGCGGGAGTTTCAGAAATTGAAGGTTGTGGTGGAGGAAAGCTTCGAAGTTGTAGTAGTGTTTACTCTTGTTCCATTTTCCTTTCCCGATATTTTTTTTCTTTTTTCCGATTTTCTTTTGGGGACTGGACTGGGTAATGGAATGTGATTGGGTAAGCTTAGATGGGCCCGTTTTGCGTCCAAACCTTCTATGCTGCGGCTCTTTATTTCTCTCTTTCGGTGGTAAAGAGAATTACTTGCTTGCTTGAATCTTTGTTTATGGTCATTTGTTATTCAAGTGTGAGGTGACGAAAAATAATTAGAAGTGCTGTCTTTTTCTTTTCCAAACTTGTTAATCCTACAGCAATATGAATATGACACAAGGTGATGATCCAGCAGTAAATGATGGGTGCGAGTTGGTTGTGGATATTCACAAAAATTTTTACATTAAAAATAGTAATATGGTAATTAAAAAGTGATGTTGTGTTTCTTCTCACACAAAAACAACATACATTAAAGAAAGTTAATAAAGTGTTAACTAAATTATAAATCTCGAATACAATAGGTTAGTTAGTGTAAATTCAAAAGAGATGGGTTTGGAAAGAGATTTGAAGATAACGAAGAGGCGGAGTGATATGTTACTCGACTAACATCGTTGCATGTCACGGCTCCTCCGATGACAACAACAACAAAACACAAAAGTGGCTCGATAAGTTGAGGCGCCCGCTTTTAATGAATCGATTATTCTCCAATCTCGATTAATCGATTATAGTCTTGTATTGTTGGTAGCTAGTTGCATGCTGTGTTGTTCGTGAGTTCGTGGAGAAATGGAGTTTGGGTATCAGACTAACCTTTATCGATTATTCTCCTCTTTTAACGAATCGATTAATTTTTCTGACTATATCTATGGACTTGGTTTTGTTATAAAATAAAGGGTAAATACAATTTAATATCCAAACCTTTCATTTTAAACAATATAATAGCCAAACCTTTTCGAAAACAATCTAATATCCAAATTGTTAACTTTCCGTTCGTTTGAGCGTTAGTTGACACTTCAAAAAAGCTTTGTTGAGGGGAAATTGTCACAATACAACTTTGTTTCTTGTTTTGGCATTGCAGATGACTGAATATCTAGATATTCTATACCATCATGGTGGAGTCATGGACTTCTCGGGTTTGGAACTACGATATGTTGGTGGTTTTTCAGAGAAGATATCGATGGATATTGATGAAGTGTCATACTTCGAACTTTTTTGAAGTGTCAACTAACGGTCAAACAAACAGAAAGTTGACGATTTGGATATTAGATTGTTTTTGAAAAGGTTTGGCTATTATATTGTTTAAAATAAAAGGTTTCGATATTAAATTGTATTTACTCTAAAATAAACATATACCACATGGACAATGCTTATATAATAAAAGCATCTCACATGAACATTGTGTATTGACTTGGTTTTGTTTTATAGAATAAGTGCATATTTGATTTTGGTAGCTACTTTAATTCTTAGTCTTCCAAGCATCCCAGCCGATCCTAGTCTCGCGGATTAGGTATTTTACTTATTATTATTACATGTAATAACGATGAGGTATAAGAAATGAAATCTATTACTTTGCGTGACTAATTGGCTATATAACTAGTAAGCCACATAATTAATTAAACTTCCTCGATTAATCGATATAGACCGAACAACAAATATCGACAAGAATATTGGAGTTCACGTGTCTGATTCTAGGTGAATTTTTCCGGCACTACTCACTGATGAAGTCACAGTCGAAGTCTTCCCTCTGGCGCCAGCAGCAAACGTATGGAAACCATAAATTGAATTCAGTCCTTGATCAAGCTAGCTAGGTCCCAACTGCAGTAACCATCGTCGTCAATTTTTCTCGACAGGGAAAAAGGGAAGAAGAAAATACAAACAAGACGCCATTACTTCCCACCCCCCAAACACAGGGAAAATACAAACTGCATACATCAATAAAAGACAAGCAAGCATATAATATGTAACCGAAAGAAAACATGCAAATAGTACAAAAGCAATTAACACCGCAACTACAACCAACCCACCACGCTTCTTACTTACCGACCAGAAAGATAGAACTTACAACAGTTGAATGGCTATGTTAAGCGACGGATCCAGAACACAGAAGAGCACTGGGCCGCACTTCGTTAGACAATTAGAATCGTAAAAAAATATAATAATTATAGTTTTTTTTTTGCAACGTCAATTGTACACGAAGGTATTTAGTTTAGCAAATGCGTCAATAATGGAGTCCACATCCATACCAATAGTCAGTGGCGTAGTCAGACATCGAGTCTACTGGGGTCCTTAAAATTTTACTAACATAAATGCTTGTGTACCTAATGAATTTTGAGTTAACCGGGATCCTTGGTGAGCAAACATCGTTGAGAGTATGGGGTCCTAAACTTGAATTATTATACTAAAACCTATGTATTTAAAGGGTTTTGTTCCCCAATTATTTGCCAAATGGGGTCCTAGGACCCCTCTCCTCCTTACCTCCCTCCGCCACTGCCAATAGTATACACTGTTTCAAATAACAATACTTGAGCAAGGCGAGAAATTCATTGATTTTTTTTTTGCGCAAATCAATTTTCACATGTTTCATTGTTGAAAAGGTTCTCTCCATAGTAGCTGTTGAACGAGAAGCGTCAACACTAGACAAATCAATCGACTAATCCATTTACATTGTGTGTCCATCCCAATATCCTCCAGCTGCTCTAGTAAATTTTCAAGGAAACAAACCTCATATTTCTTTTAGTCTTTTACGTTTTAGACTTTTAGACTTTTAGGTTTCATTGTTTTTTTAGACGAATAATCTTTGGGGCTAGAATTTCTAAACTAAATTTAGAGTAGCGATTTGAATATATTTATCTGTATCATTTTTCTAGTTATACCCAATCTTATTATAAAATAACACTGGACCGAATGTCTAAAATCGAAAATTCATAAGAACTACACTAACATCGGATCCGGAGGAGGGCTAGGCCGGGGCCCGGGGAACCAGTTGAAGGACGTAGTAGCCTTTATATAACAAGCTAACCACTACCAGTACCAAACCTACCACACTACTTCTGAATCGGCCAAAACCCAGAGATCGAATTGCTTCAAAGTTCTTTGGCAATGTCGTCTCTACACTCAGCAGTAACCACCTCCGAAGAAGTCACTGACTTCGTGGTTCACAAAGCCAATGGCTTGAAAGGGCTGGTAGATTCAGGCCTCGCCACAACCCTGCCTCCGCAGTAAATCAAGCCGCTGGCTGATATTAGAGAAATAAAGAAATAAAATAATTTCCCCTTGATAATTCTTCTACCATTCTCCATTTACCCCTTCATCTCCCAGGTCCATTGTCTGCGACCGCCTCACCAAACGCTGGGCCTTCCACTGGGCCGACCTTGGTTCCCCCCCCCCCCCCCCTTCGGCGTCTGCTTCCCCAAGTGAAGGTCCGTCATCAGCAACCCCTTCGGCCCATACCGACACAGCGCCCTCTCCTGGGCTGCTCACTCCGGCCCATCCGCCTGTTCCCTCTCTTGCTGGGCCGCCCCCAGTCCACCGCCCCCATTCCATGACTACAAGGGCCCAACACGGTATCTTCCGTCCCAAGAAGCTTTTTGTTAATGTTACTACTGCTGGTTCTCTCCCTTTGCAGCCTCGGTCCGTCAAAGAGGCCCTCCAGTATGATGAATGGGCTGCCGCTCTCACTGATGAACATCGGGCTCTTCTTCGGAATTATACTTGGGACCTCGTTCCTCGGCTGCCCCATTACAACATTATTGATTGTCGTTGGGTGTTCCGTGTTAAGTTTCTTTCCTCTGGCCTTCTCGACAAGTTCAAAGCTCGTCTTGTTGCCAAGGGGTTCCGCCAGCGTCCGGGTATTGATTACACTGATACATTTAGCCCGGTTGTCAAACCTGTGACTGTGCGGACAGTGTTCACTTTGGCTCTCTCTCATAACTGGCCCATTCAGCAGTATGACGTCAACAATGCCTTTCTTCAAGGCCCGTTAGAAGAGGAAGTATATATGACTCAGCCACCGGGGTTTGTTGATCCCTCTAAACCGGATCATTTCTGTCATCTCCGTCGTGCCATCTATGGTCTTCGCCAAGCTCCTCGTGCCTGGTACACCGCTCTTAGTACCTTCCTAGAAGATTATGGGTTCCGTAAAACTCATTCTGATGCCTCCTTGTTCGTATACTCTCTATTGGGCCAGATTGACACTTCCTCACGTTTGTCTAACTCGGCCCGTCCTGTGACACGTCCGCATGCAGCCCATGTTGTTTTTTCCTCTTCATGTAAGGGATTGATAACCCTAGTTGATTTGTGTACGGGATATAAAACCCCCTGTAATGGCCATCGACCACCATGAACTGAATAAGACGAAAACCTAAACTGGAGAGTAGTTACTCTCCCGTGGACTAGTCCTGATCATCGGGGATACCACGTAAACCTCGTCTTCTCTCGTTTTAATCGCACTCGTACTTAGCAGATTTCTCATGGTATCAGAGCCTGATTTTTCGTTCGTCAGCGACGTTCATTCCGCTGGCTTGTCTCTATCTTTGGTGTTCGATTCTTAATCGTTCGCCATGACTGATTCTACGTTGTCAAGCGCCACACCTCAGTCAAGGTCTGGCGGCTCTAGTGGTCAGGGTTCGGATTCTTTGAGCCCATATTTTATCCATCAATCGGACAGCACTGGTCATCTTCACGTGAGTAGTGTTCTCACGCCTACCAACTATGGGGAATGGGTCCTGGAGATGACAGATGCCCTTGTCACTAAGCACAAGGTTGGTTTTGTCGACGGCAGCATCCCTCGCCCGGCGGACACATCTGAGGACCTCAGTTCGTGGACTCGTTGTGACGCTCTTGTCAAAGGTTGGTTACGTACAGCCATGGATGCTGAAATACGCAGCAGTGTTATGCATGCAAAAACTGCCTAGGAGATTTGGGAGGATCTCCGCGATCGTTTCAGTAAGGGGACTCTCACCCGTGCTTATGAGCTTCGTCGCCATGTCAGTCTTTTGCAGCAAGAAAAGCATACGGTCTCTACCTATTATACTCAATTGCGCAAAATTTGGGAGGAAACCCAGACCATATTGCCGCCTCCCATTTGTGCTTGTGGTCGCCGTAGCAAGGACCAAAATGAGAGCCTCCGCCTCCTGGATTTTTTGCTCGGCCTTGATGACAATTTCGCTACTGTTCGTAGCCATGTTCTGTCTATGCAGCACACGCCTACTCTCCCTGAGGCGTTTCGGATTGTCTCTAATGATGAGCAGCAGCGCTCTCTTTCTCAGAATCGCAAATCCTCTATTGAAGCTGCTGCCTTCTCTACTCGCGGTGAACCTGACCGCTCGCCGCGTCCCTCTGCCGATCGTAGTGATCGTGGTGAGCGTGAGCGTCCGCGTTGCTCACATTGTCAGAAGATTGGCCATCTTCGTGAAACCTGCTACGAGCTGATCGGCTACCCCTCTCGTGACAAGCGTGGAGAGCGCGGACTCTTCGTCGTGTTCTTCATGTTCCTGAGTTTAGCTGCAATCTATTGTCTGTCAGTCGGTTGTGTAAAGAGAATAATGTGGCCTTGATCTTCCTCGCTGATTTTTGCATCATTAAGGACTTACGCTCCAAGACAGTGATTGGGAAGGGGGAGATCCGTGATGGTCTGTATTTCTTGCAACTTTTTGGCTGTCGACGTGCTCAAGTGAATGCAACTGTCAGTGTCAGTCGAGTTCCGGAAACCACGTGGCATGCTCGCTTGGGTCACCCCTCTCCAGCCAAGATGGGGCAGCTTCGGCATCTTATTTCTATGTCTTCATCGGATTCGCATGATGTATGCCATTCTTGTTCTAGAGCAAAACAAGTTCGAACTCTGTTTCCAGTTAGTTCTATTAAGACTACTTCATGTTTTGAGCTTGTGCATGTGGACATATGGGGTGGTTATAAGACGCCCTCCCTCAGCGGGGTTCATTATTTCTTGACCATAGTCGATGATTTTAGTCGGGCTGTGTGGGTTTATCTGATGCGTTTTAAATCTGAGGCTGGCCGGTATCTACAACTGTTTTGTCACCTTGCTCGTACTCAGTTCGGTAAACAGATTCGGCGGATTCAGGCTGATAATGGGCACGAATTCCAAACTGATATTCTTCGTGCGTATTACGAACGTGAAGGTATCGTGCTTCAGACCTCTTGTACCGACACCCCTCAACAAAATGGGGTCGTTGAGCGGAAGCATAGGCATTTACTCGACACTGCTCGAGCTTTGCGTTTTCAGGCAGCTCTCCCGGTTCGTTTTTGGGGCGAATGCGTCTTAACGACAGCCTACTTAATTAATCGGCTTCCTACAAAGGCCACCGGTCGCCCGCCGTATCAAGTTCTTTTCGGCAAACCTGCTACCTACTCTCACCTGCGTATCTTTGGCTGTTTGGTCTACTGCAAAGACACGCATAGTGGCTTGGGTAAGTTCGATGCTCGTGGTCGGGCTTTTTTGTTTTTAGGCTATGCTTATAGCCAAAAGGGCTACCGTGTTTACGATCTGGAGACTCACAAATTATTCACCAGTCGTGATACTGTTTTTCATGAGACCCAGTTTCCTTTTCATTCTCCTGATGGCGCCGAATCCATTGGGTACCTCGGCATACTTTCACTCGGCCTCCTTTGGATGATGAGGATGCGCTGGCGGTTCCCACCTTGGCTGTTGGCGAGTCCTCCCCTGCAGCCCCAGTTTCTCCCACGCTACCTTCCTCATCAAGTCTCCCCGAGGAGTCAGCTGGTTCGCCTGCTGCGGCGACACCTTATGCGGATGATCATTCCCCGCCGTCTCCTGCTGTGCAGTCTCCACCTCCGGTTCCGCCACCTCCCCCTTCTCCCCGTCGGGGTGATCGGCACCGTACCATGCCCAAACACTTGGACATCTATTACACGGGGAGTCAAGCTAATCATATTCGTTATCCTTTGTCTGATTTTCCCAATCATGATCGTATCTCACCACAGTTTTATGCCTTTCTTGCAGCGGTTGGTAGCCATTCTGAGCCTCGATTTTTTCATCAAGCCATCAAGCATGAATGTTGGCGCATGGCCATGGCAGCTGAGATTGCTGCCCTCAAACGCAACGGTACATGGAGCTTGGTTCATTTGCCTTCTGGCAAACGTGTAATCGACTGCAAATGGGTCTACAAGATCAAGTATCGCCCTGACGGTTCTATTGAACGCTTCAAGGCGCGTTTAGTTGCGAAAGGTTACACGCAGGTGGAAGGGATTGATTTCCACGACACTTTCGCACCTGTTGCCAAATTGGTAACTGTGCATTGTCTCATTGCTGTGGCTGTTAGTAAAGGCTGGTTCATTCATCAACTCGACGTTAATAATGCCTTCCTCCATGGTGATCTCGAGGAGGAGGTTTATATGCGTATTCCACAGGGGTTTGCTGCTCCTTGTGATACTCGTGTTTTTCGTCTCCACAAGTCTCTCTATGGACTTCGTCAAGCCTCCCGGAATTGGTATCACAAGTTTACTGCTGCTCTTTGTGATCTGGGATTTCGTGCGTCTTCGGCAGACCACTCTCTTTTCATCTATCAACGTGGACGTGTCCATGTTGTTGCACTGATCTATGTTGATGATGTTTTGCTGGCCGGTAATGATCTCGACTTTATCACTCGTGTTAAGCAGTTTCTTGATCAGCGTTTCAGCATCAAGGATCTCGGTTCTCTTCGTTATTTCCTCGGCATCGAGGTTGATCGCTCGCCCAAGGGCATCATACCCAGTCAACAAAAATATATCTTGGATATCTTGACCGATGCAGGGGTCACTGGCTGTCGTCCTAGTGCCTTTCCCGTCGAGCAGAACCATCATCTTACTCGGCCGACTACTACTCCGTTAGTGGATGCTACCTCCTATCGACGCCTGATTGGTCGTCTTCTTTACTTGACAGTAACTCGGCCGGATATTGCTTATGGAGTTAATGTTCTCAGTCGTTTTGTTCATGCTCCCAGTCAGGACCACATGGACGCTGCCTATCGCATTCTCCGGTACCTAAAAACGTCTCCTGGTCAAGGGCTTTTCTTTGCTGCAGATCGTCCACTCGATCTTGTTGCTTATTGCGATGCGGATTGGGGTGGTTGTGAGAGCACCCGTCGATCCACCACCGGTTACTTTATCAGTCTGGGTGGTGCACCTGTCTCTTGGCGCAGTAAGAAGCAACACGTTGTTGCTCGCTCTTCCGCTGAAGCCGAATATCGTGCCATGGCTAGTACTGTTAGTGAGGTTGTCTGGTTACGTTCGCTTCTTGCGGAGCTTGGTGCTCCTCAGTCTGCTGCTACCCCTCTTTACTGTGACAACCAGGCTGCTCTCCACATTGCTGCTAATCCGGTTTTCCATGAGCGCACCAAACATGTGGAGATGGATTGTCATTTTGTTCGGGAACGAGTTTAGTGTGGTCACATTGCTCCTTTGAAGGTCAGTTCTCGTCTCCAGCTTGCGGACCTTTTCACCAAAGGCTTAGGTGCTGATCGCTTTCGTTTTCTCCTCTCCAAGCTGAGCGTTCGTCACCTTCCCGTCTCAGCTTGCGGGGGCGTATTGGGCCAGATTGACACTTCCTCACGTTTGTCTAACTCGGCCCGTCCCGTGACACGTCCGCATGCAGCCCATGTTGTTTTTTCCTCTTCATGTAAGGGATTGATAACCCTAGTTGATTTGTGTACGGGATATAAAACCCCCTGTAATGGCCATCGGCCACCATGAACTGAATAAGACGAAAACCTAAACTGGAGAGTAGTTACTCTCCCGTGGACTAGTCCCGATCATCGGGGATACCACGTAAACCTCGTCTTCTCTCGTTTTAATCGCACTCGTACTTAGCAGATTTCTCACTCTCAGAAGTCTGTTCTTCTGTATTTTATGGTCTACGTTGATGATCTCCTACTCACGGGTAATGATTCTTCGGCCTTGTCTTTGTTTCAAGAGGCTCTTTCTCGTCGGTTTTCTCTCAAGTCACTTGGTTCAGTGAATTATTTTCTGGGCATCGAGGTTATTCCTACTGCTACTGGTTATCTCTTATCTCAGCAGAAGTACATGGAAGATGTTCTTCATCGTTTTCACATGATGGATGCCAAGGCTGCTCCTACGCCTCTGGACTCCTCTGTTTCATTATCCCTTCGTGACGGGAGTTCTTCGACTGATGCTACTCGCTATCGGCAAGTGCTTGGTGCCCTTCAGTATTTGACGTTTACACGTCCGGATATTGCTTTTGCTGTCAACAAGCTTTCTCAGTTTATGCACGCTCCCACTTCCGCTCATTGACAGAGTGTTAAATGCTTGCTTCGATACATCTCCGGCACTCTCTCATATGGTTTGACTATTCGTCGGCCTACTGGTCCTCTTTCCTTATCCGCTTTTGCCGACTCGGATTGGGCTGGTGATTTGGATGATCGTTCCTCGAAGTCAGCTTATTTGGTCTATCTCGGCAATACTCTTATTTCCTGGCGGTCTCAGAAACAGCGAACGATTGCTCGATCAAGCACCGAGGATGAATACCGTGCTATTGCTCATGCTACCACTGAGCTTGAGTGGATTCTCAACCTTATGCTTGAATTACATCATCCTCTTTCAGCTCCCCCTACGATTTACTCGGATAATTTGGGTGCCACCTACTTCAGTTCTAATGCAGTGTTTCACTCCCGCATGAAACAGCTAGCCTTGGACTACCATTTTGTTCGTCAACTGGTTCAAGCTCATCGGCTCCGCGTCTCTTATGTACCCACATCACATCAGTTGGCCGATGTCCTTACTAAGCCACTACCTGCTGCGCGCTTCCAGCTTCTTCGGTCCAAGCTCGGCGTCGTTGACACGTCGTCCGTCTTGCGGGGGCGTATTAGAGAAATAAAGAAATAAAATAATTGCCCTTTTATTTCTTTATTTGTTAGTTCCGTGTATATAGGTTTTGTTAGTTGCACCTCTCCTGTTAGCTACAAACTCTCCATCTCTTTAGCTCTCCACTTCTCACGATCCCTCTGTTGTACTGTATATATTGTTTGGATTGTTATCAATACAAGTACAGAAAATCTTTCCCAAATATTATTTCCTTCTATATGGTATCAGAGCCTAGAACCGAAAGGTCATGTGTTTGAATCTCCATGACCCCCAATATTAATAGTTTATTAAAGCACAAGGTATGGTGGGCATGTACAAACTTCAAGCCCGTGAGTTAGCTTTCGTTTGAGGGGGCGTGTTAGAGTGTGGTATAAGATCCATCATAATCTTCTCCCAACAACTCGAGTTATTGGGATCAACTGGTTTATGACAGCTGAGAGGCTCGAATCGATCAAGATCACCACGTCAGCTTCGATACCCATCATCGACGTCTCGAACTGGGACGACCCAAGTGTCCAAGATTCGATCTTTGAGGCTGCCAGCAAGTGGGGTTTCTTCCAGATCGTCAACCACGGCATTCCCTCCCAAGTTCTGGCCAAAGTCATAGACGTAGCTCATGGGTTCTACGGGCAGAGCAACGAGGAGCGGAGGAAGTACTGGAAAGGGAGCTCCCTTTCCGACACCGTTTTATACGACACGAGCTTCAGCCCCCAGGCGGAGCAAGTGCTGGAGTGGAAGGATTTCTTGATTTTTAGTATCTCAAAGGGGATGGCGAGGACGACGAACCTGTTGGTTCCGAGTTTTGGCCTCTTGTTTGCAGGTAATGAAAGATAATAAAAAAAACGTGTCATTATATGAAGAATTAGCAAAATGTAACTCATACGATACAACTTCAAAGAACGGGCAACAATAAAATCACTAAGATGTTGTGGGAGAGGTCTGTAGTAATTTGGACTTGCTGTTAAATGGCGTAATGAATTAGCTAGGAGGACGAGGCGACGAACCAGCAAAATTCGGCACAGCCGTGCACGGATAGCATTTTTGTTAAGTAGTAATATATGATTTGATTTGATTAATTAATGCACCAGGGATCAAGTGCTGGACTACGTGAGAAGCTTTGAGCCAGTGATGAAGAAGCGGGTGGAGGTGCTGCTAAAGAAGATCAGCGTGAATGAGATGAACAAAGAAAGAGAGCGTTGCCTTGATGGGTTTACCAAGGGTTAGCCTGAATTACTATCCAAAGTGCCCAAACCCTGAGCTAGCTGTTGGGGTCGGCCGCCATTCGGACATTTCGACCATCACCATCCTGCTTCAGGATGATACTGGAGGGCTCTACGTTCGTGAAATCAAAGAAGAAGAGGAAGAAGAAGAAGAAGGTGGTTGTTGGATTCCCGTCCCGCCGATTGAAGGAGCTCTTGTGATAAATGTCGGGGATGGGAGCACCGTGCATTTCCCAGCAAGACTAGGAGCAGGGTTTCCGTTCCCATCTGGGTTGGGATGGGATGCTAACCCCATACCCCGTTAGCACCTGCTAAACCCAAAAACGCTACACACGTATTCATACAAACACTACACACGTATTATTAAAAACCACTACTACCAATATATTGCACCTCAATATTGACGAAACTACATAGTACCAAGACAACTATGACCAGAAACACTACCATGACTGCACATCAAACTACTACAGAACCTACATATTAACAACACAGGCGATCAATAAAAAAAGACTACCAAAAACTTCCATGCAAAAACATTACCACGACTATTAGGACGGTGCTAACCCCCTATAGGATTAGCACCGTAGCTTGTCCCTTCCCATCTTCGTCATTCCTGCTGGAGATGCTGTCATCGGATTTCTGCCGGAAGTACTTTTACAAGGTGGGGAGAAGAAGGCTGTTTACAAGTTTGTCCTGTATTCAGATTACTTCGCCCACTTCTTCAGCAAGGGTCATGACGGGAAGCGTACCTTGGACTTTGCCAAGATATGAACTAAGAGAGGCAGAGTATTGGAAATAACCAGAAACTGCTGTTGTACTACGAAAGTATGTTGAAATAAAGGCTAATTTGTCACAAGAAAAGAAAGATGAAAGGCGTAAGTGTAATAAATTCAACTAGATAACTGGTCCGCGCTTTGCAAGGATAAAAATGAATATTTAATTAAGGTGTATTGGATTGAATCAGATTAAATCAATTTGTATTTGAGTATTGTTTGAATTGTTAAAGTTGGCATTTTCAATTAATGATTTTATATATATTAAAGAGAATTATTTGCAAAGACACAACCCCTCCTGTTCATATAGACTGTGAATTACTATTCAACGTGACCGAAATTTACTGTTTGCCTCCCTCTGATTGGCTGGCCCTCTGAGCCTGGGCCCGATTGTTTCATTCAAAGAGCTCGGATTGGGCCGCCGGTTTTTGTCAGGGTTGTTCCACCTTGGGCCGGATCTAACTCATGATGTGCGAAGCAAGGCACGTTGCCCGTGGATCTGGTTAGAGATCCTCTTCTCCCACTGGCTGTCTTTTCTTGCCAGGCCATCACGCTGTTGCCGCATTCCACCTGCGTTGCTTACCTCACACTACCGTCTAATCTTTTGCATCGAAGGGTGGGCTTCTTTTTTCAGGGAAGCTGCCCTTTGATTCGACCTAGGGGGTATCACCACCGTCCGTGTGTCGCCTAACTTTTTCCACATCGGTTTAACTCTGGTTTGCTGAATTTGCCATGCCACTTTTTCTTACACAATAGTTTACCCCTTCTCTCTCCTTCTTTGAGCTCTCATTTTACTCTCGCTCTGTTCGATGGTTCTGGGTAGTTTCCGCAGCTTTGGAATGAAGTTCACTCTGCTCTGTAACCCTGGCGGTCCACGCAAGGCGGATATTGCCATGGAACTGAGGTTGTTGCATGCATGGGCTGTAAAATCGCCGGTGATACTCGCGTGTACAACTACGCCACCCTCTAGGTTGATGAGACTGTGAGTTTGTGTGCATTCCATGTACTTTTGTTACATAGTAGTTTTCCACTCGCAAACGTTACTCTTTGCGCTAATGGTTTTCCTCCTTGCTTACAAGGTACCTTGATTCACGGGGTTTCGCCATCATCAATGGCTAATGGCATCCGCAAGAATCTTTCTGTTGGGAAAGTTTATGTCATTCGGTCGTTTGGTCTCGGCAATCCACCGCACCAGTATTGGGCGTGTTCATTCGACCTGGCCCTCAGCCTCACACCTTCGACTTCTTTTAGGGAGTGCACCTTACCAACTGGAAGCTTCCCAATAGACTCTTACGAGTTCTTGCCCATCTCTCAGTTTATATCGCGTGCTGGTGATCATATGGCATTGACAGGTGTGTGCTTTTTCCATCTTCCTTTTATTTCCTGTTTACACTGGTCGAGGAGTGCTAGGAGGTTCATTGTTTGTCGTGGTTGTAGATGTGACGGGCCGTCTGCATTCTATCAGTGGGATATCGCACAAGATAACGAACAATGGTCCAATGGTTAAGCAGACTGTTGTCATAGAGGACGAAAGGTGACTTATTCTTTGGGGGAGGGGGTGTGGCTTTGCTTTGTGTGGTTGAAGGTTGTCTGATTTGCTTTGCATGTCGTTTTGTAGTGGGGCGGAGGCAACAATTACGCTTTGGGATGAGTTCTCGGGGATCTTGGACCACGTTGCTCTGACTCAGGCAGACTGTATTGAACCTGTTATCCTGGCGTTTGGTGGTCTTTTGGTCAACAAATTGGGGAGTGCGTCGTCTTCTGCTTCGTGTTTGTTATTTTGTATTGTTTGCCAGTTGAAAGTGCTTACTCGGCTACTCTGCAGGTTCTTGTGTGTTGTCCAGTTCAGCTGCTACGCGCATAGCTGTTAATCCGCCAGTCCCAAAGGCCTATCATCTTGCATCTAGGTACACCGGATGCTATATTCCCAATTTGCTTATCTAACACGTATTGTGCCTCCCATCAATTGGATTTCTGAATCTGTTTGCTTACGTTCTGACCAGGTTTGCTGAGAAGCGTGAGGTTGTCAATTCCTTGCCGGTTGAATTTGCAACAATTGTAGAGGCAACAACTGATGCAGATCGACGTACAAGGACTCTTGAGGAGTTGATTACCTTGGCTCACAACAACAGCTCAACCAGCTTCGTGGCCAATATGTTAAGGTTGATTGCAGGCTACCACTATCTGGTCCAACTGGGTTTATGTTAGAGGAATTTTGGGTTGCTCAGGTCGTGCCACTTGATGATCCTCAAGTTGTTGGTGACATGCTTGAGTATCATCCTCAGCTTGCATTGCCAGCTGCTGTGCAACCGCTTCAAGTGCCTGCTCATGTAGCTGCACCCTGCAGTACAGGCTTCGCCACCTTCAGATGCAGATGGATTGTCCGACTCTGGAAGGTCTGCTTTTGTTAATGAGCCTGTTCGTTTGTTGTTTCTGTTCATGCGCTCTGGGTATGTTTTGTAGCCTAATTATTGTTTGCCACCTACAGACTTTCACGTGTTGAGAAAGGGAAAGCAAAGGTGACTGATGCTCCGCTGATTGAAACCCCAATGCGTTCTGTATTGATCATGATTCAGACGAGCCAATAAGGTTGGCCTGGTGTGATTTTGAAAAAAAAAATTGTTGTCTTTTTTTGCACTCAGCTTATGTGCGAATTATTGAATTTTGTGTTGTTCTTATGGTTTCTAGTGTCTATTTGCAAAGCGTTCACCATGATCTGCCTCAAACTGTTGGGAGCCAAACTCCTCCTAAGACTTCCCTGCATGCTATGTCTCCACAGAATCCATCACCACAATAAATTGAGAAAATTGCTGCAGATGGTTCTTCGCAGACAAACACTCATGCAAAGCAATATCATCAGAATGTTGTTGCACCTGTTGTAGCAGATGCTCGCAAACGCTCATTTACAATTGGTGGGTCGTTGGCATGGATGATGTTGAGGATGATTTGCTTGCTGGTGATTCTAAAGTTCCTAAGCATGATGAGAGGGCTTCTCCTGGGAGTGTTATGCAATCAACATCAAATTCACCTTTGACAACTTTGTATGTTTGTTGTTTATTCTCATGCTTCCAAAGTTTGTTTACATGTTCTGCTACACTCATGATTTGCTGTTTGTTTGCATGCAGATTGTTGTCCCCGTTGGCAAAGATAAAAGTCGAGAAGTTGACAACCTCTGAAATTGTTGCCCTCAAGGGTAGCGATGCACCTTTGTCCGGTACTGATGAGGTAGAGTCTGCACCGCGTGATGCTCAAAAGAGCCCTGCTGCAAAGCGTGCTTTGTTCAAGAAATGATGTAAGTGCGCACATGTTCTGATTTTTCTTGGGGTTTTAATACGAGTTCATAAACAATGCAATCTTTTGGGGTCGCACGACACCAACAGTCATCTAATTGAAAAGGATTCCAGTTTTCTAAGTGATCCATGCTTATTTGATTTTTGTGTTCCTCTTGCTTTCTATTGTAGGTGTTTTGTGTTGTAGGCCAATGTTGTGTGTGTTGTGGAATGGTTTGGTGCCTTTTACCCAGAAGCTATGGGGTCGGTTAAGGGGTGTTTTGTTCACCAGGCCATGTGTTCTCTAAGGAAGACTGATGTAGAAAGTTCTATGCCCCTCTAGCATGTAGCAATGTGTAATACCAAACAATGATGCTCCTGCCAAAATTGTTGTAATCCCACAACATGTCTGATTTCTATTTGAACAAAAACAAGGATTCGTGATGAAGGTTTCGGATAAGTAATGTTGGTGGATTGTTTATGTTCAAGTGGATCTTCCTATATAATTGAAGTCGTGATTGTGTGATGTGGCTGATCATGTGTTGGTATGAAGAGGGTTTCAAGTTATTGACCTTGAAATCATGGTCTCGCAATGCTTTCGCAAGCAATGCTCCATGTCTTTGTCGGCTCTAGAACATATTCATGCTTTGTCAACGCACGCCGTTATTGGATTATCGTTATAAATTAAAATCCCCACTTTGCATGCAGTTAGGTTTTTTCCTTAGATTGCCCACAAAAATCCCTAGGCTCGCTCTTGTGTCGTTAATCGTTTTACTTGATTTTTCAATCGTCGTTCATTCCATTCTTAATCCTTAATGTTGCCCGGTGCAATCATACACGGGCTGTTGTGTTTTTTTTTATAGCTTTGTCGTTATAGTTAAATGGCACATGGATGCTTAAATGGATAATAGAGAAGTCGTTTGTAATTTGGCCCACATTGGTTTTGATTCCAAAATTCCACTGCCATATGCCACTGTTGCCATTAAATGAAGGTGTTAGTAGAATGATTGCCCTGTTTCTCATTGCAATTGTAACTAGTGTGGTGGAGGATGATGTCCTGAGCCTCAAAGGCTTGGCATTAATTGCAGCCATCTTTTAGATGTTGAACTAACAAATATCTATTATTTATAAATTAAAATGCTAATGTGTGCCTAATATCACGTTCTGTTTACCTCTCCTTCTTCACTACCACTATAGCACAAGACATCCACTGTCATTCTCATTGTCATTTGCTACTTCTGCTGTCAGTTAAAAAAATGGGACCTTCATCTTCATCTTTTGTTTCAGGTCTGATCTCCATGGCCTTTCCATATGCATCCATGGCAGACTGATCTAGATGCTTCACTTACACGCATGCTTTTCTGATTAGTTTCTAGAATTTCTAGCCATTTATAGACCAGGTTTGCTTGTTGTACCCATTAGTTAGCCTCATTATTGGGTTTGTTGTGAATGTAGATGGTATAAATGCTTTTTCTATTTGTCTCAGTCAGAGGAACATTCCAACAGTAAATGCTCATATAACTCCCTAAAAGGGTTTCGTGTGTCTCTAACAGGGATGACTCCATGCAAAAGGAAGGGACAGTATCACCACCTCAGATCAAAGAGATCAAGAATCATTGTTCCATATCAGTCTCTGCATAAACAAACGTCTTTTTCTTTATTCTGTCAAAGTGGAGATGTTGATCTAACCTCACCTTTCACACAAGCAAACGAAAATGCTACATTCACGCGTTCAAGCACAGGTTCTGCATCTACTTATGCTGGTATTCCTGAATTGCCTCCAGAATCTTGCTCAGGTGAAAACTGTCATCAGCCTGAATCTGTGGTCCCAGTTGTGCAAACAAAACACGTTCCCTGCTCGAGTGCCATTACATAATGACATTTTAAAAATAGGAAAGCCAGAATGTGTTTGCAAGTTTTGTGGTGCTATGTTCCGGTATTTGGAACGACTAGATAGATGTCGAGCAACAACCAATCAGGCGTACACTCTATGCTGCCAGAAAGGGCGAGTTACTTTGCCATTGCTCATAGAACCTCCACCCTTGTTGACTGAACTTCTGCAAATTGATGGGGGGCCTATGCCTAAACATTTCAGGGATAACATTCGACCATACAACGGTTCGCTTTGCTTCACTTCGTTTGGTGCTACATTTGATCCTCAGAGTGTAGCAAGTAGAGGATCATATTCAATGGTTATATGTGGGGAAAATTACCACAAAATTGGTTCTCTCATACCAAGTTTGCTCAGCTTTATATTTTTGAACCTGAAAATGAGACTGACAACCGTTTGTCAAACTTTGCTTCACGTGACACACAACTTATGCCAGAGTTGCTCACTTTGTTGCTACAGATGTTGGATGAGCACAATGAGTTGGTAAGGACTTTTAGGTGGGTTCGTGACCAGTTGCAAGAGCCGGATGCTCCAAATTTGAAAATTCGGATCTTTGGAGCTAAAAGCAGAAATAGACAATATGATTTGCCCAAGCCTATGAGATTGCAACACTTATACCATGGGATTTCATTCCTGATAGAGATGATAGGGATATCATATTTGATCATGTCTATGAGGTTCTTAAGCGCATCACAAGTCTTAATCCAAAATTTGATGCTCTTCATTTCCCTTTATTGTTTCCATATGGAGAAGATGGTTATCAACCGCTTATTAAATATAGACCAGCTTGCTGCCCTCCTTCTATGCGTAGGCAGTTTGTCACCAACGTGAATATTATGCTTTCAGACTACAATACCGTCAAAATGAAGGACAAACACTAGTCAAAGCTGGAAAGGCACTTCCTCATTATTGCATTGATGCTTACTCTTCAGTGGAGCTTAACCGGTTGGCTTTTTTGCGTTGTCATCAACCAGAGCTTAGAGCGGAAGTTTATCAAGGATTACAAGATGCTATGGCACGGGGTGATCTCGACGGTGATAAAGTTGGCCATGTTGTGCTGCTATGAACTTACATTGGCAGCCCAAGATATATGCAGCAGTTGTATCACGATGCAATGACAGTTGTGGAATTCCTCGGCAGTCTAGATCTGTTTATAACATTTACATGCAATTCACTGTGGGAAGAAATTGCAAAAACATTTGATTACATTGTTGGGTCCAGCGGCTCGAACAAACTCATGGTTGTTTCAAGAGTCTTTCATATTAAACTCATGAAATTGATTGATGATATCAAGAAGAATTCTTTCATATTAAGCCATTTGGTAGGAAGACCATTCTTTTTGTGGAGATTTTCGACAAACACTTCCAGTCATAACTGAAGCTGAGCGTGAGCAAACAGTCGATGGGTCTTTGACAAGATCAGCTCTATGGAGTTCTTTTAGACTCATGCATCTATCTACAAACATGAGAATAGCAGGTTCTTTGCCTAATGAAAGGCAACCGATACACGGTTACACATTTTCAGAATGGGTCTTGGCTTTGGAAAATGGTCAGCTTAAAACAAAGTCCTTCGAGGAAGATTCCCCAGTTGATTGGATTCAGATACCTGAGTTATTTCTTATACAGCATGAAGGAAATCACATTGAAGCAATTTCAGAAGAGAGAGAGAGAGATATATATATATATATATATATATATATATGAGTCGTTTGACACCAACTATGGTCGCCCAACATATCTAAAAAATAGGGCGATAGTTGCGCTAAGGAATGCAACTGTGTCTCAGATTAATGATTATATGATGCAAAGGGTTCTTGGTGATTCAAAGACATACTATAGTTCCCATTCATTGTTGCAATCCACAGATACATCATCTATATATGATGAATGCTACCCAACTGAGTTTCTCAACACACTTACATTCAATGGGGTACCAAACCATGAACTTACATTGAAGACAAACACTCCAGTCATGCTGCTGCGAAACCTGAACCCTGCTTTGGATCTCTGCAACTGTACAAGGATTATGATCACAATGTTGTGTGGCAATTTCATAAAGGGAAACATCATGGGAGGTTCTTATGACACTGACGAGGTCATAATTCCAAGAATTGTTCTCAACGTAGAGAACTCCAAGTGGCCGTTTATCCTCAAGAAGCGTCAGTTCCCAGTTCGCACGTCTTATGCAATGACGATAAATAAGAGCCAGGGACAGACACTTGACAAAGTCGGAATCTATTTGCCAGAACCAGTATTTAGCCATGGACAGCTATATGTGGGAGTTTCAAGAGTGAGATCAGCAACAGGTTTGCGAATGCTAATAGAGATCCAACATAAATTCCAGACAACTATACAAGAAATATTGTGTTTGCAGAGGCATTCAATGATATCCTCACTACCTGATCGTTCGGAGTAGGTTCTGCGCCTGCTATACATTGCATGAAGGTAATTCTCGATGCTACAAATGATCGTATTTATCTAACCTATGCAAGCTGCAACCATATTAGCTAAAATTTCATAGCTTTTGGGCAGATCTGTCTGGTACAACTACCGCAACACAACTTGGAACTGATTTGGGTGTGTCTTTTTGGTCTCTATCAGAACCCTGGAACTTTCCAACTCATTGGTTGTGATTCAAAACTTCAACAATATTTCAACCTTTATGTAGCGTTGCTTTTGCTATTAAATACAGTTGATCATCTTCAGTACAGTTTAAAAAATATTTGTGCTTCGTGTTTCATGCTTCGTGTTTCAAACAAAGAAGATGCTCAATACCATTAGATCATTGATGTCTTGGGCTTGTTTCCGTAAGCCTGGATTCCTATGATCTAAGTGTCTTCGGGCCTTCTCTACTTCGCAAAGTAACATCCCTTTCTACATTCTTATGAGAAGCAAATACATTTAGGCCCAACCCAAATGGTGCTTTAGGCCTACACAGAAAAGCCGGTTGTGAACCCACCCAATTTCACCTCTCTAATCGAACCTCCCCTTTAAAACCCTACCATCCCTCACCAACCAGACCCGCTGTCCACATCTTCATCAACCCATCTCCGCCACGGAAGCCCCACCACTGATACTACCAGACAATCTTTGAAACAAAGGTAAGTCCACGTCTCCCTCTTCTTCAGTCATTGTTGGAGCTAATCCATGCATTAAGATTTTCTTGTTCGTTTTAGAACACAAGACATTCAACATACATGTCTCAAGTGATTCAATTTTGAGTATACTACTACTATATCACAACCTCCAAAAAGACGAATCTCATACCGTAAATCTCTAACTCCAAACCATCACGGTCAATTTTAGAGTGATAATATATGGAACCATAAATTGAATTCAGCCCTTCATCTAGCTAGGGCCCAACTGTACTAATAAGTAATAACCATCGTCATCATTTTTCTAGCCAGAAAAAGGGAAGAAGAAAAAACAAGACATCATTACTTCCCACTCGCCAAAAGGGGAAATTACAAACTGCATACATCAATAAAAGACAAGCAAAGCATATTTCTTATAGAACCAAAAGAAAATATACAGTAGTACAAAGGCAATTAACACGACAACTGCAACCAACCCTCCATGCTTCTCACTGCTCAACCAGAAAGATAGAACATACCGAGCATCGAAACTCTATATCACATCTCCAATTTCATAATGAAATCAGATTTCGTAAAAAAAAACTGGCTTTCAATATTTTCCTTTTGGACTTCTGATTGAATTTCATAATATGGGTGTTCGAAAATATAATATATAGTTATATTTGTGAACTCGAGATACTCATTGGATTGGATTTTTACTTCTAAACAAAATGGATTATTTACAGGGATTTTTTTAATGGGTGCATCCTCTAGGTTGGATTTTGATTTAGAGAAACACGACTTATTGTCATCCTCAATTATAACCCCTGTTGGGGAAAAAATACCCTACAATTATCTCACCCGCACCCATTCTCTCTAGTGGCCAAGTGTTACTCCTACAGATCCGAATCAGTGGTGCACCAAGGTGGCTCTTCATGCCTTTTGCTGGAACATATGGGTTGAATAGGAGAGTCTGTAATCGATGAGATGAAGATGTTGCGAGATGCTGCAAAATACTTAACTTGGAGAGAAGGGTTAAGAATCAGTTGGTCCTTATAATTCGAATTGTTAGAAGAAATTTAATTGTGGATCATATCTAATTTACTAACAAGGCGAGGACGTACGTAAGGTTCTTTGCAGCTGGCATCTTGCCGTTTGGTCTTGTAAGGAGTTTCATTTACTTGCTTCACCTGCTCCTTTTGCTCTTTAATTATGATGTTGTTATTTTTGTGAGGAGGCGCAAGTCGTAATCCCCCTTTCACTTCCATTTCATTACACTAATAATACTATATCACCCTTAACCAAAAAAGGGGGGAAAAGTCAAATTCATCGAATTATTGCCTCGTTCGAGTAAAGCAGGAGGAAAGCTCAGAACGTCGGGAAAGGAGGATACAAATCTATTGACACAATCCTCTTCGTACAGTGAGATCAATACAGTCAAAATCACTATTCTACGTAAAAAGCATTTTGATGATCTAGAAAAGGTAAAAACGTAAGCTTCAAAATCTAAGAATATATCTGAAGTGTAGAGAAGAAACTTTCGCGGAATATGGGACCAAAAGGTAAAGCCAGCATGCATGGAATCAACAGAAGGACGTAGTAGCCTTTATAACAAGCAGCTACTACCCGTACCAAACCTACCACACCTACTTCTGATCGGCCAAAACCCAGAGCGAGAAGCTTCAAGTTGTTGGCAATGTCCCTGGACACAGTAGCTGTTAGAAGTTTGTGTTAGCATTGCTACACAAACTTCTAATTTCTAACAGTAGCCACCTCCGAAGTCACTAACTTCTACAAATATTTAATATTTACATATTGCTACACAAACTTCTAACTTCTAATAGTAGCCACCTCCGAAGTCACTGACTTCGTGATATCAGAAGGCCAATGGCTTCACAGGGTTGGTAGATTCAGGTTTCGCCACTACCCTCCCAACGCAATACATCCAGCCCCTGGCAGAGATGCTCATCGAATCCATCAAAATCACGCCCTTTAGCTTCAATAGCCATCAATTCATCGTCGACATCGCCCAAAAGCTTAACCCGCTTTCCACCCGCCACTCGTATTCATAAATCAAAACAACATCTAACATAAACGAAACAACATGAATAGTTTATGAATGCTATTAGTATTCATGGTGTAAGGAAGTGGTTAAGTACGTACCATACATGAGCATCTTCCAACAACTCGAGTTATTGGGACCAACGGGTTTATAATGACACAACATTAAAGCTGGTTTGTCATTGAGATCATGTGTTCAAATCTTCACGAACCCAAAAATATTAATTGTAGTTTTCAATCACATTATATTGTATGTCGGACATGTACAAACTTCACACTCATAAAAATAACTGCTACTATAGACATCACCAACCACCAAAGACCAAACACCCATCCGACAGCAAAAACTACACCCCCATGTCACCGCCAATCGGAACCTCCACCTTCAACTGGAAACCACCACCGCGCACTATAACAATAGAATCACATCAGAACCTTACTCTGCACAGAGACCGACCTCGGGATCTAAGCACAAACCTAAAGACCACATTGAACAAAAATGGAAATTGAAAATCCACGCACTAAAAAAAAAGGCCATGTGGTGCATTATACGCTTGTTCTTTATTCTGTTGGAGAGGACAAAACTTTAGGTCGTCCCCAATGTTAGAGACGACAGTCGTCCCTGATACCCACTAGTAATCTTCCATTTCTTTTTCATGAAAGAAAATATGTCGTTCCCATAGACATGGATTTGGTGACAATAAATCGTGCCCTAAACATTATAATTAGCTTGGGGCAAGATAGTGTCCCCTATAATTCATTTCATTAGAATATTATGTCTATTTGGAGATAATATATTGTCCCATTTTCTTTTTACAAGGTCGATATGTAGTCTCCATAAGTGTAAAATTGGAGACAAACAAATCGTTCCCTAAAGCTTTATACCAATGATCCCTAATATTCTATCTTTGGAGACAACAAAGGATTCCCAAGGTTGAGGCAGTATCTCAACTAGTTCATTCCTTGCGTAAAAAATGTACACTTAATAAAATACAATATAGACAATACTTACCGTTACAGACAATAAAAAAGAAAAGCCAATTCGGCTATGAGGGAAATGGGTTGTTGCCGGCGGAAATGGGTTGTTGCCGGTCACGGTAAAAGGTGAAGCCGGCGGCTATACCCTACTAGAAATGACCGGAGTTGGTTGAGTTTGCTCAATTTATTGTCATCCGTCATTCACTCAAATACAAGCATGCACGGAGCCAAAACAAGGATGGCCACAGCCTTTATTATAACACGTAACTACCACCAGTACCAATTACCAAACCTACTACGTTACTACTGTTCGCCCAAGAAGAAGCATATAAATTGGCTTTTAGTAATCTCTTCCACATATAGCAAATCATTGATTCTCTTGAATCTTACATTCAAGGAGATAAAAAAAAAAAAAAAGGGGGAAAAAAAAACTTTGAGAAGCCTCAACTGCTTGGCAATGTCTCCAGCCACTGCTGTAGCCGCCACCTCCGAAGTCACTGACTTCGTGGTTCACAAAGCCAATGGCTTGAAAGGGCTGGTAGATTCAGGCCTCGCCACTACCCTGCCTCCGCAGTACATCCAGCCGCCGACGGAGAGGCTCGAATCGATCAAGATCGCCACATCAGCTTCGATACCCATCATCGACGTCTCGAACTGGGACGACCCAAGCGTCCTAGATTCGATCTCTGAGGCCGCCAGCAAGTGGGGTTTCTTCCAGATCGTCAACCACGGGATACCCTCCCAAGTTCTGAGCAGGGTGGTGGACGCGGCTCATGCGTTCTACGCGCAGAGCAACGAGGAGCGGCGCAAGTACTGGAAAGGGAGCTCCCTTTCCGACACCGTTTTCTACAGCACCAGCTTCAGCCCTCAGGCGGAGCAGGTGCTGGAGTGGAAGGATTTCTTGATCTTTCAGTATCTCAAAGGGGATGGCGAGGACGACGAACCCGTTGGTTCCGAGTTCTGGCCCCTTGTTTGCAGGTAATGGAAGATAAAAAAAAACGATATATGTGTCATTGTGAAAGAATCAGCAAAATATAACTCATACGTACAATAAAAAAATTCATTAAAATATTATGAGAGAGGTTTATAGTAATTTGCACTCACTGGTCAATAAAGTAATGAATCAGGAGGACGACGACGATGAACCAACAGATTCAGCACAAGCAGTACTGATACCATTTTTTTATTTTTTTGTAAGTAATATATGATTGATTTCTGGTTAATTATTGCACCAGGGATCAAGTGCTTGACTACGTGAAAAGCGCCGAGCCAGTAATCAAGAAGCTGGCTGAGGTGCTGCTCAAGAAGCTCAATGTGAAAGATGTGAACACAGAGATACAACGTTGTCTGAGCGGTTCGCCGAGGGTCGCTCTGAATTACTATCCGAAGTGTCCAAACCCCGAGCTAGCTGCCGGGGTCGGCCGCCATTCGGACATTTCGACCATCACTATGCTGCTTCAGGACGATACCGGAGGGCTCTACGTCCGCGAAATCAAAGAAGAAGACGAAGAGGAAGAGGAAGAAGAAGGGGAAGGTGGGTTCTGGATTCCCGTCCCGCCGGTGGAAGGAGCTATCGTGGTGAACGTCGGGGATGCGATGCAGATAATGAGCAATGGCGTTTACAAAAGCGTGGAGCACCGTGCGTTTCCCAACAAGACCGGGAGCAGGGTCTCCGTCCCGATTTTCGTCGGTCCGGCTGGAGATGCGGTCATCGGGGTTCTGCCGGAGGTCTTGGAAGGCGGGGAGAAGAAGGCCGCTTACAAGTCGGTCCTGTATTCGGATTACACTGCTCATTTCTTCAGCAAGGGACATGACGGGAAGCGTACCTTGGACTTTGCCAGGATATGAAAGAAATAAATTTAATGCTCTGCTTTTGTGGTACAAATAAAGAGAGATGAAAGGCAGAGCAATGTGTAATGCAATGTCGGTAGTATCATCTTGGTGTTTTACTTTATGACCGCTATTACTTCAATGCAATGTAGTCAAAATCGCGCTTTACAATTTAAAAATTTACGATTTTACGTTTCTAGTTCACTAAAACGCATCTACACAAAATCTCAGTTTTTATAACTTATGTTGCTAAAAACTCCGTTTTAAAACTTAAAAACTTACGATTTTACGCTTCTAGATCACCAAAACGTTTCTATGTAAAAACTCGCTTTTGACTACATTGCTTCAATGTGGGTAGTATCATCTTGTTCTGGAATGCAAAAATAAAACAAGAAATCAATTCATTTAAAACACTATCACTTCTAAAAAAACACAAATATCATTATAGATATAAAACAAGAAATTAATACCAAAACATAAAACATTACTATTGCTGCCAACACAAAACACTATCAACACATATACTACTTATTAATCAATACCATTCCAAATTTAATTTCAATATGATAACATAAATACAAAAAGCAATACCATTACACGATAATCAATACCAATGCGAAAAAAATACAACTATGAAAAAAATCAATACTAATATAAAAAATACATACCAATACGAAAAAATAAGATATGAAATCCGGTCGAGAGTTGCCGACTCCTCATAGCTGCTGCACCCGCGGCAAATTGTTGGCAAGAGAGAGTGAGGGGAGGCGCGGTGGGTAGGGGTGGAAAGTTTGGGTTGCGGGTTGTGGATAACTCGCAAACCGCACCAACCCGCACCCATTGTGGGTAACCATACCCACAAGTTGTGGGTAGTGGGTTGCGTGTAGATAGCAATATAATGATTTTGGTAGTTAGTGGTTATCTAGTACCCATCGCGGTTAACCCACAAAATCCACAATAACCACATTGATTATATTTATTTACTGTATTAACTTTATAATATAATAGTATGTGAAAAGTGGAAGGCTAAAAATTAAATAGCCACCAAAATTAAATACGCACCTAAGCAGTATTATGTGATAATTTTTTAGTTTATAAAATACTATAATCGAGAGAGTGTAGAATAATCAATTCATTAAAATTGGACACCTTTAGTAACTTTTATATGTATGTTTTTTTGTGTGAAAGAAACTACAAGATCATATTTAATTGTCATATTCCACCCCTAGTCGGTGAAATATGACACAGCTCCCTGACACAAAAGTTGAATACCAAACTCGAAAAGAAATATTCTCCACGTTGAGTAAGATCAATATACAAAATTCTATCTCCATGCAATACAATTATATAGCACTATAGTCTAGATACGAACAATAAATACGTTAGTGGCGGGCTCAACTCCATGCTTGCAAAGATGAAGTTTTGCGGGTAATCACACCCAACCCGCAGTGGGTAGTGGTTACCCACTAACCACTGCAGTGCGGGGTGTAGGTAGCAAAATTGCAAAATTGTGGGTGTGAATAACAGTAAAAATATGGGGAGGGTAACCACATCCACCCCAATTTTCAGCCATAGCGGTGGGGAGGACAGGTGAAGGGGAGTGAGGAGGGAAACACTCGTCTAGAGGAAGAAAAAAAGGTTGGAAGACGTTTGATTTTAAAGAGTAATAATTACATGTGAGATATTTTTTTGTTTTCAAAACTATACTTAGTATAATCTTGAATGTTAACTTTTTAAGAAAATGAAATGTATAGAGATTTATAGCCATGGTGGCTACTAAAAACACTAACAATCCTAATTCCTAACTCATCCCAAAATGCGATTTTAAAGTCACTATAGCCTATGTTTGGCCCGACTTTAGAAGTGTTTTTCGGCTTCAAAAGGTTAAGTAGTGCCAAACACCTCTAAAAGCTCGACTTTTGAAAAGCTAAAAGTGTTTTTCTATTACATAAAAGAAGATGCTCTGATTTGGAGGTTCTGCGAAAAACTGTTTTAAAAATACAAGATTATTCTTAGCATATTTAAATTTTATTTCAGAAAATATAATTTCTCTTTCATTTTAATATTTTAAAAATAAGATAAATTAGAAAAAAATGTTCATTTTGTCTACTTTTTATTTTTAGAATTTTTATTTATATTTTATATTAAAAAAAATTTATTAACTTTACTTGACCTCTTATATTAAATATACTTTGAATAGTTTTTCAACTAAACACTCTACTATTTTTTTAAAATAAATATTTCTTTAAAATTTAAACAGCTTCTACAAAATCCACTGCGGGACAAGACAAACTAGCCCTGTAGCCCATAGTAAAGTAGGTGAAGAAGTCGTTTTAATTAACTGCAGCTTAAATTTGAAGAGCTAAGAGCTTCTCGCGGAGCTTAGGAAGAGAAGGTAGAAGAGAAAATCTAGTAAACCGTGGCGATGTCTCTAGACACAGTTTCTCCGAATCCCTCTCAAATCATTGACTTCGTGATTCACAAAGCCAACGGCTTGAAGGGCCTGGTAGATTCAGGTCTCGCCACCACCCTGCCCCCGCAGTACATCCAACCTCCGGAAGAGAGACTCCAATCCATCAAAATCACGCCTTCTTCTTCAATCCCCATCATCGACGTCTCAAATTGGGACGACCCACGACTTCAAGATTCGATCTTCCAGGCCGCAACCCAGTTGGGTTTCTTCCAGATCGTCAATCACGGCATTCCCTCCCAAGTTCTGGGCAAAGTCATAGACGCAGCTCATGGGTTCTACGGGCAGACGAACGAAGAGAGACGCAAGTACTGGAAAGGCAATTCCCCTTCCGAAACTGTCTTCTACACCACGAGCTTCAGCCCTCTGGCGGAGAAGGTCCTTGAGTGGAAGGATTTCTTGATGTTTCAGTTTGCTTTTGGGGCCGGAGACGACGCCTCTTCTTCTGAGCTTTGGCCTCCTGTTTGCAGGTAAGCCCTCATGTCCTATGTGCTGCACAATCAGCGACTTTTGTGTACAGAGCTCTTGTGGGAGCAATCAGCTCGTGTTAACATTGTTGGATCGTCCTCTCGTCGTGCTTGTCCAGCTGGTGAATCGGCCTGGTGACAACCAGCTGATTTTCATGTTATGGTGTGTATGCTTCAATCCACTTGTTTTGGCTGCGCTGTTCAATCTAATTGGTTTCTGCCTCTAGGGATGAAGTGGTGGATTACATGAGACGCGCTGAGCCGGTGATCAAGAAGCTGATAGAGGTGCTACTGAAGAAGATCAATGTGAAGGAAATGAAAGAGAAAGAGAGTTGCTTGATGGGTTCACCAAGGGTTAGCCTGAATTACTATCCAAAGTGCCCAAACCCTGAGCTAGCCGCCGGAGTGGGCCGCCATTCGGACATATCAACCATCACTATCCTACTTCAGGACGATACCGGAGGGCTCTATGTCCAGGCAACCCAAGGAGAAGAAGAAGAAGAAGAAGGTTGCGATTCGAATTCATGGATCCCAATTCCACCGGTCGAAGGAGCACTCGTGGTAAATGTTGGGGATGTGCTACAGATAATGAGCAATGATGTTTACAAAAGTGTGGAGCACCGTGCATTTCCCAGCAAGACTAGGAACCGCGTTTCGGTTCCCATATTCGTGAACCCGGATCCTGATGCTGTCATCGGAGTTCTGCCGGAAGTTTTGGAAGGTGGGGAGAAGGCTGTTTACAAGTCTGTTCTGTATTCTGATTACTTCATGCATTTCTTTAGCAAGGGTCACGATGGAAAGAGTACCTTGGATTTTGCCAAGATATGAACGAGCTCTTGGCTTTTCGGATCCATGTTTACAATTAAGCATAGTTTGTTCGCAATTGAATGATACACCATTGCTCATCTGCAGCTCAATTAACAAAACAAAAGAGAAACACAAGAATATGCATCACAACTAAAAGAAAAACTACATAATGGGACACAAATGACAAAACGCCCTAACAGTACCAAAGCCATCAATTACCATCCCAAGCAAGCCAAAAATCTTGAGCCAATTAAGTAACATTCATTTCTACCATTCTACGTCTGGTAGTCCTTCAATTCAGCCCGGCGTGACTAAATAAGAACATGAATGAGGGCCAGAATATTGAAAATGACCAAAACCTTCACTACACAATCAGTAGGTGTCAAACTGGTAGCATTACAGAAAGGGGCAAAATTGATGCTAATCTATCACAAAATACAGGATGTAGGGATAGATTAGTCACAGCCGCACACATCAGTCTCATGAAAGCCGCAGCATAAGAAAGCACACCATCTAACAGACCGGTGGAGAGCTCGAATTCTGCTAACCACACACCAATTTGGAACTCGTATTTCTCTGTGCTCACCTAAATCTATCATTACGAGAAGTAGCTACCCCAAAAATTCTAACTCCGATCTACAACCCGGTTCTTTCTACCAAGGGGGTTGTAAACAGTTTTTTTAACCCCCAACAGCATTCTTGTAAGCTCTATTTCTCTTTCCTTGCCAAGGACTCTCCCTTGTGCTCACTGCCTGCGGAGACCACAAAGCCTGCTCCAATCTGTGGATAGGTAGAGTAAAGTTTACTACTTGCACAGAAAACTCAGCCACATAAACTCACTCATACACATGAGCAATTATGAAATTACCTGACAGTCTCTCAGTACAACCCGCTCTTGGATCTGGACATTGCTGCAAACTATTGAACCTTGGATTGAACAGCCATCTCCGAGGGTGACATGGTCCATGACAACTGAATTAACAATCTACAGAATAGCACAAGAGGAGGTTTATATTATCTTTCAGAACAAGCTGGTGATGGTAATTTCACCAATGACAATTTTTCTTACCTTAACATTTGAGCCTATCCTACAGTGGCGACCAATAACAGAGCGTTTTACACTGCATTTGTCACCCATTAATGATCCTTCGCCCAACATACAATGAGGCCCCACCTATGATTGCAAAAACATTCACATATCAAAAAGCAAGCTTACCTTTTCTTCCACAGGTTGGCATATTCTAGTCACAGGTGAAATACCACTTATAAATCGTTCTAAAAGGAAGGTTGTTTCTACATGTGACTTACAGTAGTCTTTGATCCCAGATCTGCTGAAGGATGTATGATGTTGTTATGAGCAGAGAAGGAATATCCAGAGAGATGGTTGGCTTCACCTATGACCTGACAATTTTACAGATAGATAATTAATTTCTGAAATGATAATGGAAAATTAGCAGTAAACTATAGATAGCTAGGTAACTGAAGAAGGGCTTCACAGCTATAAACACTCACATCACGGTTTATGTCACTGAATGCTTGAATGGAATTTAAGCGTACACAATACTTGCTGTTGCTGGCAATATAAGCACAACATTTATGAGTTCTTTGTGCTGTTGGTGATCCATTATGAATTGATTCGTAAACTTCATGGAATCTCGGCGTAGATGCGTTAGCCAATATTTGAGATATTATAGCTTGGTTTCCCCGAGAAGTGAACTTCTCATGTCCATTTTCTTCTGCTTGTGGAGTACCATTCAGTAGAATCTCTGAATTCTGTGTGTTCAAGCGACAGCAAACCAGTTTACTTCTCCATAACATCAATTAAAGCCCCTTTGAAAATCTGATCAGGAGGTAACAAACTAACCAACTGGGTCCGAACAAGATAAGGTAGTACATCCTGTCTCAAGCTGTGAAAGTTTGGCTTTTGTTCTAAAACCTCTTGCAGAACAGCCCTGGAAGATGAGGAGGGAAAATGAGAAACAGAATATATAATTGACAAAATTTGTATGCCTGGGCAAGTAAAATGAACAAACCTCTTGAACGCATACAAATGAGCATCCATAAGATCGGCTTGTATATCCATCTAATAAGGATACACAGAAACGATTGTCAGAAAAGAAAGTGAAACAATATTCCAGAAAGTTATTACTTGCTTCTGAAATTGTAGCAAAAATAGTTTGATAATCAAGAGGGTAACTTCTTACTCCAACTAACAATGAGAATGCTAGCATGTAAGGATTTTAGCCACGGAAAAATATTAGAACAAAAAACGACATGGGCGTGCACATCAACCAGTATTGATAAGTTGTCCAATCATCCACTGAGGTGGCTAACTAAGAAAAGAAGTACAATGAAATGAAAACAATCAAAGTTGAGAATTTGAATCACTCCACGATGCACTGGGCCCGTCACGTTGACATCAATAACTTCTGTAGGCAGTCTTAGGACAAGCATCAACATGAAATCCAATTTATGATTGAAATCATTTGACACTCATTACACAAAATGTTAGAAAAGGCTCACAAATGGATGGCTAGGTATTCACCTGACCAACCGCACGGAGAATAGTCTTGGGGATGTGAAGATCCTTTTCGACTTCAGCTCCTGTGAAACAAATTTAAAAGGTGAAAAGGAATAAAAATTATGCAATATGATAACAATAAAACTAAATAAAACAGAAATTGCACATATATTTACCTGAGGCTATGTACAACAAAAACTGCTTTGTAGGGTCCAGCCCAATAATGTTGAATCGCTTGGGTTTCTTTATCTTGTCCTTGGCACCAGCTGATCCTGATTCTGTGGGCCCGCTGATCGGTGTAGAGCAGAGCATTGTAGTAACTACAGCATCATGTCTTCTATGGGCAGCTGCAACAGCACCAGGAGGAACATCAGAAACAAGATCACCACTCACAACCTGCATACAAAGATGATACCTATCACCTTAGTCAACATTTTCTAATAACTAAAGTCGAATACTAGTACCGAGATAAATGAATGCTAACCAAAATGTCATTTGCTGTCAAGTGGTGTGTGATGGCCCGAAGAGCACCAGCAGTTCCAACATCCTCAGGAACTGCAGCAACCTGCATTGTCACATAACATCATTCAAACGCTATATACCAAAGAGAATCTAGCGCAGTTTTCATATTACTGGGGGGAAAGGACCGTTATAGCATTTGCTTTAGCATGATCAAAAGGATACACCTGGTTCAAAAGAACAAAGCTGGCAAAGCCAGTCATAGGCTACTTGTGCTAAGAAGAGGGGGGAATATCATGTAACTGAACCAGCTATTTGATTATCAGGCTGTACCAATTTTGGTCATAGAGTCCTATTATTTTTCAGTCACTTCTTGGTAAAAGAGTAAGAAGTGAATGAATGAGATTACTGAATCTATCAACTGTATAGATTATTCAACCTAAGCAATTTATAAGTAGTAGGACACCAAGCATAGAAGGGAGGTGATTTCAGTTGGCACATTTGCGAATTGCGACGTGCACCATCAAGTTAGAGCCAAAAAGAAGAAACTTCATAAGAGAAACCGAATTATATAACCAAGGTTTCTCGAAACACAAGAAAACATGATTGACTTAATGAACTTAGTAGATTTGAGCACATCCAAACGTTTGACAGAACCCTCATTTCTAGCCCACTCGCGTGATAGATACTGTTAGCAACAATCACAGCATTCTACTCCTAACATCTTGTCCATTTCATCCAATCCAGAATCATGAAATTAGACAAGTACCTCAACATGCAGACGATCCACATAAGCTCCTGAAATCCATCCACCAACTCGGAGAGCTGCATCTTCCCCTTCAACGACCTACACTAACACAGAAGATCATAAGAAAACACTTAAAGAAAAGAAAGAGCTAGTAACCCTGAAAGCCCAAGACGAACCCACTAGTCCAACAACTCCTAATTCTCATGGAAACGGAAACTGGGAACGGGGGGCAAAGGAAACCAGAGAAACGGAAGCCCACCACAATGAGATCCTTGAGGTTGCTGAGCTCTAACTGCTCCAGCACGTAAGATAGAACCGGGCGGTTCGCCACAGGGAGCAGAGGTTTTGGCACTTCCTGCATTCAACAAGCAACAACAAACAAAACCAAGAAGAAGATGGCAAATTAGACTTAGGGGAAGGGGACCCAACTGATTGCTACAGAAGGAGAGACGTGAATGAAGACGAGAGGGCGAGGTGGGTGATCATCTGGAGAAGAAGAATTCCGTGGTTTCTAGTTCATTTGATTGCGGAAAAATTGGAAAATCACCTTGGAGACGAGAGGGACAAGTTCTTTCGAAGTGCCTCCGGCTAGCACGACGACCTGGAAATCCATTTGTTGAGCAGAATTGAAAGACGGAGGAAGGCGAGAGCGGGGAGGTGATGAAAAAATGTAGAGAAAAGGGTTTTTGCTTTGCCCACTGTTTCAGAATTGAGTGTGACGGGTCGGCGGTTCTGAAAATTCTAAACCTTCTAAAAGCGACAAATGTTTTAATTTATAATATAAAATTGTTAAAAATTGTTCAATTGGGGATGTAGCTCAAATGGTAGAGCGCCCGCTTTGCATGCGGGAGGTACAGGGTTCGATCCCCTGCATCTCCATATTTCTTTTATTGGCTGTTCTTTTCCATCTTTCCTCTCTATTTGTATTTGACATAAAGCTGCTAATTCTTCGACCTTTCCATTTTATATTTTTTTGTTGTATTTGACATAAAGCTGCGAATTCTTCGACCTTTCCATTTTATTTTATTTTTGTTTATGGAATCCTTCTCAGTTCTCATCTAATAGGCTTTGTCAGGCTATCTTAATTATTAAATTATATGATTATGTCCAAAATTTTAAATTAATTGGAAAATATGGTTCCAGTTTTAATTTTTAACCACACGATTTTCGAGAGCGGGTTGTGCATTTGGAGAGACTTGTATACAATAATCGTTAATATTTAATTATCAACCTTTTATTTTAATATTGATTTAGATGAACGCTCTTATATGGGTGTTACATTACATGACTATGGCCAAATTTTTTAATTAATAGCCTAATATTTTGGTTGATTGTTAAACTTTTAATTATCAAGTCTTTTCTTTTGCGGTTGATTTATATGAACATCCTTATTTGGGTGTAACTTGTTCCACAAATCAAAAAGAGCTTGAACTATAAGTGTAACTTATCAGTGGATTTTAATTGATGTAAATAAATATAAAAAACGAAAAAAATCATATAATCCTATCAATTGTTGTTAGATACCAATATAAAAATGACAAAAATATCTGTAACCGTGGATATCAGTCTGAATCCGGCCTGAAAGATATTTAGTGTGTTCGGGTTGATATCTCGAATCCGGCCTAATCGGGTAGGGTAAAATCCGAGCCTGAAAGAAATTTAATGGGTACGGGTAAAACCCAAACCCGAATATTGCGGGTAATGAGGGGCATGGGTTTCTCACTATCAAACCCGAACTCGCCCGATTATACACATGCATATGTATTTTCTCTAGAAATAATCATTATTTTATCTAACATATTTTATATTTAGCATATAAATATAATATTTTCATGGAATTGTGTTATTTTAATTAAATTTTTTCATTCTAGTGAATTATTGACGTACTTTTCCTCTTACGTATTGTGAGAATACGTGTGAATGTTAACATATTGGTTGGAGTTATGAAGAGAAATTATTACCCATGGATAACTGTGGATACCCGAACGGGTATGGGCATGGTTTTAATTTTCTACCCTTTCTCATGTGGGTATGGGTATGGGTATGGGTATGGGTATAGGTAAAATCCGAACTACTTTAATTAGGGTAACGGATATGCACTATCCGTTCCCGACCCATTGCCATCGGGACGGGTTAGCATGCTGACCCCTTAAGGGGTTGGTTTTTTGACACCCCCCTTTTAATTGGTCAATTTTTCATTAATTATTGACAACTATTAATGAAAGTAAACATAATAAATGTTCTGTTATTAAATACAAAGTAAGCATTAAATACACCACATTAATTACCACTTTAATGGTATTTGTACCACTACAGTGGTACAATGTATCAGTGCAGTGGTACAACGTATCAGTGCAGTGGTATATCTACCAGTACAGTGGTACACCGTATCAGTGCAGTGGTATATTTTTTGGAGGTGGTCGGAGGGAGTCTGCCGATGGGATTTTCACCGGAGAAGTGTGGCGGTCGGAGGAAGTCTGGTGGTCGGAGACTGCTGAAAAAGGAAAAATCAAATATAGTGAGAGAATTCCTAATGTGTATTTAATGTGTGTATTTAATTCCTAATGTGTATTTAATAGTGAGATAATTCCTAATTAATATGGTACATTTAATTCCTAATGTATATTTAATATGTGTATTAATTATTGTGTATTAATTATAGTTGTATTTAATATAATAGGGGGTGTCATTTTTCCAACCCCCTAAGGGGGGTTAGCATGCTAACCGACCCCATTGCCATCCCGTACCAATAATGTACATATATTAGATATTTTGAGGCAAGTATAGATCTTAGCAGCCAAACCTTGAATCGTATGGCTTAAATGAGAAGGAATACTTATCAAATCTTCCTAATATGGCTAAAAAATCTAACTACGGAATGAAATTTCAAGAAACTTAAATTCTAATTTATTAAGGGTAAATGCCACATTTGGTTACTGAGATCACTAAATCATGTCAAGTTTAGTCACTAGAAAAAATTAAAATAAATTTTGGTCACTCGAATTACTAAAATAGGTCACATTTAGTCACTCTTCCGTTAGTTTCTGTCCAACTCCGTTGGACGGAGGCTAACAGAGAGTGACATTCATAAAAAAGAAGTAATTCGAGTGATTGGAGTTGGACGGAAGCTAACGGGAGAGTGACTAAATGTGACATTTTTAGTAATTCGAGTGATCAAAATTGATATTAATTTTTCTAATGACTAAACATAACACGATTTATTGATTCTAGCAATCAAATGTGGCATTTGCCCTATTTATTAAGTATGCATTCAATTGTACTCAAAAAGCTTCATTTGTGCCTTTTACTGTTGTATGGCTGAAATGGAAATACTATTCTCATGTGTAAAAGAATGCATAGTATAGGTTATCAAAATGATCTGATAGTATGAACAGAGTCACTGAATTTGGATTGATGAGGGACAAAGAGTATCGAAATTCTTGGGCAATTAGTTATATAGTAATAATAATATTAAGACTTTGCTACGGTGACATGCACTTTCCGGTCGACCTCATATAGGATTAGGTCGACCTAATTTGTTGTTTCAGTGTAAAAACAGTTTCATGGTGCCTACTTTGGATATTCATATCTTACAATTGGCTAGATGGAAATTGGAGATTAAAGGCTTGTTTTGAAGCTCAAGTGTCCCTCTACACATTAAAGTACTTGGGAGCTCAATAGAAAGTCCAGAAGACCATTTTTGAACCTGACCAAAAGGTTATGCCAAAACTGGAAAACTGCCTGAAAATGGCTAAGTTTGGCAACGTGTTTGTCAAGCCTACTTTGGAGCTCAATTTGAGAAGCATGGATGCGAGTCAAGTCCAGGGGCCTCTACCACGTTAAATTACGTATTTTATTATACAAAGGCAAGGCATTGGATGAAAGATTGAATATCTTTAAGGCTTCAAACAAAAGGCTCAAAGTTGCTACGAAGGTTGTTTTTCTGGCAGCTTGCTTGTGCTCGAAGTCTGCCAGAAAAACAGCCTTCGTAGCAACTTTGACCCTTTTGTTTGAAGCCTTACAGATATCCAATCTTTCATCCAATGCCTTGAATTTGTATGAAAACATACCTAATTTAACGTGGTAGAGGCTCCTGGACTCGACTCGCATTCATGCTTCTCGAATTGAGCTCCAAAATAGGCTTCACAACACGTTTCCAGACTTAGCCATTTCCAGGCAGTTTCCTAGTTTTGGCATAGCCTTTTGATGAGGTTCAAAATGGTCTTCTGGACTTCCTATCGAGCTCTCTTCCAATTCAATATGTAGAGGGACACTCCAACTTCAAAACAAGTCATTAGTCTTCAATTTCCATCTAGCCAATTGTATGATATGAATATCCAAAGTAGGCACCATGAACTGTTTTTACATTGAAACAACAGATTAGGTCGACCTGATCCTATATGAGGTCGACCGAATCCTAAATGAGGTCGACCAGATCCAATATGAGGTCGACCGAATTCTAAATGAGGTCGACCTAATCCTAACTGAGGTCGACCGGAAAGTGCAAGTCACCATGACATGCATGTCACCGTAGGCACACCCTAATATTAAAAACTCTCGAAGGCTTCACATATGCAACTCTTCTCGAACTAAAGAGGCCACTCCAGAGGCCGGATCTGGTGACTAAGAAGTGCTTAGTCATTTCTTTAGTCATTTGACTAAATCCCTCCTAGTTCTTAGATGTGGACACAATAATTCAACCGTTAAAAAGTTGGAAAGGTTTTTTAATTAATGACGGAGGTAGTTTGGGACTCTGGGTATTATGAAAAATATGAAGTATACAAACCGGATTTACAAACAGTACAAACCATACAAACTAAACTAGAATGACAAAACATACGAACATACTTACAAATAATACAAAATATAGGAACTATACAAACAATACAAAATAGACTGACAAACAATACAAACCATAAAAAATGAAAAAACAACCTGGTTGATTTTTGAGGCTTCATCCCTATATAGAGTGGCGTCATCCCAAAGTCAACCCGATTGTTTTTTTTTTACATACAAACATTACAAACATAGTGGACACAAACAATACAAAATAGACCGACAAACAATACAAACCATAAAAAATGGAAAAACACTGGGTCGACTTTGGAGGCTTCATCTCTATATATAGGAGTTTCATCCAAAAGTCAACCAATTTGTTTTTTAGATATAAAAAACATTACAAATATGGGTGACAAAAATGATAAACATGGTGGACAAAAATAATAAAGTTTACAAACATTACAAAAAAACCGACCAACATTACAAAATAAGAAAACTTACAAACATTACAAAAGAAACTGACAAATAGTACAAATCATACTAACCGTACAAAATACCACTACTTACAATACAAATCGGTAAACTTATACTACAAACCAATGAATACAAAGTATACAAATCATAACATAAAAGTATACAAACATTACAAATTACATTATATACAAAATAGTCATATAAACATTACAAATGTAATAAAAAATATGACAAACAAGAATAATAAACAATACAAACCGAATTAATATAAACATTACAAACTATAATTATAAACATTACAAAATAGGTCGAGAAATACCACAAATCCAACGTCGTCGAAATATCATCGCCTGCCATCTCCGGTCGCCGGAAAGTCGTCGCCTGCCGTCTCCGATCGCCGAAAAAGCCTCCTCCGCCGTCGTCGTAAATCTCTCTCTCTCTCTCTCTCTCTCTCTCTCTCTCTCTCTCTCTCTCTCTCTCTCTCTCTCTCTCGTAGCTGTTACTGGGGGGGGGTGAATGGGGCAAAATAACAGGCCACCACCGCCGGCGGGAGTTTTTTCTGAAACGGACCGACGGCCGAACGGGATGGGCGAATGAATTTTTATTTATTTTAATTGTTAAATAAATAAAATATGTAATTACCATCTAATGCTTGATTAAAGTAGATTAATTTGAATCATCAGATTTTAATGAAACTTAATGACTGATATTGACTTAGTCAGATGACTAAGTAACCCCATTAATCACCTGATATTAGCCCGACCATTCTAGCTGAGCAGCACTAACGAAAAACAACCATCATGGATTAGTACGTATCTACAAGATATATAAAGGCAAAACATGGGTTGAAATTCTCCCATTTCAAATTTCGTGGCCTGAGAGTGATTGTAGGAAGGGCATTTTTGTCATTGCGCCCACTTTATCTTTATATATTAAAAATGTTATCATTGGAGTTCGAACCTGGATCAATTAAATGAAGAAAGATCATTATAACCAACTAGGCTACATTATATCTATTGTTATTTCTTTGATTAAACTCTAGGAATATGTTTGTGATGATGCTTCTATATTTATATTTTATCTTTAAGTTATTTATATTTTATAGAATGAGATTAGTTCTGAAATCGGAACTCAATTAGTATTGATTCAAAAATTAATATTAAATTGTATGTGTAGTTTAGTTTAGTTTAGACAAACTATAGAAGTGTAACCAAAACATGGACCTTTGTAACAAGTATAACATTTTTTTGTGACAAATCTATACATAATATAATGATAAACTTGGAAAATGAGAGTCTTCTTTTAAATTCGTGGCCTGAGAGTGATTCTACGAACCTCTTTTTTCATCATAGTGCCAAATATAACTTTATTTTATGTGTAGATTTGTCACAAAAAGTTACTATATATGTCACGAAGACCCATGTTTTGGCTACACACATGTATTTTATCTAAACTGTACCACACATACAATTTAATATTTAATGTTTGAATAAATGTTACTTGAGTTCCGATTTCACAATTAATTACTTCTATAAGATATAATAATTTCAGGTAAAATGCCCTTCTTACCTGGTTGAAGAAGCTCTTTTTATAAGATATATTCAATGTTTTAAGATTTTTCATTTCCAATTTCGTGAAACGAGACTGAATGTAGGAAGAGTATTTTTTTTCATCGCAATTATTTATCTACTTCTTATAAAGAGGTATTAACATCTAGATTTGAACCATGGTCTCTTAAAAAAAATCACAACCAATTACACTAAACAAATTTGTTTTATCTTCTTGAATTGTAAGCATACACTTAGCGAAGATTTGAAAAGCATAGGAACTTTCCCTCACGTTTAGCTAGCCTATTAAATATTCTAAAAAGCAAAGTTTAATACGTGATTTATAATTTTTTTATAACCTATAAAATGACGGGTAATCTTAAAATTGCAACACAAATTCAATGCTTGAATTGCATATCGAATTACAGTATTGAATATGCAATAGAGATGTAGAATTCTTTAATTAATATAAATTTACAGAACTACTACGAAGCAATAATATTTTGTACAAACTATATGTGACTGGTTCTCTAAAATTTTAGCATGGTTAATTGCTAAACATTAAACCTTTGGCTAATCTAGCATGAATGGAGCCGACAATAATGAGAAGATATTAGGTTTAATGTGATGTTCATTTTGCCATATTTGGGTGTGTTGATCAATTTAAGGGCATTAACATATAAATGAGTTATAATTAACCTCATTATATAATTTTTACTCTTTATAATAATTAATATAATCTTAATATTTGTGATGTTTGAAATATTTTATGTATGATTTAGAGATATACTTATTATTTGTGGCATCAGTGGTAGTTGGTTCAAATGTAGTATTTTAGCATTTATGATTGTTTTTATCTTGGTGTTGTGAATATGTAAAAACTTAATTAATAGAATGCATGTAACTATACGCAGACACATGATCGAGCTAGCATGACACAGTTAGAGCATACCATGAAGACAATGTATATGGATCGACCCTATACAAGTATGAATGCTTCATGGGTCATACCTGACTTAAACTTCAAGCGCTCGCGCACAAGTGCGAGCACCACATAGTCTATATTGGTGAACTCATGTTTTATGGAGAAATGCGCCATTTGAGAGGAATAAGCGGCCATTTGGTCCCCAGGTTTCAGGTCCTCTGATTCACACTTTCGATTGTGAATGGAGAAGAAGCATTTCGAATGCAAAATTGGATAAGTGATTGGGATGTTTCTAGGTTTCCCTCATTTCCAGGCGGTGGGAAGAAAGAGGAAGGAAAGGGGGAGAGTGGTGAGATACAAAGCTCAAAGAGAGAGAGAGAGAGATGGAAAAACAAAGAGGATTATCGACGATCCGTTGGGCAAGTGTAGCCATCACTGTCTCATCCATCCTAATCCACACCACTGTTGATATGACCTCAAGGATCTAAGCCTTTGAGAATGATTAACTTAGCGGTGGAAGGGTAATATCTGCTGGCATCTCAAAGCAAACCCGTCCTTCGCCGCTGGAGCTTTGCCAACTAGAGAAGGAGTTCGTCGGATCGATCTTCTCTCCATCTGCTAGAGGAAGAAGAGGCGAACTGTAGCAACTTCGTTCGATGGGGAGGTCGAGTTTGGGGGAGGCTGAGAGAAGAACGATGGGAGCTGGGGTTAGCAAAACGACGTCGTTGGTCTAAGTGAACAAAAGGAGAAAAAAATGTGGCAAAGGGATTCGAACGCTGGGCTCATTAAAAGGAATGGGGGCATAACCCAATGGGCAACGGGAGGAAATTCGTCTCTCATTTTCCAGCATATGATGTTTTATTGTTTCCGCTCAACTGCCTCTTTTATTCCCCTTTATATTTTTCAACGATAATGAAATTGCAAGTGAACACATTTCTTACAATTTGTTTTTTTTATTTTTGTTGTCACAGCAGAAAACAGAAAACAAAATGGCAAGTGAACGAGGCATAAGAGAGAGTGAGAGAACATACTTAAACGAGGGGGGGGGGGGGGGAAATGAGGTAGTGTGAAATAATTGCCATTCTGCTTTGCTTAGTGGGTATTCTTTGCCCTATTGAGTTTCGATTTATTTTAGGAGATGTCATTATATTTGATAGAATTTTTTCATTTCGATTAAGGGGTCGTTTGAAAGTTGCGATTGTTTTGTTGATATTTACTATACATGTATTGTTTAGAATTCATCATTTTTTATATTTTTTAGTAGAACCAATACATGGATTACATCTGTGATGTGACCGAAACTATCAATCAAAATGAGTATTGTTAAATCTCAAATTTTAGTTGTTATTGCTGAGATAGTTGAGTTGGGATTGTTTTGTCTAAACTTTTAGCTTATGTGCCATACACAATGCATCTAATCCGACAATACATATATAATATTATACATGCATTCACAACACAATATCTATTTAACAATCGCAACTTCCAAATGACCCCATAAAATTCTAAATCAGTATTATCATTTGGATGATTTTTTCCTCAATACGATTATGATAATTTATGAGATTTAAGGGTATTTGATCATGTCAATATTTTAGTGGTTTTTTATTTAAAGTTTGAATTGAAAGATCGTACATATTGGCGGTTCGACCATAAAACTTCACACCATAGGCTAAATCGATAGGTGATATTTAGCAATATGAAACAGTTGAACCACAGTTAAATTTTGATTTCAGTATAAAATACTCTACTGTCAAATTTTTTTATACTATTGTAATCATTTGGTTCAAACAATTCTTTTACACTGGTGGAAACATAAGTTTTAAGGCACATTTTGAACTATCTATTGCTAAAAAACATAAGTCAGTTAGCGATAATGAGAATATGCGATCTCATTCAACCCAAAAGACACTTTGCAACTTCTATATTTTTAAAATAGATGTATGTTACTTATACCCTTGCTCATTCATCAACTTAATGAGTACTATATATTTCATGTAATATGATTTTCATAGGTTTTTATTTATTGAATTATTTCATGAAAAAAATATTTGTTGCATGAAAATTACTACATTGTTGTTAAACATGTCTGCGATCTGAGAATAATTTTGGAAATCCATACACGACACATTCTCAAACCAACTATTAGCGACAATTTAGCATCATGTCCTATATATTTCAAATCAAGCAACTTCAGATTTATTACCAATGGTGTGGTAAAAAAGAATGCTCTCTATTGGGAAAAACTTAAAGGACATACTAAACTCTATGAGAGACATTTTCTTTCATCTTAAAGGTTGATTATGTATGTATTATGAGAAACAACTCTAATATTAAATTATATGGTTTAATTAAGTAATGGATGACAATTAGTTATATTTATTTCTTTTTTTATTCAATAATTATAAGTAATGCTTATATTATATTTTTCTCTTTTCATGGAGGTCTAGACATATTATGCGTAGCTGGATTACTTTAAAAATGTTACGTGGATAACTAAGTTAGAAAACAATCATTTTGTGAATTTCAAATCCTCTATTATATATCCATTATTATATATCATATTTCTCGATAAAATTCGTCCGGCCAACGGGCCGGGTTCTGTGCTAGTACATGGGATGGATAATGGAACGTTTGCTTAGTTTGCTCTAGTGCATAATATTTCTTGTTTAGTTTAACATATAGCTAGTTTATATGGGGAAATACGAACATAAGCTAGCTTCTGAATGGTGTTGGGCTGTGAACGGCCCGAAACACTAGAAGCCCAACTACCCGAGGGACGGCCCAAACTCATTCTGCGGAGAAACGGTAACGCGCTCTTCTTACCTTTCTAACGGCTACAAAATTCCAAACTGTAAAAATCCCTTTTAGGAGCGCTTCCCTCCCCGTACGGTAATAGAGATTATAGCCGTTAGATGCATTCAAATCCAACGGCTTACAAGGGGACAAGAATTCGACCGTTGTGAGAGAAAGGCCCCCCCGCTCGTCCTCGCTTCATAAGGAAGCCTCTTACTTACCACAGTGGCTCCTCTTGTCGTCTATACATTCTCTCTCGAAAAGTTTCACAATTTCCCAGAGAGCAAAATCCGATTTACAGAGAGAGAAACTAGAAAGAGAAACAGAGGGTTGTGAATCGGAGATAAGAGAGGGTGGCGACGACGGTGGTTGCCGAGGAGATAGGCGGAGGAGAAGGCGAGACTACCCGTACCGGTCTTCTCCCCGGATTTATTTCGTCCCTGTTTGCCAGAGTCTTCCGAACGAATCAAGAAGAAGTAGAAGAGGAAGGAAAAAGATCGAAGGTGATGGATGCCAGAGCAGAACAAGTCGTTGATGGTAAATTTGACTACGCTTGGTGTTGGTTTCTGATTTGAGTCCATTTTCTTTGGTTTTCTTTTCTTCTTGCTTGGTTAGTTTGCTAAAGGCGGGGTTTTGATTGTTTGAATTTGAACTGTTTTGGATCCTGAATTTGAGTTGCAGAAGTAATGTTCGACGATATGCCTTACTGGGTTCTTAAGAAAGTTCAGTTCTTTCACATGGGTTCTTGTTTTTGTTTCGTTCGATGAATAAGAGGATTTTCTGGGTTCGACTGAAGGAAATCAGGAAGAAGCCCCCTTTTTTACCCTAGAAACCTATGATCGTTCTTTCAAATTCCTCTGATTCGTATTGTTCCAAGGGGGTTTCTCCCGTTTCTTGTCCAAGTCTGATTGGTTTTCAAATTTCCCATTCGTCAGTAAAGATCTGGGTGCTTATTTTTCTTGGGTTCGATGCTGTCAGGAGAAATGAAGCAGAGGAACGCAAGAAACAGGAGAGTTCTTCAAGATATTGGAAACTTGGTGATTGATGGCGGAGATCAAGGGAAGAAGGTATGCAAAAGAGTTATTTTTATATATGCAACATCGGATCAACGTACATACAGTGTTATTACGTTCTAAAACTGATTTCTGGGGCGTGTTTAGCAGAAGGCAGTTGCTGGCCGTGGAGTGCCGCGTGCAGCAGGAGCAGCAACGAAAAAGGAAGCTGAGAAGAAGCAGCCACCACCACACGAGGTCATCGTCATAAGTTCTGATGACGAAAGTGAGAAGAAGCCTGCTGCTAAACCTGTTACCAAAAGGGTTACAACAAGAAAGGATATCAAAACTGTCACCGCAATCCTCACTGCTCGAAGCAAGGTTTGAAAAACTATCTTCTATCGAGAATCTGAAACTCTGTATTCTTTACTGTCAACACTAATATCTTTGTAATATATGATGGACTATAATAGGCTGCTTGTGGAATCAAGAACAGGCCACAAAATCTGGTGGCAGATATAGATACTGCGGATGTGAACAACCATCTCGCTGTTGTGGAGTATGTTGATGATCTCTACAATTACTACAAGCTAGCAGAAGTAAGTTCAAGAGGAATTTGGTTGTGATGGTCTATTGCTCTTTTGCTTTGTGCCTTTCTGTGCCTTATCTTCCTTCATTTGGGGTCATGATGGAGCTTTTCTATTTGATGGATACACAGGTTGACAGTATAGTTCATGATTACATGGACACCCAGCCAGAGATTAATGCAAAAATGAGATCAATTCTGGTAGACTGGTTGATCGAAGTTCACAGGAAATTTGAGCTGATGCCTGAAACTCTGTACCTCACGTTGAACATTGTGGACCGCTTCCTGGCGGTGAAAGTTGTGGCGAGGCGGGAGCTTCAGTTGGTTGGCATGAGCGCAATGCTGATTGCTTGCAAGTACGAGGAGATATGGGCACCACAGGTGGAAGATTTCGTTTGCATATCAGACAAAGCATACAATGGAGCACAAGTGCTGTTGATGGAGAAAGTAATACTGCAGAGGCTGGAATGGTACCTGACTATTCCTACGCCATATGTGTTCTTGGTCAGATATATCAAGGCTTCTCTCCCATTGGACACTATGGTGCGTCACACAAGTTTCTGTACATCATTTTACATGTTTCATTCGATCCCACTTTTTGTTTATTCGTTCATGTTGTGAATGAATAATGCAGACAGAGCAGATGAGTTTTTACCTGGCAGAGCTGGGGCTGGTGCATTATTCAGTAGCTGTCTTCTACAGTCCGTCCGTGATTGCTGCTTCAGCTGTGTATGCTGCTCGGTGCACCCTCAACAAAACTCCATTCTGGGACGAGACTCTGAAACACCACACTGGCTACAAGGAAGAGCAACTGCTGCAATGTGCAAAGAATCTGGCTAAACTGCATTCAGCTGCAGCTGGAGAGTGTAAGCAGTTGCAGGCTGTCCAAAACAAGTTTAAAGAAGCAGGACGTGGAAGGGTGGCTCTCTTTCCTCCTGCCAAAGTGCTGCTCATTGATCAAGCCTTGGATTAGATGATGGTGATGGAGGGATCATTTCTAAATGGTGATCGGTAGTAGTTTGAATCCTGTTCGGATTGTTTGTTTCTTTTTAGGCAAGGAGTGCGTGCAACTCGGATGTATTCCTCCACTAGAATGATGTTATTGCTTTCACCGCTGGGGTGCGTACAACTCGGATTTTATGGCTTCATTGCTAAATGAAGTTAATGTGTGCAGATAAATCTGATGATTGCTTTCTATAAAATCATCTGATTCTATTGACAAAAACATCTGGCGTTTTGTTAAACCTGCTTCTTTTTTACTTGCTGTATTTTCACACTATGTTACTGCAATTGAAAGAGGCATCTTGTAGATATATACAGTACAGATTTCAACAGTGATGATGTTTATAGACTCAACTGTGATGAACATTTACAGTGTTGGCAGTGCTTGTACAAAAATGGTCAAGCATGTTGTAGGTATACAGTACTTTCAACAGTGATGAAATGTTATAGACATGAAACAGAGATGAACATCTACATTGCTGGCAGATTGATCTGACCAAACCAGAAGAAAATTCTAATAAAAGTTCCTTTCTTCTGCCCATTAGCTGTAACTTACATGGACTTGTCCTGTGTTCCTGCTTGGGTTAAAGATGTCGACTTGCAATCAGACAATATCTCGATTCTTCTCTTCCTCTAGCTTTTTCTTGGCTTCCAACTTTTCTACAGCTCTTCCTCTTTGTACTTAAATTCTGCCTTCCCATGATCCACTTCCCTCACCAATTCACTCATAATTCTATCCTTCTCTTCCACCAAACCCATTACCAGAGTCAGCTCTTCCCTGGCTTTTTGCAACTCCGACTTGCAATCCTCTGCTTGCAACACCTTCTCCTGCTCACAAAGCTTCAGCTCTTCCTCTTTGTACTTTAATTCTGCCTTCCCATGATCCACTTCCATAACCAATTCACTCATAATTCTATCCTTCTCCTCCACCAAACCCATTACCAGAGTCAGCTCTTCCCTGGCTTTGCGCAACTCTGACTTGCAATCCTCTGCCTGCAACACCTTCTCCTGCTCCTCAATAACTCTGTTCTTCTCCTCTAGCAGTTTCATACAAGCTGACAGCTCTACCTCCATCTCCTTTCTAGCAGCTTGACAATCTTCCAACTTGTTCCCATTCTCTTCCAAAAGGAAGTCCAGTTCATCAATCAGCTTATTGTTCTTCTCCAGTCGATGCACGTACGATGAAAGCTCTTCCTCCATTACCTTCATCTGCCGCCCACAAGATTCCACTTCCTTGTTCCTCTCCTGAACAACCCTCCTGGACTCCAAGACCTCTTCTTCGAGATTTTGTATTATCGATTTACATGCTCTCAACTCTTCATCTCTCTCCCCCGATAGCTTCTTGAGAGCAAACAACTCTTTGGAACTGTTCCCGTTCTCTTTCATAGCAGCCTGACAATCTTTCAACTTGTTCCTATTCTCTTCCAACAGGGAGTCCAGTTCATCAATCAGCTTATTGTTCTTCTCCAGACGATGCACGTACAATGAAAGCTCTTCCTCCATTACCTTCATCTGCCGCCCACAAGATTTCACTTCCTCGTTCTTCTCCTGAACAACCCTCCTGGATTCCAAGACCTCTTCCTCGAGATTTTGTATTCTCGACTTACATGCTCTCAACTCTTCATCTCTCTCCCCCAATAGCTTCTTGAGAGCAAACAACTCTTTTGAGCTGTTCCCGTTCTCTTTCATAGCAGCCTGACAATCTTTCAACTTATTCCTATTCTCTTCCAACAGGGAGTCCAGTTCATCAATCAGCTTACTGTTCTTCTCTAGTCGATGCATGTACAATGAAAGCTCTTCCTCCATTACCTTCTTCTGCCGCCCACAAGATTCCACTTCCTGGTTCCTCTCCTGAACAACCCTCCTGGACTCCAAGACCTCTTCTTCGAGATTTTGTATTCTCGATTTATATGCTCTCAACTCATCATCCCTCTCCCCCGATAGCTTCTTGAGAGCAAAAAACTCTTTGGAACTGTTTCCATTCTCTTTCATAGCAACCTGACAATCTTTCAACTTGTTCCGAGTCTCTTCCAACAGGGAGTTCAATTCATCAATCATCTTATTGTTCTTCTCCAGTCGATCCATATACAATGAAAGCTCTTCCTCCATTACCTTCATCTGCCGCCCACAGGATTCCACTTCCTTGTTCCTCTCCTGAACAACCCTCCTGGACTCCGAAACCTCTTCTTCGAGATTTTGCAATCTCGATTTACATGCTCTCAACTCTTCATCCCTCTCCACAGATACATTCTTGAGAGCAAACAACTCTTTGGAAGTGGACTCGAATTGGGTTTTCAGAGTACTGAGTTCCTGTTCCTTTAATGACAAAACTTTATTAGCCCATGAGAGGTCCTTGTCCTTACCCTTCAACCGTGCCTTGACGGCGTCCAAGTCCTTCTGTCCCTTCATCTTCACCCCATACTTGGACCAATCGAACAGGGTATTGGTCTCCACTCCACAATAATCGCCAGCCTTGGAGCTGCAGACGAAGCAGGTGCCTTCATAGTTGACTCTCAGATTGTAGAACGACTTGGCATTCCTGGGACGAAGGTCCTTCACGAGCTCTATCAACCGCAGGCCCCGGATGGTCGTGCCTAGGACCTCTAGCTCCTTGTACTTGCTGCGGGGGCTACTGCCTATCTCTGCAACGATCGATGCGCCTTCTAGCGAGTACTCCAAGACGTAGATTGTGTTGTTCTCCAGGTGAGAGTTGTGGGCGTCGATGAACTGGTTGACCGCGCTCAACCTAAATGTTGCCATTGAAATTCCCGAAGAGACCTGTCAAGAATCCCTTGTTCATGACCAGCGATTTCATACCAGCCTTCGTCACGGTTCCCCGAAGAGACCTATGGGTTTCGTGATTACGCCTCTAGGAACCCTGAGCCCATTGAGACATATAATCAAACACCTTGGGTGCAAAACATTTTGTTCAATTAACGCAACATTGACGGCATTCGAACGATTTTGGGGGAAGAACGGAACGAAACGAAACAAAACGAAGAAAGAAATGAAGCCGTTAATGACGAGACCTACCTGTTGTTGAATTAGCGCCGGCCGTTGTTTCGAAAACTCGCCGTGAAACTACGAAGCAGAGGTTGGTTGATGAACAGCCGAATTTGAAATCAAAATGACGCAAGGAACCTATAAATTTTGGAATTCGGGGAACCGTGACGAAGGCTGGTATGAAATCAGTTGATCATCTGTCCTTGTTCTCTATTGTCTTTTTAATCTTTCTTTTTTATATAGTCTATTTTCTTTTTAATCCTTGTTCTCTATTTCCATTCACATTATCTCCTTGTTATTTTTGACAAATAATTTCATCCTATTTTACTATTTTAGTAAGTCTATCCAGGGTATATGCTGTTCAATTTATGTTCTACTCTAAAAGTTGATTTTTGAATCTTCAAATTCAAAATTATAAGTATTATTATTAGGCCAAATTTTTATTCGCTTAGGTTGAATTTTATACGACTTTCGGTGGCACTCGAACACCATAGAATTAATTAAGGATGAAATTCACATAGGGATGAATAGAATATGAATTTATGTTGATATGTCATGAATCAGATTATCTCTCATTGACCGAAAGTCATGGGTCTCATTGTAACCTGTTTTGAGTCTTGTCTGTAACCATATTCTTTATCGGATTGGATTAGTGTTAGACTAATTGGAGAAGTACAATATGTATTTCTCAATCCTCCTGTAATCTATAATCTCCTCAAGTATAGTGAAAATAACTCTTTTCTGCTCGTGGACTTACTAACACATAGTGTGTTATTGAACCATATGAATCTGTGTTCTTTTTTTTTTCTTGCTATCATTGTCTCTCTAGTATTGTCAATTACTCCGATTCGTTCTTCACAGTTTATACATTCAAAGTGGGAATGAGTGAGACTTGGGGCAATGCATCTTTGTAAGAATCTATTAGTTTATCTCATCTTAATAGCAATCCGATTATGGTGTTCACAGACATACAGAACCGTTGGAACGGGTGCTTTTGAAAACATTTGAAACACGTTAATAAACACATAAAACTCAATCGTATTTTACAATTGATAACCAAAAGTACAAATCGAATTGAGTTTGATTCATTTATTTTTACCCTTTTGATATGAATTTCACAAACGAATTACAATTCGAGTTCCACAACATCCCTCCCAACTTCCATCTCCTCCAAAACCCTATCCTTCATCTCCAACACCTTATCCTTCCACTCCAACAAATTCTTACAAACACAAAGCTCTTCCTCCTTAACCTTCAGCTGAAACCTACACCACTCTATTTCCTTACCCTTCTCACCTTCCTCCACCTCCTTCTTCTCCTTCAACAGCCTCTTCACCGCTCCAACCTCTTCCTCCTTATCACCCAACCTCGACTCCAACCTCCTCGCCTCCTTCCTCTTCACCTCCACCTCGTCTTCCAGCTCCTCGATCGCCCTGCACTTCTTCTCCAGCACCCTCTTATAAAACCCTAGCTCTTCCCTAACCTCCTTCACTTCCAACTTCACCATCCTAATAACTCTTTCCTTCTCTTCCAACATACCCTCCATCTCCACCACAACCTTCTCCACTCTCTCCAAACGCCTTGTGCAAAACCCTAGCTCCTCCTCTCTATCTCTCACCTGTAACTTCCACCCTCTCACCTCCTTGTCCATGGCTTCCATCACCTTCTCATGATGATCTCCCTCCATTTTCTTCTTCTCCAACTCCCCCGAGATCAAGCCGATCTCCTTATTTGCCCGCTCAGATTGCAGCCTCGTTGACTCCAAGTCAACATTTTTCTCTTCTACAACCGTTTTGCATTTCACCAACTCCTCTTCTAGGTTTTTCACCTGATCCAACAAAAAAAAAAAAAAATCCCCAAGTAACGACGAGAGAAATAGAAATTTTTCTAAGTACAATCTACCCATGAACTATCTCAGAAACCACCTACGCAAACTCGAACGAGTTTAACTCCAGAAGAAATAATAACAACAGAGCTTTACGCGCTACCTGATCGAGAAGTTGCCTGTTAACGACCTCCTTGATTTGCAGTCTGTCCTCGAGCTCGTCTTGCACGGCGGTCCTAACCCCGTACTTGGACCAGTCGAAGACGACGCTACTGCTGAGCTTGGTCCCGTCGAAGTCCTGAGCCTTGCCGTTGTGGATGTAGCACGCGCCGTCGCAGTTGACGCGGAGGTTGTAGTCGGTTTTGTCGTTCCTGGGCCTCAGGTCGGCTAGGAGTCGGGCCAGGGCGTCGCCGCGGAGGACGGTGCCGTTGACTTCCAGCTCCTTCAAGGTTAGGGATTCCCCGATGCCGGCGACGGGAATCCACTTGTTGTTCTCTAGGTGATCCACGTAGATGTCGTTGTTGGAGAGGGTGAAGATGCTGAGGAAGATGAAGTGGCTCCTGTTGTCGGAGTTGAGGCTGTATATCGTTCCCACCATTTTTTTGTTTGTTTGTTTGATCAGTTTGTTCTGGAAAATACATTATTCCAACCAGATTATACCAACATTAATCGATGTTACATGCACATATTATCAGATATTATCGAAATCTCATCAACTTTACAACTAATTCCGTTCATCAATCAGTTACACAGTAGTTATTACGTAATTGTTGTGTACTCAGAAATCAAATCATTGAATTAATATGCGAAATAAATAACATGCATACATACGTGGAAGAAATCAGATCAGCAAGTACTACCTGAAGGCTACCGATATGGAGGAACAAGAGATCAAATGATTCCGATAATTTGAAGGCAGATCCAGGAGGTGCTATTTGTACATATACACATTAGAATTGAATGAAGCTGCTTGCTTTGTCTTTCTTTGCCAAGCAAAGTTGATTTTGTCTTTGTTTACCGTTACAATCTTCCGATCCCAGTGCGTGGCGTGGCATGCACGTTACACATTCCCTCCACTGAAAGGAAACCTTATATGCAGAAAACAAACCTCTGAAGGTATCCATTTCCCCGGCCGCCGGTTGCTCGCCGGACAACGTATATTCTTCCCCTTCCAAGTAATTTTTTCCCCAAGGTAAAACTAATCAAATCGATATTGTATGTCATCCCTACAGAATATCCAGCCGTTTCTGTAACTTATTTGAATTGGTAACTAATTAGCTGCAGCTTTTTTAATACATCACTAATTCATTTTCCTTTCTTTCCCTTAAGGGAAAGCCGTCGTCTTGACTTAGGAATTCATTCCTTCCTTCCTTCCTTCCCTCCTTATGGCTGGCGTAGGAAGCCGTTGTTTCTCTCTATATAACCCAGAGCTAAGGGCAAAGTAATTAGAAGAAGGAGAGGAAGTACGTACGTCAAGCAACACATTGCATTGCATGCAAACCTCTTTAATTATTAACTCATGCATGCAAACCCACGTAACTAATATTCCTTCCTCCATCGTTCTATATATCAATACCTAAACAAACAGTTAGCTTTTGTCATTTTGTAATTGCCATTTTTCAGGTGAGTATGGGATCCATATTTCAGCTGAGATCGAGCTCCGACTACTACCTCAACGCCAACTACTTCGACCCCAAAGACAACAACATCTACGTCCACAGGCTAACCGACTCCGCCGCCGCCGGGGGGAAAGAGCGGTGGGAGTACACGGCGGCGATAGGCGAAACCCAAGAATTCAAAGAGCTTGAATTGTCGTCGGGAGTTGTGATCCGGGGAGAGAAGCTGGCGGAGCTGGTGGGAGATCTCCGGCCAGCAGCTGCAACCCACGACGACACGTCGTCATCTCGAGCGACGTCGTTTTACAGCCTGAGGGTCAACAACGAAGGCCGATGTTACATTCGGAGCGATGTCGTAGGAGACTTTCTGCATGGGTCCCGGCTCAACGCCACCTTCGACTGGTCCAAATACGGCGCCGTTGTGACGAGGACGAGTGCATCAACAACGTCGGAGGAGAAGTGGAAGGTGGTGGCGGAAGAGAAGACCAAGGAGCTGGAAGCTTGCTTGCTGAAGCTGAAGGAGGTGAGTGGTGAGAAAGGTGGTGAAGAGAAAGAGTTGGCAGGCTCGGGAGGTGAAGGAGAAGAAGAAGGGTATTGGGAAGTTTCTTCTACTTGGAAGGAGGGTAGGGTTTCGAGGCCTGGATTTATGGATTGTTCTGCGGTGTTGGTGGTTGTGTTCTATTTTCTGGGGCTCTATTATTGGGGAGCCAAACTTCTGGCTGTGTTGTTCAGGAAAAGAAGCCAAAATACACAGGATAATGATGGTGGCATGCAATAATTCCACTATGTAATATATATTCCTGCATGTACAATGAATTATATGATATATGATCATGTTTGCACTAATTTTAAATAAAATAAATTCATAAAAGTAAAATTAATTAAAAAGTATGTAATCATGTAAATCTATATTTTTTTTATATCCAACTGTATTTAAAATTTATATTTACGAATCACTGATATTTCATTAAATTTTATTAAATAATCATTTCTAAATTGACTTGATGAGGGAGAGTTAGAGTTGATCAGAGAGGGGAATGAGGAATTGAGAAAGAATTAGAGATTTAGTTGATATTTTTATAAATATAATTAGTATTGTATACTTATATTAGTTTTGTAACAATAAACAATTTGTAGTCCAAAGTTCAACGAAAATTCAAGAAATATCAAAAGAATTTATGTTTCGGATATAATAAAATAATATTTTGTCACACTTGTGTATTTGTTGTTAGCATGTTCACATTTGGGGTAAATTGGGTAAGGGAACGGAATACATATTTGTATTTGGAAAATTTTCAAGAGTCTAATTATTGAGATAATGACTTGATTTTTTATATATAGTAAATTACTAATAGGATCTATGATTCTAGCTAGATGTTTTATGTTGAACCCTCACGATTTCTAATAGTAAATAAATTAAATTTATGCACAAGAGAGAGGGATGTATAACAGGACATCTCTTAACACGTAATTCGAATTTTTGTCACAAATTGGTCTCGATATATTGCACATGCAACCATCCACAAAGTCTTATTTAATATAATGATCGAGTATGACTGGTGAACGGTTGGATACTACGTGCTAGTTTGGACATGTTGTAGTTTTTGCAAAGGCAGTTTTTGGTGGAGTTTTTAGAGAAGTACTTTTGAAAAAAGCTATTTACTATTTCGTTGGAAAAATATTAGAAGTTCTTTTTAATACAAGAGGTTGTGTAAAATGACTATAAAGAACATATAATATAAAACTAGTGTGGGCCCCGGCCAGTTGGCCGGAGGAAGGTAGGATGGCAATGGGTCGGGTTGGGTCGGGTTTTGCCAAATTCAAATCCAAATTCATGGGTTTATCCGTGAAAAAAATTCGGGGTAAAATCCACTGGGTTTGAAAAACTCAAACCCAACTCAACCCCCTGGGTATCCGCGGGTTCATGGGTACCCACAGGTTTTTGTCTTAAAAAATTTACAATAACAAGTTGCTATCAAAATTAAAGTCAAATATCAATCTCTCAATACAAATTATCCATATATAAAATACCATTCTAGAAAATTCAAGCAAATAACAAATTATCCATAAATAACATGATTAATTGAAAGCTTCTTCCTTTCAATTAAGTTTCTTCACTCTCCACTCGATAACATCAACTTCATTCTACACAATTAGAAAGAAAAAATTAGACATGTCTCCACAAACATAAATAAGATAAGTTGTTTAGAATATTAAATATATCGAGAAAATTAATTATATGGGTGTGGGCGGGTACCCATGGGTCGGGTTTACCTAAACCCAAACCCAACCCGATGAATATTGAACGGGTTTAAACCCAAACCCGGCCCAAAACCCGTCAACACGGATTTTACCCGCGTTGACCGAGTTGGGTAGGGTGGGTACCCGTGGGTTCGGATTTTGTTTTCATCCCTAGAGGAAGGTGAGGTATGAAATTTGATAATGTAATGGGGTGTATAACTTATTGTTGTATAGTTTTTTTGGGAAACACGTGTTCTAAGTTTTTGGCGCGCCCGAATAATCAAAAGACCTGAAGGTCTTTTGATTATTCGGACAATAGAATTAGAAGTGGAATCTGATTTTCCACTTATAAAATTAAAAAATAAATAGAATGGAATAAAAATAGTGAATTTTAGCAGGAAAGAGACATTAATGATGCAACAAATCAAAAATCGGCCTTATGAACCAAAATCAAGTACCTGTTACCTTGTGAAACAATATTGTTTCTGGTAATATGATGAGATGGAGTAAGTTTTATAGAAACTGATTTCCAGAAAATCGAATAAAAAATCGCCTATCCCGTCGGTTTTCGGGAAATGAGCATCTCACAATCGTTGCTAGCTTTTACTCGGCCCGTTGGCCGATTAATTTGGTTTATAAAACTTTCATCTTGTCGTCATTGTGCTTTCTGGTTTTTTTCAGGCTATGATAAAATCTAAGGAAATAAAGAACGAACAACACGATTTGGGATAGGAACCGTCGTTGTCGTATCCCTAGAAAATGGTGGTAAACATGGACTCACCTGCCAAACTGGTTTGGATTGAGATTTTTATCGGGTATCAGGGAACCATGTGATTATAAATTAGACTTGATCAAAAGGGGCCAAAACTTGAAATGCAGCCTGTTTGACCGACCCATGCCAAATTCTAATTATTCTTTACTTTTAAACTTTTTATTTGAAAATAAAAAATAGTGAAAGAAAAGAGATGACTGCCATTTGCACATCACTTATTCGGGAATAAAACCATAGAAATTCAAAAGGAACTGAAAATGTTAGGACCGTTTTAATGTTTAAAATAACCAAATAGATCTTTCTGTTTAGTTTTTTACTAACAAATTCCAAACGATTCCCTATAAAATACACTATGATTTGATCATTATGATATCAAATAATTATATAATATATATTTGAAATGATAAAAATTGGACTAATTGGGTTGGTCGAGGTTGAACCATTGAATAACTTTAAAATACATTATATTTTAGCCACTAAGATATAAAATAATAGCATAATATATTATGCCAGAGAAAATAGCTTGTTTTAGAATGTCAAACCAATGATGTTCATTTGTTTCACTTTATGTCCAAATCCCGTGTAGGTCAAACCAATTCAACTCTTTTATTTTATGGTTAGCGGTTAGCCCATTAGATACCATGCATTAGTTTATTGTTAAATTTTTTATTTTTAGCAATAAAAAGAAGTATTGTTTTTGCCTCTTCATATATATTTTATCACCACGGAGAAATAAAAGGGCTTAATGAAAAAATTGACACTCTTGAACCCGTTTAAATCCGCATGTGTACGGTAAGTTGGCCCGTTCCACAGAGGAAAGAGGAAAAAATTGACACTCCCTATTCTATCATTCCTACAAACGCTCCTGGAGCAGGAAATTTGAAATGGGGGAAGGGTTTTTTCCTCTCTGCTATTATATCTTTTTAATTTAAAAAGATACAATAAATGTACTTAGTGTGATTGGTTATGATCCTTACTTTTCCTTAAAATGGTCATGGTTCGAATCCCACTACGTGTCTTTTTAATGAATTAAAAAAAGCAAGTGTGAAGACCAAAATTTCCTTCCTACTTTCACTCTCGTTGCAGGAAATTTGAAATGGGGCTCCCGTTTTTCCCTTCGGTGTATTATATTATGTGTAGATATGAATAAAACTTTTCAACGATAAGAAATAGTCAAAATGGATCTTGTTAGGTTTCTTTTATATTAAATAATATAATTTAATAATTTATTTTATTTTTAAAATGATATAAATGAAAGAAAATGATATTTTCTGAAATAAAATTAAAATATGATAAGAATAATCTTGTATTTTCAAAATAGTTTTTCGCAGAAGCTCCAAATTAGAGCTTCTGCTTTTATGGAGATCCGGTGACTAAGGAGGGGTCCTTAGTCAAGAGACTAACCCCTCCTAGCCCTTGGATCTAGATATATTAATCTAATGGTTAAAAAGTGAAAGGAATATTTAATTAATAAAAAGGTAGTTATGATATTATAAAAAACTGATTGTTTTTTTATTTTATTCCCTTTCCCGCTCACGCTCCCGTGTCCACAGCCGCCTACGTCTCTTTTTTATTATATAATCACCTAGTTCTTTCTTTTTTAGTCACTCCCACTCACATGCGTTTTCTTTTTTTCCCTTTTTTACCCGCCTTTTTCTATTTTAAAAATAAAATCACAAAATAACATAAAAATTTATAATCTATACCAAAAAAATATACAAAGTAAAAATATATAATTTACAAACATTATAATGAAAATACAAAAATCAATAATATGTGATTTACAAATCAGAATACAAAAAGTGTACAAATCATATAATAAATATGTACAAACTAATAGAACCATGTATACAAAATACAACTACTTACAGTACAAATCGATATGAGTTTTTTTACAAATCAATAATATAAAGTATACAAACTATATCATAAAAGTATACAAAAGCAATATTAAAATGTATTAGAATCACTTGATATAAGTATACAAATCAAGTTAACATTATTTACAAAGATTACTAAAAACATAAAATATCACTACTAAATATTACAAATGGTATAGACCTCATCATAAAAGTATACAAATGGATATTACAAAGTATACAAACCACATCATAAAAGTATACAAATAATATTAACATTGTATGCAAAGCATACTAACTGTACAAATTACAACTACTTACAATACAAACCGATAATACAAAATCATACAAATTAGAATTAAGTATACAAACATGACAAACATGGTTGACAAAATGACAAACACGGTGGACAAAAATAACAAAGCTTACACACATTACAAAAGAAACCAATAAATATTACAAAAATAACAAAGCTTACAAACATTATAAAAGAAACCAACAAACAGTACAAACCATACTAACCGTACAAAATACCACTACTTATAATACACATCGATAAACTTGTATTACAAATCAATAAATACAAAGTATAGAAAATAGACAAATAAACATTACAAATTACAATATATACAAATTAGTCATATAAACATTACAAACATAACAGATAAAAATAACAAACTAGAATAATAAACGATACAAACTGAATTAAAACAAAATTATAAAATAGTCCGATAAACATAACAAACTGACACACTGTTGTCCGGAGAATCCCTAATCATCAAAAAGTCCTATCCGACACCGACAAAAACTCTCTCTCTCTCTCTCTATATATATATATATATATATATCCCTGAATCCCCACGGCGGAGGGCAGTTGTTCCCGGAAAGGGACCGCCGAGAGGGGGGAAAATGTCATTGGAAGAATTTCCAAGCAGTCATCGTGAATTTCCGGAAACAGGGCGCCGGCGGTAGAGTGGAAGGGACCGCATGAGCGTGTTCAACCCACTTTTTTATGTTAATTGTGAAATAAATAATCTATAATTATCATCTTATCATTCATTAAATGATATTAATATGAGCCATTAGATTTAAATGAGATTGAAGAGTGGAGATTCACTTAGTCACATGACTAAGGGACCACCCTAGTCATCTGATCTTTGCCCGCTTTTATGTTATACGAAAGTGTTTTTCAGCTTTTTAAAAATCGTAGAGTTGTTTGACCCTGCTTCAACTTTTGAAATCGATAAACACTTCTAAAAGCCGGACCAAACGGTAAAATTAATTAGCTTGTGAGTTTTTTTCGTAAATGTAGAAAATATCTTCAAACTTTTGAGAATGAATCACTCAAAATCCTATTTTCTATGAAGCGAAAGGATACAAAGTGTTATTAAAATAGTAATATATAACCAACAAGAACTTGAGGAAGATTGGATAAATGAACCATCAATCCTAAGAAAATTGGAATTTTTCCAATAATAGCACGTTTAAAAAAAATTACAAAACGAGCACCTAGCCGAAAAAATTTACATAAATAGCACCGTTTTTAATGGAACGCACCCCTAAGGTACGTTTTATAAGTAAACCGCACCCCACAGCTGCGTTTTACTTATAAACCGCACCTTAGGGGTGCGCTCCATGGCACGTCAGCACGCAAACCGCACTAGGAAGGTGCGGTGTGCTTTTCCTATGGAACGGTCTTCAAGACCGTTAGATGAAGGCGTGATCGGACGGCGGACCGCACGCCAGGTCAGCGATCCGTGTCGTGGATCGGGGACCGCGCCTGCAAAGAGCGGTCAGCGCCTCGTGAATCGCAAACCGCATATGAAGGGAGCGGTTTCTGCGAGGGGAAAATTACCAGACCGCCCCTGAAGGGTCACTAAATGGTGCTGGCAGGGCAACTTCCATCTGATCCAGCTCATGAAAGACACCTTCATCAGCTCCATAATGGTAGTTGTGAAAACTACCGCTGCCTGATTGGAAGTTGTACTGAGGTTGGTTGGGGAGGTCCGGTTGAACTTCTTCCTCATATGAAGGGAAAGATTGATGATGAACTTCACCTTGCTCTTGGTACTGAAAATAGGAATGAATATCATGGTAACTTTGGTAGGGATGATCGCCATATAATTCACCTCCACCATGGATACTAGATGTTTGACCGTGTCCAGAATGACCTCCAACGCCAATGGCCGCCTCGGTGTGAACGAACATCTCGTCTTTGGAAAGATTGTTGGACCTCAAGAATTCGAGCATGGAATCTATTTCATCATGAGTGGTTATGAGATATTTCTCATGCCACAATGACCCACTTTCTCTGTTTGGATATCGGTACACCATACGATCAACTCTTCTCGTGCCATCCATGCAAGTAACGTTAGTGCACATTTGATGGGGGTCTTCAAGCAGCGGTCTGGTAGCGACCTTTATTTTCTGAAAATTGCCACCGACGTAGGTGACCCGGCCTAAGTTCAGGTCCTTAAACCCCATTTTTTAAGAAGGATCTTAAAGCAATTCTATTGGCTGCTGGAATTTTAGGTAGTTATGAGGAAGTTATTGGTTAAGTAGTTAATAAGGGTTTTTTAGGAATTATATTTAATAATAAAATTATAATAGTTAACCTATTATTAGTCCACGTATTATTCGTAAACCTCATTCCGCAATCCCAGCCAAAACGTCAGTCTCCTCAAAGTTCACCTATGTCTCCTCGTTTCCCTCGTCGTTTGTCCGGCTTCCAACGTCCCTCACGTCCATCGTCAATCCCTTCCTTCGTTCATCCTTTGTCTCTCGTCGTTAATCTTTCGTCGTTGTTTCTATCGCAATTCTCCGTCAATAGCAAGCTTGTCGTCAGCTTTCTCCCGTCCCGTCGATTTCTGACTTGCCATCGAGTTCTCGTCGAGGTCACTGAAAGCTCCGGCTTCCAGCCCAACAACATTCGTCTATCCTATTCGAGTTCCGTCAATACAAAGCTTTTTGTTTCTGTCAACAGCGGCATAGATCAAGCTTCCGACATCGCTCACATCCGTCGTCGCTCCTTTCCGCCGTCGATCACGTCATCAGCTTCAGAGATGGAATCCCATCGACCTCTCCTCCTACCCCATCCCTTTCCGCCGTCGATCACGTCGTCAGCTTCCGGCGTTGCCCACATCCGTTGTCGGTACCTTCTTTTTCTCGCTTGTTATTGTTTATAATGTTTAGGTTTATCGTTTGTTTCATAGTTTTAGGGTTTTCGTTGTTTGCTAATTGTTTTGTTGTTATTAAGGTTATTGGACATGTTTTTAATTACATTGTATAGCATTATTAACTTTTTATGGTCATTTTTTACGTGCTCGTTTTCAATTTTTTTGCTCTCTATTATTAATGAATACGTGCTCGTTTTCAATTTTTTGCTCTCTACTATTAATCTATCTGTCATGCAAGTCAATTATTAATGCTTTCGGTGCTTACAGTAATAATGCATTGCATTATTAATGATTTATGGGCAATCATTAACAGAGCACAATATAGTTAGAAATATTAACACACAATATTAATAACAAGATTATTAATCTTTTCATCTCCATTATTAACATATTTACCTACAGTATTAATGATTGTATGACCAATTACTAATACACAAAAGTCATTTCTTATGTGATAGTCATTTCTCATAATAGATTGGATTTTGTATTAATGATTATTAACTTTTTGTTACCATTATTAACCTTTTATATTTAAGTCATCAACGTTTCTGCTACCATTATGGAAGTTTAATTATTAATACTTCAGTTACCAATTCGAAATTTTTAACTGTCATGTTATTAAAGTTTTTGTTATCATTATTAACATTTTCCTCGCTCATTCAAATTGCAATGAGTTTCCTTTACTAATGTTTGTTTGACTGAATCACAGGTGCACTATGTCACAAGTGTCGAAGATCTTGAAGATCTATATTGTGATTCATGATCACTGAGAACGATATACAAAGCAATATCAATTGATTGCAAAATGTTAACAATGTCATTAGAAGTCATTGGAAGATGTCATGACTAGATAGTTATAAACATGAGATGAAAATGTGAATCATTGGTAAAAAACTAAAAATATTGTAAATCAATAATATTGCACTACTCAAACTTTTAGTGGCAATGTTATATGACTTTAATGATTCATTCACAAGCATTGATGACAAAAATGTAAAACAGTAATAATTGATCCAAAATTGTTAATAATGTAATTGTAAATAATTGATAAGTATATTGAAAATATTAATAATGATTAGGTATATTAATAATTATTTATTTCATAAATGTTGATAATGGCATTGCAAAACGTTAATACTACATTGCAAGCTGTCTCAAAATGAGAGAGAGCATGTATTTTTAATTTCATAAAAGTTAATAATATCATTGTAAAACGTTAATACTACATTGCAAGTTGTCTCAAAGTGAGAGAGAGAGCGGGTATTTTTAATTTTCATTTTAAGAAAGAAAAAACATTAAGTCCGAATTTATTAAATATTAAATAATAATATTTAATTTAATTAATTCTGAATTTCCTTTTAATGATAGTGACGAGAGAGGGTAATAAGAAGGTTACGGAGGAGAGAGAAATAAATCATTAATTATTAGTATTAATTATATTTGCATAATACCTCATTTACCCTCAACTAACAATTAACTACTAACCACTATTAACTACCTAATCTACTATTAGCCAATGAGAATGACTTAAGAAGATGCTTAAACTTATAGGCTTAAGCACCGGATCCAACCCGAGGTGACCCCTTTTCCGGTCTCTTCCGTGTAACCATTCCACCGTAAGCCAAGCGTGAACTTTTGGAATGCCATCTGCAAAAAAATCGTAGTTCAGTTAATACCATAAAAATCACAAATCACAAATAACAATAAAAAGTAATACAAAATAAACTTACGAGTTAACGTTAATCGCAAAAACACTAAAGAAATATAGAGCTAGAACAGAAAATTGAAAAGGGAGAAGGAGAGATGTGAAGAGAAGAGGTTTTCCGTGCATTCTTATATAGGCAAAATCACTGATGAAAACCGCACCTTAGAGATGCGGTTTTCGTCCGCCAATGCAGCCCCACGTCTGTTATTCTGCAAGACTATATGTCGGGTGTTGGAAAATAATTGACACACAAACCGCACTGGGGGGCGCGGTTTGTGTGGCAAAACCGCACCTTGGGGATGCGGTTTTGTTTTGGAGAAGCAAACCGCATCTCCAATGTGCGGTTTTGCTAGGTCAGGCCAAAACCGCACCTCGACCGTGCGGTTTATGTAGGTCAAACCTGAAACCACATGGCCAAGATTCGGTTTTGGCCAAGGATAATAAACCGCACTTTAGAAGTGCGGTTTATATATAAAGCGCACCCTCCACGTGCGGTCCATAAAAAAGGGTGTTATTTTTGTAAATATTTTCGGATGGGTGCAATTTTTGAATTTTTTTTTTCAAAGTGCTATTTCTGAAAAAATCCCCAAAAAATTCAATATATATATATTTTGGACTTAGCCAATAGTTAATGGAAATTATCCGTCGATTAAGAATTTTGTTGTCAGACTTCAATAAAAATTGAATGTCTTTGACTTATTTACGTCAAGCGGTTAACAGGGTATTAAATTTTTCCCCACCCATCAAAGAGCTTCACAGTATCCAAATCTCGGAAGAATCACTACCGGAAACCTTCTCCTTCGTCATCTCCATCACCTTATCCTTCCACTCCAACAGCTTCCTACTAACCGCAAGCTCTTCCTCCTTATACCTCAACTTCATCTTCCAATGCTCCACCTCCACATCCCTCTCTTCACTCACCTTCCTCTCCTCCACTTCCCTCAACCTCAACTTCCACACCCCAACCTCCTTCTCCTTCTCCTCCACCACCCTCTCACATTCCTCCACCATCTTACCCTTCCTCTCCGCCGCCTTCCTCCACGCCGCCGCCTCCTCCTCCGCCTTCATCCCCTTCAACCTGCATTCCCTCGCCTCCCTCTCCTTCCCTTCCACCTCCGCTTCCAGCTCTTCAACCCTCCTCTTCCTCCTCTCCAACCCCTTCTCGTACCTCGACCTCAACTCCGCCGCATAGTCCCTCTTCTCCTTCTCCATCTCCTCCACAACTTCCTCCACCTCCTTTGCCGCTCTGTTCACCCTGTCCAGACGCCTGGACAGGGCACCGAGCTCGCCTCGTGCCTCGACCAGCTCGGACTTGTTCGACGCGAGCTCCTTTGCCGTGTCCTCCAAGTTTCTACGCAGCTCCGAAACCGTGCTGTCCTTGTCCTCCAGTTGTGAGGTGAGGAACTCCAGCTGCCTCTCCTTGGCCGTCCTGACGCCATGCTTGGACCAGTCGAATACGGTGTTGATTCGGATGCCAGAGGAGTCCCCTGCTCGGTAGTCGAGGACGAAGCAGGATCCCTCGCAGTTGACGCGGAGGCTGCATCGCGTCCTGTCGTTCCAGGCTCGGAGGTCTCTGCTGAGCTCCGTGAGCTTTTCGCCGCGGAAGGTGGTCCCCGAGACTTCGAGCTCTTTCACCTTCTCGGATTCGCCGATGACGACCAAGTTGCCAGGCTCCCAGCGATCGCCTGTGTGCTTGTTCACAAAGATTCGGTTGTCCGTTGGGGATCCCCAGTTGGATGTTATGAAGAAGTCTGCCGCGTTGAGATTGAACACGCTCATCCCTGTGAACAAAATGTAGACATGATTAGGAAATGAATGACATGATATTATTAAGAGATGGCAGCACCTGCAATTGAAGCTACATGCCTATATCGATCCGAAGCTTGTGAATTTCCTTGAATCAGTATATGTCGTACAATAGTTTTTGGCGGCTCTTAAATATGCAAGTTAAGTTCAAGCATATAACATTCCTTGCAGAATAATCTTAAGCTAGGAATATAACATAAGTAGGTTACCTCTACTTTCCCTCTGCCTTGAGGCCAAACTTAGCCCACAAGGTAGCCCCAAACCAGCACCCTGCTGAGAAAGCCTGCAAGTTACCACAATTGGCAACAAATTTTATTGTTCCTCAACTGCAATTCACAATCAGGTACGAGCCATTCACAAGGTACTTTCAAAGCATTGATGCGACAGGAAAATATTGTCAGCATATTCTTGAGCCTGAACAATGTGAACTGAAACTCTCAATGAATGCCAATATAATAAAGAAAGAACATAAGTTTCCATAACTCATGGATATCAATAAATAAACAAGAACATGGTTCAGAAAGGAGCATATCTCGACACCAAGAACATGGTTAAAAGGGGAAACCTAGGATCCCGATTCAACAGCCATATTTTGAAAATGAACGGCATTCACTCACCGTTCATACACATCCAACAATTCAGCCTTAATATCATCTGGAGGGAAGAATTAGATGATAGCAGGACTAAGATGAAGAAGCAATCATGATGATTTTGTAGTGGAAGAGTTCCATATGCCGAACTTACATTACTTGGATGCAACTATTAAGGAGACAGTCATTCAAGATAGCCGACTAGATGGATACACCATTCCCAAGGGAGTTGCAGTAAATTAACATTTATGCAATCCACCAGGCACCATAGATCTGGCATAATCTTATGGGTTCAGACCTGAGAGGTTTCTGGAGGACGACCAAGACAAGGCAACTAAGTTCGATTACCTGGGAAACATGTACCACCTGTTCAGGACAGGGAGAAGGGTTTGTGCTTTGTGCAGGGCTTCCCATGGCAGAGAAGATGCTAAATGCAATTCTTGCATTGTTGCACCACTCATTCCATTGAAACTAGCATGCAGTACAGAGGTGGTGGATCCAACGCATAGGTTGGGCAATACAGAGAGCTATATTACTAGAACCAGTTAACACAATAGCGTGTGGAGCTCATGTACATCCTACTACTTCTGCCTCTATTCCAGTAATATGTTGTTAATAAATCACAAGCTAAGACAAACAATGACACCTGCACAATAGAAGAGCACACCAAAACAATGACAAAACTCAAGCTATGTAACTTTTGCTGAAGAAGCTCAAGATACATAACAATGGAAATATATTCAGGACCTCACCTCCAGAACATATTTTCAAGGCATAGATGCAAAAGTCAAATATTGGCAGCATTTTCTTATGCCTGCAGAATGTGACCTGAAACTCTCAATTGATGTCAACCTAACAATGGAGAAGTTACATAAGTTTTCATAATTTTTTAATCAATGAAGACGCAATATGTTCTACTCAAGCATCTGTCAAAATCAAGAACATGGTAAAAAAGAGAAAACACTAGAATCTTGATTTAACATCTCTCAGTAGCCATAGTTCGAAAATCAACGACATTCACTCGTCGTTCATACACATCCAACAATTCAGCCTCATAATCTGGATATTTGACAACAAACTTATCCTTAAACCGGTACTCTACAGGAGACAAGAAAACACTCAAGCTAGGAATATCATCAATCAACCCTCTAAGCCGCAACAGTTGCACAACGGAACACCTAGGGACAACCCTCTTCTCAAAGCTTAAGCCGAAGATAACTGGGCACTTAGCAGCAGCCTTTGATTCCCAACCTAGTTTGTTCAAAAGGAAGTCCATTGTCTGCATGATCTTTTCCTCCGAAACACACATGCATTGTGGATATCTCTTGAAAGCCAACAAAGTCAAATCCTTTGACCACCCCCACCTCCCATACACCTCCAATCTTTTCTCCCAGCTTGATTTCTTCAAACAAGCAAGCGCTCTAATTGCACCAACAAAGTTTCCCCTCAATGGATCAAATCCTAATAGCATGGCAAGCTCAACGCTTTCAGCAAAATGGGAGTGGCTCTTGAAAGCCACACTAGGGAAGTTAAATACCAAGTTAGTTATGGACTTCTCGCCCACTCCTAGCTTCCTAAGAAATGCTAGGTTGGGAACAATGGTGGAATCTACACTGCCAACAAAGCTCCACAGTGAGCGATTCAGAACGCTCACAACTCTACTGTCTTGAAGCAGGACACCCATGAGCACATTATACCGAGGAATCAGGCGTTTCTCTAAGCTCACATGCAACAGATGGGGATTGGAAGAGACAAACTTTGTAAGCTCGGGTAGAGCACTGCCAGTGGAATGAAGTAAGTCGAGCTTGGAACGAATGAAGTCGATCTTGGGACGAAGTATTCTCTCGGTGTCGAGCAGAAGCAGACTAGGGTAGTACTTGATGCATTTGGCGATTTGGGTTCTGGAGAATCCATGCCCTCTCAGCAGATTAACAACTGCATCCGGTTTCTCTGCCGTTCGAAAATTCAAAAACTTGGATGTAAGTTTGGCGCTGTCTACTGAGAACCCGAGTGAGCTCGTCAGATAAGAGACCGGGAAGGAATGCCCATCTTCCCCTTCTTGAGTTGCAATCTGAGAAGTGAAACTTCTGATTCCATGTAGCAGAGAAATTCCACTGAGTTGGGCGGCCGGAGAACTCAATGCTATAGCGGTTCTCCGATATGAATTTGCACTAATCAGTCTCAAAGCACCCATCATATACGATCGGGAGCGCAGAAACGGGACTAGAGCAACGAAGTTCCGCAACTATGTGAATGACTTGAGAAGAATATCGGAGAAATGAAAGAGTATCTGCGAAGAACTGACCAAATTGGGTTGACTTTTCTTGAATGGAGGACGGCGAAGGAGAAAGCCAAAGCTTCAGTCGGCAGAGAATGGCAGTATCGGCGGTCCCGATAACCGGAGGAGAATCGGCAGCTCACTGAAGCAGCAGTTCACTTCTCTCCTCACAAATTTCAAAAGTCAGATGGGCCTATGGTGAGGCCTAATAAGGGCACGGGTCCGGCCCAAGTATGACCAGTGCCAAAATTGTTAGTTTTCACGCATAGCTTCTTCAGGCTTTATCTCATTTGAATTTTGAATAGAAAATTGATCCATACAACAGGAAAATGCAGGGTGATTCTCGGATTCAAGAATGCAGGTATTTTGAACGAAAGGGGTTTTATCTTTCTAATTGGCTCAGGACAATGAACAGATGCATGTAAGTTTATACTTGTTTGTTATGAGGACGAGGTAGATTGACTAATATTCATTGGTAACATAAATTAGGATAAATTCCCTCATGTTCCTTTTCTGCTCAACTACTGATTGTCTAAATTTGTATCGATTAACTACTGGTACCAAACATGCACTACTACTGATTTTTCATGAAGTGTCATGTGAAAGAAACCTTGCATCACAAATAAGAACATCGTTGAGGTAATCCTGCTACGGTATTGAAAAATGTATGTGGAAATTGACAGGGTACTCACACAGAATTCAATCAAACTTGAGCTCAGCCACTATGATCTGCCAAGAACAATAACAATCCAGTTAACTACGAAGCGTCCTTGACAACTTTGAGGACACATACGTGATTGAACGAACAGACGAACTATGACATCTAAGAAGACGCTATTAAAATGGTTACAGAAATCGAGCTGATGACACTTGATTCGAGAGTTTGAATGATGAAGCAGTGGAAGAAAATATTTTCACGGCATATATACAAAAGCGAAAGATTGCAAGCCCTGCACAGTTTAACCTGAAACCCTCCAAGAATATCGAACCTAACAATGAAGAAGTTACATAAACGTACCGATAAGGATGCAACATGTTGTTCTGAAGCATCTGTCAAAATCAAGGACATGGTTGAAGAGGTCCGACTAGGATCTTGCTTTAATCTCTTCAACAGCCATAGTCCGAAAATCAACGACCTTCACTCGGCGTTCATACACATCCAACAACTGAGCCTTAATATCATCAGGATAGTTGGCAACAAAGTTAACCTTAAACCTGTCCTCTGCACAGTACAGGAAACGACCGAACCCAGGAATATCATCTATGAACCCTCTTAGCCGCAAGAGTTGCACAACCGAACACCTGGGAACAACCCTCTTCTCGAAGCTCAACCCGAAGATAATTGGCCACCTAGCAGCAGTCTCTGATTCCCAGCCGAGTTCATTAACAAGGAACTCCATTATCTGCATGATCTTCTCCTCTGAAGCACACATGCATCGTGGGTACTTCTTGAAAGCCGACAAGGTCAACTCTTTTGCCCACCCCCATTTCCCATAAACCTGTAATTTGTTCTCCCAACTTGTCTTCGTCATGCTTGAAATCGCTTCAATTGCAACCACAAAGTTGAATGTCGATGGATGAAATCCGAAATGCATGGCAAGCTCAACAATCTCAGCAAAATTAGAGTGAGGCCTGAAAAGCACAGTAGGGGAGTGAGAGACCAGGGAAGTGATGCGATTCTCACTAACTCCAAGCTTCCTAAGAAGTGCTATGTTGGGCACAAAATTGGAATCTTTACGGCTAGCAAAGCCCCCGTAAGTGCGCTTCAGGACACTCGCAATTGTCCTGTCATCAACCAGGACATCCTTGAGAAGATTATAGCGAGGAATCAGGCATTTCTCTAAGCTCATAATCAGTAAATAAGGATTGGACGAGACGACCTTTATCAGCTCGGGGCGAGAAATCCCAACGGAGAGAAGGAAGTCGAGCTTGGGACGAAGTACTCTCTCTGGATCCAGCTCAAGTAGAAGAGGGTAATATTTGATGCATCTGGCGATTTGGGTACCGGAGAATCCATGACTTCTCAGCAGATCAACAACTGCATCTGGTTTCTCGGTCGTCCGAAATTTCAGAAACTTGGATGAAACTATAGCTCTGTCTGGTGAGAACCCATGTGAGCTCATTAGATAAGAGGCTGTAAAGGAATGCCCATCTTCCCCTTCTTGCGGTGCAATCTGAGAAGTGAAGCTTCTGAATCCATGTAATGAATTTAGCACAGAAATCCCAGCGAGCTGCGCGGCCGGAGAGCTCAACGCTACAACGGTTCTCCGATTCAGAATTCTACTAATCAATCTAAAAGCGGCCATAATAATTTGTATCGGGGTCGCTCAAAAAGGACTAGGGCAACGAAGTTCCGGTGCTATATGAAATACCTTTGAAAGAAAACTAGAGAATGAAGAAATTCATATGCGAAGAACTGACCGCAGATGGTTGATTTTCCAGGACGGTCATGAAACCAAAGCGGCAGTCTCTGCAACACTGTATGAATGGCAGCCGGCAGCCGGAGGAGAAGGAAGCAGGAGAAAGGAGGGCAATCGGCGGCCGAATGACACTGAAGCGCCAACTCGATTTTGTTTTTTAATTTTGTTCTCCAAATTACTTCTCTTTTCACTAGTTCCACGCAGATGGGCTTATGGTAAGGGCCCAGAAGGTTAGGGCTTGATCCTAAAGTTATCAAGTACCAATTTTTTTAGTTTTGACTCTTAGCTTCAGGCCCAATCTCAATCAAACCTTTTGAATGACACTATCAGTATTATGTGGGGTTCTTTTAGTCAATGCAACTCTACAGTATCATTTATAGTGAAAAAGTAAAACTGCAGACCCCATTCAAATTTTCCTGCCCCAGAGTGAATTTAGGAGGCTGACATTGCAGAGTGTTTAGGGGGGATTAATGTACAAATGCCTCCCCGAGTAATAAGAAACCGTCTTTCTCCCACTACCTTTTTCTATTGGTGTAAACACTTTTCTCTCTCTCCTTTTGGAATCGCCATCAAGGGATCGATCATGAAGGGAGTTCGATATGGGAGATAAGACCTGAAATTTTGAGTGTTCGCGGAAGAGAGAAAAGGGGAAAGCAAATCGACGGTCGTTTCTACACTCTCCTTTAACAATCAAACTTCTCTGCGGATTCCAAGCTACACTCCTCGATGACGTTGTCTCAATTTCTTCATTCCAACCCCTTAACGCCGTCTAAAGAAGCTCAATTTCTTCTCTTTCGATCGATTGATGCTTGGCCAAGATCGGTCACCGATTAGCCATCTCTCCTTCTCTCTCACTGACATAAAACAAGAGAAGACATAGAAGAAGAGGAACGAGGACGAGAAGAACGTGAGGAGGGGTATCCAAACCCGTACATCAGCATCGAGGTTTCGGCAAGGGACAAAAGAACGAGGCGGTTGCGAGAGGTGGTCTCCATGGAGTTCTAGCCGAGGTTGGAGAAGACGGCAGCGAGGCATCCGCCCTGTTGGGGATGGTTTTGGGTTTTGCTTTTCCCATTAAAGGAAGGAAGGGTTGGAGTCTGCTCTTGGCGGCGGCGGCGGTGAAGGTGGTGCTGCAACAGGGGGCGATGGAGCAGGATGGAAAATGAGCGGCTGATCTTGATCAGGTATGGATGCGAAGCCGGTTTCTGATCTCTTTTTTGCTTTTGATTCTTAGTATATAGGGTTTCTGGTCACTTTTATGTCTCTATCTCCCTATCTCTTGCCCTGGATCGAAAAAGAAGAAGCATAGAGAGGAAAGAAAGGCCCCCTAGGAGCTGACGTGGGAGACCAATCTTCTTCTCTTCTCCTGTGAATCTAAAAGCTGACATAGGCGGTCATGGGTGACTACCATCTTCTTCTCTAATAGAGGCAAGGCCAATCGAGGCAATGAAATAGAGGAGCCTGAGTGGGGTTTGGGTTCGTCGACGTTCTTCCCTAGAGAGAATAGGATCTGCTTCAGATCCTCGCTGCCATCATTCGTCGAAGATAGCAAAATCACCGTCACCGGTGATTTGGTTACGCGGCATGGATGCCGTAACTGAGAAAGAGGGGACAATCGTGGGATTGGGTAAAACTTCCTTTCCCTTTTTTGAATTATAATACTTTGTGGGAGCAACAGCTGTGGTTTGGTGGTACAATGGTTCCATCATTATGAATTTTTGTGGCGATGACTTGGAAATTTCTTACCCTTTCTTGATTTTTTTTTTCTTTTGGGTTTGAACATGTCTTCGATGATACCCACGGTGAAGGAGAACGACGGAAGGATCGCGGCCAGCTATAACTTGCAGCTTCATTTTTTGTTGTCAATTTTAGTTGAGTTTCCCTTCACCAGTTTTTTGGTTAGTAAAGCATACATGATGCATACGTTTTCCACCTATGACTCCCGCAGTTTTGTTTTTAGTTGCTCATTTTCATACTGTTTTTGCTCAGATGCTTCTAATGGAAGCCTTGTGGATCTTCTAGATGGCCGGTTGAGAAAGGTTTTGTGGTGATCGGTTGGAAAGAGCATCCCCTAACCCAGTAGCAGGTAAAACTCTCCACCCTGTTTTTCCATCTACCTTTAATTGATGACATAGTAGGAAGTGAAACCACTCGGAGCTTGAAGAATTCAGTTAAGATTTTTTGCCTTTTAATTTAATCTGCTATGTTGTTAAATGGATCTCACAATTTTTAACCAAGCTCTGTTGCTTGTGTTGAATCTCTTGCTAGAAAATTATGGTGCATGCTTTAATGCAACCCATAATGCGTCTTGATGTTGAAATTTTGTTCAAGGCTGTAGATAAGTTGTCCTTTTACATGCTTGGTTCTGAATTGTTTTGGTCCATTTATATATGTGTCGTTGTAATGATTTTAACCAACTTGAATCATGTCCATTGATGTATGATTAATAGAAAAGATCCTTTTAGTGATCAATAACACATAACATTTACCAAAACCGAATCTAGGTTCTCTTGGGTGGGTAAAGTTGTCATAATTTCAGTAAGGAGGAATTTCCTTTCCTCGGAGAGGGGGGTGGGTGACGGGTTTTCAGTGATGTTGCTGTTGCCGGAGAGGCAGGCGGTGTTGAGTGTTCGGTGGGGGAGGCGGAGATTGTGAGTTGGGGAGAGGTGGTGAGTGGTGGCGGGTGGAAGAAGTGGGAGGAAGGTGGAAGAGCAATGATGGCGAATGTATTTTGGATTCATTGATGGTGGCAGTAGGGTTTGGGTTTTGGAGGGGGAGATTGGGTGTTGTTTGCAGTTCGATCTCATTGATTGACCCCGCCTCTCGCTGCAAGGCGGCAAGACACGGGTGCCAACTTTCTTCTGGATCTATGATGGAGGTACGTACCTCTGTTTCTTTCGAATTACTATAAAATGAGATTCGGGTGTCTATGAGCACTTAATCTTGGTTATGGGTTCTGATTTGCTGAGAGAGAGGAAGAAGGACCTTTGATGATCTATTTGTGCTTTCTTGGATGCCAAATTCTTTTTCTTCTGTTCATAACCAAAAGGAATGGGAGGCAATGATGGCCCAATCCTGGTTCTGAAGGGAAGTGAGTTATGGTGAATGATTGTGGGAGAATGGGGATTAGGGGGTTCCTTCTTTTGATTCATGGATGACTCTTTGATGCATAATATTTCATGGAGATCTATGCAGTTGACCATGATCTATAGCTCCTGTTTGTTTAATCTTGATGATCAATGATGCTGTATTCAGTGGGATCCCCAAAAGCTATTGTTTGTTATTTTTTTAGAAGATGTTTAATATAGGTTGATGTCTAAGATAATTCATACACAATACACGAAACAGGGACAATGGAGTAAATGTTTTCCTTTTATTGATCTTGCTGGGATCAAACAAGTGAGTTAATGTTGGCCAACTTGCTTGGTTTAATGACAATTGGATGAGACATCTGACATTCCATGCTTAAGAAATACATGTCAGTTTTGGGTGTGACTTCTCAGGCTGCTTGAGCCACTGTTTGATACCATATTGACCTTAGGATTAATTGGAGAGAAGAACTTAGTTTATTCATTAATAGTGTATGTCAATATATAAAGTGACTTCAAAATACTCGGCTAATAGAAAAAGTGGGTGGCAGTTGTTGGAGTTTTTTAACTCCCAAATGAATACTTGAGATTATATTGTAGCCTGCCTTTCTCGCCTTTTAATGTGGCCTCTCTTAAAGAGATCAAAAGCAACGTTTCACAATGGTGTGAATTCAATAATAGGTTAGGTCAATTAATGGTAAAATTAGGAAGTAGGAATGGTTAGGTGACTTTAAAGAAGGGGCAAATAATAATAGTGATCATCCCAATATTCACTGAACCAAGTAGATACCTAGAGAGCTCAGAATTGAGAAATGATTGCTTCATCGTGTTCCAATTTCTGTCTTAAGGTAGATTCGCATGTGTCAAGACCAAAAGATGAAAAATCGTGAGGAAACTAAGTTAATCCGCTTATGGATTTCATATATTACTACAAACCTTAGGGGTCTGCCTACTGAAGGATATCGCCTCAAAATTTGGTAGGCTATTGTTTTTGATGATGTATGCATCATGGTTTCGTGTTTTTGATCTATGAACTGCATAACTAATGTCACTGTAAGATTACAACTTTTCGAGCCACAGATTTAGTGTAATTTTAGGATACTGAAAGGCCCTAGGTTTTGTTTTCAATTATGGCATAAAAGGTTTCATGTTTTAATGCATGATATGTAGAATCCCATGTTTTGATCGATCTTCTGTGAGATAGTTGGATTTTCCAAAATCAACTCCTACCTGGCTCCTTCTTCCTGTTGTGATGTAATTACGCCTATCATAGAATGGCCTGCCATGTGGTAGTTGACTGTGTTTAGTATATTTTCTTTCACTTGCATGAATTTTGAGTTGCTAAATAATTTATATCAGATGGTAAATGGTGTCTCGGTTTAGGATAAAGGTCTTAGTATTTGTTATTGAGTCTATTGTGCTAGCTACATTTTGCATTTTGAAGATAAAGTCGTTTCTTGCTGCTCATGTCTTTGTTACTATTGTGGCTTAGTGTTGGAAGTTATATGCTATAGCATGTGCGTGGAAACTTTGTTTCATGGGGTCCAAATTTCTCGATTATTAGTCCATATTTTCCAGTTACTGTATTCCAGTTTTGGGGTGCTCCTCTCTCTCTCTCTCTCTCTCTCTATATATATATATATATATATATATATATATATATATGTTGACTACTTCGGTGCACTCACAAAAATGAGTGCGTTCAATGCACCCAACTAAAAAACTACGCTTAAGGTGTCTGATTTTGAATTTTAATTTGTAGAATTAGTGTAATATGATGGTATAACACATGATAATAACTAATTAGCGGATTACCCTAAGCCCTAGACCTCAAATTTTGAGTTCTATCCCTAAACCCCAAATTGTAAACCCTAACCCTAACCCTAAATCTCTAAACTCTAAATCCTTCAAATTAAAGTAAATCTTCAATGGGTTTTGTGCAAATTCATGTGCATTATTGTTCATCACATCATAAGTAATGATTGACATCATTTTGACATAAATCACATGTTTATAATGACAGTTATGAAGCGGGTGCACTGAATGCACCCAAAAAAGTGAGTGCACCGAAGACGCCACCATATATATATATATATATATATCATGTTCCATCGTTTGGAGAAAAGAGATTTCAGGCAAAGACGTAAAATTTCTCAATCCTTCTGCAAGCTTGCATTATTTGGGTTTTCCCACCACAACTCCATTTCTCCTCTGCTCTTTCTCTGATCGAGATGAATGGTCATTTGTGGTTGTACTTGATTTAGTCTCTTTTATGTACCAGCAATTATGTTACTCCAGAATGGATAGCTGCAGTAAATCTTATCCAAACATAAGGAGTTGTCTTCATGAAATTTCGGTACTACCATCTGCCTTTACTAGATTGGCCCATTTGAATGTGAAGTTAGGTTGTTGTCAAGCTCTTTGTCGTAATTGTGTTCCCATTAATGTCTTCAGGTAGTTGTATAACCCATGAAAGTGTTATTTTTCCTCCGGCCAGGGTTAGAGTAGCCTTTATTATGACAATTAAAATAAGAATGACAAAGAAGGCGTTAGATAACCACCCACACTACATGAAAATGCATCATTAACTAGGGTAAAAACGGTGGCCAATAGTCACATTACGGTGGTTAATACTTTTGGCCACGGTCTAAAAACGGTGGATAACTTGGGCGTGGCTAAAACTCAAAACAGTGATGCGGTTCCTTTGAACTATAACTTTTTCCATTGCTAATCGCTTTCTGGTTTGCTGTGCTGGTGATGCGCGGTGCATAATGTTTATTGAAATCCATTCGACTAAAAGCTACTATATCCAGTTTCAGGTTTGTCAGCAAGTATTCAATGAAGACTGAAGAGTTCATGTTACTCATAAAATTTAGCAGGTAACCCATAATGTGTTTGGTTAGCCAGCTCACTGAAATAAGTTCTATGTTTACTCATTCTTAAGGATACTGCTTTAACTATGCTTGGTGCTGAATGCTCAGTTGATTACTCTTTTAAGTAGTGAAGTAATTGAATGTTCGGTTGTAATTCTATAGGAAGGGTTTAATCATTCTATAGATTCGAAGGAGATATAGATCTTTTTCTTTTCCAGTAGGAGCTGACATCTTTTAGTGGACATTTTCGCTTTTAACCAAGTTGACTCCATTTTGCATTTGCTAGAATCTTAAGCCATTATTGTTCCCAATTGATTACCGAAGGGTACTACAGTTACATAAGGATGTAGTTTATTCAACTATATATAAGCTATGTTCTCTGTTAGTTTTACTATTTGGGGTCAATTGCTTTTGGCAGACGTAAAATTTTAACTCTGTTTAATTGTACATTTATTGTCCGATGTTCTTGAACCTGATGTTCTTGCTTCATCTCTTAATCATATTTCTATTGTTTGATTTAGTTTCTCACTTCTATCAATATATATGCATTCAGATTCTCAATAAACTACTACCTATATTGAAAGGTAAAGCTGATGACTAGAGGTGGTTCAAATTGTTTGGTTGGTAAAAATCAATGTGTATTGAAGCCAGATTAAAGAAATTTTGACAAGGGAACGGGAGAGCATTCTGAAAGAAGTCTCAGTTGCATATATCAAGGTAACTCTTTTCCTTTGGTGATCGTGAGAATTGATGCTATTTCAGCAAACCGAGGCAGGGAACTCTGTTGTACCAGCTAAATATAGATAGCAGTTAGGATTGAAAACAAGCTACAATCATATAAAAAAATCGATGTTATTTCATATGCAAGTATTTAGATTATTGAGGTGCCATGATTTTGTTTTTCTATGCATATTTTGGACCTATATGTATATCAGCGCTAAACTGTGGGGAGGGTTGGTTAAGCTTTGATGCACAAAGGGTAATCATGGAACATATTTTGGGGAATCCTTTGTTGTGGTCGCATCCTAGGTTGTGGTTGTGGTCAGCAAATTTTGGGGGATTTCAACTTCATTCACGGGGTGAGGGAACTGGTCTCAATGCCTCGATTAGCGTTGGAGTCGTTCACCACTAACCAGTGACTTCGGAGGTCGCTTCGAAAGCTGAGATTCCAAGTAAGTTGACATTCCCCATCTTTTTATCTTCGATTGAGGGTCCAGAGAGTGCTTATGATTAGAGGTTGTATTGGCTGCATGGAAGAGGATGCTGAGGGAAGAGTTGTTCTCTTTGGTTTGAACAAAGCATCGAAAAATGGGGTTGGACCCTCTTATCGTGGAGACAAACTGCAAGAGGATGCTGGACTTGCTACAGGGGACTACTGAGTGCATAACAAAATCCTGGAATATTTGCAGAAACATTAAACAGATGGGCTTGCAATCTGATGTAAGAAGTTTGACCTTTGTTCACATACAAGCAAACGTAGTGGCACACTCTTGCTCATTTTAATGTTCCTGTAAACTCTTTTGAATTTGTATAGAATGATAGTATCCTTTAAGACATGTGGCGATTGATTTCCTTTCAACGAAGGCTTTTGTAGTTTCCTCTAAAAAGAAAATAGATGCGGCCATGCAGGACTATCAATCAAAACCTTTGATTTGGGGTTGGCCGATTAATGCTTTTTATTATATATTATTATGTGAATGAATTTGATAATTTTGCCACTATTTGCTACAAAGTAATCCTAATTCCGACTTACTATTTTGTTTTTGCATATGGATTTATAGGACAGGAAATTTCATTTGGATTGGGTTGTATGAATAATGGTTGTATCTTTGTTGATTCCATTACTTTTAGATCTCATAACTGTTATAATGATGTTTTACATGTTGAATTTTAGGAATAACAGTATTGGACATACCAGACGCGTATTACCCATGAGTAGCCGAAAGCCTCAGGCATAGGGATAGCGTTGCAAAACCTCCCTCCCATGGATATATGGTGGGTATGGTTAGAATATCTAGAGACGAGGATGTGGAAATTCTCCCCAAACCCGCTTATTACCATCTCTAATTGTGTTGAAGGTTTAATGCCTATAACAGAACATGAGATCGAAATATGTATATGGTTTCACTAATTAAATTGGTGTTTGTTTAAATGTATTGTTATCCGACATATTTGGTCGTTTGTTTGGGTCAATCTATTCCTTTGACTGTATTTGGGATTGTGGTGCTCAAATTGTTTCTGTGGTGTAGTGGTTTATATCTTGGTTCGGGAAGTTGAATGAACTATCATGTGTTTGACAAACTTTATTTTGAGTGTCATCCTTGAACTATATGATGGTTTTGTATCTCCTATGGAATATGATGTTGAATCACTGTTGAGGCTGTGCATGTGTTATTCCTAATGTTTTGCAACAAGTAATCTTATGTTTGAGACACGTCGTGGTTTATCTAATAAAAATATAAATAAATGTGTAGAAGATCTTCCATTTTTGTCATTATAATAGTCTTGAACTATCCTCCTGAGTTAAATGAAACTTTTAGGACTACAATTATTTTTTGACAAAGATATTAGTTACTAATCAATTGTCATTTGTACTTTCTTAATTATAATAATTTTAGATGATTTTTTACCACAAAGTTTGAACCTAGCATGTGATTAATTTTTTCCTTCCAGATTACCATTAGGCCATCCTTTTGATTTCTAATTGTTACTTTAGTGAATAAATATTTTAATTTTGTTAGAAAAAAATATATAAATGCAAGTTGATAATTCTGAATTTTATGAAGAAATATTTTCAGTAATTTAAGCTGACAATAAAAAGTGAAAAATTTTCTTCTAAAATATAAAAATCAAATACAACATATGAAATACTTGCATAAAAGTGTTCGACAACAAACTCTCATTGCGAGTAGTGTCTTCGCTGGCAATTTATAAATTACTAATATGCTCCTATGCAAGATTTTCACTTCCATCATACCACAAAACCAGTTAAGGTTTGAGCAAGGCGAGATTCATCATAGTTAGGGTACCTAATCAACAAAAATATCTATGAATTAACTACCGCTAATGACACAAACAACTAATAACACAATAACTTTCAAATCATTTATAAACTACTTCGACAATCCTTAATCATTGCAAAGCATCGATCATTTAAGATTAGTAAAAAAATAAAATACATCCGACCAACGGGTCGGGTAAAAGCTAGTTTTTATTTATGGTTCGTTGTTTTGCATTGAAAAGGCAGATGGAACAATCAAATACGAAAACTTGTATTCAGTAGATTGGTTCAATTGGGTCCGATCAAAAGTCAAAACCAGACCTCTAAACTATTGGAATACTCTTCGATTGGACTGTTCTGAAAAAAGTCATAACTGGATTACATCAGTCAAGATTTTTTTTTTTTGACAAAGAGGTAGCTTATATTGCACTTCAGAAAAATTCAGTACAAAAAGGGAGAAACATCATGAGATCTGGAAACAAGAGGTACAATCTCAAAGACAAAAGACGAATAGTAATATTCATTGGTAACATAAATTAGGATAAATTCCTTCATGTTCCTTTTCTGCTCAACTACTGATTGTCTAAATTTGTATCGATTAACTACTGGTACCAAACATGCACTACTTCCTATTTTTCATGAAGTGTTCAGTGTTATGTGAAAGAAATCACAAATAAGAACAACAATGAGGTAATCCTGCTATGGTATTGAAATGTACGTTGAAATTTGACAGGGTGCTCACACAGAATTCAATCAAACTTGAGCTCAGCCACTGTGATCTGCCAAGAACAATAACAATCCAGTTAACTACGAAGCGTCCTTGACAACTTTGAGGACACATAAGTGATTGAACGAACAGACGAACTATGACATCTAAGAAGACGCTATTAAAATGGTTACAGAAATCGAGCTGATGACACTTGATTCAAAAGTTTGAATGATGAAGCTGTGGAAGAAAATATTTTCACGGCATATATACAAAAGCGACAGATTGCAAGCCCTGCACAGTTTAACCTGAAACCCTCCACGAATATCGAACCTAACAATGAAGAAGTTACAGAAACGTACCGATAAGGATACAACATGTTGTTCTCAAGCATCTGTCAAAATCAAGAACATGGTTGAAAAGGTCCGACTAGGATCTTGCTTTAATCTCTTCAACAGCCATAGTCCGAAAATCAACGACCTTCACTCGGCGTTCATACACATCCAACAACTGAGCCTTAATATCATCAGGATAGTTGGCAACAAAGTTAACCTTAAACCTGTCCTCTGCACAGTACAGGAAACTACCGAACCCAGGAATATCATCTATGAACCCTCTTAGCCGCAAGAGTTGCACAACCGAACACCTAGGAACAACCCTCTTCTCGAAGCTAAACCCGAAGATACATGGCCACCTAGCAGCAGCCTCTGATTCCCAGCCGAGTTCGTTCACAAGGAACTCCATTATCTGCATGATCTTCTCCTCTGAAGCACACATGCAGTTTGGGTACATCTTGAAAGCCGACAAGGTCAACTCTTTTGCCCACCCCCATTTCCCATAAACCTGTAATTTGTTCTCCCAACTTGTCTTCGTCATGCTTGAAATCGCTTTAATTGCAGCCACAAAGTTGAATGTCGATGGATGAAATCCGAAATGCATGGCAAGCTCAACAATCTCAGCAAAATTAGAGTGAGGCCTGAAAAGCACAATAGGGCAGTGAGAGACCAGGTAAGTGATGCGATTCTCACCAACTCCAAGCTTCCTAAGAAGTGCTATGTTGGGCACTAAATTGGAATCTTTACGGCTAGCAAAGCCCCCGTAATTGCGCTTCAGGACACTCGCAATTGTCCTGTCATCAACCAGGACATCCTTGAGAAGATTATAGCGAGGAATCAGGCATTTCTCTAAGCTCATAATCAGTAAATAAGGATTGGACGAGACGACCTTTATCAGCTCGGGGCGAGAAATCCCAACGGAGAGAAGGAAGTCGAGCTTGGGACGAAGTACTCTCTCTGGATCCAGCTCAAGTAGAACTGGGTAATATTTGATGCATCTGGCGATTTGGGTACCGGAGAATCCATGACTTCTCAGCAGATCAACAACTGCATCTGGTTTCTCGGTCGTCCGAAATTTCAGAAACTTGGATGAAACTTTAGCTCTGTCTGGTGAGAACCCATGTGAGCTCATTAGATAAGAGGCTGGAAAGGAATGCCCATCTTCCCCTTCTTGCGGTGCAATCTGAGAAGTGAAGCTTCTGAATCCATGTAATGAATTTAGCACAGAAATCCCAGCGAGCTGCGCGGCCGGAGAGCTCAACGCTACAACGGTTCTCCGATTCAGAATTCTACTAATCAATCTAAAAGCGGCCATAATAATTTGTATCGGGGTCGCTCAAAAAGGACTAGGGCAACGAAGTTCCGGTGCTATATGAAATACCTTTGAAAGAAAACTAGAGAATGAAGAAATTCATATGCGAAGAACTGACCGCAGATGGTTGATTTTCCAGGACGGTCATGAAACCAAAGCGGCAGTCTCTGCAACACTGTATGAATGGCAGCCGGCAGCCGGAGGAGAAGGAAGCAGGAGAAAGGAGGGCAATCGGCGGCCGAATGACACTGAAGCGCCAACTCGATTTTGTTTTTTAATTTTGTTCTCCAAATTACTTCTCTTTTCACTAGTTCCACGCAGATGGGCTTATGGTAAGGGCCCAGAAGGTTAGGGCTTGATCCTAAAGTTATCAAGTACCAATTTTTTTAGTTTTGACTCTTAGCTTCAGGCCCAATCTCAATCAAACCTTTTGAATGACAGTATCAGTATTATGTGGGGTTCTTTTAGTCAATGCAACTCTACAGTATCATTTATAGTGAAAAAGTAAAACTGCAGACCCCATTCAAATTTTCCTGCCCCAGAGTGAATTTAGGAGGCTGACATTGCAGAGTGTTTAGGGGGGATTAATGTACAAATGCCTCCCCGAGTAATAAGAAACCGTCTTTCTCCCACTACCTTTTTCTATTGGTGTAAACACTTTTCTCTCTCTCCTTTTGGAATCGCCATCAAGGGATCGATCATGAAGGGAGTTCGATATGGGAGATAAGACCTGAAATTTTGAGTGTTCGCGGAAGAGAGAAAAGGGGAAAGCAAATCGACGGTCGTTTCTACACTCTCCTTTAACAATCAAACTTCTCTGCGGATTCCAAGCTACACTCCTCGATGACGTTGTCTCAATTTCTTCATTCCAACCCCTTAACGCCGTCTAGAGAAGCTCAATTTCTTCTCTTTCGATCGATTGATGCTTGGCCAAGATCGGTCACCGATTAGCCATCTCTCCTTCTCTCTCACTGACATAAAACAAGAGAAGACATAGAAGAAGAGGAACGAGGACGAGAAGAACGTGAGGAGGGGTATCCAAACCCGTACATCAGCATCGAGGTTTCGGCAAGGGACAAAAGAACGAGGCGGTTGCGAGAGGTGGTCTCCATGGAGTTCTAGCCGAGGTTGGAGAAGACGGCAGCGAGGCATCCGCCCTGTTGGGGATGGTTTTGGGTTTTGCTTTTCCCATTAAAGGAAGGAAGGGTTGGAGTCTGCTCTTGGCGGCGGCGGCGGTGAAGGTGGTGCTGCAACAGGGGGCGATGGAGCAGGATGGAAAATGAGCGGCTGATCTTGATCAGGTATGGATGCGAAGCCGGTTTCTGATCTCTTTTTTGCTTTTGATTCTTAGTATATAGGGTTTCTGGTCACTTTTATGTCTCTATCTCCCTATCTCTTGCCCTGGATCGAAAAAGAAGAAGCATAGAGAGGAAAGAAAGGCCCCCTAGGAGCTGACGTGGGAGACCAATCTTCTTCTCTTCTCCTGTGAATCTAAAAGCTGACATAGGCGGTCATGGGTGACTACCATCTTCTTCTCTAATAGAGGCAAGGCCAATCGAGGCAATGAAATAGAGGAGCCTGAGTGGGGTTTGGGTTCGTCGACGTTCTTCCCTAGAGAGAATAGGATCTGCTTCAGATCCTCGCTGCCATCATTCGTCGAAGATAGCAAAATCACCGTCACCGGTGATTTGGTTACGCGGCATGGATGCCGTAACTGAGAAAGAGGGGACAATCGTGGGATTGGGTAAAACTTCCTTTCCCTTTTTTGAATTATAATACTTTGTGGGAGCAACAGCTGTGGTTTGGTGGTACAATGGTTCCATCATTATGAATTTTTGTGGCGATGACTTGGAAATTTCTTACCCTTTCTTGATTTTTTTTTTCTTTTGGGTTTGAACATGTCTTCGATGATACCCACGGTGAAGGAGAACGACGGAAGGATCGCGGCCAGCTATAACTTGCAGCTTCATTTTTTGTTGTCAATTTTAGTTGAGTTTCCCTTCACCAGTTTTTTGGTTAGTAAAGCATACATGATGCATACGTTTTCCACCTATGACTCCCGCAGTTTTGTTTTTAGTTGCTCATTTTCATACTGTTTTTGCTCAGATGCTTCTAATGGAAGCCTTGTGGATCTTCTAGATGGCCGGTTGAGAAAGGTTTTGTGGTGATCGGTTGGAAAGAGCATCCCCTAACCCAGTAGCAGGTAAAACTCTCCACCCTGTTTTTCCATCTACCTTTAATTGATGACATAGTAGGAAGTGAAACCACTCGGAGCTTGAAGAATTCAGTTAAGATTTTTTGCCTTTTAATTTAATCTGCTATGTTGTTAAATGGATCTCACAATTTTTAACCAAGCTCTGTTGCTTGTGTTGAATCTCTTGCTAGAAAATTATGGTGCATGCTTTAATGCAACCCATAATGCGTCTTGATGTTGAAATTTTGTTCAAGGCTGTAGATAAGTTGTCCTTTTACATGCTTGGTTCTGAATTGTTTTGGTCCATTTATATATGTGTCGTTGTAATGATTTTAACCAACTTGAATCATGTCCATTGATGTATGATTAATAGAAAAGATCCTTTTAGTGATCAATAACACATAACATTTACCAAAACCGAATCTAGGTTCTCTTGGGTGGGTAAAGTTGTCATAATTTCAGTAAGGAGGAATTTCCTTTCCTCGGAGAGGGGGGTGGGTGACGGGTTTTCAGTGATGTTGCTGTTGCCGGAGAGGCAGGCGGTGTTGAATGTTCGGTGGGGGAGGCGGAGATTGTGAGTTGGGGAGAGGTGGTGAGTGGTGGCGGGTGGAAGAAGTGGGAGGAAGGTGGAAGAGCAATGATGGCGAATGTATTTTGGATTCATTGATGGTGGCAGTAGGGTTTGGGTTTTGGAGGGGGAGATTGGGTGTTGTTTGCAGTTCGATCTCATTGATTGACCCCGCCTCTCGCTGCAAGGCGGCAAGACACGGGTGCCAACTTTCTTCTGGATCTATGATGGAGGTACGTACCTCTGTTTCTTTCGAATTACTATAAAATGAGATTCGGGTGTCTATGAGCACTTAATCTTGGTTATGGGTTCTGATTTGCTGAGAGAGAGGAAGAAGGACCTTTGATGATCTATTTGTGCTTTCTTGGATGCCAAATTCTTTTCCTTCTGTTCATAACCAAAAGGAATGGGAGGCAATGATGGCCCAATCCTGGTTCTGAAGGGAAGTGAGTTATGGTGAATGATTGTGGGAGAATGGGGATTAGGGGGTTCCTTCTTTTGATTCATGGATGACTCTTTGATGCATAATATTTCATGGAGATCTATGCAGTTGACCATGATCTATAGCTCCTGTTTGTTTAATCTTGATGATCAATGATGCTGTATTCAGTGGGATCCCCAAAAGCTATTGTTTGTTATTTTTTTAGAAGATGTTTAATATAGGTTGATGTCTAAGATAATTCATACACAATACACGAAACAGGGACAATGGAGTAAATGTTTTCCTTTTATTGATCTTGCTGGGATCAAACAAGTGAGTTAATGTTGGCCAACTTGCTTGGTTTAATGACAATTGGATGAGACATCTGACATTCCATGCTTAAGAAATACATGTCAGTTTTGGGTGTGACTTCTCAGGCTGCTTGAGCCACTGTTTGATACCATATTGACCTTAGGATTAATTGGAGAGAAGAACTTAGTTTATTCATTAATAGTGTACGTCAATATATAAAGTGACTTCAAAATACTCGGCTAATAGAAAAAGTGGGTGGCAGTTGTTGGAGTTTTTTAACTCCCAAATGAATACTTGAGATTATATTGTAGCCTGCCTTTCTCGCCTTTTAATGTGGCCTCTCTTAAAGAGATCAAAAGCAACGTTTCACAATGGTGTGAATTCAATAATAGGTTAGGTCAATTAATGGTAAAATTAGGAAGTAGGAATGGTTAGGTGACTTTAAAGAAGGGGCAAATAATAATAGTGATCATCCCAATATTCACTGAACCAAGTAGATACCTAGAGAGCTCAGAATTGAGAAATGATTGCTTCATCGTGTTCCAATTTCTGTCTTAAGGTAGATTCGCATGTGTCAAGACCAAAAGATGAAAAATCGTGAGGAAACTAAGTTAATCCGCTTATGGATTTCATATATTACTACAAACCTTAGGGGTCTGCCTACTGAAGGATATCGCCTCAAAATTTGGTAGGCTATTGTTTTTGATGATGTATGCATCATGGTTTCGTGTTTTTGATCTATGAACTGCATAACTAATGTCACTGTAAGATTACAACTTTTCGAGCCACAGATTTAGTGTAATTTTAGGATACTGAAAGGCCCTAGGTTTTGTTTTCAATTATGGCATAAAAGGTTTCATGTTTTAATGCATGATATGTAGAATCCCATGTTTTGATCGATCTTCTGTGAGATAGTTGGATTTTCCAAAATCAACTCCTACCTGGCTCCTTCTTCCTGTTGTGATGTAATTACGCCTATCATAGAATGGCCTGCCATGTGGTAGTTGACTGTGTTTAGTATATTTTCTTTCACTTGCATGAATTTTGAGTTGCTAAATAATTTATATCAGATGGTAAATGGTGTCTCGGTTTAGGATAAAGGTCTTAGTATTTGTTATTGAGTCTATTGTGCTAGCTACATTTTGCATTTTGAAGATAAAGTCGTTTCTTGCTGCTCATGTCTTTGTTACTATTGTGGCTTAGTGTTGGAAGTTATATGCTATAGCATGTGCGTGGAAACTTTGTTTCATGGGGTCCAAATTTCTCGATTATTAGTCCATATTTTCCAGTTACTGTATTCCAGTTTTGGGGTGCTCCTCTCTCTCTCTCTCTCTCTATATATATATATATATATATATATATATATGGTGACTACTTCGGTGCACTCACAAAAATGAGTGCGTTCAATGCACCCAACTAAAAAACTACGCTTAAGGTGTCTGATTTTGAATTTTAATTTGTAGAATTAGTGTAATATGATGGTATAACACATGATAATAACTAATTAGCGGATTACCCTAAGCCCTAGACCTCAAATTTTGAGTTCTATCCCTAAACCCCAAATTGTAAACCCTAACCCTAACCCTAAATCTCTAAACTCTAAATCCTTCAAATTAAAGTAAATCTTCAATGGGTTTTGTGCAAATTCATGTGCATTATTGTTCATCACATCATAAGTAATGATTGACATCATTTTGACATAAATCACATGTTTATAATGACAGTTATGAAGCGGGTGCACTGAATGCACCCAAAAAAGTGAGTGCACCGAAGACGCCACCATATATATATATATATATATATATATATATATATCATGTTCCATCGTTTGGAGAAAAGAGATTTCAGGCAAAGACGTAAAATTTCTCAATCCTTCTGCAAGCTTGCATTATTTGGGTTTTCCCACCACAACTCCATTTCTCCTCTGCTCTTTCTCTGATCGAGATGAATGGTCATTTGTGGTTGTACTTGATTTAGTCTCTTTTATGTACCAGCAATTATGTTACTCCAGAATGGATAGCTGCAGTAAATCTTATCCAAACATAAGGAGTTGTCTTCATGAAATTTCGGTACTACCATCTGCCTTTACTAGATTGGCCCATTTGAATGTGAAGTTAGGTTGTTGTCAAGCTCTTTGTCGTAATTGTGTTCCCATTAATGTCTTCAGGTAGTTGTATAACCCATGAAAGTGTTATTTTTCCTCCGGCCAGGGTTAGAGTAGCCTTTATTATGACAATTAAAATAAGAATGACAAAGAAGGCGTTAGATAACCACCCACACTACATGAAAATGCATCATTAACTAGGGTAAAAACGGTGGCCAATAGTCACATTACGGTGGTTAATACTTTTGGCCACGGTCTAAAAACGGTGGATAACTTGGGCGTGGCTAAAACTCAAAACAGTGATGCGGTTCCTTTGAACTATAACTTTTTCCATTGCTAATCGCTTTCTGGTTTGCTGTGCTGGTGATGCGCGGTGCATAATGTTTATTGAAATCCATTCGACTAAAAGCTACTATATCCAGTTTCAGGTTTGTCAGCAAGTATTCAATGAAGACTGAAGAGTTCATGTTACTCATAAAATTTAGCAGGTAACCCATAATGTGTTTGGTTAGCCAGCTCACTGAAATAAGTTCTATGTTTACTCATTCTTAAGGATACTGCTTTAACTATGCTTGGTGCTGAATGCTCAGTTGATTACTCTTTTAAGTAGTGAAGTAATTGAATGTTCGGTTGTAATTCTATAGGAAGGGTTTAATCATTCTATAGATTCGAAGGAGATATAGATCTTTTTCTTTTCCAGTAGGAGCTGACATCTTTTAGTGGACATTTTCGCTTTTAACCAAGTTGACTCCATTTTGCATTTGCTAGAATCTTAAGCCATTATTGTTCCCAATTGATTACCGAAGGGTACTACAGTTACATAAGGATGTAGTTTATTCAACTATATATAAGCTATGTTCTCTGTTAGTTTTACTATTTGGGGTCAATTGCTTTTGGCAGACGTAAAATTTTAACTCTGTTTAATTGTACATTTATTGTCCGATGTTCTTGAACCTGATGTTCTTGCTTCATCTCTTAATCATATTTCTATTGTTTGATTTAGTTTCTCACTTCTATCAATATATATGCATTCAGATTCTCAATAAACTACTACCTATATTGAAAGGTAAAGCTGATGACTAGAGGTGGTTCAAATTGTTTGGTTGGTAAAAATCAATGTGTATTGAAGCCAGATTAAAGAAATTTTGACAAGGGAACGGGAGAGCATTCTGAAAGAAGTCTCAGTTGCATATATCAAGGTAACTCTTTTCCTTTGGTGATCGTGAGAATTGATGCTATTTCAGCAAACCGAGGCAGGGAACTCTGTTGTACCAGCTAAATATAGATAGCAGTTAGGATTGAAAACAAGCTACAATCATATAAAAAAATCGATGTTATTTCATATGCAAGTATTTAGATTATTGAGGTGCCATGATTTTGTTTTTCTATGCATATTTTGGACCTATATGTATATCAGCGCTAAACTGTGGGGAGGGTTGGTTAAGCTTTGATGCACAAAGGGTAATCATGGAACATATTTTGGGGAATCCTTTGTTGTGGTCGCATCCTAGGTTGTGGTTGTGGTCAGCAAATTTTGGGGGATTTCAACTTCATTCACGGGGTGAGGGAACTGGTCTCAATGCCTCGATTAGCGTTGGAGTCGTTCACCACTAACCAGTGACTTCGGAGGTCGCTTCGAAAGCTGAGATTCCAAGTAAGTTGACATTCCCCATCTTTTTATCTTCGATTGAGGGTCCAGAGAGTGCTTATGATTAGAGGTTGTATTGGCTGCATGGAAGAGGATGCTGAGGGAAGAGTTGTTCTCTTTGGTTTGAACAAAGCATCGAAAAATGGGGTTGGACCCTCTTATCGTGGAGACAAACTGCAAGAGGATGCTGGACTTGCTACAGGGGACTACTGAGTGCATAACAAAATCCTGGAATATTTGCAGAAACATTAAACAGATGGGCTTGCAATCTGATGTAAGAAGTTTGACCTTTGTTCACATACAAGCAAACGTAGTGGCACACTCTTGCTCATTTTAATGTTCCTGTAAACTCTTTTGAATTTGTATAGAATGATAGTATCCTTTAAGACATGTGGCGATTGATTTCCTTTCAACGAAGGCTTTTGTAGTTTCCTCTAAAAAGAAAATAGATGCGGCCATGCAGGACTATCAATCAAAACCTTTGATTTGGGGTTGGCCGATTAATGCTTTTTATTATATATTATTATGTGAATGAATTTGATAATTTTGCCACTATTTGCTACAAAGTAATCCTAATTCCGACTTACTATTTTGTTTTTGCATATGGATTTATAGGACAGGAAATTTCATTTGGATTGGGTTGTATGAATAATGGTTGTATCTTTGTTGATTCCATTACTTTTAGATCTCATAACTGTTATAATGATGTTTTACATGTTGAATTTTAGGAATAACAGTATTGGACATACCAGACGCGTATTACCCATGAGTAGCCGAAAGCCTCAGGCATAGGGATAGCGTTGCAAAACCTCCCTCCCATGGATATATGGTGGGTATGGTTAGAATATCTAGAGACGAGGATGTGGAAATTCTCCCCAAACCCGCTTATTACCATCTCTAATTGTGTTGAAGGTTTAATGCCTATAACAGAACATGAGATCGAAATATGTATATGGTTTCACTAATTAAATTGGTGTTTGTTTAAATGTATTGTTATCCGACATATTTGGTCGTTTGTTTGGGTCAATCTATTCCTTTGACTGTATTTGGGATTGTGGTGCTCAAATTGTTTCTGTGGTGTAGTGGTTTATATCTTGGTTCGGGAAGTTGAATGAACTATCATGTGTTTGACAAACTTTATTTTGAGTGTCATCCTTGAACTATATGATGGTTTTGTATCTCCTATGGAATATGATGTTGAATCACTGTTGAGGCTGTGCATGTGTTATTCCTAATGTTTTGCAACAAGTAATCTTATGTTTGAGACACGTCGTGGTTTATCTAATAAAAATATAAATAAATGTGTAGAAGATCTTCCATTTTTGTCATTATAATAGTCTTGAACTATCCTCCTGAGTTAAATGAAACTTTTAGGACTACAATTATTTTTTGACAAAGATATTAGTTACTAATCAATTGTCATTTGTACTTTCTTAATTATAATAATTTTAGATGATTTTTTACCACAAAGTTTGAACCTAGCATGTGATTAATTTTTTCCTTCCAGATTACCATTAGGCCATCCTTTTGATTTCTAATTGTTACTTTAGTGAATAAATATTTTAATTTTGTTAGAAAAAAATATATAAATGCAAGTTGATAATTCTGAATTTTATGAAGAAATATTTTCAGTAATTTAAGCTGACAATAAAAAGTGAAAAATTTTCTTCTAAAATATAAAAATCAAATACAACATATGAAATACTTGCATAAAAGTGTTCGACAACAAACTCTCATTGCGGGTAGTGTCTTCGCTGGCAATTTATAAATTACTAATATGCTCCTATGCAAGATTTTCACTTCCATCATACCACAAAACCAGTTAAGGTTTGAGCAAGGCGAGATTCATCATAGTTAGGGTACCTAATCAACAAAAATATCTATGAATTAACTACCGCTAATGACACAAACAACTAATAACACAATAACTTTCAAATCATTTATAAACTACTTCGACAATCCTTAATCATTGCAAAGCATCGATCATTTAAGATTAGTAAAAAAATAAAATACATCCGACCAACGGGTCGGGTAAAAGCTAGTTTTTATTTATGGTTCGTTGTTTTGCATTGAAAAGGCAGATGGAACAATCAAATACGAAAACTTGTATTCAGTAGATTGGTTCAATTGGGTCCGATCAAAAGTCAAAACCAGACCTCTAAACTATTGGAATACTCTTCGATTGGACTGTTCTGAAAAAAGTCATAACTGGATTACATCAGTCAAGATTTTTTTTTTTGACAAAGAGGTAGCTTATATTGCACTTCAGAAAAATTCAGTACAAAAAGGGAGAAACATCATGAGATCTGGAAACAAGAGGTACAATCTCAAAGACAAAAGACGAATAGTAATATTCATTGGTAACATAAATTAGGATAAATTCCTTCATGTTCCTTTTCTGCTCAACTACTGATTGTCTAAATTTGTATCGATTAACTACTGGTACCAAACATGCACTACTTCCTATTTTTCATGAAGTGTTCAGTGTTATGTGAAAGAAATCACAAATAAGAACAACAATGAGGTAATCCTGCTATGGTATTGAAATGTACGTTGAAATTTGACAGGGTGCTCACACAGAATTCAATCAAACTTGAGCTCAGCCACTGTGATCTGCCAAGAACAATAACAATCCAGTTAACTACGAAGCGTCCTTGACAACTTTGAGGACACATAAGTGATTGAACGAACAGACGAACTATGACATCTAAGAAGACGCTATTAAAATGGTTACAGAAATCGAGCTGATGACACTTGATTCAAAAGTTTGAATGATGAAGCTGTGGAAGAAAATATTTTCACGGCATATATACAAAAGCGACAGATTGCAAGCCCTGCACAGTTTAACCTGAAACCCTCCACGAATATCGAACCTAACAATGAAGAAGTTACAGAAACGTACCGATAAGGATACAACATGTTGTTCTCAAGCATCTGTCAAAATCAAGAACATGGTTGAAAAGGTCCGACTAGGATCTTGCTTTAATCTCTTCAACAGCCATAGTCCGAAAATCAACGACCTTCACTCGGCGTTCATACACATCCAACAACTGAGCCTTAATATCATCAGGATAGTTGGCAACAAAGTTAACCTTAAACCTGTCCTCTGCACAGTACAGGAAACTACCGAACCCAGGAATATCATCTATGAACCCTCTTAGCCGCAAGAGTTGCACAACCGAACACCTAGGAACAACCCTCTTCTCGAAGCTAAACCCGAAGATACATGGCCACCTAGCAGCAGCCTCTGATTCCCAGCCGAGTTCGTTCACAAGGAACTCCATTATCTGCATGATCTTCTCCTCTGAAGCACACATGCAGTTTGGGTACATCTTGAAAGCCGACAAGGTCAACTCTTTTGCCCACCCCCATTTCCCATAAACCTGTAATTTGTTCTCCCAACTTGTCTTCGTCATGCTTGAAATCGCTTTAATTGCAGCCACAAAGTTGAATGTCGATGGATGAAATCCGAAATGCATGGCAAGCTCAACAATCTCAGCAAAATTAGAGTGAGGCCTGAAAAGCACAATAGGGCAGTGAGAGACCAGGTAAGTGATGCGATTCTCACCAACTCCAAGCTTCCTAAGAAGTGCTATGTTGGGCACTAAATTGGAATCTTTACGGCTAGCAAAGCCCCCGTAATTGCGCTTCAGGACACTCGCAATTGTCCTGTCATCAACCAGGACATCCTTGAGAAGATTATAGCGAGGAATCAGGCATTTCTCTAAGCTCATAATCAGTAAATAAGGATTGGACGAGACGACCTTTATCAGCTCGGGGCGAGAAATCCCAACGGAGAGAAGGAAGTCGAGCTTGGGACGAAGTACTCTCTCTGGATCCAGCTCAAGTAGAACTGGGTAATATTTGATGCATCTGGCGATTTGGGTACCGGAGAATCCATGACTTCTCAGCAGATCAACAACTGCATCTGGTTTCTCGGTCGTCCGAAATTTCAGAAACTTGGATGAAACTTTAGCTCTGTCTGGTGAGAACCCATGTGAGCTCATTAGATAAGAGGCTGGAAAGGAATGCCCATCTTCCCCTTCTTGCGGTGCAATCTGAGAAGTGAAGCTTCTGAATCCATGTAATGAATTTAGCACAGAAATCCCAGCGAGCTGCGCGGCCGGAGAGCTCAACGCTACAACGGTTCTCCGATTCAGAATTCTACTAATCAATCTAAAAGCGGCCATAATAATTTGTATCGGGGTCGCTCAAAAAGGACTAGGGCAACGAAGTTCCGGTGCTATATGAAATACCTTTGAAAGAAAACTAGAGAATGAAGAAATTCATATGCGAAGAACTGACCGCAGATGGTTGATTTTCCAGGACGGTCATGAAACCAAAGCGGCAGTCTCTGCAACACTGTATGAATGGCAGCCGGCAGCCGGAGGAGAAGGAAGCAGGAGAAAGGAGGGCAATCGGCGGCCGAATGACACTGAAGCGCCAACTCGATTTTGTTTTTTAATTTTGTTCTCCAAATTACTTCTCTTTTCACTAGTTCCACGCAGATGGGCTTATGGTAAGGGCCCAGAAGGTTAGGGCTTGACCCTAAAGTTATCAAGTACCAATTTTTTTAGTTTTGACTCTTAGCTTCAGGCCCAATCTCAATCAAACCTTTTGAATGACAGTATCAGTATTATGTGGGGTTCTTTTAGTCAATGCAACTTTTTATTTATGGTTCGTTGTTTTGCATTGAAAAGGCAGATGGAACAATCAAATACGAAAACTTGTATTCAGTAGATTGGTTCAATTGGGTCCGATCAAAAGTCAAAATCAATCCTCTAAACTATTGGAATACTCTTCGATTTGACTGTTCTGAAAAAAGTCATAACTGGATTACATCAGTCAAGATTTTTTTTTTTTTTTGACAAAGAGGTAGCTTATATTGCACTTCAGAAAAATTCGATTACAAAGAGGGAGAAACATCATGAGATCTGGAAACAAGAGGTACAATCTCAAAGACAAAAGCGAAAAATACAGCATGATCAAACGAAGCAATGAAGATCTCTTTCATGAGCCAAATCCCAGAGTATCCAAACACTCTTTGCAACCTCATTCATCCGAGTGGCAAGAAGCAAACTTCAGCTCATCCAAATCAGACCTTACCATGGCAATTGAACATAGCAACACCATATGCCGCCTCCTGGGAGTTGTTCGAAGACGACCCATCACAGTGAATCACAAATTGAGATTACATGGCGGTGGACAGGACTGAAACCAGACTACTCAAAGCTGAAGCAAGGCCAAGGAAACCGCTGCCAGAACAAAACATGATAAAACAGAGGAGAGCACAACAAAGGGCTGAAAGCTCACAAAAAGGAACGAACCTACGCAGAGAACACCCAAGAACAACCAACCAGAAAACCCAACACAATCCAAGAACCCAACAGAAAACACCCCACCAAATCAAGAAAAAAGGAAGACAACAACTCACAAAAAAAAACCCCTACGAAAGCCACATGGACAACAAAGTCCAACCCACCAAAACCCAAAAACAACGCAAAGGAGAACAACGCCACGCCACCACCTACAACCCCCAACCACAAACCAAATCAACCCTTGGTGAAGCTCACATCTTAGAAAACCATGGATCAGCAGCAGCGGTAACCGGAAGAGACAACATTACCCATTCCTAAACATCGGCAGGGATACATAGATCCAGCAGCGAAAACGACGAGGGAGGGGGGAACGGTGAATGCAATCACCCAAAGTGATGACCGCACCAAGAATGGAGAACCTTCACATCAAACCTAGCAAAAGAATCCCCAATCTGCATCTTCCGGGTCGAAAACAGAGCAAGGCCGGGACCAAACGAGTAAACCAAGAACAAACCCATCTCCAATAGAAAGGATTATGGAAGGATTCCACAAGGGAACGAGCAAAAGCCACTAAGAGCAGGAGAAGCCAACGCTGGCTGGAAAATCAGAAAGAACAAGAGAAGCCAAAGGCTGGAAAAAGCACAAGAAAAAGGCAAAGAACAAGCAAAACTAAAGAAAGCATAAAGGAAAGCTTGGGCCGCCGCCGGTCACTAGGTGGTGCCGGCAGCAGCCCTTTGGAAGATGGGGTTGGAAACTAGAGAGAGAGGGGAGGTTTTGAAATTCAAAAAACCAAGAGAGAGAGACTTGGACCAAGTACATCAGTCAAGATTTGGGTGGTCTAACAAATCAAAACTGGGTTTAAGAATGTTGATAGATAATTTTATAATATATATTTTTTTAAGAAATAATTTGGTAGTATATAAATGTAGATTAGTGAGATTTTTTTAAATGTGTTAAATATATGCATAATCTATTTACTATTAGAGATTTTCTCACATATTATGTTAAAATTGACTTGAACTGGCTAAACCCGAACCAAACATTAAACCTCAACCCACTTGTCGAACCGGTTTGATGGCTTAATTAGGTATGACAACCTTACTTCGATTGGTCCGTATCAGATCGCACCATATCGAACAGACGTTTGAACTAGATCATAACGAACCAAACATAATATGATCAAGTTCATGGTCCCATGAATTTTTATAAATATTGAACAAAAATAGAATGAATTGACAATATTGTTGGGCCCATTGTTGAGCGGTGTTGGGCTTTAGGTCCAAAGAGAGTAAATTGGGAAGGCCCAACGGAGGACCCAATAAGGGATCGTACATAGGGAAAAGAGAGTGGCAGGCGTCTAGCCTAGGACGGAACAAGGAATAGGCCGCCTGACACAAAGTACCGTTGGTGGCAGAAAGAGAAGATCTTCCTAGGATATTTGCCTCGAAAACTGCAGGACTGAGCATTAATGCCCGACATAGGCGATCTAGATAAAGCAGGGCGTGTCTAGGGCGCGTGAATGGCATTTAATGCCACAAACCCAACCTAACTGACTATAAATACCTTCATACCTGCATTGATGGTAACTCAACTACTTCCTCTCTCTCTAAACACGAACACAAATTCTCTCCTCTCTCTAACTTAAGCATTGGAGAGTGTCCTATGCGACCGCCCACACACCCTTGTTTTGCAGGGATCAGGAGTACACCCACCATCTGGTACACAGACGCTTTGCTCGTTCTTCATCAAACCGCCTAGAACATTCTAGGCTCAAACAAATATGATCTAACCAATCCGAACCAAATGCATTATTGGTCCGCTCCTTTTTAGTTTTTGCTACCGGACCACTGACCTCATGAGTATCAATGGTGGTGTTACTGAGTTTTGATCGAATCCTTAGTTCCATAATTAATAAACGAAGGCAGAGGCAGCAAGCAAGCAAGTTGTTGGTTGATGAGGCAAAAGAGACGAATAGTAATAAGGAAAAAATCCAAAAATACCACTGTTTAAAAAACAAATTCCAAAAATACCACCCAACCCTAAAAATTTCCAAAAATACCACCCTTTTTCAAAAACCGCCACCCCACCCTGTGGTTTACACTAAAACCGTTTGTCGGATGCGCGGTTTTCTATGCAAACCGCGGGCCTAGGGAGCGGTTATAAAAAAAAAAAAAATTTGACCAAACCGCTGGGTGGGGTGGCGGTTTGACTCAAAACTGCCACCCCACCCAGCGGTTTGGTCAACATTTTTTTTTTTTTTTCGATCAACTCCTAACTTCGGCCGAAACTTCAAACGAACGTAACTTTTCACTCGGGTATCCGATCGTAGCGATTTTTTTTTTCATTTCGCATAACTTTTCAAGATCTACAACTTTTACTAGGATGAAATTTTCAAAAAGGGAACTATTTGTGGATATACGGGACCTTGGGAATAACTTTACCTTTACTTTTCACAAATCCATGTATATTTTGAAATTATGATTATATTAAAAGTTGTAGATCTTGAAAAGTTATGTGGAATCAAAAAAAATTCATGAAATTCGGATTTTGGAGCACAAAGTTATGGCCGCCCAAAGTTTGACGAAATCAAAAAAAGGCTCGTTCGGGGTGGCAAATGACGTTTTTTCGAGACGAAGGCGGGACCCGGCGATTTGTGGCTTGCAAGATCTCAAAAAGTTATTCGGATTCAAAAAATGGAGGCCCCAAAGTTTGACGAAATGCGAGACCCGGCAGTATGCGGCTTGCAAGATCTCAAAAAGTTTGCGGCCTCCATTTTTTGAATCCGAATAAATTTTTGAGATCTTGCAAGCCGCAAACCGTCGGGTCCCGCCTTCGTCTCGAAAAAACGTCATTTGCCACCCCGAACGAGCCTTTTTTTGATTTCGTCAAACTTTGGGCGGCCATAACTTTGTGCTCCAAAATCCGAATTTCATGAATTTTTTTTTTATTCCACATAACTTTTCAAGATCTACAACTTTTAATATAATCATAATTTCAAAATATACATGGATTTGTGAAAAGTAAAGGTAAAGTTATTCCCAAGGTCCCGTATATCCACAAATAGTTCCATTTTTGAAAATTTCATCCTAGTAAAAGTTGTAGATCTTGAAAAGTTATGCGAAATGAAAAAAACAATCGCTACGATCGGATACCCGAGTGAAAATTTACGTTCGTTTAAAGTTTCGGCCGAAGTTAGGAGTTGATCGAAAAAAAAAAAAATTTGACCAAACCACTGGGTGGGGTAGCGGTTTTGGGTCAAACCGCCACCCCACCCAGCGGTTTGGTCAAATTTTTTTTTTTTTTTATAACCGCTCCCTAGGCCCGCGGTTTGCATAGAAAACCGCACCTCCGACAAACGGTTTTCGTGTAAACCGCAGGATGGGGTGGCGGTTTTTGAAAAAGGGTGGTATTTTTGGAAATTTTTGGGGTTGGGTGGTATTTTTGAAATTTTTTTTTTAAACAGTGGTACTTTTAGATTTTTTCCTAGTAATAAGGACTTTTTGCATATTCTGCTAGATCTCAACGACGAAGACCACAGTGGGGGAGATGTTGCTTCATCGATCATAGACAAAGACAACCAACTAAAGGCCAATCTCCCTGGTTCAATTTCTAAACACAGCGATCCTAGGTGCCAGAACATAACAAATGAACAGTCACTCTATATCTATGTTTTCATATTTACTGCAGGATGCTATTATCTGTGAAACAGAAACATCGATCCCCTTTTCTGCAAAATCACTATAAACCAGATCATCTTGGGAACTAACAGTGACACATCCAGCAATGGCAGAGCATCGAACTCCAAGTAAGCCCTCAGCCAAAACCCTATGTTCAACCAATCTCTTCCTCCATTGACAAACTTTACTCACTGCGGAAACACTCTCTGAATCACCAATCCATCGTGTATAGCTCAATCCTCCGAACTCTGTCGATTACAGCTTCAAAACCTCAACATGAGAGCATTTTAGGAGGAATGAATGATTCAGCAGAACCCTCAAAATTGGATACTAAGAATTGCGGATGTGGATGCACCACCGTTCATGCATTTACTTGAAAAAGAAAGCAAAGGATAAATCACAAGCTAAGACAAGCAATGACAACTACATAAGAGAAGAGCACACCAAAAAATGGCAAGAATGAAGCTAAATATAACATTAATGAAACTTCATTGAAACATTTGCATATGTAGAGGAGGGAAAATGCAGAATCAGGAACTCAGCTCCACAACATCATGTTCAAGGCATAGATGCAAAAGCCACATATTGCCCGCATTTTCTTATGCTGAGACCTTCAATGATGGTCAACCTAACGGTGAATAAGTTACATGAATGTTTGTTTCAATAAAGCTGCTGCAATATATGTTGTTCTCAAGAATCTGTGAAAATCAAAACCATGCTTAACAAGAAAGAACTAGGATCTTGCTTTGGCATCTTCAACAGCCATAGTTCGAAAATCAACGACAATCACTCGTCCTTCGTACACATCCAACAATTCAGCCTTAATATCATCGGGATATTTAGCCACAAATTTCTTCTTAAACCGGTCCTCTCCAGGGTACAAGAAACCAGCCAACCAAGGAATATCATCTATCAGCCCTCTCAGCCGCAAGAGTTGCACAACCGAACATCTAGGAACAATCCTCTTCTCGAAGCTTAAAGCAAAGATAGCTGGCGACCTAGCAGGTGCCTCTGATTCCCAACCCAGTTTGTTCACAATAAAGTCCATCGTCTGCATGATCTTCTTCTCCGAAGAACACATGCATTGTGGATATCTCTTGAAAGCCAACAAAGTCAAATCCTTCGACCACCCCCATCTCCCATACGTCTCTAATTTCTTCTCCCAGGCCGATTTCTTCACACTAGAAAACACCCTAACAGCAACCACAAAGTTTGCCTTCCATGGATCAAACCCGAACTGCTTGGCAAGCTCAACACTTTTGGCAAAATCAGAGTGAGGCTGGAAAGCCACATTAGGGAAAGTCGACAGCAAGTAAGTTATGTAATTCTCACCAACCCCAAGCTTCCTGAGAAGTGCTATGTTGGGAACCACATTGGTATCAGTATTGAAAAAAAAGGACTTGTGAGAGCGCTTCAAGACATCCACCACTCTTAGGTCATCAACCAGGACATCCTTGAGCAAATTATACCGAGGAATCAGGCGATTCTCTAAGCTCATAATCAAAAATTGGGGATTGGTAGAGACCACCTCCGCAAGCTCGGCCTCCGAAATCCCAATGGAACGAAGGAAGTCGAGCTTGGGACCAAGTATTCTCTCGGGATCCAGCCCTAGTACACCAGGGCACCGCTTGATGCATTTGGCGATTTGGGTACCGGAGAATCCATGGCTCCTCAGCAGATTGGCAAATGAATCTGGTTTCTCGGCGGTCCGGAAGTTCATAAACCTAGATATAGCTTTGGCGCTATCTACTGAGAACCCATGTGAGCTCATTAGATAAGAGACTATGAAGGAAGGCCCATCCTTCCCTTCCTGAGTTGCAATCTGAGAAGTGAAGCTTCTGATACCAAGTAATGAACTTATGGCGGCCGGAGAACTCAACTGTATAACCCTAAGCCGATTTGAAACTCTACTAATCTGACTAGCGGCGCCCATCGTATGTACCAGGAGGGAGGGCGCAGCGGACAGAGCTAGGGCGTTGCGAACTTGCTGTACTATATGAAAGACTTGAGAAGCTTACCAGAGAAAGGAAAAGGTATTGGTGAAGAACTGACCGATGATGGTTGCTTCTTCATGAATGGAGAGAAGGCACTCGGGGCCTGGATGAAATGACATGGGACTTCACCTCTTTTAGGTTTATTTTGGGGGAATCAAATTTTGCATCCGCAGACCGCAATATTGAGAAAGTCGGGTATTTTTCAATGTTTTAAAAAATCTATTGGGGATTGGGGTCGATAAAATCTCAAAATAGGAAATTTAGTTAATGTGACAAAATGGATAATGGGTTTGGTGCGGCTTTGATGATATTTCAAGTATTCGTACAGAACTCACCTGAATATATGTTATAACTATGTTCTAGACAATGTGACAAAGAAACATTGACATTTGAAGAAAAAATTTAGATTGTATAAAAAAACCTACGCATGACTCTTCAGAGATGTTGCGAGTGGGTTTTCCTCGAATCGCATGATTGGTTTTGGTAATGCCACATTGCATCCCCGCAAGATTTTGATTACGTGGATGGTTGCGATTTTAAAACCATGGTTCGGGGATGGTTTATATAAAAATCGATTCCATCCGAACTTGTTGTAGCTCTAGATTCACCAACGATTTTAATACATAATTGCCTATCATTAACTTTTTTATAGGAATCATTAAACTTTATTATATAACTAGCTAAATGGCCCGCGCTTTGCGACAGGATGTTTTTTATATAGAATAATTTTTAGTTCATTAATGCTAGAAAACTAATTAATTGGAAGCTAAATTAAGAAGATAGGACGTTGGAGGATTATAAAACTAAAGTATAAATAGTTAAATTACTATTATACTAAGGTCAATACTAAGGTTTTTGACAAATTTGAAGTGAAATATTTGGAAGTACAATTGGTGCTTAAAAAGTGTTGTCATGACTCATGGCTTAGGAAGTTTCACGTTTTACTAAGAAATAGAAAGCTAAGAGAACACACAATCTAAGGATTTCAAATGGATTGGATCAAGTGGCTTGGTGAATTGATCCATGAAACCAAATGACATCCAAGTCTTGACCATTTTGTAAAATTTCGAAAAGTTTAGGTACAAAAATGTCATAATGAAATTTTTTTGGCACCAAAATGTAATTTTCCAATTATATTTTTTGTATAAAAATATAAACTTTAGGGACCAAAATGTAAAATATAAAAATTATAGGTACTAAACCATAATCGGTCATTTGGATTCATGCATCAATCCATGAATCCACCAATCCAATTGGATTTGGAACAAATGTATTAAATTTAAATGGATTGAATTATGTGAATAATTTGGTGGATGAATTGTGAATTCATGAATTTGGATTCTAATTGCCACCTCTACTTTGATAATTGAAAGCCTACCAAAATATGTTAAAGTAAAGTATTGAGAAAGCTAGCTGTCCAGATCCTATACACTTCTCCCATTTTGGTAAAGGAGCATATTTACCCTACCCAATTGGTTTGGGTACACAACTAAACAAAACCATAAATTTTGAAATCAATTGGAGAAGAACTAACTATATACATGATTAATCACAAAAATTTGATAAACAGAAATATAAAGTTAGTGGAGGTCAGGTGGCATCCCTGCTATGCAAATTGGAGAAAGGAATCGATAGACAAATGGACATCAGTTAGAGTTTGGGGCAAACAAATAAAATGAATAAGAATAAAATTTCTCCAACAACCAAATAAATTGACAGCGGCAGGTTTCACAAATCAACGAAGTGATTAAAGACGGGAGGTAAAAATGCACTTCAATCCTCCTCCTCCTTCTTGATCCAACAGAATCCGATGTCTGGATTATATCAACCACTAACGTGGCACCATTTCATTAACATGGTTAAAACTAAACCGTTTGAAATCCAGACGCAGCAAGAACAAGGTGCTCCTTCTTGATCCAACAGAATCCGATGTCTGGATTATATCTTCACTTTATTTGTAACTGGAATGAATGCTCACTGCGGCCGCTTCGTCTTCTCTGGCATATTTCCGTGCGATTTTCTATTGTCGATTTCCCCCCTTTCTATTATTCTCTGCCCCAAAAGCCGCACTATGCCTATCTTGCATGTAGGGAGGAGGAAGAAGGAAGCGAGATGGATGCTTGCTCAGAAACTTAAGGTGGACTCATCCGCATCCTACTGGATTACACGACATCTTCTACACTCTTACCATCTCCGCAGCTTGATGATAGCATCCGAAAGTGTCTTTAGGAGCTCCTTCCACTCTGCGAGCATTGAGAATTCTCAATGTAGAAGAAGAAAAATTTAGGTTGCATGCAATTGAACTACTCGGCCAAATCTGGTTACTTCTTCCATTTAATTACCTTATTTTTTTGGTTACCCCCACAACGATGCAGGGGAAGAAGAATCGAGGATGAGAAGCATGCATGATTTGGGAATACACACTGATCAAGAAGTCAGAAGAAAACTCACCAACCTTCGGGGAAACTTAGGAGTAAACCCAGCCTCCAGGGAAACGATGTAGGTGAGACTCAAGAAAAAAAATAAGGCTATATGGGGAACATGGCGAGTAATTAGGGAAAGAGGTACATAGAACTTACCGTGGACATGCCCACTCCCAACTGGACCCCTTAAGCAAAATAGGCGCTTTATGGTACCGTTTCACAATCATTCACATTTTAGCTCCAAAAGTTGAAATTGATAGCAAAAACCTTTTCGAGTTTTCGTTAGTGGTATAAAAAAAACTATAGTATAGATATATACTTGGTTTGAAAATTTTCCAAAAAAAATATTAAATCATATATAGATTTGTTTATCACACACAGTTCTTTTTGTTTATAAATTTTCTTACGGGTCGTTCGTATGCAGCATTTTGATGAGGTATTTTGGCCGAAATAATAGAGGTTTGGAATCAGTTATTTTAGTCAAAATAACTCATTTGGCAAAAATAAAATGTAATGTGGTATTTTGTCCATGAGACAATTAATATAACTCATTGTGAGTTATTTGAAATACCTACCCACCTCCTAGTTATTTCAAATAACTCATTTTTCAACTTCTTTTTTCACTTCATCCCTTCTTTAAGTGGTGAAAGAAATACCACAATAGTTGAATGTTTTATCCAAACAAGACAATTAGACCAATTACCACGTTTCAAACTGAAATACCACACGTATCACATAGCAAAATAATGCAACATTTTGATTCCAAATACCATAGAACCAAAATGATGCATCCAAACCACCCGTTAAGATCAAAGTTAAAAAGTAAAAACCTATAAACTTATTAAAACAATTTATTGAACTAAGAAATATTTTGTTTCAGCTCTTGCATTAATCTACTAACTAAGATCATGGAAATAAAAGTGTGGTATGTTTATATGCTATACACATGATATTATTGCACTGGTAGAAATTCAGGAAGGATTAAGCCAACAAGTTAGTTTGAATTGAATGAGTTCAGTGGCCATCGGATTGGTAAAAGTCCAGGTATCTGAATATAGAGCAAACTTGAAGTTTTGAACACACCCAGTAACACTGAAGAGACAATTATACATTCTCTGCAGATCCAATCCACTCAGTCTCATTGATCAGCATCCAAAATAAGAAGACAGAAAAGAGATGGTAGAAGCTTGCACTTCTCGTCAGCAGCCTGGTACAGTTAGAGGGCAAACCAAAACTGATCGCCACAAATGCCCTTGAAATTAAATTTTTCCTTTCATAAATTCACAAACACTACCAATCCAACCTATAACTCAAACCCGTGTCAAAACTCAAAAGGGTTGTTGTGTTCAGTTACTTAGCATGGTAAACACATCTCATTCCCATCTTTCTGGAAAAGGAAATGCCTTCTGTTTTCATACATTAGTAATGCAGAAAGTAAGTGTCACCTTTTGGGGTTGGTCTCTGTGGTTCGGACCCTTGGCCACGATTGTGATCCACCACTAGGTGCTGCTGCTGCAGCAGATTAATTGATCTTCCTAGACCGATCAACCATTGCAGAACAAACACTTGCACAGGACTCGTCTTCAGCATAGCTCGCCCCAATTCCATCTAACAAATCGTTTACCTGCATCCAACAACACCGCTCCACCAAAGAACCAATTCTGGGAGGTCACCCGGAAAGTTTCAGCCAAGTCTGTCGCTTCACCTAGTCCTTCCTCCCTGCTCCATTCCAATGGTGGTGGCACAATGTGAGGTGGAACCCTCGATGAATGTCAACCTAATAAAGACTGAGATAATGTTTCATAGCTTGCACATAAACTAAGAAACAATATGTTGTTCTCAAGCATCCTCGACACCAAGAACATGGTTAAGAAGGACAAAGCTAGGATCATGCTTTGACATCATCAACAGCCATAGTTCGAAAATCAACAACATTCACCCGTCCTTCATACATATCCAACAATTCATCCTTAACATCTGGATATGCGACCACAAACTTATCCTTAAATCGATCCTCTGCAGGAGACAAGAAAAAACCCAACCCAGGAATATCAGCTATCAACCCTCTCAACCGCAAGAGTTGCACAACTGAACACCTAGGAACAAGCCTCTTCTCGAAGCTCAAACCGAAGATGATAGGCCACCTAGCAGCAGCCTCTGATTCCCAGCCGAGTTTGTTCACAAGGAAGTCCATTGTCTGCATGATCTTCTCCTCCGAAGCACACATGCATTGTGGATATCTCTTGAAAGCCAAGAAAGTCAAATCCTTCGACCACCCCCACCTCCCATACACTTCCAATCTCTTCTCCAAGGTCGATTTCTTCACACATGAAAACACTCTAATCGCGCCCACAAAGTTCGACCTCGAGGGATCAAATCCAAACTGCTTAGCAAGGTCGACCCTTTCAGCAAAATCAGAGTGAACCTTGAAAGCAACATTAGGGAAGGTAGTGAGCAAGTAAGTGATGTAATTCTCACCAACTCCAAGCTTCCTGAGAAGGGCAATGTTGGGAACTATATTGGAATCTTTACTGCCAACGAAGCACCTGTGAGAGCGCTTCAGTACGCTCACAACTCTATTGTCATCACCCATGACATCCTTGAGCAGATTATAGCGAGGAATCAGGCGTTTCTCTAAGCTCATAATCAACAAATAGGGATTCGAGGCGACGACCTCTGTCAGCTCAGGGCGAGAAATCCCAACGGAGAGAAGGAACTCGAGCTTGGGACGAAGGATTCTCTCGGGATCCAGCACCAGCAGACGAGGGTATTGCTTGACGCATTTGGCGATCTGGGTACCGGAGAATCCATGGCTGCTGAGCAGATTAACAACGGCATCTGGTTTCTCGGCCGTCCGAAAATTCAAGAACCTAGATGTGGACTTGGCCCTGTCTGCCGAGAATCCATGCGAGGTCATTAGATAAGAGAATGGGAAGGACGGCTCATCATCATCGTCCCCTTCTCGAGGTGAAATCTGAGAAGTGAAACTTCTGATTCCAAGGAATGAACTTAGGGCGGCCGGAGAGCTCAACGGTATAACCCTAAGCCGATTTGACATTCTGCTAATTTGACTACAAACACCCATCGGAATGCTCAGACCGAGAATACAGAAGGTGGCGAGGACGGACTGACTGCAGATGGTTGCTTCTTCATGAATGGGGGACACGTAAAACCAACAACGGTTTCAGTCGGCATTCGGCAACGCTATGCGCCTATGCGTTCTTGAAATGGGAGGGGAAATGGAGGAGAAGGGAAGGGAAGTGCCGCTGGACGAGGAGGATGACTACGAAACGGGCTCTTTTTGGGCTCTCTGTAATTGCCGATTCGGCCTAAGCCCTGTTCCCTAGAAGGCTAGATAGTGTAATATGCAAGGTTGTCAAACCGGTTTATGTCAGTGTGCTGGTTTAGCAAGTGGAATGGTTAGACCGGTGGCACATATCGGTTTGTGCTGGTTCATGCCGATCAATATTACAAATAAAATTATAAATCCTCATATTTAAACATGACATTTAGCGTCAATACCTAAATATTTATACTTGAATCCAACAAATAACATCACTATTTAACTTTTATACTCATAAAATAAATAATGAAATAATTTTTATCGATTAAATTCGCTAAAATAAGGTCATTTTATTTAGAGATTCGTATATCGATCATGCCGGTCATACCGATGGTGTCACGCCGGTTTTATGACCGGTATCGGTTGAACCTGGTACAACCGGTGGCACGCCGGCCGGCATGACAACCATGGTAATATGATAGCGGATCCCATAACTAAGGGGTGCTTAGTCATTTGACTAAGCCCCTCCTAGTTAATACTTAATACATATGGACACTTCAATCTAACGGTTAAAAAATGGGAAGAGATTTTTAATTAGTGGGAGGGGTAATTTAGGTATTATGAAAAATTACGAAGTATACAAACCGGACTTACAAACAATATAAACATACAAACAGTACAAACTAGATTGACAAAACATACAAACAGATCTACAAACATTACAAACGTATGAACTGTACAAACAATACAAACTACACCGACAAACAATACAAATCACACAAAAAGAAAAAAACAACCGGGTTGACTTTTGAGGCTCCCTTCCAAAGTCAACCCGGTTGTTTTTTAGACATACAAACATTACGAACATGGTGGACAAAAATGACAAACTAGACCGACAAAACATACAAACTGGAAAAACACCCGGGTTGACTTTGGATGCTTAATCTCTATATGGAGGAGTTTCATCCAAAAGTCAACAAGGTTGTTTTTTAGGCATAAAAAATATTACAAACATGGTTGACAAAAATGATAAAAATGGTGCACAAAATAACAAAGCTTACAAGCATTACAAAATAAACCGACAAACATTACAAAATAATAAAGCTTACAAACATTACAAAATAAACTGACAAACAGTACAAAACATACTAATCGTACAAAATGTCACTAAAAATATGATAAACATTACAAACCGAGTCGATACAAATATTACAAAATAGGTCAACAAAATTTTATATAAAATTGTATCAATATAATTTGGTTTAATACACTTGTATACCCAAAACTTTCACGGTTGTGCCAATAATATCCAAATTTCCCGAAATACCACTTATATCCATGTTTTAAAGTTGTTTTTTGCCAAATCTATCCATTTCCCAATATATTTTTGGTTAAATACACTTGTATATCCAAAAACACCATTAAAGAATGTGAAGGAATTGGATATACGTGATATTTCGGGAAATTTGGATATTATTGGCACAACCGTGAAAGTTTTGGATATACAAGTGGAGAAATTTTACAATGCTATATAGTATTGGTGCTATACGATTTTTCTTTTATGGTACAACTTAAAATTGTACATTTACGTTATGGTACAACTTCAGATTGTACCTATACTTTTTGTACAAATTCTTTTATGGTACAACTTGAACTTGTACTTTGATGTGATGGTACAACTTAAAGTTGTAAAGTTGTACCATAACATAATGATACAAATTGCTTTATGGTACAACCTAAACTTATACATTTAATGTTATGGTACAACTTTAAGTTGTACATTAAAGCACCAATACTATATAGCATAGTAGAAGTGCTCATACAAGTGTATTTAACCATATAATTTTAAGTAACAATTGTAATATGAAATTTTTTTTTCGTTCCAATAATATGAAATTATTTAATGATTAGATTCACAAATCCAACACATTACAAAATTAATGGTTTACGCGTTACCTCTCTCTCTCTCAAGATGGGCGCGCAAAAATCCTGGCCGGTGGAGGCGCGGGGAACTGCTGATCGACGGGACGGAAGGAAGGCGGAATTTATTTTTAAATTCTTAAGTAAATAACATATAAAATTACCAATATACCTTTCATTAAATTGGATTATTTATAGTCACTAAATTTAAATGAGGTTGGATGGCTGAGATTCACTTCGTTACATGAATAAGGAGACCCCCTTAATCACCTGATCTTAGCCCGTGTAATATTCCTCCACCAAAGCCTCTCTTTCGTCAGTTGCAAGCGGAGGAGATGCAAAGATATGATTGACAAATGTGCTGCTCGAGACACCACTAATAGTTTGATTCGGCATATTCTAGAGGAAATTTGTTTTTTTCTTCATGAGATTGGTGATTGTTCAATTCGGTTCATCGATCGCAGTAGCCCGAAAAGCTCTGTTCTTATCACCCCGCCTCTTAATGGAATTTGATTTCGTTTCTTGACTTCGTAGTCAATAGGGAACTTTACCCAGTCCCTTTGTATCTTTGGTTCCGATTTTCACCTCGTGTGTTGAGGAATCTAATGATAAATAAAAAAAAGTATGCAATATAATTTTCTAAACAGTCTGTAACTCGAAGATACGATTACAAGGAAATCCATGTATAAAATCCATTTCAAATGCTACAGTGAATAAAATTAGGAAGGATTGTTGGACCGACAAGTTATATAAATGCATTTCAAGTAAAATGATGATATCAAAGAGCTAATGCAACATCTACAGGTCATTAGGTCCAGAAAGAAGTAGGCCTTATGACTTATGAGTCATCCTGACCAATAACAATTTGTCTAAACTTGGGATCAGCAAAAATCAAGAACATTGTCAAAGAGGAACAAATAGGATATTTGCATATTATCTTCAACAGCCATAGTCTGAAAAATCAATCACATTCACTCTATCTTTCATACAAAACCAACAACTGAGCTTCGACATCATCCGAATATTTCGTCACAAAACTATCCTCAAAACTGTTCTCTCCTCCCGGTCTCAAAAGCTGCACGACGGAACACCCACGAAGAAACCTCTTCTTGAAGCTTGAGAGCAAAGATCACATTTGCAGCGATTAGATAAGAGACAGGGAAGGATTGCCCCATCTTACCCTTGTTGAGGTTCACTTCCCAAGTAGCAGAGAGGTCTACATAACTCAATGCTATAGCAGTTCTCCGATATGAAATTCTACTACTAATTAGAATACAAGGGCGAATTGTAAATCATCCGGAGAGCAGAAACATGACTAGGGCAACAAAGTTCTGGTTCCATACGAAATGATGTGGATGAGAATCGGAGAAATGAAAAGAAGAAGAAAAAAAACATAGGTGAAGAACTGACCGAATATTGTTGATTTGATTTTCCATGAACGGAGGCTAGAGAAAACCAACGCTTCAGTCGGCAGCGATACAACGGGAGGAGAAGGAAGAAGTAAAGCAGGAGGAGGGCAAGGGAATCGATGGCCGGAGTACACTAAAGCACTTCTTCATCAATTTGCTTTTCCCGACTTCGCATTTCTCCGCTATCACTAGCAAATTCAGAGCAAACTCCAGATGGGGGGGCATGTTGTCTGATTTCCAAGTGCAGTCAGGCTGAGAAACAACTTCAGGGTACTACCCTACAGTGCCGCCGCCTCCTACCAAGCGACACAATGCGACTCAACCTGTACATTATAGGGAAAGACCTCTCCTCCAGCTCTTGGGTTGGCCTTGCAGTAGTAGGATTCAACACCTGAGACCCATCCTCTGCCACTTCATCAACAAGAGGCTGCTTTACACTTAGTTTTGAGAACCCTTCATGGAGGGACCTTGTCCAATTCGCGACCAAAGGAAAATCCACCAGTGGGTGGTTTCTCAGGCGCCGTGACGGTCTTATAGCGGCGGCATCATCTGCGGCAGACATAGCCCGGGGAACGGGAGTTGATGGACACAGAATGTCATCGAGAAAAACATGCCTCATTCTGAGATATTCCCTTTTCCTGTGGGACCTGGCCCTCAATGCAGCTATCTTCTTCTCCTTGTGCTCGATGGCGGACAACTCCATTGAGAAATCCCCAAAATCATAAGCCGATGACGACGATCCCCCATCCTTCCTAGTTGCCAAGATGGTTGAGGATTCAGTGGGATTTACTATAGCAGGCGGCGCGATCACGGTAAGGGCGTTGGAGAGATTTGAGAAGTCGTAGCATGAATCCACTCCATTGTTCTGGATATCAGCAACAGATGATGCTCCGGTTTTGCCACGATTCTTCTTCGACTCAGGCTTCATACTGGGACACCAATGAGAATCGCGGTGGAATCAAAACCTTGACTCAACTGCAAGCACAAAAATAGACAGATGAAATTCGTCATCAAGATTTCATATCAATCACTGAAAGAGAAAACTAAACTGATTCTTCCCTTCCTCAAACCTATTCTACTCCGATCGTCCGAAATAGTACCATAAGAACTCAATCGACAAATCTACTGGAGAAACAATACCGAATCAGAAACCCTAGAAACCGACTTCCTCCCCTTCCTTCCTTCCTTCCTCTCCTACTTTATACACGGGAACCGAAACTCAGTGAAGAATATGACAGAGAAGAGGTCAATGATAAAGCTTACCGGAGTAGCTTGAGACGAGAGCTTGCATGCGATGGCGGGGCGGAAGAGCGATGAGAAGACGTTTCAGCAAAGGAATCGATGAGCGGCGGTGGGACTTGAGAGGCAGTTTATGCACAGATGTGAATCCGCTCTTCTGTAGAATTCCGGTTTATTTGATGGGAACTTGAGGAAGCCTTTTATATAATACACCTATACAATGATCTCCTTTTCCTTTCAGATATTCCTCACAGTGGGCATGTGACAAGGCCCAAAATGAGAAACGGCCCAACCTTATGCCACGACCGTCTCCGCAAATTCTTTGTTTGGACACTTTTATTTCAGGCCCAATCGCCATCAGCTTAGAGGATTTGGAGCAAGGTTGTTAAATCACTATCGGACTCCCAATTGGACGCGGTCCGACCCGAGTTGGGTTTCAAAACGGCCTCCAGAAAGCTTCCGGTCTGACCCCTAAAGAGGGAGAAGAAGACAGGAGGAAGAGAGGAAGAGAAACGAAGGAAGATGGTGAGTGGGTAATGGAGGTCATGTAGATTTATTTTGTGAAAAACAAGTTTTTAATAGATATATGTAATATAAATTTTATTTCAGTCTTTAAATTTTTAATTATTATCTTATTTGTATATATATTTAGAAAACGTTTAAAATGGCTCAAACCAGTCGGACCCCGATCAGACCATTAAACCTCAAATCCCTTGCTTGACCGGCTCAATGACTTAAACCGGTTTGACAACCTTGATTTGGAGTATAACTGGTTCTATTCCTCCAGACATCGAGCTACAGGTCTGCAGATAGATTCTTAGAAATGATGTATGCTCTATACTTCTTCCGTAGATGCTGCACTTTACTTTCACCTCTGCATTCCATAAATGCAGTGCCTGCAGCTGACTGTGCCTTATCTATAGACCTTGCAGAGTTGCAGTTTTGGTTCTTTGCCCTTGCACTCCACCAGGCGCCCATTCTACAACATCAGCATTCGATCTATGCTTGCATTTTAACTCACATGAAGCTATCATCGGTAGAAACAGTGACAGCAGAGTGGACGATGGATGAGTTAATGAAACATCCAGAGGCGATCCATAAGATATAGGACTACGAGGAAGAATCAGTAACAGTATCATCCAGGAACTCATTCTCCATAGCGTATTTTCAAGGAGAAGGTGCACGGGCCAAATATTGCCAGCATTTGCTTATGCCAGCAGCCCAGCACAACATCAGAATAACAAGCAAGAACTTTTAGATAAGCTTAAAGATCAACGAAAAAGCAATACGTTGTTCTCGAGCATCTGTTAAAACCAAGCACATAGTTAATAAGGAACAACTAGGATCTTGATTTGACATCTTCGACAGCCATAGTGCGAAAATCAACGACATTCACTCGTCTTTCATACAGATCCAACAGTTCAGCCTGGATATCATCCGGATATTCGACCACAAACTTTTCCTTAAACCGCTTCTCTGCAGGACACAAGAAAGTACTTAAGCAAGGCATATCATCTATCAACCCTCTCAGCCTCAAAAGCTGCAGGACGGAACACCTAGGAACAACCCTCTTCTCGAAGCTTAAACTGAAGATATTTGGGAACTTAGCAGCAGCCTCCGATTCCCAACCGAGTTTGTTCACAAGGAAGTCCATTGTCTGCATGATCTTCTCGTCTGAATTGCACATACACTGCGGAAATATCTTGAAAGCCAACATAATCAAATCCTTTGACCACCCCCACCTCCCATACACCTGTAATCTCTTCTCCCAGCTTGATTTCTTCACACTGGAAAACACTCTAATTGCACTAGCAAAGTTCCACTTCAGAGGATCGCATCCAAATTCCTTGGCGAGCTCAACTCTTTTGGCAAAATCAGAGTGAACCTTGAAAGCCACATGAGGGAAGTTGGACACTAAGTAGGCGATGGCATTCTTGCTCACTCCAAGATTCCTAAGAAGTGCTAGATTGCGAACAACGTTGTTCTGTATATTGCCAACAAAGCACCTCTGAGAGCGCTTCAGGACTCTCACAAATTCATCGTCGCGAGCCAGGACTTCCTTGAGAAAATTACACCGAGGAATCAGGCATTTCTCTAAGCTCATAATCAACAGATATGGATTTGAAGAGACGACCTTGTTGAGCTCGGGGGAAGGAATCCCAAGAGAGAGAAGAAAATCAAGTTTGGGACGAACTATCCTCTCCGGATCCAGCACAAGTACACTGGGGTAGCCCTTAATGCATTTGGCGATTTGGGTACTGGAGAATCCATGACTTCTCAGCAGATTAACAACCGCATCGGGTTTCTCCGCCGTCTGGAAATTCAAACACCTGGATGAATATTTGGCGCCGTCTGCTGAGAACCCAAGTGAGGTCATTAGATAAGACACCGGGAAGGAAGGCCCATCTTTCTCTTCTTGAGGTGCAATCTGGGAAGTGAAACTTCTTATCCCAAGTAGCTGAGAAATTACACTGACTTGGGCAGCCGGAGAACTCAATGCTATAATGGTTCTCCGATATGAAATTATACTAATTAGCCTAAATGCACCCATCTTGTACTATCGAGAGTGCAGAAACAGGACTAGGGCACCGAAACGTCGCTGCTGTGGTATATGAATGAATTGGGAGGAATGTTAGAGAAATGAATGAGTATCTGCGAAGAACTGACCGGAGACGGTTAACATTAGCTTCAATCAGCAGCAGTAAACGAGGAGCGGCATCCACCGCCTATAACCGGCGGAGAAGGAAGAACGAAAACCTGGAGGCGAGGGAAAATCGGCAGCGGCTCTGGTTGAATCAGGGATGACACTGAAACTGAAATGAACACCAATTTTACCTCTCATTGCACATTTTCTTCACAGGCCATATTTCCTGGCCCAAGATGAGCAACGGCCCAACCCTGACACTTACTGGAATCCGCAATCCAGATCCAACCCGGAAGATCCAAACTCGGATTTTATCCGAACCCGACCCAGAACTCATTGGCATATGGATTTTGCCGGATTTGACCAGGATGGTTTTCTACTAGTTAATTTTGGTTGAAGAACTGCTATCATGTTGACGAATGGAGCGTTGGTTTTTGTTGAAGAATGTCCTATGGGCATTAACAACTTATAACATTTAGGCTTTAGCAAAGTACAAGTAGTGCTGAAATTTGTCGTGCGGAATCGACTTTATGAACATATCAACATGATTAATAACAGTGGCTATGGTCTTCACTTTAATTCTTTTTTATGTTCTCGTGAAATGATACCTCACGTCATGAAATGATACCTCTGATGATGGACTTGATTGATTCTTGACCATACATATTGCCAATAGACCACAACCCGATCGTGATGTAAACTCAAACCACTAATCAGACTTTTCAACCATATTTCATCCTTCGTATTTTCTCTTAATGCCATGTGCTCTGTTTCAATGATAGACAAAGTAACTATAGGCTGCAAAGTCGCGCCTTCCAACTAATAACAAAACCTTCAAGAGAGCAAATACGTAACTGGTCATAGATCTCTTTAAGTGAACATCTAAAGTATAATCAGAATAAGAATAATCAACCATTAACCAATCTCTCTACAACTTTCAAAATTGATCCACCGTATTTTTAATGTACTGATAAATACTCATCACATTTATGAGTATGAACAAACAAACAAAATAATGTGGTTAATTTCTTATGTGACTTTGGATTGGATGCAAGATCTTTCTATTGTCGTAAATAACTTTACCAAAAATCTCTATTTAATTTTTATTTCATATATATATTGTAATTAAGTTTAATATAAACAACATTTTAGGGCACTTGTTACTATCAGTTGCAATTGCAAGTGTTGAAATAACAGTTACTATAATGAACAACGTAAAGAAACACTTAAGAATTTGATGAACAATGAAATCATGAATGATTTTTCGGTGGATTATATTAACATCCCTCACAATTTACGCGATGAATATATTTTAAAAACTTGAGAATATGAAAACACATTCTGAAATATATGTTTTATTTATTTATTTTACGCTGAATTAGAAATTTTTTTTAATAACATCGTCGTTGGAGAAGATAGTGTTCAACCGCGCTTTTTGAAACCTATCAATTAACCACTACAAATTTGTTTCATTCCCATGAAGTCATCGATCGTCCTTCCTTTTCAACTCTGTAACGAGAGTTGGACAATCAACCGCTAGCTCTCAGCAATAAGGGACCAAATTTCCCTACCATTTGCTTTATTAATGCTTAGGCTTAATTGGATTGTACACGAAAGTGATCGAAATCGATAGAGCGCTAACGGAAATCCCGGAGGCCAACGAACTTGCAGTCCATGGAGGTTCTATCAAAAGGCAACCCAGTGGCTGTGTGGAGCACAGACAGAGCAGTCTGGTGACAAGAACCGGCTATAGTTTCAGGTTCTTGGTTTGGTTTCTTGGACTAGCTCGTCACTTGTTCAACCAAACGCGCGTTGTCTTCGCCATGTTCTTCTCGTAAGCTCTATACTTCTCCCGTAGATGCTTCACTTTACTTTCACCTATGCATTCCATAAATGCAGTGCCTGCAGCTGACTGTGCCTTATCTATAGACCTTGCAGAGTTGCAGTTTTGGTTCTTTGCCCTTGCACTCCACCAGGCGCCCATTCTACAACATCAGCATTCGATCTATGCTTGCATTTTAACTCACATGAAGCTATCATCGGTAGAAACAGTGACAGCAGAGTGGACGATGGATGAGTTAATGAAACATCCAGAGGCGATCCATAAGATATAGGACTACGAGGAAGAATCAGTAACAGTATCATCCAGGAACTCATTCTCCATAGCGTATTTTCAAGGAGAAGGTGCACGGGCCAAATATTGCCAGCATTTGCTTATGCCAGCAGCCCAGCACAACATCAGAATAACAAGCAAGAACTTTTAGATAAGCTTAAAGATCAACGAAAAAGCAATACGTTGTTCTCGAGCATCTGTTAAAACCAAGCACATAGTTGATAAGGAACAACTAGGATCTTGATTTGACATCTTCGACAGCCATAGTGCGAAAATCAACGACATTCACTCGTCTTTCATACAGATCCAACAGTTCAGCCTGGATATCATCCGGATATTCGACCACAAACTTTTCCTTAAACCGCTTCTCTGCAGGACACAAGAAAGTACTTAAGCAAGGCATATCATCTATCAACCCTCTCAGCCTCAAAAGCTGCAGGACGGAACACCTAGGAACAACCCTCTTCTCGAAGCTTAAACTGAAGATATTTGGGAACTTAGCAGCAGCCTCCGATTCCCAACCGAGTTTGTTCACAAGGAAGTCCATTGTCTGCATGATCTTCTCGTCTGAACTGCACATACACTGCGGAAATATCTTGAAAGCCAACATAATCAAATCCTTTGACCACCCCCACCTCCCATACACCTGTAATCTCTTCTCCCAGCTTGATTTCTTCACACTGGAAAACACTCTAATTGCACTAACAAAGTTCCACTTCAGAGGATCGCATCCAAATTCCTTGGCGAGCTCAACTCTTTTGGCAAAATCAGAGTGAACCTTGAAAGCCACATGAGGGAAGTTGGACACTAAGTAAGCGATGGCATTCTTGCTCACTCCAAGATTCCTAAGAAGTGCTAGATTGCGAACAACGTTGTTCTGTATAGTGCCAACAAAGCACCTCCGAGAGCGCTTCAGGACACTCACAACTCCATCGTCACGACCCAGGACTTCCTTGAGATAATTACACCGAGGAATCAGGCATTTCTCTAAGCTTACAACCATCAGATAAGGATTTGAAGAGACGACCTTGCTGAGCTCGGGGGTAGTAATCCCAAGAGAGAGAAGGAAGTCAAGTTTGGGACGAAGTATCCTCTCCGGATCCAGTACAAGTAGACCGGGGAAGGTCTTAATGCATTTGGCGATTTGGGTACCGGAGAATCCATGACTTCTCAGCAGATTATCAAACGCATCGGGTTTCTCCGCCGTCTGGAAATTCAAATACTTAGATGAAGCTTTTGCGCTGTCTAATGAGAACCCATGTGAGGTCATAAGATAAGACACAGGGAAGGAAGGCCCATCTTCCCCTTCTTGATGTGCAATCTTGGAAGTGAAACTTCTGACCCCAAGTAGATGAGAAATTCCGCTGAGTTGGGCGGCCGGAGAACTCAATGCTATAACGGTTCTCCGATGTGAAATTATATTAATTAGCCTAAATACACCCATCGTATACTATCGAGAGTGCAGAATGAGGACTAGGGCACCGAAATGTCGCTGCTGTGCTATATGAATGACCGGAAGAATATTGGAGAAATGAAAGAGTATCTGCGAAGAACTGACCGGAGATGGCTAATTTTTCGAGAATGGAGGCCGGAGCAACCCAAAGCTTCAATCACGAACGGTATACGAAGTGCAGCATCCGCCGCCGGTAACCGGAGGAGAAGGGAAGAAAGTAGGGCAAATCGGCAGCTGGAAGATATTGAACTGAACCACCAAAAATTGTAATTCTCCTTCCACATATTCTTCACAGGCCATATTACCTGGCCCAAGATTGGAAGCGGCCCAACCCTGAAACTTCACGAAATCCGCAATCCATACCCATTCGGAAGATCCAAATTTATCCTAACCCGACCCAAAACCCTTACCCACAAGCTATTCAGTGAATGGCGGCCATATTGGGGTATCCGCATGCATATTCTGTGGCACTGGGTGCAGTCTGACTTGTTCGATTACGCCGACTGTATAAGGAATTAGGTATCGTTTGCTTGTGGCCTGTGGAATTTGGGTGATAGATTTGGTACCCAAATCCCAAGCATAATGGAATTGGCACAAGTCCATTGTTTGCTAAGGGACATGCCCCACGGATTTTGACCCATTTTTTAGATCCAAATCCGTGGACCCCACGGATTTGCAAATCCCACATTTCATTTGAGATTTGATAATGGAAGGCGAAATGTGAACAAATCCATCATGAATTTATGACAAAAATAAACTACACAAACAATGTACTCTTCCAATTCCATAATGCAACAAATCCATCATAAATCCAAAGGTTTTGAAAACTCAAAACCCTCATTTTCAAATCCAATAAGCAAACGAGCCATAATTTTATCCAATTTATCAGAGTTGGGTTAGGTTGGATTTCTATGAGTTCGGGTTCTACCGATGCTATAGAGCAAGATTGTCAAATCATTTTAACTAGTGGTATGATGTTTAATGATCAGATCGAGCTCAACCAGTTCAAGTCATTATTAAAATAATACGTGAGATAATCTCAATAATCTACATTCATATATTACCAAATTATTTCTTCAAAAAAAAAAAATCCATCCTTATCTTTGAACCCGGTTTTAACTAATTTAACTCGAGTTCGATTTTTTTTCTCCCAAAATCGTCTAACCGAAATATATTCCAACTATTTATATGACCGTTTTCGGACGGATCCGATTGAACCGAGAAACCGAACAAAGGTTTAGCAACCTTGATAGGGAGCATCTATCTACGAGTGGAGAACAAACAAACCAAAAAATTTTGTGGTAGACGTACGTCTCCATCTTCGTTTTAGTTTCATTTCCATACCATCTGTTCTTCTGTACCCACTCCCTTTGCCAAATGCCAATTATTGGTTTCCATAGCACAGAATCTCGACCAACCGAAGGCCAAACAAATTGAAGAGACAAATCAAACAAATAGTAAGTAAAGCATAGCGAATGTCCGGAATTCTTTAATTTGCTGTGTTCATTTTTATGTTAAAGAGCCTTTTTTACATGTACCAAAAACCGTGGCGGAGACACACCCTCGTCCAGAAATTTTGTGAAGTACCTATATATTTTTAGTATAAGTTTTTTTAATTAGGGACTTCCGACACACCTTAAATAATTGTGAGTGACACATCTTCATTATACGAGAATGATTTTCTTGTTATAAAGATATTTATCTTAATTAGTAATACACAATAATAAGTAAATTCAAATAAGTATGTTTGTTTTAGAGTAACCCACACCACAACCTAGGGATGGCAATAGGGCGGGTTTACCTAAACCAACCTCATCCCCATTTCCAAATATCCAAACTCATACCCGCCTCATACCCATGTAGTGGAAGGTCTTACAAACTCATCCCCATACCCGCGGTTTTCGGATACCCATGGGTAATACTGCCCCAACAACTACTCACCATTAATAAAAGAATATGGTGACAAATATGAATACTACCCACCCAAAATTATGGAACTAATACATAAGAGGGTGAAATTACGGTTTGATTGCCATCAATTACATTTTAACAATTTCTTTTTTTCTTTTAATTACCCTTACAATATACTCCTTATATTTTATGTATATAACATAATATTCTTGGTGGTGCGGGTTTGGGTATGGGTATGGGGCGGGAGAGTCAAAACCCATACCAGCCAGATCTTTAATTCTGGTCCATGAAATTATTAATAAACACGCCCCAAATCCAAATATCCAAATTGGTTTTTGTTTACCATAATTAACTATTTCAACAAAAAAATTCATTATGAAATTGAAAAGATGAAAGTCTTAAAAAAAAAAAAATTGAGAGTTCAAACAGGATCCTCACCACCAACAATCACAGAGTATTGGCCGGACTTAATTGTACGAGAAGACGTATGTCTCATATGCTTCAGTTAAAATATTAAACAGAAACACCGGCCTATGTGAATATTACTCTTCTTCCGTCCGGCCACTGAAAATCACACTGAAAGAGACGATCTGAATCCTTGGTAAATCACGCTAAAGAGAATCCTAATAATGTCCATATCGTCCACATACATCCAGCCCGCATTTGAGCTGTAGATAGATAGATAGTTAATTCATCACAGCTCTCAAAATTCTTTATTCCGATCCACAATCCAAAACACCGCGACTTCGTCTATGTACGCACTTTTTTATATACCCGGAGACAACCTGTTCGAAATCAAACATTTAACACCGTAAAAGTTTCCACCGCGAAGCGGTTATGCCCGGGGTAATTATGATTGCATTGCTACTAATTATGTCGTTGAGGAGCTTGGGAGTGGTGGAAGGCTACGTAGGCACGGTGCTAGATGTTCAGTGCAGCACGGCGGCGGGCGACGGGGAAGCGACGAGCCGGTCGATCGCGGCCATCACGGACAGTCTGGTGAGCGGGACGGAACCGGGGCCGCCGTCGGCGTATCTGTGCGTGGGTCCGGGTCGCGGCGACCAGCTGCCGGATGTTTGGGGCTGGGCGTCTTGCGCGGAGGGGATTTCGAAGGATGAATGCTGTCACTGTCTTGGTGGCGCTCAGATTGGGTTGTTGTATTACTGCCCGGGTAAAGCTGGGGCGCATATGTACAGGCAGGATTGTTCGTTGCAGTATGACAGTTTTGCGATCTGCACTCCTAAGTGAATTACAGTACTGCATGCAGCCAGCTAAGTATCTAGAGGTCTGCCCCTGTCACATGGTGATGATGATAAAAAAAATAATCTATGTTGTTATCAAGAACCAGTTACTCCCAATAATTCGAGTTATTGGAAGAAGTTCAATAGTGGATTATATACCACAACACTAACTAGGGATTCTTACTCGATTTTGGATGCTAGCTAGATGAATTATATATAACTAGGATGGAAGCCCGCGCTTCGCAGCGGGGATATTCATTTGTTGTTGTGAAATGAACCTTTTTTATAAGTGAATTATAAACTGAAACTAAATACTAAAATAATCTGTTACTCGATCAGTACCCGACAATCAAAATTAAGGTAGAATGAAGAAAAAAAACTTAAAGATAGAATGTTGAGTCACAGTTCGATTATTGTAGACCAAGAAATAAAAATCACCCCTCATGTATTTTGTTGTTGGAGTTTTTCCTCTCGTTTGTTCTTCCTTTTGGTTCAGTAGTCTTGCTTAGGGGTATTCAAATGGTTACCGTGATAATAACCAAACCAATTAAGCCTAAATTACATTAATCATTGAATAAAATGTCTTAACCAAACCGTCCAAATTAACATGAAAACCAAATTAACCAAACCAAAGTTTAATTGGTTTGGTTAATCGGATAATCGGATTAACCAAATAACATAACATTAATCGGATAATCAGGGTCGTTTGGAAGTTGCGATAGTTTTGTTGAGATTGTCATTATGCATGTATTGTTTACAATGCATCATTTTTTTTGTTTTTTTAGCAGAAATAATACATTGATTGTTTCTGTGATGTGACAGAAACTATCACTCATTTTGAGTGATTGTTATATCTCAACTTTTAGTTGTGATTATTGAGATACTTGAGTTGAGATTGTTTTGTCTCAACTTTTAGCTGATGCGACATACACAATCACACATACCAAACGTTGTATTCTACAATGCATCAAATTCAACAATACACGTATAATTTTATACTTGAATTCTCAACAATACATCTATTTAACAATCGCAACTTCCAAACGACCCCGTAGGTTGGTTGCATGGAAGTATAAATAGGGAATCATGAAAGTTTGGTTTGGTTGGTTGCATGGAAGTATAAATAATTTTGTATTTTAGGTGCATAATTAATTGGTTAATTGGTTTAATTGGGTAGCAGTGTTAAAACCGAACCAAACCATCTAAACCAAATAAGCTAAATTGTTTAACCAAACCAAACCAATTATCCAAATTAACCAAACCAAATTAACCGAACGCTACCTGTTAATATGGTTACCACAGTAACCAATCCGTTTGAACACCCCTAGTCTTGCTCTTACTGAGAAAGGAGGAGATGGGCAGATGGGAGAGAGAGGAACGAGAGAGAGAGAGAGAAGTGGTGGAAAGAGACCCAAAATTCATTCATGTTCCCAAAACTGTCAAGGGTAATACCGTCCTCGACCCAAAATGCGTCAACACTAGATTTAACTCGATAAAGCGGGATTTTGGGTTCAATTGTCATAGGAGGCGTGTTCAATTTGGTTTCAGTCCCAAAGCGACCCAAAATTTGTGAACACACATGAATTTCTCTGACCGATTTGATAAAGCGGGTCGAGTTTCTAACATAATTAATCCACACGCGACCCAATTTGTCGATCACAAAAGAGGATAAAATGCGTTCTCTCCCCCAAAATGCGAGAACGCTGGATTTATAAAAGCGGGGTGTGTTCTTAACAAAATGCACACCAAACCATGTTCGTTATTTATAAAAGCCGTTAAAATGTATTCTTGACCCAAAATTCGGAGACATCGACACTGGCTCGAATTAGCTTGAACACACATTGGTTTGGGTTCAATTGTCATAAGAAGAAATATTTAAAAGATGGGTAAAATTTATTCCCGACTCAAAATTCGACAACACCAAAACCGGGTCGAATTAGGTTGAATACACATGAATTTGAGTTCAACTATCAGGAAACAATTAAAACATTTGATTAATTAAGAAAAAGTAAACAATAAAATAATCATAGGTAATGTGACTCTACCAAATAGTAAGCCAAAACTTGTTCTTTTAAATAGTTAAAGGTTGCGACTAAATGATCTAACCCATTAAAGTCTTCAAAATCATTTGCATGCCCGACACAACAACAACAAAAAAATCGGTATAAAATCATTTGCAATGCGGAGACAAAAAAGTAGTAAAACGACCGTAATCGTGATCGAGAAGCGAAGAAAAGGGGAAAAAAACTTGCTCGACCCAAAATTCGTTAATACCAAGTTCAACTCACTCTATTGATTTAAGCTCGTAAAACTCGCTTACCTGGGTTCAACCCATTGATTGAAGAGTGAAGAACTTGTTGTCGATCCAAAATTTGTAAAACTCGAGTTCAACTCGCTTTAACCATGTCGAATTAGGTCGAATGCCATTGATTTGAGTTTAATTAGGATTCAATTTTCATAAGTTAATTGATTAAAATCTTAATAGCATAAAATTAATTGATTAAATCCTAAATGGCAACCCAAAATTCTTAAAATCAGAGTGAAACTCTCTGTAACCGGGTTCAATTAAGTTAATTAATTAGAGCCTACAAAAACTTTTTCGTGGTTAGAAATAAGTTTGTTATCGGGTTCAATTCGTAAATCGACTTCTACTCAGTTTAACTTAATGGCACAAAAGCGTGTAAAACTCGCCGGCAACCCAAAATCCGTAAAATCGGCGTAAACTCGCTTTAAGCGGGTTCAATTAATTTAATTAATTAGAACCTACCCTCTGTGGTTAGCAACAAATATGTCACCGGGTTAATAAATTCAAAAATGCAAAAATCGGCTTCTACTCGATTTAACTTAATGGCACAAAATTGTGTAAAACTCGCTAGCAACCCAAAATTCATAAAACTGGTGTAAACTCTCTTTAACTGTGTTCGATTAAGTTAATTAATTAGAACCTACAAAAACTCCTCCGTGGTTAGAAACAAATTTGTCACCGGGTTCTATTCAAAAATCCGTAAATCGACTTCAATTCAATTTAACTTAATGTCACAAAAACTCCTCCAAGCCAAAATTTATCAACACCTGGTTCAATTAAGCTAATAATTAGAATATACAAAATCTCCTTCGTGGTTAGAAACAAAATTTTCACCGGGTTGAATTCGAAAATTCGTAAACCTACTTCAACTCGTTTTAAATTAATTGAACTTAATATCACAAAAACTCCTCCAAACCAAAATTCATCAACACCGGATTCAATTAAGTTAATTAATTAGAATCTACAAAAACTCCTTCGTGGTTAGAAACAAATATGTCACCGGGTTCAATTATAAAATTTGTAAACCGGCTTCGACTCGATTTAACTTAATGTCACAAAAACTCCTCCAAGCCAAAATACATCAACATCAGGTTCAACTTGCCTTAACCGGGTCGAAGTAGGTTTAATACCCATTGATTTGGGTTCAATTTGGATTCAATTGTCATAAAAGAATTAATTAGAACCTTAATGCACAAAAGCCCCCACAAACTTTGGTTAATTACAAAAAGAAACCCCCATGTGATGGGACATTATGCAATAGTAACTTGGTTACTTGTTAATTGAACTTAATATCACAAAAACTCCTCCAAGCCAAAATTCATCAACACCGGATTCAATTAAGTTAATTAATTAGAATCTACAAAAACTCCTTCGTGGTTAGAAACAAATTTGTCACCGGATTCAATTATAAAATTCGTAAACCGGCTTCGACTCGATTTAACTTAATGTCACAAAAACTCCTCCAAGCCTAAATTCATCAACTTCGGGTTCAACTTGCTTTAACCGGATCGAAGTAGGTTGAATACCCATTGATTTGGGTTCAATTTGGATTCAATTGTCATAAAAGAATTAATTAGAACCTTAATGCACAAAAGCCTCACAAACTTTGGTTAATTACTAAATGAAACCCCTTGTGATGGGACTAGGGGTGGCGGTCGGTCGGTTTCGGTTTAACCGAAAACCGAAAACCAGGTTATCAGTTAAACCGAGCCACTTCCTATAGCGGCCGACCACCGACCGTGAGAGTGGTCACGATTAGCTGGCGAACCGACCGGTTGGTTTCAGTTTTAGGCTCGGTTAGTCGGCCAACCGGAAAACTACCTTTTCTAAAAAAAAAAAAATTAAAAAAACGGAAACTCTGCACCACTCACTCCTAACCCCTCTCACTTCTCGATTATTCTTCTTCCTTTCCAGAGAAACTCGCCGCTAACCGAAATAGCCTCCTCCCTCACCTCTCTCGTTTTGCCCTCTCCCTCAATCGCCATTCCCTCTGCCTCTCCGTTGACGGCTACGGGAACAGCGGTGGAACAGCAGGGATGATCGTCCAGCCCCTCATCGGCTACTACAGCGACCGCTGCACCTCACGCTTCGGTCGTCGCCGCCCCTTCATCGCCGCCGGCACCGTATTCATCCTCATCTCCGTCTTCCTCATCGGATACGCCGCCGACATCGGCCACGCCGCCGGCGACGACCTCTCCCGGCCAAGCCCGGGCCATCACCGTCTTCGTCGTCGGGTTCTGGATCCTCGACGTCGCCAACAACATGCTCATGGGCCCCTACCGCGCCCTGCTCACCGATTTGTTCGGGAGCAGCCAGAAGAAGACACGTGTCTCCAATTCCTTCTTCTCCTTCTTCCTCGCCGTCGGCAACGTTCTCGGGTACGCCGCTGGGAGCTACAGCCGCCTCTACAAGATTTTCCCCTTTACTAAGTCCGCAGCCTGCGACGTCTACTGTAGATCTGCTTCTTCTTCTTCTTCTTCTTCCTGTATTTGGGAATTTTTTTTATATTTAAGATGTGGGAATGGGGATGAATCTGGACATATTTTGGGGAAGGTGAAGTGGGTCTCGGTTGGCCCGGTTAGTCGGATAACCGCAGTTAATTACCGTCGGTTACTCGGTCAAATGACCCCTTCCTTTTCCCATCCGACCACCGACCGTCAAGATAACCGGTCGGTTTTCGGTTAGCTGGTAACCGGCGTTTTTCGGTTAAAACCGGCGGTTACCCGCTAACCGCAAACCGAAATGCCAGCCCTAGATGGGATACTATGCAATAGTAACTTGGTTACTTGTTCTTTTATAGAGATAATAATAATAATAAACCTTAATGCCCCACAAACTTTGGTTAATTACTAAAAGAAACCCCTTGTGATGGGACACTATGTAATAGTAACTTGGTTACTTGTTCTTTTATAGAGATAATAATAATAATAATAATAATAATAATAATAATAATAATAATAATAATAATGATGGTGGAGATTCAATTGGTACATTTTGGGAAGACAAACTGCTCGTACTCAAACTCAGATTAGTTTTTACAATTCTCAAGATTGATGGTTTGTGATGCAGTTTGTCGACATATTTGTTTGTAATGTTTGTTAGTCTAGATTACAATACTTGTTTATCGGAGTCGCATCATAAATTTAGTGCTTTTTATTTGTAATACTTAATTTCTACTATAACTTTTTTCTTTTGTTTTAATTTGTACTCTAAGTAAGATATCTTCATTTAGATCATGAATTAAACCGAATTTGGAGTATGAAACGTACTATACCCTAACTTCTAATGGATAAACCCCTGGTCCGGATTCACTAAACCTAAACTGAAGTTTAATTTAATAAAAAATAATAATTAACTATTGAGATTGGTCAGAGCTCATAAAAGTACATCTAACGACTAGATCACAAGAAGTATAATATGCTCCTAGATTATACCAATCATTACTATATATATATACTGGCAAATGCTAGTTTTTTCACACTTGGTTTTGCATTTCAATATATTTCACTGAATAATAACTGTCAGTTATTATTTTTCTAGATTAAATAAATCTTGTGGCTTGGGTTAGAGAATTAGGTACTGGGGTTCACCCATTAGAGGTTAGGTTATAGTATCATGCATCAAACTGCGATTAATTCGTGCTCTAAATAGTAAAACTCGGCAAGCGTACAATGTACGACTGACATACGCTAACCTGAACTATATATATAGTGAGTTATACGGTATGCAGAATGAAATTCGGGGTACCGCATACCTTAAGTAAGAAAATGTTATTCAGAACTTGAATTAACTGATCCTTCGGACATGATACTATACTTTACTAACGATCAGTTTTGCTATCAAAATATTTTAGCGACGGAAAGATGTTAGCTGTAAACCATACTCTTTTAGGCACCCATTTCTTTGCAAAAAAAAAAAAGTTTTATTTTCTTGTCGTGTTTTGACGACGACGATCAGTACTCCGGCGTTGGTAACGATGGCCTCTCGAGCAATGCTGGCGAACACTATATAGGCAGGACACCTCCGGTCGGTCATTAATTAGTTGAATTATGACGTTAACAACACAACCCAATCTTTTCACTTTCCAGACTGTCTCTTTCAATTCCACCCATGACCCATTAGATTATGATTCTTGCGAGCAAAGTTAAAAATGTCGATTCCTACCATGTTTGACGACTGTCACAGCACCATATCTCGTTCGAGAATCTGAATACGAGCTAATTGGCTGCCGGCCGAATCCCTCTCCCTCTCTATATACACTCTTAATTTCTTGTGTCCGCCGCCGGCGACTTCCGTGCCGATTGGTTTCCCTTAAGCATCTTTCGCGAGATAGTTTAATTTGGATCGGCTATGTATCCATCTATCCATATATAGACACCAAGACGCAGACCACCTAAGAGAACCGCAAAGGAGAAACAAAAAAAACAAAAATAATTTACTAGACAATATATATGGCTGCTGCAGGAGGAGTTGCGAGCTTGATGATCGTCGTAACTAAAGCTATAATCATTGTCTTACTAATCTCGTCGTGGGACGTCATCGTCGTGAGAGCCTACGACGGCACGGTCCGAGAGTTCCGGTGCAACCCGACGCACTACGACGACGATCCCATGAATCAGGAGATCACGATGATCACGAACAGTTTGATAAGGGAAACGCAACCGGGGCCTCCGCCGGCGTCGCTTTGCGTAGCTCCGGATCGCGGCGACGACCAGCCGGACGTTTGGGGGTGGGCGGCGTGCGCCGAGCGGCTGACCAAGGACGATTGCGGGCGGTGTCTGGAGGGTGCTCGGAATTCGTTGATGCAATATTACTGCCCCGGCAGGGCAGGGGCGCATGTGTATAGGCGAGACTGTTCCCTTCAGTACGAGACCTACGATATCTGCAACCAATGATTCATTAACCTTTTAATAACTCGAATTATTGAAATTAATTGGTTCTTGATGCGGTGTCAGAGTTTTTTGAAACCTTAAGACTCAGACGATCTCATTTTCTGAATTGTGCAAACGTCAAGTCCATATACGAGTGATTTTTCGTTTGAGTGGACGCGTTAGTATGTGGCCATAAAATTCAGTATTTTGAATCTCTTTCAATAACGAGTTATTGAGATGATGAGGTCAGAAATGCACTGCAATATTGCCAAACTCTTACCGATGGTCGGGGACTTTAAATTTGGAAAAGGTTTGGTGGCATCTAAAGAACCACAACACCTTATACATACAATTATTTATTTTGTATTCATTCACGTCATTTGGCGATAAGTTACGTAATTAAGTACTTATTCAAGTAAGAGTTTTGATCATTCACGTTAATAGAAACTCAAAAAAATAAATTTCCTTCATTTGTCCCCTTTGAGATTTTGTATTGGCCGTATTTTATTGAATTAAATTTGGATTTTCAATTTTTCTGTAAAAGAAGTTGCATTTATCATAATCTACACAATCATATAATTTTAATATATTTCAAAATTTTAAATTTAATTTTACAATAACGTGAATAAATAATAATGTGTGTGAATAAACATCAAATTGCATGAATAATATTATTGTTTGTGTAAATAGCCACCATTCTTACGTTAATAAAACCAATACAACACAAATAAGCACAAATTTACGTGAATGGACGAAAATATATGTGAATTAGCATATGTGGCTCTTTATGTGCGACTAGAGGTGGCAATTAGGATCCAAATCCATGAATCCAATCCAATCCATCTACCAAACAATCCACTTAAATCCAATCCATTTGATCCAAATTCAATTGGATTGATGGATTCATGGATCAATTCATGGATCCAAATGGCAAATTACAATTTGGTACCTATATTTTTTATATTTTACATTTTGGTACCTAAATTTTATATTTTTATACGAAAAAAATCATAAGAAAATTACATTTTGGTACCTAAAATTTTTCATTATGACAATTTAATATCTAAACTTTTCAACATTTACATTTTGGTCCAAGCCTTGGATGTCATTTGGATTCATGGATCAATCCACCAATCCATTTGATTCAATCCATGAATCCACCAATCCATTGGATACAATCCATTTGATCCATGGATCCACCAATCCAATCTACGAATCCACGAATTCGATCCAATTGCCACCTCGCGACCAAACCTTTTCCAATTTCGTGTTCACGCCCTTTTGATTGAGTACGTGGAGACGGAGTCATAGACTCGTACAGTCACTTTGCCACGTAGACAATAATAATATGATCTGAGTAGAAATGAATGGCAAGGATTCACAGTTGTTGTTTGTTTGACGGAGTCAACAGACAAACTCATAATTGTCACTGTAAATTTACTAGGGGGTCGTTTGGATGGATCAATTGTAAAACGAGACAATTTGACCAATTGTTTCATTTTACAAAACGAGTCATTTAAAACGAGTCAATTCAGATTACCTGCCCCCACCCCAGACAATTGTAATTGGCTCAAAATGAGTCAATTCAGAATTTCCCAGCTCAAATTGCTTCATCCAAATTTTCTGCTGCCAAACGGATCAATCTAGCACAATTGACTCAAAACGAGACAATTATGTCAGATTGATCCATTAGAATTCCTCATTCAAACGACCCCTAGGTCTTTGACCTCACGCGCGTCACTATATACGTCTACTTGAATTTTCTTGAGTGATATTTTAAACAAGAAAAAGGATTGGTTACAACACATTATAATTCATGCATTTTTGCATCTTGTATTATTCACGCAATGTGTCTGTATGGATATTCAAGTAAGTAATAATGGTTATTTACGCAATGTTTTATTCATGCATATGATTATTTATTTACATATTGAAGTAAAATAAAATTTTAAATCTTAAACTATATAAAAATAGATGTCATTGCATAGATTATGATGAATGCAACTCACTTTTTACAGAAAAATAGAAAAAATCCTAACTTAATTCCATAAAATAAGGGCAATACAAATTATTAGGAAAAAATTGAAATTTCATTTGTTCGAAATAATCTAACTCGAATAAACACCGAATTATGTGAAATTGTGAATAATCAGAAAAACGCGAATGCAATGAATTAGTCTGTGACTTCCATAATCAAATTCTAATGAAAATGAAATCTTTAGAATAAATCAATACAATTTATGAGTAATTAATAAGATGATATCAATCCAATTCCAGAATTTTCGAATTAAGAGGTATAGAGATGCAACCAAACCTTTTCCTCTAAACAAATAGTTCCTACCTACTCAATATTCTAGCCCATTTTAGAACGGTACGCCTTTGCATTTCCCATTGTCATCGATATCATCATTACTGGTCAGTGGTGATATCTAATATAGGGAAAAAGGACTCCACAGCCATGTAGAACCATTATCATCACCTTGTTGGACGTCAAGCGCGAGATGATAAGGCGAAGTCTACAGTTTTTCGGCCTTTTGTTTCTTCAAATTCGGCACCTGCAAAAACCCTTCGTCGACTTTTCTGTCGAGAACAAGTGAGAAAGAACAGCCAATGTAATGTTTGATCCAAAATTCAACAGAGATGCTTTGCTTCTCGTGTTTGAGTCACAACTCAAATCACTCGAACTGGGCTTATGAGATTTGGGCCCAACTAGCTTACCCTTCGTTTAATAAAAATCCCAAATCACTAATCTGATGACAACTTTCTTGCAAAGCCCACCACTCTAAATTTCAACCAAACTCACCGTATCACTAACACCTCCTGCGTACATATTGCTTGATTCTTGAGATCAAAACTTCCCCTGCATTTTAACACACAAGAACACACCAAGAACGAAGCCAAAAACAGAGCAAGAACACTGAAATTGCAGAGAGTAAATAAAAGACACCACACACGAAATGGATATATAGTTGAAGCTCTTCGAATACAAATGTACACTCCCGATGAGCTCTCCAGCCAATCGATCAAATCCAATCCCCTTGATCAACTCCCCGTCGATCAAGAACCCGGTATCTCCCCGATACCGTAACCTCGATCAACTCCCCGTCAATCGAAACCCCTTTTCCTAGCAAAACCACTACCTGAAATCCTTAGCTCTATTGTTTAGATTTCCCCGGGAAAGTTACCTCCTGTAGCTATTGCAAGACTCCTTTTGTATTGAAGCTTTTGGCTGTTGCATTTGAATCGAATTGCCTTGTTGGTGTGATCATGAATCTCCTTGAAAATGGTAAGCTCCTTGCTTCTCAATCTTTTCATTTTCCTGTTGGGTTTTCCTTTTGCGAGAGCATCTGATTAATTGTGATTCCATCCAAAAAGGAAGGTTACATCTTTTGATGGAATGACGTTGTACCGGCTTCTTCCACTTCCAATTATCTTGAGCAGCAAGGTAGTGATAGCCAATTCATTGTACCGCCAGGAGAAGTGCAACCACCAGTTAACTTCTTTCTCAGCTTGGTCCTGTGAAGTAGGCAAGTTTCCTTTCCTGCATTCCTCATCCAAAGATTAGTTCCAAATTCTTATTACCAATTAAGTTAACCACTCTGATGAACATTTCTATGCTTGAATCGAGATTGGCAAAGAACATGTTGCATCATTCAACCTTGTCCAACAGCATGAGACAATTCCACAGTTTAAGAGTAAATCACTAAACTGAGTTTGCTCGTTTGAAGCTTTACCAAGTCAAACACCAAATCACATAGCTTCACCTAATTCTCAGTAGTTTTGGCTCCTCTTGCACTTGCTAATTCAACAAACAACATTTCACAGTTTAAGTATAAATCACTAAACTGAAGTGTTATTTCCAGGTTTTCTAAGATCGACGGCAATCATCTTCTTATGACAGTTTGGTCTAAATTATTTGACTAGTTTGAGAGCTGCAACACACACTAGCTCACACACAGTGAAAACTATATTGCTGATGAGAAGCTTTTATCCCAACAATCTCCCCCTAAGATTTTCATTAGCAATAATGACTCTGATATGACTTTGTTATGCATGTTTCAAAGAATAGCAGCGACTCAATCCCCTCTATGGTCAAAAGTCTCGAGCACTTAGATTGCTCCCCCTGAGTTATAGACATAATGGTGTACAAGAGAATGTAGCACTTCTTTGATGAAAATCACATATAAGTAGAGTTGCTACTCAATGTAACTAAATATGGGACTAACTGCTTATCTCTCCCAACATTCTCCCCCTAAGCTTGATGTTAGCAATAACAACTGCCGTAAGGGTTTTGTTAGACATGTAGACTGCAATAGATTAGTTTCAAACAACAACACCTCTAAGACTTCAAAAATACCAATGGAGATGAATGTTCGATTTCACTGTCCACGTAACCATGGTACCTCTAATCTTGCTCCCCCTATGTCCAATCTATAAATCTGTGATGAACAGTGATTTGCTCCCCCTAAGTGTAACCTGTAATTTTAAAGAGCCTCATCCTCTTCTTTGATAGAAATCACTCCTGTGTATACCTTTATTTCTCCCCCTTGATGTTATCAAAGAAGAACTATCTAAAACCAAATCTATATAATTATAATCATGCTCCCCCTCAAACAGGCAATACTCCCGTAACAAACCAGCCAGGGTAGAACATAGGCTTTATCCCTTGCATCCGCAACAAAAGAGTTGTCCAAGTGATAGATAGAGCAAGATACTAGTATTTTCTAGGTTAGTACTTCAGACCTATGACAAGCAAATTTTCTGGACCAACCAATCATCAATGACGGGAAGAGACACTTAATATCGAACCAAACACTGCAGCACTTTCCCTCATGAAACGTCTCTCAATTTGACTTTACAACGAGACTGATTATTGCAAAGCAGTGTGCAAGGCAAGATTTTCCAACTCATACCAAATTTGTATTCCATATTAAAAGGTGAGCTTCCTATATTAGTTTAGGCAAATTCAATTTCTTGATCTCCTGGCATTTAAACTATTCAGCATATGGGTCTCTTCATTGCACAAAGCCACAAACTCAATCGATACAAGGTCATATCAGTGAAAACAATGCAAATAGACCAGAATCCTCCCTTTTTGAAAACACACAAGAAATTGATAGTATCGATTCTAAAAAGAAAACGATTTCATTTAAAGGGATTTCATTTGAGTTTGGAATGCAGCTTTCTAACCTAAATGATTAACTAGAAGCGAGAACACTCAACTCAGGTCCATAGATGAGATGCAATAGATGATATGAATTACGTGCAATCTCTATTCATGGAAACAACCACATAAGTATAGAACGAGATATCATACCGCCACATCCAAGATTATGCAAATTCAAAAATTTCTTCTGGAACAAAAAAGTATGTCCTCAAATAGTTCCATATCTTCTATATGCCACCAGTGACTTAGACACACTAGTACATGAATGAGATGTATGATGTGGAACTCATGCAATGGATGACTAGCACTAGAAATTTCCTAGATGGTGAGCAGACACAATGTAAGAGACCTATGATTCAAGCTCTGAAGGTTCAGTACTCCTACACAGAGTATTATTAGTCTAACCAGGAAATTAGAGATTAACTTCTGGCTCATTCTCTCTGACACAAGCATCACATATTTTATTCTTCCTTTATTTCAGGCCTAGTTGTGCTAATCCATGTTAAAGCTTTACCAAGTCAAACACCGAATCACATAGCTTCACCTAATTCTCATTAGTTTTGGCTCCTCTTGCACTTGCTAATTCAGCAAACAACATTTTACAGTTTAAGGATAAATCACTAAACTGAAGTGTCATTTAATTTCCAGGGTTTCTAAGATCGACAACAATCATCTTCTTATGACAGTTTAGTCTAAATGATTTGACTAGTTTGAGAGCTGCAACACACGCTAGCTCACACACAATGAAAACTATACTGCTGATGAGAAGCTTTTATCCCAATAATCTCCCTCTAAAATTTTCTTTAGCAATAATGAGTCTGATATGACTTTGTTATGCATGTTTAAAAAAATATATATATTGCTATGTGATTTGACTAGTTTGAGAGCTGCAACACACACCAGCTCACACACAATGAAAATTATATTGCTGATGAGAAGCTTTTATCCCAACACACACCTCCCAGCCAAATTTGTGCAAGATGAAAAATAATAAGAAAAAGCTTTCTCCTTGCTCCAAAACAACCATTTCAGGGAATGGGGGGAAAAAAACCCCAATAACTAGTAACTATGCTCCTGCCATGGCGCACATGGCCGTCCCATTCCCTTTTGCCTCTTACGGCTACTTACACAAGCCAGCAGCTTTTCATTGCCTTTAATCCAAAAATAACCCTTCTTTCGTCACTCCCTTTTACTCCTCCTCCTCCTCCTCCTTCTTCTTCACAACTCACAAGAAACAACAACCCACAGGTCAGAGAAGAATCACAACACACCAGCTACAGAGCTCTGTAATTCATCACCATGAGCTCCTCCAGCCGCGACGACGACGACCACTACGCAGATCTCCATCGTCACGACGGCCACACGAGCAGCGTATCGCCCCGCTTCTTCAAGGTCATCGTTCACGACACCCTCCGCGACAAAAAGCTGGTAATTAATTAATTATGTCACTTGTTGGCCTCAAAGTTCGAACTTAAACTGTGCGCCGGCGGAATCTTGCATCTTGCAGATGCTGCCAAAGAAGTTCACTTCGATACTGAAGCAGGAGACGGGCCGCGACCCGCCCAAGCAAGCGACGCTCGGCCTCCCCAACGGCACGGCGTGGGATATGGAGGTTGTTGTTGCGGTCGACGACGGCGGCGGAGTTTGGCTGCGGAATGGGTTCGCGAGTTTCGCGGAGTACTGCTCTCTGGAGCACGGATGTCTCCTGCTTTTCAAGCACCGCGGGGAGTTTCAGTTCTCCGTGAGGGTTTACGGAAACACGGCCGTGGAGATCCGGTATCCTTCCGATTCGACGGCTGCTTCCCGCAGTTCTGGCGGTGACGGAAAGGATGAGGAGGATTTGTTTTCCGACCTGCCGGAGGAGGATGTTAGTAGCAGTTTTGAGGACGGTGGTCCCGGTGGTGATGATGACGAGGAGGATGAGGACGAGGACAGTGATTACGACTGCTCTGAGGAGAGCTCTCACGGTAAGTTTAATTTCTGTTTCTCTTTTTTCCTCTAGCTTGGTTCCATAGTATGAGAGAATTGAATGAATTAGAGTCACGAGATCGAATTGAAATGGTGGCGCAGGGGATGATGAGTTCGAGGGCACGAGCTGGAGCAACTCAACCGGAAGAAAGAAGAAGAACAACAACAAGAAGAAGAAGCAAACTGCAGCAGCAGCTTCGTCTTCACAACGGCACCGCGGCGAGCCCTCTTCGTATCCGGGCCGCGGCAGGCCACCATCCTCCAACAGCGGCTCGATCGGCGTGCCTCCGTCGTTCACCGCCACCATGACCGAGACTTACATCAGCCTCCGCCAGGCGGTAATTAATTAATTAATTAGTACTCTGTTCCAATCACCACCACACTCTGTTTTTTTTTTGGGTTCTCAATGTAAATTAAATGCGCCATTGTACTCAGTACATACCGCGGGAGTTTTCGGAGAGGTACATGAAGGAGAGCGAGCGCGTGGGGCTGAAGGTCGGGGAGAAAGTGTGGGAGATGAAGCTGACGAAGCTCGGCGGTGAGGAGCGGAAGCGGAAGAACACCAGGATCACGGGCGGATGGACCAGTTTCGCCAGGGACAATAACCTCAGGATCGGTGACGTCTGCTTCTTCCAGCTCTTTGACTCTGCCGGCCATAGTCGGACTCCTCTTGCTCGGCATCACTACTGTCGCCGTCCGTTGCTGCACGTCACCATCCTGAGGAACCCCGGCCACCAGGGCGGCCGCCACCACCACGTCTTCTGATCCAATCTGAGCCATCGCTTCAGGTGTTGGTTGGTTTGTTGGGTCTCGATGGGGATGGAAGCTATAGCTAGTAATCATTAATCAGTGTTCAGTGTTGTTAGTCTTGTGTTTGTTATCAACTATTGGTGTTGTTGCTTGTGATTTGTGAATGTAGGATTGTCTCCTAGATGTGTCGTTTCTATTACCTAACTTTTCGAAAGATTGAAATGTTCTAAATTATAAGAGTTCGTGTGATTTGTGTTCCTAAATTAACTTTGTGTTGACTGATAGAGTTGATATTCAACCACGTCGGCCACCACCAATAGCGAAGCCAACAATCCGAATGATGGGGCTGACTTGAATTGTTGTAATTGAGAGAGGAGGGCTAAAGCCTTACACATTATTATAATTCCTATATTTGTGCAAATTTTACATGTAATTTAATTTATATTTCAAAATTGAAGTGGGGCTAGAGCCTCTCCTAACTTCAACCTAGTTCCACCACTGGCCAGTGACTACCCTTAGATCCTTCGTCCACCTTTAATCCATCTTGACTAGGGGTGGGCATCGATCTGGTCCGATCCAGACAGACCAAACTCAGGAGAACCGCGGTCCAATAGTGAAAAATATCTTAGGACCAAGGACTGGACCAATGATGCATTCGGTCGGTTTGGTCCGGTTCAAATGTTAATTCGGTCTATTTTTCTTCAGTATCTATAAAATTCATGGGACCAAGGACTGGATATATTATATTCGATTTGGTCTGATCCAGTCGAAGCATCGATTCGATTCGATGTGATCCGGTTTGTACCTAGGGGTGGGCAACGGGTACCCATTCCCGTTTGGAGAGTAAATTCCATCCCATGTCCCAAACCCATACGGGTTTACGAGTACCCGTTACCTGTACGGGACGGATAACGGGTACCTAGAATGACAGAGTTCCTACAAACACTTACAAACAACACCAAGTTTCTATTAACCTTCATCACAATGGCAAATCTGGAATTCACAGACACCATTCGGCTAAACCGGAGGGAGAGTTGTCGCAGTTCAATTATCAAAACAAAGATATTAAAAAAGCTAGCTTCGTTGAAGACCAATTCGTAACAAATTACCCCTACCATTTTAGATAATTATTATCTCAACTAATCATGAAAAGGGAAAGATAGAAACCTACTGTGGAATTAAGTTTCTCGCCACTAACCTGAACTAAAGCCGCCACCAGCAGCATGCCGAATGGCAGAGGGCAGGGGAGAGAGCTGGGCTGAATGGCTGGGCATGGAGTTGGGCTCGGACCTCGGATTGGGCTAGAGTTGGGGAATGGGGTTGGGCTATGGGCGGGTAGTACGGGTACCCGTAATAACCAAACGGGTATTAACGGGTAACCCGCGGGTACCCATTGTAAAATTTATGATCCCAAATTCCATCCCGTAAAAAAAATTACAGGTATTTGGGTACCCATAACCCTAAAAAAAGTGACGAGTATGAGTATACCCAAATACCCGTTTTCCGTTGCCCACCCCTATTTATACCAACCCATTGGCCACCCCTAATCTTGACAGTTGCTTCCTACAATACTTTATTCATGACTAAATGACACGTTTGATCTTTAGATTTACTGTTTTGTTTCACATTTATCACTAAAAATTATAATAGCATTTACAATCACTAACTTTACATTTTTTTTTCACTATTAGCCACTCTTCATACCACTTTTGTCTTATATGCAACTGTCAGTCTGTCTGCTCCTACCAGATCACTCATTTTCCATGCCCAACATTGAAGCCCAAACTCGTGAACCCAAGTTCGAGTAACGGCCCACCAGAAACATCAACTGGAGACCCCACCCAAATCTTGTGCCGTACCGAACCCGAGGAGGAACCAAAACTGAAGAAATCCTACTTGTCGCTTCAACTTCTTCCTAGTCCCTCACTCTCTCTCATACGATCCCGGTCAGTCCGCCAGCGGCGGAGAGAGATTCTGGCCCGGCGGATTAAGACCCTCTTCCCACCTACCGAGAAACCCTCTTCCCGTTCCGCAATTGACCGTAGATGCCATCATGACGGCTTCAGCCTGGCCGTGGACGGCGCAACGCAAAACAACACCAGAGGGCATTAAAAGCTATACACCTCCCCCTGGTGAGCATCTCTTCTTCTTCTCCTCCTCCTCTCCGCTTTCCCGCTTGCTAGACACACAACGGTTTGCTTGTTCGTTTCTTGTTCCAATAGCGAACCGATTGTCGAATTCTGCTAGAAACCCTTTTGGTCAATTTCCCAATTCAGTTGGTTTCTTGTTATTTACGAATTAGACCATGTTGAATTTCGTTTGCCTCTGTTCTGTAATGTCTGCAATGTGGTCACCGATTTTGGACGGATGCATAATGATTCTGTACGAATATGGTCAATTGGGATGGATCAAGACTGCACTATTTGAGCTTAAAAGTTTCGCCCAAGTTCTCCTTGAGAAATGGGAATCTCTCTATGGGCTAGGATCACTCTGGTTTCCCTTTTTTTAGCTCCCCTTCTTCATTTTTCCATGGTTTAGCTGGATTGTAACAGCATTGACATTGGTTCTGGGTTCTTTTCCCTTTTTTATTTTATGCCTTGCTTGTCTGTTGATTTCAGGGTTGTACAAAAAGGTATTTGACGAAGTTCCAAAGAGCAATGCTGAAGTGGGCATTAGAGGCTGTAGCCTTTCCCCTGGTAATGCTTCTGTCTCTTCCTCCCTCCTCCCTTCTCTCATGCTTGCAATGCGTCAATGGCTGTCACTTTCTTCTTTGAAGAGAAAAAGGGAGAAAACCCATCCGCTTCCATTTCATAGAGTCAGCAATTTGTTTCTCCGGGGCTATAGTTAGAGGCTTTCTCTTTTCTTCTTAGCCTTTGTGTGGGTTAGTGTACAGCTAAAAGTTTCAAATTTTGTGCAAGATTGGAGTTTCAAACAGTTCAAATGTTTTTATCGATTTCAGGAGTGTACAAGAAGGTGCTTGACCAGATCTCTGGGGCTGATGGGAAAGAGAAGGGAAAATATTTTCAATGGACAAGTGAAATGGACCGATGCCTCGTTAGAACACTTATTAAGGAAATTAAGAATGGGAACAGAAAAGACGGTGTGTTTAGGGCTGTGTCTTATCGTATTGCCGTCGAAACCATAAATCAAGTGTTTGGGCTTGATTTGGCTAGAGACAATGTCAAAAATAGGTTGAGAACTCTGAAGCGATTATATGGAATTTTGAAACAACTCCTTGCTAATGAAGGATTTGAGTGGGATAAAGAAAATAAGATGGTGATTGCTGAAGACTTGGCGTGGAATGACTATCTCAAGGTACATATTTTAGAATGTTCTGCATTTGAGTATTTGATTGGATAAATTAGTTTTATTTCCTTTTCATCTCATTTTTCCTTTGCCAGGATCATCCCGATGCTAGGCAGTTTCGAGCAAAGGTATTCGAAAATTATGATGAGTTATGCATTATTTTCGGGAATGAAGAACAAGAATTACTGGAAACTTGGAATATGATTTGCAAGAGTGTGGACTCTATAGATAGGGCAGAGTTGGATTCTGCCTCAACATCAGATTCTCAGAGTGATGACTTTTACGATACTCTAAGTTGGACAAAGGATATGGATAATTTCCTAGGTGATTTTCTAGCGGAGAAAGTCAGAAATTCTAGTAAACCTGTTAATATCTTATGTCCTGAAATATATGACATTCTGGCTTCTGCATTGAAAGAAAAGTTCGGGCTTGTAGTAACAGACGAACATATTAAAAAGCGAGTTACAAGTTGGAAGAAGATGTATGACATGTTGAAGGAACTTCTTTCTCATCCCGGATTCAAATGGGATGCATCAAGGACGATAGTCATGGCAGATGATTCAGCTTGGAGTGAATATCTCGAGGTATGCATCTCGAGTATTTCTATTGCGAAACATGTTCATTTGTTTTTGTAATTCATTTCTAATGTCAGCTACAAAATCATGAGATTAGGCATGCTTTATATTGTAAAAAAGATAATTCCTATGACGAAGAGCCTAACCTAATAGTTTGTGCTATTTCAAGTAAGTCCTCGACATGTTTAGTCCAGTTGGAAGTAACTTTAACTATGGGAGACGTTTGTTTCAATGACCTTCAAATATCCAGCTCGGATAAAGATTAAAGACAAAGACCTTAATGTCCTAAGATGTTATTCACGATACAACCCTGCTCCTAATATATAAGTTGACTTCATTTCCTGGCTTATTTATTGCTCTGCTCTCAGTTTAAGTGAATTTTAGTAGTGTTCTTGTGCGCCCTTTTTATTTCCATCTTGTCAGATGATATACTCTTAAATCCTTAGTGAGAAAATGGTGGGAAATAGGCACTGCTTCTATGTCACCAACCTAGTTCAGTAGTTTGCATTTAAAAGTAGGATTGCTTTATTTTCACTTTGTTTGCCTTCTTCAAGATGCTTCATTAGTTAGATGGAGACCAGTTTGATAATGCTAGCTTCCAATTTCCATGCAGTCAGAGTGAATTCTTAACCCCCCATCTTGCTCCATCTTCTGTTTAATCCGCAGATTTGCCCAGAGGCTAGCATTTTCCGTGCCAAAGTCATTGACAACTACAATCAGTTATCTCTTATCTTTGATAATGTTAGTGGGACAACATGTGTTGTTGATGCCTCAAATATAGTGGACAGTAGCAAGACGAAAGAAAAAGTGAACCATATGTGGACATCTGAAATGGACAGATACCTCGGTACTGTCTTGATGGAACAAATACGAGCTGGCCATAAATTGGAAAACAAACTGAAGCCTGGAGCATATTTAGCAGCTACATCTGCAATGAATAGAAGATTTGAACTCAGGTTGACGAAGGATAATGTTAAAAACCGTCTTAAAATATGGAAGAAACACTACAACATTTTAATGGAGATCCTAGAAAATGACGACTTTGAATGGGATGAAGCTGCAAAGGTGGTGGTTGCAAAAAATAACCTGGCTTGGAATCACTATATCGAGGTAAAAAAGAAAACGCCCTGATAAATTATGTGTGTTTCTATCTTTCAGCTTATATTTGTTCATCCTTGTGCTGATTTTCTTACAGAGAAACCCAGAAGCTCGCCAATTTCGAGGCCGCGTCATCAATAACTACAATGAATTGCGTGTTATAATTGGCCATGAAGATCCTCCACCATTTTCTGGTGATGAAGGTGCCGGGGATGCATTTCAAAGTTCAAATGACAAAGGAAGTTACTTTGTGTGGACTGAAGAGATGGATCGCTGCTTAATGGAGCTGCTGTTAGAGCAAGTGCTGCTGGGAAACAAAGTCGAAAACAACTTCAAGACCGGAGTGTATAGCCTAGCTCTAGATGCAATAAACAAGAAGTTTGGACTGGAGTTGACAAAGAACCATGTCAGAAACCGCTTGAGGACATTGAAGAAACAGTATGGACTAGTGAAGGAACTCCTCTCTCATGCTGGATTTGAGTGGGATGATAGACTCAACATGGTTGTGGCTAGTGACGAGCAGTGGAATGACTATATCAAGGTATAACCATTCTCTTGACTTCTGCGTATTTATTTTTAAGGAGGCCAGTAATACAATTCTTATGTCAGTTGAGTAATAGAAAAAGTAATTAATGGGATAGTAGATTGTTTAATAATAAAGAAATGACTGAGTTTGGGGTTAGACAAACAAACACACCCTACCTTAGCATCGTTGTTCTGTTTCAAAGCTTGATTGTTTGAGTTCCTCTAGTAACTTTACTTCCCACCTGTATTTGGGGTTTTCAGGAAAACCCGGATGCTAGGCAGCTACGTGCAAAGCCGTTCGACAACTTCAATATGCTACGCTGTATCATGGAGCCAACGCCATGTGATAATAACAGGCCCGAAAATGTTGCCAACATTGTCTTAAATCCAACCCCATATCAAGAATATCACGAAATGGAACTTGGTGCATCCCCTGTCGAAGATTTGGAAGGAATGAACCATGATGATAACAACAACGGCACTGGTGATGATGATGATGATAACCTACACAACTCGTCATCATCGACACAGTCCAGGCCACCATCATCCCAGAACCTGAAGAAGAGGAGACGGCGTGCCAACGCTGATGATGTTATGATCGACATAATGAGCGTCATTGCTACCAATGTGGGCAAGATTGCTGATGCACTGGCTGCTGAGAAGACCAACAGTGTGGACCTGGATGAATTGTTTGAGATGATCAGAGTTATACCGGAATTTGACGATGACCTTGTGATTGATGCTTGTGAGTATCTTTCCTGTGATGATAAGAAGGCTAAGATGTTCATGAAGCTGGATGATAGACTGAGAAGGAAGTGGTTGTTGAAGAGGTTACGTAGTGGTGATGGTGGTGAAAACAGCAACTGAAGAACTCTTGAGAATAATAGTCCATTAGTTGAGGAAGCTAAGCCAAAACTGAATGGCTTTTCCTGTGTATGATTGTCTAGAAGACACAGTCACCGTCTCTCATTGTTATCATTCTTGTGTCTGAAAAAGTTATGATGTGTTTAGTCAAAACCATGCACTTTGCTGTAACTCATTCCTCATTTGGGCAAATTCTGTACAGCTTTTTATGATTCTTCTCTCTCGTGCAAGGTGGCATGGTATGTTGAGTTTTGTTTTTCCTTTTTCGATTTGAGGCCTTCAATATTGAGTTGATCCAAATATTTAAGGCCAATACTATAGTGTCGCGATTAAAAGTACGGCACCGGTGCCGCTCTATTTAATTGGTTCACGTGGCAATTCATGTAGCTTGATTATTTTCTTAAAACCCAACCCAAAACCCATTCCTCATCAACCGCACAGTCAACCCAGGAAGAAAGGAAACTACCTGCATCCCATTTATTTTTATTGCGAATTCCTTTTCTCTTTTATGGAATCATTTTTTGTTTTTATCCCTTTAAATTTCTTTTGAGTGATTAATTATTTTGTTTTTATTCAGAAAATTAAAAAAGGACGCAAATCTCCAAACAACCTCGTCTTCTTCGGACCATGCAGGTGAATCACAGGGGGGAAAAATGCAAGCGAGCCTCCCTCAACGGTCCCTAACTAGTTCTTCTTCGGCTTTCAACTTAATCAGGCAAATCAGTATTACTCCCTCAGCACCGCCTGCAATTTTCCTTTGGGTTTAAATCTGGGATTTCTCAATTGACGGCCGACGGCTACAAAGGGAGATCAGAGGAAGGGGATAAGATGTAAACCCAAATCTCACTTGCTAGCGATAGATGCAAGCGCGATGACATCGAATGGAAGGGGAAGGGAGAAGATAAATCCAACTTCATTTGATCCCATCCAAATAGGAAAAAGAAACAGACACGATTGATTCACTATTTAAGTGTGATTCAGGCTTACCCATGAGGTCGATTGAGGGCAAAACCAGAGAAAGAAGCAGAAAAATGAGTAGCGAGAGGTATGATTCTAAGAGGAAGACATTAATGGAACTAAAAGGAGTAATCAAACAGGTTGTATAGGAGATGGATCGGCGGCAGAGAAATTTGTCGGACGTTTTGCTGCTGTAATAGTCCGATGTAGGTGGAGTGCGAAGAAGACAACCAGATTGTAACCGGGATTGAGTCGTTTTTTTATGAAAAAACAAAATCACTAATTTAATTAAAAGAATTGGAAAGGAATTAAGAAAAAGTATTTATGGCAAAAGAAGAAGCCACGACAACGAGAGATAGAAAAGGAAAATCGGGTTCGGTTGATGGCCACGGTTTTGGGTTGGGAATCAACCACTACTGCCACGTGACGTTATCCTTGCCACGTGGACCAATTAAATGCAGCATTATCGGTGCCGCACTTTTGATAGCGGCACAATTGGCCAATATTTAATAATGTTGGTTTGGGTTGGATTCAATTTTGGCCCAGCCCACTGATTAATCGGGCCAGGCACAGGCAGGTAGCCGGCCGGCCACCCCGGAATTTGAAGCCAACCAGTAATCTCGCGCTCTGCGCTCCCCGCCACTTCCGACGGAACTACAACAGAGTCGGGTAAACGCCGCCAAATCCTATGCTACAGTCATCTTCTTCTCCCCTCGGCCTGGCTTCTGCTACAAATCGCCGTCGACTCATCTACTTGCGACGCTGTATCAATCTCCCTTTTCAAACCCAACGAATCACAACATTCTTCCACCGTTATTCCTCTTCCGCAGCCTCTACAACGCCTAGAGCAGCCGGTCGCTGTGATATTCTTGGGACCCTCGTCTCCAATGCCAGTTCTCTTAGCCAAACCCAACAGTGCCACGCCTTTGCTCTCCTCAACGGCTTTCTCCCTCGGCATTTTTCCCTCACCACTTCTCTCATCCTCCGGTATGCTGCTTTGCGCCCCTGCCCGGCGACGACGTTTCGTCGTCTGTTCGAGGAAGCTCTTCCGTTTTCTTTCTCTGCCTTCTTGTGGAACACCCTCATCAGGGCTCAGTCGGTTGCCCGAGTGAGAGATGATTTCGAAGTTTATAATCGGATGGTGAGAAGCGGGGTTAGACCCGATGATTACACATTCCCTTTCGTCCTCAAGGCGTGCGCGGATAGCGGGAGTGTGGAGAAGGGTCTGGAGGTTCATGGAGCCGTATTTAAATGTGGGTTTGATTGGGATGTGTTTGTTGGGAATACCCTTTTGCTGTTTTATGGGGATTGTGTAGATGTGAGGGACGCTGGGAAGGTGTTTGATGAAATGCTTGAGAGAGACGTCGTGTCTTGGAATACCGCTATTGGCGTGTTCTCTGTCGGTGGGTTTTATGAGGAGGCTTTCGATTTGTTTCTGAAGATGAATTTGATTTCGGGACTTATGCCCAACGTTGCCACTCTTGTCACTGTGTTGCCTGTTTGTGCTGGACTTGGGGATGAGGTAACGACAATGCAGATTCATTGTTATACTGTCAAGGTTGGGCTGGATTCTCAAGTTACCGTAGGAAATTCTCTGGTAGATGGTTATGGGAAATGTGGGGAGTTAGAGGCTTCAAGGAGAGTTTTTGATGAAATGGTGGAGAAGAATGAGGTTTCCTGGAATGCTGTCATTGCAAGTCTTACTTATTCGGGTCATAGTACTAATGCATTGAACACGTTTAAATCGATGATCGACAATCATATGAAGCCAAATTCTGTCACCATCTCTAGCATAATGCCAGTTTTGGTTGAGCTGAGAAATTTGGACTTCGGGAGGGAAATCCATGGGTTTAGTGTAAGACATGGTATTGACTCAGATATTTTTGTTTCCAACTCATTGATTGACATGTATGCCAAATCAGGGCAATCGACTAAAGCATCCAATGTATTCCACCAAATGCGTGAAAAGAATGTGGTTTCTTGGAATGCATTGATTGCCAATTTAGCCCAGAATAGGCAGCAATTAGCTGCAATACAGTTGGTTAGACAAATGCATTTTGCAGGAGAAATTGGCAATTCAGTGACTTTCACCAACGTTCTCCCTGCTTGCGGAAGATTGAGATTACTTGATGCTGGAAGAGAGATCCATGCAAGGACCATTCGCATGGGATGCTACTTTGATATTTTTGTCTCCAATGCTTTGACAGACATTTATGCAAAATGTGGTTGCTTACACCTTGCTCAAACTGTATTCAACACCAGTCTTAGAGATGATGTATCTCATAACATCCTAATTATAGGCTACTCCCAAACAAGTGAGTGCTCAAAATCACTTGATTTATTCAAGGAGATGGCACATGCAGGTTTGAAACATGACGTCATCTCGTACGTAGGTGCTATTTCAGCTTGTGCCAATCTACCTGCACTAGATATTGGGAAGCAGATACATGGGTTTGTAGTGAGGCAGTATATGAACCCACATCTTTTCATCTGTAATGCCCTGCTGGATTTCTACACCAAATGTGGGAAGATTGATATTGCAGACAAGGTATTCAGTGGAATCTCAAACAAAGATGCGGCCTCCTGGAATACTATGATCCTAGGAAGAGGAATGCTAGGTGAACTGGATATAGCCTTTGATCTCTTCAGAGCAATGAAAGAAGATGGTGTGCAATATGATTCAGTCTCATATCTTGCTGTCTTATCAGCTTGTAGTCATGGAGGTCTGGTTGCCGAGGGAAAGGCCTACTTTGATGAAATGGTGTCTCAGAACATCAAACCGACACAAATGCACTATGCGTGTATGGTGGATCTCCTTGGCCGGGCTGCACTAATTGATGAAGCAGCTAAATTTGTAGAAAGCATGCCAGAGGAGCCAGATGCAAACGTGTGGGGTTCTTTGCTTGGTGCATGCAGGCTCCATGGGAATATGGAGTTGGCATGCTGGGCAGCTGACCATTTGTTCAAGCTGAAACCCACACACTCCGGGTACTACGCGATGCTTTCAAACATATATGCAGAAGCTGGGAAATGGGATGAGGCGAACTCGGTGAGGAAGCTTATGAAGTTAAATAAGGCAACTAAAACTCCTGGGTTCAGTTGGGTTCACATTGATGACCAAGTTCATGCTTTCATTGCTGGAGACAGACTACAGCAATTTGATTCACGTGTTTGTCAACGTGAGTTCTAAATGGTGCGGTGAAGCATAAAAGAATTCGAAATCATATATGCCCTGGAAAATACAAGTAGCTTTCCCTGAAAGAAGAAAAGCATTCGTTTTGCAACAGAAAGGATTACAACTAAAAGGAAACGGGAAATGACACACAATCAGGGAGCCGCAGGGCCTCAAACAAACTACTTCAGGATCGTGCTGCTACCTCAGGTACCCTCAAGTCTTCTGAAGTTGCAAAACAAAATAGTCAAAATGATGAAATTCAGTTTGTTTGGCCATAAGGAAGAAAGAAGATAATTTCTTCGAAAATTTAGCTGAATGTTATGCCTTCATGTTGTAAAACTTGTCCCAGAAGGAAGAGAATCTCGGTAAGAAAACCGTTAAACCAGTGTAAGCAATGGAGATGACACAATGTATTATTTGCCTGACAATGCGGGAAAACAATTACACACATATTTGCCTAGTGTCTATATGCATGAACCCTAGACCGACTATCTGTATTTATATGTTGAACAAACAGTTGACAGGATCACTAGAAGAAGCTGTTGTAAGAGATGCGGTGGATCGTTGTCAGAGATGGTTCAGCTTCTGCTGGAACGCATCCCCTTTCTGCTTGCCGGCTGAGGATGCATTTTTATTTATCTTGTGCTCCTCAAGGCATAGCACAGTGTATGTAGCTCACTTGCTTTAGAGATTGCTCTTTCATCCATTAACCATCTGCAGAGAATTGAATGCAGGTGTACAAAATCTGTGCATTCAAGTTATGTTCGACAGATGGAAGATTCATTCTAAACATACTTCAAGAATCCTTTAATTATGATGATTTTGCATCAGGTCATGCATCGTGCAAGACCGTGAACCAAACTATATGATGCTGATGAACGATGATGAAGACTTGGAGAGGTCTCCACATTTCAGACCTTCCAAGAAATCGTGTGAATTCAAAGCATTCAATAATGCCTTCTACATTTGTGATGTACAAAGCACAAGCCATGCACAGTGGATGGTTTGCTGTCTGTATGAATGATGGAATCCAAGGAGTTGAAAGTATGGGTTTAATCGTGTTCAGCAAAGATCAGTTCCAATTTCAAGGGAGCACAGCAAGGCCTCGTCTGGTGGGATTTGTAAATAGGTGGGTTTAGGTAACAAAGAGATTTGGGAATAGGTGAGATTTAGGGTTGAATGATTGTAAAACGGTATTGGATGTTGTAACGGTAAATTCAGTAGTAGGGTATTTTATATAGAAATTGTGATTTAATCGTGGTTTTATCCGTACATACTGTTAAATATTGCCTATCGGTTTAGACTATGATAGGAGGTTTTTTCGACCAAATAGCTGACACGATTTCACCTACCTTGGAGTGTTTATTGTGAGATTTATTCGAGTATGAAATTTACTAGTGTATTCGTACTTTTCTAATTGGGGTTGATATATGTACTATGTAGCATTGTATAAGATTTTATGGTATGAAATAGTTGAACTACTATTAAATTACAGTTTAAGTATATAATATAATGTCATATCATTTAGTTGTCCGGTGTAATTTTATATACGATCTTACATTTCTTGCTAATTTGATGAGAAAAAAATGGATGAAAACTAACGGAATGACTGATTCGGTAATTATTATTGCAAATAAAATCTACTGTCCTGATCAAAAATAAAATATAAGGACCATTTTGTGGTAACCCTAAGACATTAGTGCGCAGTAAAGCAATTAACCCTATTGTCTTCCCTCTCTTTCATCTCTGCAGCGACCAGCGAGCTAAGCCAACAGAGCACAGTAGAAAACACTCCCATAGCCCGTTCTGCTGGGTATCCGAAACCTCACCGGCGAAGATCGAGATCCGACCGGTTTATTTTATCTCCGGTCCGGCTACCCTCTCGATAGTTACGAAATGTCAATCTCCTCCATTTGCTTCTCTCTCAGCAAACCCTAAGCCCCTGACCAGATAATAATGCCCAAAATGGCGAGCCCTCTCAAAAGGAACTTCTTCCCTCTCCTCCTCTTCTCCCTCTTCGTTCTTTCCTTCTTCCTCTTCTTCTCTCACTCTCCTTCCTCCAATCCAGCCATCTCCTCTCCAATCGTAGACTCCAGCAAAAATCTCAGTCCCCAACTCGCTCCAAACTTCAGCTTCCTCATCAAAGTTCTCGCATACAATCGCCTGCAATCCGTCTCCCGCTGTCTCCGATCCCTAGCCGCCGCTGATTACGGCGGAGACACGGTCCATCTTCATGTCTACGTCGACCATTTCGTCGCCGGGAACGATTCGGCGGATGTTCTGGATCGGAAGCTGGACGAGTCGCGCCAGATTCTGGAGTTCGTGGATGGGTTCGTATGGAATTTCGGGAACAAGATCGTGCATTACCGGACCGGGAACGTGGGTCTTCAGGCGCAGTGGTTGGAGGCGTGGTGGCCGAGCTCCGATGACGAGTTTGCTTTCATTGTGGAGGACGATTTGGAGGTTGCTCCCGTGTTCTATAAGTTTGTCCGAGCTGTGATCCTCAATTACCGCTACAATAGCTCCAATTTCAGTCCTTCGATCTTTGGTGTCACCCTCCAGCGCCCAAGGTTTGTTCCAGGTACCCGGATCTTGTGTTTCCTAAAGTTCTTACCTTTGCTTATGCTTTCTGCTTGAATCCATGGTTTGATAGTGAGCAAGTCCAAGATCTTGGTTTTACTAGGCTCCTTGGAAGGAAGAGATAGGATTTTGAGGCTCTTCCATTGTTGATCTCAGTTGCTGCATTTCTGGTTTGTAAATCTGTGCACTTTGGTAACCAGGTAAACATGGCAACAAGATAGTATTGGACGAGGGAACCAGGCTGTTCTTGTACCAGATAGTTGGGACTTGGGGACAGATCCTATTTCCCAAGCCATGGAAAGAGTTCAGGTTGTGGTATGATGATCACAAGGTGAAGGGCATCAAACCGTATCTCGACGGAATGGTAAGTGCTGCAGCACACCTTTATTCCAAGAGTTGTTAGTTTTCTTGTTCCTTGGACTTGTTAGCTGACAACAGTCTGCTGCTATCTACAATGAAGGTAACAAATGGATGGTACAAAAAGATAGGAGAGAGAATTTGGACTCCTTGGTTCATCAAATTTGTACACTCTAGAGGCTATTTCAACATCTACACCAATTTTGGACATGAGAGAGCGCTCAGTGTATCTCACAGGGATACCGGTGTCAACTATGGGAAATCTGCTGGTCCAGACTCTCAATTACTGAATGAAAAAAGTTCTCTCGACTTGCTAGAAGTGCAACCCTTGAGTAACTTGAAATGGTATGATTTCTGTTTTAGGGAAGTTCTGCCTGGAAGAATTGTCAGGAATGTGGATGAACTTGGCCCTGTTTTTCTTCAATCTGTGCAGAAACACAATACTGTTATGCTCGTGAGCATAGTATGGGCATCAGATTCAATAGCAAGAAACCTGCTCTGCCATTTTGAGAGGTTAAACATTCAGAACTATGTCCTGGTGGGCCTTTCATCTGATTACTTGTTCGATCTTGCTAGAAGAGGGCATCCGGTGATTGTTGCTGATGAGCTTGGCAAGAATATGAGAGACCATAAATTGGTAAATTCCCAAGACAACATCCTTCTGGTCAAGGCTTATCTCATGAAGAAGTGTTTGGAGCATGGACTAAACGTATGGACAGTGGATGCAAACGTGCTTTTTGTCAATGACGACATATTTCATCCCGAGTTCACAGATTCAACAAACGATTTCTTTGCCAGTAAAGCACTGGATCTCTTCTTTGCTAGAAGCTCTTCTTCAGCTAAGAAGGTCGTTTCTGGTGATGGTTTCCTTGCCAAGGTAGCTACTTATATCAACCGAGTCGAGCCAGAGAACAGCAGCAACATTGCTCAAGTACTTGCGAAGTTGTTAAACCAGAATGGTATCGCTGTTAAGACGATTGCTGATTCTTCAGTGGGGACGAAGATAGATGATAGAGATCATGTCACCAGCGAAGCCCTCTCCGGTAAGAAGATGGTTTACTGGTCGAGGGAGATGAGCTCGGAATTGATAAGGAAACGACTGGAAGAACTAAGCATGTGGGCTGTAGATGGAGCAGACTCTTCTTGCAAGGCTGTGGTTTGCCATCAGCAATCATAGCATTTTGGTCGGAGGAAAATCATTTGAGCATGTTTCGATTTGTACTTGTGATCTTTTGCTGTAGAAGTATGGAGTCGATATGTTTTGTTACCAACGCTTTTTCACATTATCAAATGGTGGCGACACTTGAGCTTTTTCAATCTACTCAACTTCTGTTGCAGTTAGCAGATCTTTTCAATTTGGATGCATAACTACCAATGTTTTAGAAAAAGTATCCTCCCGCGGTCGGATTGGAAAAACATCAGATGTCGGATTCCAAACGGTAATTGGTTTAACATACGAAACAATTGAATTACTGTTAGATCTAATTCTTAGTACAAAATAATCTATTAATTTTTCGATACAACCTCTAATACGATTTCACAAAATCATGTTTTGACTTGCCGACCAAGGGCAATCCAGAAATTCCCACCAACGGACGACCATCAATATCAACCGAGAACAAAAACAGCACAAACAAACAACATCGACATCCAACGGCCATTGTCCGGATCTCTCTCCCCGTTTCAGACTCAACAATTCCAGGTCCCACCATTGGAGAGGTTTCCCCTGTCTTTTATTGAAACTTTTTAACAGAAAAAAGACCATTTATATTAGCTTGATGATGATCTCCTGCTGATAATAACAGTGCTCTCTCTCTCTAACCACCCACTGACAAAGTCTCACCCAATATAAAACATTACTACTGAATGAACTTCGTCTGTAATCAATTAAACTTAAGAGAGTTATGAATTAAGAGACCCGTTTGATTAGCACTTAGCAGCCGGGGACGGCTTCGCTTCTTCTTTGTCTGCTGCGTTCCTTTTTTATAGCCATTTCCTGGTCCATCCTTTCTTCTCCACTGTTCACCTTTTCTTTTGCTTTGTTTTCCTTTTGGTAAAGCAACGACAGTCCACTGCATAATCTTCTATTGCTCTTCTTCTCTTCCTCATCCTTCTTCCGTTTAAAGTTTTCCAATTTGATAATTGCATTTTTCCTTTCCCTTTCCCTGCACTCAAATTTCCTGTTCCCTCACCTAATTCTCTGTTCCGGTTATAGCCTTTTTCCTCTCCGTTGCCCATTTCTTTCTTTCTTTCTCCCATTCCAGGAATCTCAACAACTGTTCTCTAGCTCGCTTTCCTTTTGCATCTGTCTGTCTTTCATGATCTGGGTAAGTTCCAAGTTTCGCCTTTTTGTCTTCATTTATCACTACCCTGCGAGATACGAGCTCTGGGATGTTTTAGGGTTTAGGGTTCCAGCTCTCTAATCTGTGTTCTCACGATCTGTTTGATGGGTTCTATCGCTTGTTTATCTCCTGCCTTTCAACTGTTTGCTAGCTAGAGCTGTTTCTTTTGATTTTTCATGTTATTACCGAGCGGATGCGGACTATTTCCGGGTTTCAGGGGTTCGAAAAGCTTCCTTCTTTACTCTGTTTCTGCATAATTTAAGCGAAAATTGACAAAACCCTTGAACAATTTATTCGTATTTTTGTTTATTTTTCCGTCAAATTTTACTGTGTGGGTGGGTGTATGAGGTAATCGCCGTTTGGTAAACGCTGACCCACATTGAGCTGTTGTAGTTAGTTGACGAGTCGCTTTTGCAATGATTCTTCCTCAAGTTTCTTATTTTATTTGTGTGTAGAAATCTCAAGCAAGAACCCCACTTTTTGATATTGTCAAAAGAAGCAACAGAGCAGGTGAATACTGAGAGAGAGAGAGAGAGTGGGGGAAATGACGAGGGTCGGCCGCGATTACAGAGACACTATGCCGAAAGATGCGGTGCCGGCTGTATCGGCCGATGTGATGTTTGCTTCCAGTCGATTCCCAAACTATAAGGTTGGAGGCAACAATCAGATCATTGATGCGAAAGATGACCCTAAAGTGATGTCCATGAAGGAAGCTGTGGCCCGGGAGACAGCTCAGCTGCTGGATCAGCAGAAGCGACTCTCTGTTCGTGATCTCGCCAATAAATTTGAGAAGGGCTTGGCTGCTGCTGCTAAATTGTCTGAAGAGGTGAAAATTTCTTCCATTTTATTTTTGCCCTTGGTGCTTTTGGTTGTTTTGTTGTTCTAATCCTGAAGGCGTGACCACATGACAGCTCTGTATGATCTATTCAGCTGTTCCTAAGTATATTTCTAATTTCGGTCTGTTCATTTGGTTTCATCTGTGTGTTGAATTATGGATGTTACAGGCTAGATTGAGGGAGGCAGCCTCACTGGAGAAACATGTGCTTTTGAAGAAGCTGAGAGATGCTTTAGAGGCCTTAAGAGGGCGTGTGGCGGGTAGAAACAAGGACGACGTGGAGGATGCTATTGCAATGGTGAGTTTTCATCTCATTACTATTTAGATGGCTATGCTTTTTGTGCATTTCTGTGCGCTATTGAGTCAATATAATCCTTTGCTCATGCTTCTGCTCGGTGTAATAGCTGGGTGTCTTTGTTACATTCCCCCCGTATTTTCTTTTAACCCTTGAGAATAAGCATTACGATGAACTAAACAACTGGCATCTAGCAAGAAGGAACCTGGGTTGACAAGACATGTATCTGTTAGCTGCATTTTGCAAGCTTCTGGAACTAGTGGGGGTTTTGAGTTTTAATGTCTCGGAGAAGTTATTGCTTGTTTGTAAGTGTTTCTGGAGTGATTTTGAGGTCCTTCCAAGTGTCATGTTCAGATGCTTATGGATTCTAGATGTCTAGCTGAACAGGGAAGTCCGTGTTACTTTGAGTGATATCAAGTTCCATTCTCTACACATTTCTTATCTTTTTGAAAGGATAGAAACCATCAACAAGTGTAGCTACTTTTAGCTGACGCTATGTTTGAAATGGCAAGAGACTGGGTTCTGTGAAACAATTTCTGGAGCTTAGCACATCACTTATAAGGCTCAGGGTAGAAATGGCAAGTAAGTTGTAGATTGCTAACAAACAAATTTTTTTAGTTGAAGACCAGAAAAATCTTTAAATAGAAACACCAGGTTTCTTTAGTTTCTATTGGCGTCTTTTAGATGATGACTCTCAGCTGCTTGATAGTTAAATTAGGTATACCGTATAAATGTTCCTTGGATTGCAGGATATCTCCTCATAACACAACAGCTGAGCTGATTAAGCAGTGATATTGGCTACTAGATGGTTAGCTTTGATTAAGAAGGGCAAAATGGTTAGTGTTGATTACGAAGTGCTACTGGCTAAGTTGCAAAATGGTTAGTTTTGATTAAGAACTGCTATTCGCTTGATGGTAATGCTACTAGATGAGCTCTCAAGTTCTCGCTTCTGAGGATGGTTGCTAAAACTTTTTGTTCACTTCAGTCATCTTTCTGTTATCTTCTTACAGGTGGAAGCTCTAGCTGTTCAGCTAACTGAAAGGGAGGGAGAGTTGATTCAAGAAAAGGCTGAAGTGAAGAAGTTGGCTAATTTCCTGAAGCAGGTTTGTATTATTCAAGAAAAGATAGCTGAAAGTCTTATGCTTACATTGTACCTTTTATTCTCGGTGGCTTCTATGTGGGGAAACTGTCAGGAACGAGACTGGCCTGTTCCTTTGTGTTATTATCTTTGTGCAAGCTCATATTATGTACCGTGAAGGTTAGGTGTTCAACAAGCATAACCTGGTGGCTTGTATTTGTAAACCAAACCAAACTACTCCGATTCATGAATTTTAAAGTTAGAATCTAGTTCGTTCTGACTCTGTCCTTCACTTGCTTTAACTCCCTTTCTTTTTCGTTCCTCAAAATTTCTTGTCTCTTTCTTGTCACCTTCAGTCAAAGGTAGGAACTACACGAAAGATTGTTGCAGAAAGAAAAACAATTTTTGTCTGTAGCTGGGGTCCCTTTCCATTTAGTTTAATCTATAATTTTGCTATAGTCGCACCATTTTTTGCAATGAGAAGTTCCTTGTTCAGCATAGGCAGGGACACTGGATCCAGCAACTGTGATTGCTTTTAACTTGATCCTTGTTATACTGCTCTGGAGAGTTTGGTAGATTGTTACTTCTTCTAAAGTACACGATGTCAGAACTTCTGCTGGACCATTCTGCACATCTTGTAGGGTCCTCTATCAGGCCGTGTAGCTTGGAAATGGTTGCAGGTAGACTCTTGAACCAATAAAATTCATCTATATCCTTTTGCAGGCTTCCCAAGATGCCAAGAGGCTTGTAGATGAGGAAAGAGCTTTTGCTCGAGCAGAAATTGACAGTGCGAGAGCTGCGGTCCAGAGGGTTGAACAAGCCCTTCAAGAACATGAACGGACATCTAAAACGCCAGGGAAACAGGTCTGTCTTTTAAAAAAAAAAAAAAAAAAACTTAGGAGTAACTGGCTTGTATAATATTGTGAATATAAATGCTTTAAGGACTATTACTATGAGTAATTGGTCTTGAAACGGGTACCATGTATCCCTGATGAAACTTATATCTTGATCCAAATTTCCTTTGCTTTTATCTGATTGACAGACATAGCTAATAATGGAAAGATGCGTCGAATCGCCATTCCCATTAATTCTTTTTGTGTGAATGAGAAGGGTGTCTTTGATGATAATTAGTTGATATCCGAATAGGCATTTGGAGATTGTTCCTGTAGTTCTTAGAGCACTGTGTTTTGAACTTGTTTATCATTTACTCAGCTTGTTGTGTTGTCCTCCTTCTTTATTGCTACTGGGATAAACACGGTTTTTTTTTTTGGGATTTCAGGACATGGAACAATTGATGAAGGAGGTTCAAGAGGCTAGAAGGATCAAAATGTTGCATCAGCCAAGCAAGGTGTGTATTGGACGCATTCTGCTCTCATGTCCCTACAGAATTGTTGTTAAGATTTATCCAAAATCACTTGCGTGTATAGTTCATAAACTTCTAGTTGCATGCTCTATGAGAAGGAACACATGTGCGTCAGTGGTGGTACTTTAATTTTCTAGGACTATTCATCTAAAAGTATTTACATACTTTGGCTGTTACCCTACCCTAATGCCCTTCAGGCATGCTTCAAGTAAGTGGAATTTTCTTGTGAGATAAGACCTATTGTTAACAGTTGCTGAGTGCTTTAGCTCTGAATTATGCATAGTTTTGTATACTGTGGAATGGAGGTCTATATTTATATGTTTATTACTGTTCTTATTGAGCATTACTGAGTTGGTTGAATTTGTAGGTCATGGACATGGAACACGAATTACGAGCATTGAGAACTCAGCTCGCTGAGAAGACCAAACGTGCTCTTCAGCTTCAAAAAGAGGTTCTTATGTTATCGACTTTTGCTTCTTCGCATGTTAAATTCTGTTAACCTCGACTGGAATGTGTGCTTGTACATATCCTGGCTTTTTAGTTTTGTAATGTTCCTGTTGCATTGGAAAAGTATGATCATCTTGCTAGCTTTGAGCATGTTGTCCACCTGGTCTAAATTTCCTGGTTTGCTCCACAGTTTTCAGCCAACTTGACAGCAACCAGTAAGTTCAGCTTCTGAGTGCCTAGACTGTTGCCAGGGTTCCTTTTGTATGTCTGGGGACATATGTAATTTGCTACACTGGTCTCTGTTAGTTTCTGTTGGAAAATTGTTAGTGACACACTAGAACCACGGAGATAATGAAGCCAAATTTTCGAGAAGCCTATTTTATGGTTTAGGAAACCTTGATATGTGTATCGTTTTATGTGCATGATATTTTTTTGTTAAGTCTTTGTTGTTTCTGTAGTTAAAGTTGCTGCTAGTTAGATCACAAGCATGGGTCCCATCTCTGGATGTCACAAAGTAAGAGATGTTAAGGAAAACCTTTGGATCATTGATTTCTAAAATCTTCTTCTGTTTAACATATTGCAGTTGGCAGTTACTAGGAGCGGGAAGCAGAAGGCGTCACATCCATATGAATTAGAGGGAACTGAAGCCTTAGGTTCATACCTAAGGATCAATTGTTGCTCTAACAATGATCCGGAACTCACTAATTGTTTAATCCAGTGGTATCGTGTACCATCTGAAGGTGGAAAGAAAGAGCTGATATCAGGTACGTTCATTATAATACAAAAACAAATCTTTGGTAGCAGCCTAACCACTAGCTTTAGGGGCAAGAGACTATATAGTGTAAACATGACTGCAAATTGGTTCAATCACTAACTTCAGATTCTGACATTCTGATGCTCTTGGACCAGGAATAATTTCCCTTTAAATTTCACTAGCTTTGCTTCCTTGCAGGAGCTACAAAACCAATTTATGCACCAGAGCCGTATGATGTTGGACGGACGCTGCAAGCTGAAGTAACTCTCGGTGACCAGAGAATCACTTTGACAAGCACTGGTCCAATTGATCCTGGTTCGTTGCTGGTTATGTTGTTTGATACATTTTTTTAAAACTACTGAAAGAACCATGGGGGTACAATTTAACTGTTAGCTTATACGAGAAACCTAAGAGTTCTCTTCAATTTCTGATCAGCTCCTGGCCTTGGAAGCTATGTGGAGGCTCTTGTCCGGAAGCATGATGTCGAGTTCAAGGTACATTGTCTCAAAGAGTACATAACGCCTCTCCCTTTAATGAATTGTCACTTGCTACAATAACTTTTATGGAGTATTCGCTTTCACAATTGGAAGATTTGGTACTGTATCATGATTATGTCGGCACTCTATTTCACAGGTGGTTGTTACCCAGTTGAATGGCTCACATCAACCTTCAGAATCAATCCACGTGTTCCACGTCGGAAAGATGAGGATTAAGCTCTGTAAAGGGTCTACTACAATTGCTAAGGAATACTACTCTGCTTCCATGCAGGTAAGGTTAATAAGCCTGGTATCCTTCAAACCTGAACAAATGCTAGTAGTCTGTCCATTGCACATCATCTCTCATTTGGAGAACTATATCATGCTTTTTCTTTTTAGCTTTGTGGAGTGAGAGGAGGCGGAAATGCAGCAGCTCAGGCAGTGTTTTGGCAAGCAAACACAGAACTCTTGTTTGTACTAGCTTTTGAATCAGAGAGAGACAGAAATGCAGCGATTATGCTTGCTAGGCGCTTTGCTTTCGACTGCAATGTAAGTTGGTTTCTTTCCTTTCAAGTCAGCAGCTCTCTTTTTATAGCTCTCCTTACATAATGGAATCAAATTAAATTAACCAACTCCGCCACTACACATCTTGTTGAAATTTCAGATTGTGCTGGCTGGTCCAGATGGAAGAGCTACTTGAGGAACTTGATCAATCCATCCATGAATACCTGGTTCCACTAATTGTAAGCTGTAATTATGTCTCTCAGAGCTCTTTCACGAATGTATCATAGGCTCCGTAGCACTAGGGTATGTGCAAGTTCCTGCTCTTCAACCATTCTTTTCTCATCGGCGGTTTACCAAATCTCTTCTTGTTTTTGCTTTACAAGGTTTTTCTTCCACCCTCTCAAGGCATCCTTTTTTACCATTTGCCTTCCCTTGTGAAGAAGAGTATATGACTGCCCCACTTCTTGCTTACTGCTAGAAAAATGAGTTGCAGCAGCTGTGTTCGAAATCTGTACTCAACTGCTGCCATGTGTTGAGTTGGCTTAATGTAATGATGATGATAATTTACTCACAGTCGATGGTGGTTCGACATACGAGCCAGCCATAGTTTTTTTTGTGTCATTAATTTCTAGGAAGTTGATTCACTGAAGCTTAATCCGGGGTGGACTAAGCCATGTTCTTCTAGATCCAATGATGTCTACTGGAATTGTTGTAATGAAAGTCAAATTTTTAGTTTGTAGTACTGGTATGGGTTTGAGACACTGAGACTGAATTATCTAGAGTTTTTCTCCTGTGTATCCTGATCTCGTAATGATTTATCATTCACTCATCCGACCGACCAACTCATTATCCCTACAGCCGACAGAATTGGTGAAGAAATTCCTGACTGTGCACCATCTGCAAACATCAACCATCAGGCATATAGTGGCATTTTTACAAAAAGAGCACAGTTGCAGATTGCATGAAGTCTCATGCATCGATTATGTGATTCATAAGCGTAGGAAGGATAGATCCCCCTGAATCGATTGTGTACAAACAACTAATTCCTCTGTTTCTGATGGATAAGTGGGCAATTAATTTAACCACTCGCTGAAACTAATTCCTCTGTTTCCTTTCCGCCATTGCTGGGTTGTCTCTTTGGAAAAAGATGCTCCCCAGTTCTCTTCATATCTTAACAGTATTTCATTACCCCAAGAATATTAGTGTGCTCAAAAATGAAAAACAAAGCACTCTGTTTATGCGGAGGCAGGGAACAAAGAAATGGTTTCCTTTCCTTTCTCTCCTTATCATCATCTCTCTCATTTGCAAATAGTAATGGGGACATCAAGTTCGGGAATACGATTCTGCAGTCCTTGGATAATTGTTAGGGGTTACAAAAAAAAAAAAAAAACTGCTCATTATATTGCTATGGATAATTTGTGTACTCGATTTTTTATATTAGTTTATTTCTCGTATTGTATATGATTGGGGATTTTGTATGATTTTGCAAGTCGAGGTTTTAAATTGGAATCCAAGAAAATTATTATTCTGATTGATTTGTATGTTCAAATTATTTTGGATATTTAAATTTAAGATATTTTTCGTAGCATCTTCTCCAAAAATAAATTTTTGCATGTTCATTTTATTTTGTGTATCTATTGACATTAATCAATACACTCTAATCAATTATCTTATACAACGTACACTTTGAAATTCAAGAGCATACAAACGTACAATCGCTTAAATAATAAATTTGGAATGTCAAAAAATAATCTAGTTGAAATTCTTATAAAATTTCAAATATTTCGTATTATAGAAAGCCATTACTTATGAGAAAGTGTCGGCTTAAAACAAGCAAAAAAAAAATATAAACTCCGATTTAAAGGCAAAAACTTCAAGGGAAAATTATGAAAAAATAAAATATTTAAAAAATCGGATTAGGATGATAGCTAGATTCAAAAAAGATGAAGTGTCGTGAAAAGTTGAAAACAGAACATAAAAAGAAAAGATAAAAAATAAATATAATTACCGTGGATTAAGGAGAAGCGTTTAAGGCTGACGTGGATAGGGTTCAATTCTCAAACCCCTTTAATATATTCTAAGATGGTAATAAAAAAAATATCCAGTTCTTCGTGTAGTTCATACTTCATACCATCAAAGAACTCAGGGGTCGTTTGGATGGATCAATCTAGAAATGAGTCAATTTGATCAATTGTCTCGTTTTATAAATGAAGCATTTAAAACAAGTCAATTCGAATTACCGGCTCCCACCCCAAGTAATTGAACTTAACTCAAAATGGATCAATTCAAAATACCTTAGACAGATTGATCCATCCAAATTTTTTGATGGCAAACGAGGCAATTTGGTACAATTGTCTCAAAACAAGACAATTATTTCAAATTGATCTAGTAACAATTCCTTATCCAAACGATCCCTCAATATATTACTTGCGTAAAGTGTGTGCTGAAATTTGTTGTTTAAGGGCCATCCTTAATCCTAACATTAGGCTATCATAAAAAAAAAAAATATCCTAACATTGGGCTTAATTAAGACAGATAGGGATATTGGACCTTGCTTTAAACTCAAAAATTGTGTATTTGGCATAATTGTAGTTGATGGTCCTTGATTCCTTTTGGGCTGCAGAGGGTATTACTATTGGGCTATATTAAAATGGACCATCTTTCTATTCTTGGGCTGGTATTATTATCCAGCCTACTTATTCACCGGAAAAAATTACAGCTGGCAGTTATTATTATTATTATTCTCTTTTACGATAAGAGTTGGCAAATGGCAATTGAAATTCAAATAAGTGAATAACGTGTCCAACAAGGAATAACCGTACACGAAAATAGCGAAACGCGTCCAACGGCTATAAACGGAAAAAGTGAAACGTGTCCTGGCTAACCGCCTTCAAAGCTCCGCCTTGATCTATAAATACCAACCGATGCTCTGCTATTCATTTTCCCTTCACCCAGCAACGTCGTCTTCCTCGTCTCTCTCCAAGAATGGCAGCGAAGAGAAGTAAGTAAAGTCCCATACTCTTCCTTCTAGGGTTTCGAATTTCTCTACCGCTTGCTTGAGTTTTCTCCTGTTGCCCCAGTAAGTAGGGTTCTGAGGAAGACGAAGGGATAGATTTTCCCCGAAAAACCCATTAATTCGTTGCTGGTCGCCGCTTGTAAGTAGTTTCCCCGTGGATTCTACATGTTTAGAATCTGATACATGAATTTCTGTTGCCAAGTTCTAGTGACTAACGTGGGGGTGATGTTTGGCCCCAACACTTTCGATCGAATTCGTTGTTGGTTCCCGGAAAAGGTCTTCGAGGGTTTAGTTGTCCCTTTGTACACAAGTTTGCTCTTGCTCCATCTTAATGTCAAGAAGCTTTAACATGCTAAAGCGGGGTCCTAGAAGAGAGTTATGACTCGTAGCAACTGCTCTTCTGCCCCAAATGTCGGTTTATCCATGGTCTCTAAGGTGCATGGCAATGAGGTCCTAGAAGAGAACTCTGCTTGTCGGAGTTGCTCTTCTGCCTTTGTTGCCCTTCTGCCCCATCTATGATTTTTAAGACTCTCTAAAGCTTGATAATGGGGTCCTAGATGGGAACTATGACTAAGCATAGTTGCCCTTCTGCTCCTAGAAAAGAGTTTTTTTACAGTATAACAGTGGGGAATACTTGGTGATGGGAAGAACAAGTTGCTGATATCAAAGTCCTAACTTGGTTGGGCCTTATCATATGCTATGAACTCAGGGTTCGAGTGCAGTGTTGGTCTAGTAAGAGTGATGGCCGAAAATTTGGTATTTACCAAGAAAAAGAGTTGCCCTTACTGCTCCTAGAAATGAGTTGTATGATAGTATAACAGTGGGGAATTGTTACTGTTGGAAAAATTAAGTTGCTGATATCAAAGTCCTGACTTTGTTGCGCCTTATCGTATGTTATGAACTCAAATTCCAAATGCAGCGTTGGTCTGGTGGGAGTGATGACTGAAAATTTGTTATTCACCAAGATAACAGGTTGGCTGTGTGGAATTGAGGCTTTCTGGATTTAATACCGAGCCATCTGTTGATTATTGAAAGTTGAAATACATGGTTTCTTTAATCGTACTCAATCCTTGTGTTCCTTTTCTTCTCCATTTGATTAACATAATATTGATTCCGAAAATATGTTGTCCTTGTTGGTTCTGAAAACAAGATGCTGATATGACAACAATGCTCCCCTCCTCAATGACCGATTCACCCATTTCAGCAGTATTTTATGGACTGGAAGTGCTTGATGATATCCTAGGACTAGAAGGGTGCTTGAGAATGATCATGACTAGTTTTCTGCAGTACCATAAGTCCAAGACGTGCTTTATCCTTCCTTCTTTTTTTCTGGAAGCAAGATGCAGACTTGAGAGTTTTTAGATGGCATGATGTCTCCTAGAAGGCAACCTGATATGGTGTCAGTTTATTCCAGCAAGGTTCATTCATTGTGATGGGGGTTCATTGTGCAGTAGTTCAGGTCTTGAGATCCTGGAAGAGAAGTTGAGAGTTCTTAGATGGCATGACGGCTCCTAGAAGGCAACCTGGAGGTTGTTAATATGGTGTCAGTTTATTCCAGCAAGGTTCATTCATTGTAATGGGAGTTCATTATGCAGTAGTTCAGGACTTGAGAACCCCTAGAGTAAACAATGATCTATTGCTTATTCAAAGTCCATGTTACCAAATCATCTTTTGTTCGTTATGATCTACATCCATGGTTTTAATAGACACGTTAATTTTATTGAATAGTCCCTTCAGAATGCTGTAAGTAGACTTTGCTTCATGATATACTTTGCATTTCAGATCATTGTTGATTGCGTGGTCTACGGAAATCTTAGAGGGAGCTCAATTCTTGCATGTACTGAGCATTTATTTTGTAATGGCAGCCACTTCTATTGACTGCATCTCATCGCTAATGCCTGAACGGAAAGTGTTGCAAGGAAAATTGTAAGGTTTTGTGCCCCAGTTTATTTTTCCTTATACTGATCAAATGCGGGTGGTATTAATCAGCAGCTAGTATTCAATTTTTCCACTTCATTGCAGTTTGCTCAAATTACTTATTGGTGGGCGCAAAGTGCTTGTATAGGCATGTAAGGAGGAGCATATAAGCGCAGAGGAAATGTTATCCTCATGTTATTGTTTAATACAAGGGTAGACCAGCCACCGCTGGTGAGAAAGTTTGTTGTTTTGCTATGTTAGTGCTTGAATAAAGTTCCCTTGAGGTGTTATATGATGAGGAGGAGAGTTATGTGATTTGCACTCAGTGACTGATCGTGTGTTTGTTGTTGGAAAATCCAATGCAACATCGAGGTTCCACGCCAGTCGCCAAATACAAAGTTTTTTTTTTGTATTGGAGGTAGATTAGCAGGAAGAATTCAAGTTTCGGGTTCAAAGTTCGCCATAATGAGTCTAATTCTGGTTTGATGTTTCCTATTCCAGAAATCAAGTAGTTACAAAGTTTGCCATGATGGTATGTGATTTGAGGAGGGCAAGCAGGAATGCTGAAACCCAAGTTCTGGTTTATGTTTTACACCCGTTACATGCAATTGAGCATTAGTTTTATTTCCCAATTTCTTTGCTTTCATATGTCCAGTAATGGGAAATGTCAGATGTGTTCTAAATTAGTTTTGTTGAGATACTAGAAAGAGGAGAGTTTGGCATCTTCATAGTGGTATATTCGTGGTGGGTTCGCTTGCAAACTGGTCAGTCCAGCAATTTGAGACGACATGCAGCCTATAAACTGATTCTATATAGAGTCTGGGATGGGAGTTAATTTTCCTCTGACATGAGAAATCCAAGTTCTGATAGGAGTTCAGGAACCGTATGATCAGTGTACTCTATTAGTGAAGGTATTTCAACTATCCAACATTCCTGGTTTTATCATTTAATCTTGCAGATGTAGCTGCCATCTGATATTCTGATCTTGATATCTCGGCTACCCATGAATATTCTATTTCAGTCCAAATGGGAAAATTCTTACTGCTAATAATTGAGATGTATGCTGAAGTAGTCTAATTCTAAAAGAAGTTGGGAGAGAGAGATTACTTTTGTGCCTAGTCTCATCATAGGAAAAAAAAGATGTTTTCTTCTCAATGAAGAAGGACAAGTCCCTGGACCTGATGAATTCATTGCTGAGTTTTTCCAGGTGAACTGGTAGGTGGTTGGTTCGTATATAAATCACGTCATTTAAGAATTTTCAGTCTGAAGCAGCATGCTAAGGGAGATAAACTCCTACTATTCTTTGTTCATGCTCCTGCTCGGTGTTATAGCTCGGTGGCTTTATTTACATGTTCCCCTGTATTCTCTTTTCACCCTTAAGAAGAAGAATTACGATGAATAAACAACTGACATCTAGCAAGAAGGAACCTGGGTTGACAAGACATGTATTTGTTAGCTGCGGTTTGCAAGCTTCTGGAACTAGTTGGAGCTTTTGAGTTTTAATGTCTCAATTAAGTTATTGCCTGTTGGTACGTGTTTCTGGAGGGATTTTGAGGTCGGTGCTCTAGCTGTTCAGCTGACTGAAAGGGAGGGAGAGTTGATTCAAGTAAAGGCTGAAGTGAAGAAGTTAGTTAATGTCATGAAACACATTCAAGAAAAGATAACGGAAGTGAACTCGAAGGTATATCTTATTCAAGAAAAGAATCACGGAGAAGGTAAACTCAAATCTTGGAGAAGCATATTCTATGGTTTAGGACACCCTGATGTGCATATCGTTTTATGTGCATGATATTTTTTTCCAAGTATTTCTTGTTTCTGTAGTTAAAGTTGCTACTAGGTAGATCACAAGCATGGGTCCCACTCCCATCTCTAGATGTCACGAAGTAAGAGATGTTAAGGAAAACGTTTGGATCATTGATTTCTCAAATCTTCTTCTGTTTAACATATTACAGTTGGCAGTTACTAGGACTGGGAAGCAGAAGGCGTCACACCCATATGAATTAGAGGGAGCTAAAGCCTTAGGTTCATAATAAAGACCTGTATCAGGTACGTTCATAATAACGCAAAAACATTCTTTGATAGCAGCCTACATGGGAACTGAAACTAGCTTCCATTCCAACACTAGCTTTAGAGGCAAGTGATAAAAAATAGTGTAAACTTAACTGCAAATCGGCGCCAACACTTCCGATCGAATGCGTTGTTGGTTCCCGGATGAGGTATGTTTCCGACCTACCCTTTTTTTTCTGGGCTGGATAATAAGTGGGAGGGATTAAGATGGGTCTTCGAAGGTTCTGTTATCCTCTCAGAACCACTGCGATCTTGCTGGTTTATATGATTTTGGGACAGTTCGGTTACTTACGTCAATGTAAGATCTATGAATAACCTGTCGCCTGTTGGGTCCCTTTGTACACACGATGTCTCTTCTGGTCCGTATAGTGTCAAGGTTGAGAAATAGTGAGGTGACCATTCCTAGTTCCTACAATCGATTTATAAAAAAATTCAGTTCGTATAGCTGAGTCCCCTTTTACACAAGTTTTCTCTTGCTCCGTCTTAATGTCAAGAAGCTTTAACATGCTAAAGCGGGGTCCTAGAAGAGAGTTATGACTCGTCACAACTGCTCTTCTGCCCCAAATGTCGGTTTGTCCAAGGACTCTAAGGTGCATGGCAATGAGGTCCTAGAAGAGAACTCTGCTAGTTGGAGTTGCTCTTCTGCCTTAGTTTCCCTTCTGCCCCATCTATGATTTTTACGACTCTCTAAAGCTTGATAATGGGGTCCTAGATGGGAACTATGACTTGCTTAGTTGCCCTTCTGCTCCTGGAAAAGAGTTGTTCTACAGTATAACAATGGGGCATACTTGGTGATGGGAAGAACAAGTTGCTGATATCAAAGTCCTAACTTGGTTGGGCCTTATCATATGCTATGAACTCATGGTCCGAATGCAGTGTTGGTCTAGTAAGAGTGATGGCTGAAAATTTGGTATTTACTCTGCTCCTAGAAATGAGTTGTTTGATAGCATAACAGTGGGGAATAGTTACTGTTGGAAAAATTAAGTTGCTGATATTAAAGTCCAGACTTGGTTGCGCCTTATTATATTCTATGATCTCACGTGTAACTTTGAGAGATCTCAAGTTCCATTCTCTACAGTTTCTTATCTATTCGGAGAGGAAGGAAACCATCAACAAGTGAACCTACTTTAAGCACATGTTTTATTTGAAACGGCAAGTAGAGAATGGGTCATGTGAAAAAATTGTCGGATGTTAGCACATTACTCATAAGGCTCAGGGCAGAAATGGCAAGGAAGTTGTGGATTGCTAAAATGAACATTTTGCTGTTGTTGTTGTCGTTGAAGACCACATTCATCTTTAAATAGAAAGACCAGATTTCCTTGGTTCCTAATTGTGTCTTTTTTATGATGATCCTCAGCTTCATGGTCAAATAAGTATGTCGAGTAAATGTACTTGTTGTAGGATATTTCCTCATAACACAACAGCTGAGCTGATTAAGAAGTGATATCGACTACTAGATAGTTAGCTTTGATTAAGAAGGGCAAAATGGGTAGTCTTGATTACAAAGTGTTAATGGCTATGTTGCAAAATGGTTAGTTTTGATTAAGAACTGCTATTGGATTGATGGTAATACTACTAGATGTGCTCTCAAGTCCTCCTCGCTTATGAAGATGGTTGCTGAAACTTTTTGTTTACTTCAGCCATCTTCTGTTATCTTCTTGCCGGTGGAAGCTCTAGCTGTTCAGCTGTTCAGCTAACTGAAATGGAGGGAGAGTTAATTCAAGAAAAGGCTGAAGTATACAGTGTCAGAACTTGGATCCAGCAACTGTGTTTGCTTTTAAATTGATCCTGTTATACTGCTTTGGAGAGTTAGGTAGTTTGTTGCTTCTTCTGAAGTACACGATTCCAGAACTTCTGCTGGATAACTCTGCACATCTTGTATGGCCCTCTATCAGGCCATGTAGCTTGGAAATGGTTGCGGATGGACACTTGAACCAATAAAATTCATTTATATCCTTTTGTAGGCTGCAAAAGATGCCAAGAGGCTTGTAGATGAGGAAAGAGCATTTGCTCGAGCAGAAATTGACGGCGCCAGTGCTCAAGAACATGAACGAATATCTAAAACGCCGGGGAAACAGGTTTGTCTATTTATATGTTTCTTGTTGACATTACTAATTGGTCGAATTTGTAGGTTATGGACATGGAACACGAATTATGAGCATTGAGAACTCAGCTCCCCAAGAAGACCAAACGTGCACTTCAGCTTCAAAAGGAGGTTCTTATGTTATCGACTTTTGCTTCTTCACATGTTAAATCTGTTAACGTCGACTGGAATCTAGGCTTTTACATATCCTGGCTTCTTAGTTTCATAATGTACCTGTTGCATTGGAAAAGTAGAATTATCTTGCTTAGTTTTGAGCATGCTGTCGATCTGGTCTAAATTTCATTCATGGTTTGCAGCCAACTTTACAGCAACCAGTAAGTTTGGCAGCCTAGAGTGTTGCCAGGGTTCCTTTTATGTGTTTAGGGAGATATGTAATTTTCTACACGGGTCTCTGTTGGTTTCTATTGGTAAATTGTCAAAGCGACACACTAGAACCACGGAGATGGTGAACCTGAATTTTGGAGAAGCCTATTTTATGGTTTAGGACACTTATGTTCAAGAATTTTTTTTTTTTTGTCTAGTCTTTCTTGTTTTTGTAGTTAAAGTTGGTACTGGGTAGATCACAAGCATGGATCTCATATCTGGATGTCACAAAATAAGAGATGCTAAGGTAAACCTTTGGATTCATTGATTTCTTAAATCTTCTTCTATTTAACATATTGCAGTTGGCAGTTACTAGGAGTGGGAAGTAGAAGGCATCACACCCATATGAATTGGAGGGAACTGAAGCCTTAGGTTCATACCTAAGAATCAATTGTTGGTCTAACAATGATCCAGAACTCACTAATTGTTTAACCAGTGGTATCGTGTATCATTTGAAGCTGGAAAGAAAGTGCTGATATCAGGTACGTTCATAATAATGCAAGAAGATTCTTTGATAGCATGATAGCAAATTGGTTCAACCACTAACTTTAGATGCTGACATTCTGATGCTCTCAGATCAGGAATAATTTCCCTTTTAATTTCACTAGCTTTGCTTCCTTGCCGGAGCTACAAAACCAATATATGCTCCATAGTCGTATGATGTTGGACGGACGTTGCAAGCTGAAGTAACTCTCGGTGACCACACATTACTACCATTGATCCTGGTTTGTTGCTATTTATGTTCCAGAGTCGTATGATGTTGGACAGACGCTGCAAGCTGAAGTAACTCTCGGTGACCACACATTGACTACCATTGATCCTGGATTGTTGCTATTTATGTTGTTTGGTACATGTTTTTAGACCACTGAAAGAACCATGCTTGTACAATTTAACTGTTAGCTTATAGCGAAAACCTGAGAGTTCTCTTAACTTTTTGATCAGCTCCTGGCCTTGGAAGCTATGTGGAGGCTATTGTCCGGAAGCATGATGTTGAGTTTAAGGTACATTGTCTCAAAGAGTACATAACGCCTCTCACTTTAATGAACTGTCACATGCTACAATAATCTTGTATAGAGTATCCATTTTCACAATTGGAAGATTGGGTGTTGTATCATGAATCATGATTATGTTGGTACTGTATTTCACAGGTGGTTGTTACCCAGTTGAATGGCTCACATCAACCTTCACAATCAATCCACGTGTTTCACGTCGGAAAGATGAGGATTAAGCTCTGTAAAGGGTCTACTACAATTGGTCAATTGCTAAGGGATACTACTACGCTTCCATACAGGTAAGATTAAAAAGCCTGGTATCCTTTATACCAGAACAAATGCTAGTAGTCTATCCATTGCACATCTCAATTGGAGAACTCTATCATGCCTTTTCTTTTAAGCATTGTGGAGTGAGAGGAGGTGGAAATGCAGCAGCTCGGGCAGTGTTTTGCTGACCGATGCTCTGTTATTCATTTTCCCTCCACCCAGCAACGTCTTCCTCATCTCTCTCCAAGAATGGGAGTGAAGAAAAGTAAGTAAAGTCACATACTCTTCCTTCTAGGGTCTCGAATTTTTCTACCGCTTGCCTGAGTGTTCTCATGTTACGCCAATGATCATCGAAAGTAGGGTTATGAGGATGATGAAGGTATATATTTTTTCCTGAAAACCCATTAATTCGTTGCTGGTCGCTGCTTGTCAGTAGTTGCCCCGTGGATTCTACATGTTTAGAATCAGATACGATGAACACATGAAGTTCTGTTGCCAAGTTCTAGTGACTAACGAGGGGTGATGTTTGGCGCCAACACTTCCAATTGAAATCTCTACATGTTTAGAATCAGATACGATGAACACATGAAGTTCTGTTGCCAAGTTCTAGTGACTAACGAGGGGTGATGTTTGGCGCTAACACTTCCGATTGAAATCGTTGTTGGTTCCCGGATGAGGTATCCGACCAGCCCTTTTCGTTTTATGGGCTGGATAATAAGTGGGAGGGCTTAAGAGGGTCTTCAATGTAAGATCTATGAATTAACCTGTCGCCTGTTGAGTCCGTTTGTACACACGTTGTCTCTTCTGGTCCTTATAGTGTCAAGGTTGAGAAATAGTGAGGTGACCATTCCTAGTTCCTACAATCGATTTATAAAAAAATTCAGTTTGTATAGCTGAGTCCCCTTTTACACAAGTTTGCTCTTGCTCCGTCTTAATGTCAACAAGCTTTAACATGCTAAAGCGGGGTCCTAGTAGAGAGTTATGACTCGTCACAACTGCTCTTCTGCCCCAAATGTCGGTTTGTCCATGGTCTCTAAGGTGCATGGAAATGAGGTCCTAGAAGAGAACTCTGCTAGTCGGAGTTGCTCTTCTGCCTTAGTTGCCCTTCTGCCCCATCTATGATTTTGACGACTCTTTAAAGCTTGATAATGGGGTCCTAGATGGGAACTATGACTTGGCTTAGTTGCCCTTCTGCTCCTAGAAAAGAGTTGTTCTACAGTATAACAGTGGGGCATACTTGATGATGGGAAGAAAAAGTTGCTGATGTCAAAGTTCTAACTTGGTTGGGCCTTATCATATGCTATGAATTCATGGTCCGAAGGCAGTGTTGGTCTAGTAAAAGTGATGGCTAAAATTTTGGTATTTACCAAGAAAAGAGTTGCCCTTCTGCTCCTAGAAATGAGTTGTTTGATAGCATAACAGTGGGGAATAGTTACTGTTGGAAAAATTAAGTTGCTGATATTAAAGTCCATACTTGGTTGCGCCTTATTATATGCTATGATCTCACGTGTAACTTTGAGAGATCTCAAGTTCCATTCTCTACAGTTTCTTATCTTTTAGGAGATGAAGGAAACCATCAACAAGTGTACCTACTTTAAGCATATGTTTTATTTGAAACGACAAGTAGAGACTGGGTCCTATGAAACAATTGCCGGAGGTTAGCACATTACTCATATGGCTCAAGGCAGATATGGCAAAGAAGTTGTGGATTGCTTAAATGAACATCTTTAAATAGAAACATCTTTAAATAGAAAGACCAGATCTTCAAAAGATGCCAAGAGGCTTGTAGATGAGGAAAGAGCTTTTGCTCGAGCAGAAATTGACGGCGCTAGTGCTACAGTCCAGAGGGTTGAGCAAGCCTTCAAGAACATGAACGAATATATAAAACGCCAGGGAAACAAGTCTGTCTTTTTATTTTTTTTTTAACTTAGGAGTAGCTGGCTCGTAAATACAGTGGATTTAAATGCATTAAGGACTGTTGCTATGACTGATGACACACATTTGTTGTTCCTCTACTCGTTGCTTTTATCTTATCAATATAGCTAATAATGGAAAGAAGCGTTCCTCGAATCACCATTCCCGTTAACTCTTTCTTGTGAATAAGAAGGGTTTCTTTGATGATAATTAGTTGATGTCAGAATAGGCATTTGGAGATTGTTCCTGTAGTTATTGCAACACTGTGTTTGAACTTGTTTATCATTTACTCTGCTTATTGTGTTGTCCATCCTTCTTTATTGCTACTTGGATAAACACTTTTATGTTGGATTTCAGGACATGAAACAATTGATGAAGGAGGTTCAAGAGGCTAGAAAGATCAAAATGTTGCCTCAGCCAAGCAAGGTGTATATTGGAGGCATTATGCTCTCATGATCCCTAAAAGAATATTGGTAAGATTTATCCAAAATCATTTACATGTATATTCATAAACTTAATTTCATGCTTTATGAGAAGGAATCCATGTGCGTCAGTGTGCTACTTTAACTTTCTAGGACTATCTATTTAAAATAATTTATATATACGTAGGTTATGGACATGAGCTTTCTTGTGGAATAAGACCTAAGCTTAACAGTTGCTTAGTGCTTTAGCTCTGAATTATGCGTAGTTATGTATACTATTGAGGTCTATATTTATATGTTTCTTATTGAGCATTACTAATTGGTTTAATTTGTAGGTTATGGACATGGAACACGAATTACGAGCATTGAGAACTCAGCTCGCCAAGAAGACCATACGTGCACTTCAGCTTCAAAAAGAGGTTCTTATGTTATCGACTTTTGCTTCTTCACATGTTATATTCTGTCAACCTCGAATGGAATCTGGGCTTGTACATATCATGGCTTCTTAGTTTCATAATGTTCCTGTTGCATTGGAAAAGTTTCATAATTTGTAGGTTATGGACATGGAACACGAATTACGAGCATTGAGAACTCGGCTCGCCAAGAAGACCAAACGTGCATTTCAGCTTCAAGAAGAGGTTCTTATGTTATCGACTTTTGCTTCTTCACATGTTATATTCTGTCAACCTCGAATGGAATCTGGACTTGTACATATCATGGCTTCTTAGTTTCATAATGTTCCTGTTGCATTGGAAAAGTAGAATCATCTTGCTAGATTTGAGCAAGTTGTCGACCTGCTCTAAATTTCATGGTTTGCTCCACATTTACCGCCAACTTGACAGCAACCAGTAAGTTTGGTTTCTGAGAGCCTAGGCTGTTGCCAGGTCCCTTTTGTATGTCTGCGGACATATGTAATTTGCTACCCTGGTCTCTGCTAGTTTCTATGGGAAAATTGTCAAAGGGACACACTAGAACCATGGTGAACTCGAATCTTGGAGGTAAGTGATAAGTGGGAGGGATTAAGATGATGGGTCTTCGAGGGTTTTGTTATCCTCTCTGAACAACTGCGATCTTGCTGGTTTATATGATTTTGGGACAGTTCGGCTACTTACGTCAAATGTAAGATCTATGAATTAACCTGTCGCCTGTTGAGTCCCTTTGTGCACACCTTGTCTCTTCTGGTCCGTATAGTGTCAAGGTTGAGAAATAGTGAGGTGACTGTTCCTAGTTCCTACAATCTGACTTATAAAAAAAATTCAGTTCGTATATCTGAGTCCCATTTTACACAAGTTTGCTCTTGCTCCGTCTTAATGACAAGAAGCTTTAACATGCTAAAGCGGGGTCCTAGAAGAGAGTTATGACTCGTCACAACTGCTCTTCTGCCCCAAGTGTCGGTTTGTCCAAGGACTCTAAGGTGCATGGCAATGAGGTCCTAGAAGAGAACTCTGCTAGTTGGAGTTGCTCTTCTGCCTTAGTTTCCCTTCTGCCCCATCTATGATTTTTACGACTCTCTAAAGCTTGATAATGGGGTCCTAGATGGAAACTATGACTTGGCTTAGTTGCCCTTCTGCTCCTGGAAAAGAGTTGTTCTATAGTATAACAGTGGGGCATACTTGGTGATGGGAAGAACAAGTTGTTGATATCAAATTCCTAACTTGGTTGGGCTATCATATGCTATGAACTCATGGTTTGAATTCAGTGTTGGTCTAGTAAGAGTGATGGCCGAAAATTTGGTATTTACCAAGAAAAGCGTTGCCCTTCTGCTCTCCTAGAAATGAGTTGTACGATAGTATAACAGTGCGGAATAGTTACTGTTGGAAAGTTGAAATACATGGTTTCTTTAATCGTACTCAATCCTTATGTTCCTTTTCTTCTCCATTTGGTCAACAGAACATTGATTCTAGAGATTGACGTTCTCCAGTTTTGCTGCCTTCTAAAGCCAGTTTGATTTTGAAGGAATATCTGGATGTGAAGGAGTAAGGTCTGATTTGTTTATAAGCTGGATTTGCTGTCTTCTAAGCTAGTTTACACTAGAAATTCAGGATGACGGATGCTGACCTGATATTGTTAGTGTTATGGTGCTTCTAACAGTTCCCTATTGGTTCTTTTATATATGATGGATTGAAATTCATAAAGTCCGATAAATTTTTCTATAATGTAAGAGATTAGACCATACATGTACTGTAACTCTCGAGCTGGAACTGTAAATGGTTACTTTTGAATTGTGATGGTTGTTCTTGTTTGGAAGTCCAGCCTTTTACTTGTTATTGATCAACTCAAACTGTTCTTCCATTTCCTAAATGGTGCCCTAAATTAGAACTATGAGTTGATCAATAACAGATTCCTTGCCTTTTTGCTTGGAAAAGGGAACTTTTAGATATGATCATTGAATGATTCTAGCCTGCCCCTCTTTCAAACAATGGTGCTAAAACGTGTGTCTAGGTTTGGTTTATAATTGAATTGAGATGATCATTTTGTTCATTCATTCTAGTTTCCTTCCCTCAAATCGAAATCGTGATTGGGGATGTGCAGTTCTAACTGAAAGTGATGTCCAGTTCTATGTGAATTGAGATGAGAATGTTTATGTTCTAGTTGCCCTTCCGCCCACCTCAAATTTGCTAGTTTTCTGCAGTTTCATAGAGTGGAAGTCCTAAATGGAGTCTAAGAGAAGAACTAAGAAATAAGTAGTGCTACACTGGTATACCACCACTGAGCCCGAAATTGTGTTGCCCTACTCCTTGTTGGTTCTGAAAGCAAGATGTTGATGTGACAACAATGCTCCATGACCGGTTCACCCATTTCCACAGTATTTTATGGACTGGAAGTGCTAGATGTTGTCCTAGGACTAGAAGGGTACTTGAGAATGATCAGGAATCGTATTCTGCAGTAAGGTATATAAACCCAAGACGTGCTTTATCCTTCTTTTTTTTTTTCGGAAGCAAGATGCAGACTTGAGAGTTCTTAGATGGCACGACGGCTCCTAGAAGGCAACCTGGGGATTGTTTATATGGTCTCAGTTTATTCCAGCAAGCTTCATTCATTGTGCAGTAATTCAGGACTTGAGAAGTAATTCAGGACTTGAGATCCTGGAAGAGAACTTGAGAACCCCTATAGTAAACAATGATCTATTGTTTATTCATCGACGATAAGCCTCGTAAGCGTAGAAAGGATCGGTCCCTGAATCGCCAATGTGTCTACTCGGAGAAGTTTTCAGCATTCATATTTCTGGGTGGAACACAAGAAATGGTGGACAATGGTCTAGGCTAGTGCCAAGCCGCGTAACAGGACAATTTTGGCAAAAATGATGAGAGTAGTACAAGAAAAACAGAGCACTCTGTTTATGCGGAGGCAGGGAACAAAGAAATGGTTTCCTTTCCTTTCTCTCTCCTTAGCATTGTCTCTCTGATTTGCAAATAGTAATCCTCATCGAGCTTTGTCAAATGATCAACAATGCAAGTTATCAAACTATGGATCAACGAAATAAAAAATGTAGCATTAGAATAATGCTCTATTAATGGTATTGAATTGTGTATAAAGTGTGTGACAACTGCAGAACCCATTTGGAGAAGGATCTTCCTACATACTATAACTTAGCACGGCCACTAAGTTGTGGTACATGTAACTTCTCAACCCGACCAATTCTGTGAAAAATAACATTTTTTGCCATGAAGAGAGCCATTTTCTACGCTACTAACTACGAAAAGAAACTTTTATGCACATCACTATTACGATCATGGAAAAATGAACCTTCATTTCCAGCCACTGCTGCTCCATTTTCATCTGCAAGTAGTCCTTGACATACTGTACCCGATGAACTCGCACCATCTAAATCATGATCAGAAACTGGAGCCTTCTCACTGGTGAAAGAGTCAAACAAGCCATTAGTTGATAACACCACGCACAAAAGCTTCCATCAGATGGGCAAAACGGATCAAAACTTACTTTGTGGAGTAAATGGCTAACCCAAGAATCACCACTGCAAAGGCAAGAAAGTATAGCCGGTCCACCTGCAAATTAATGTTCTCAAAGTTATCAGTTCAATGAATGCTGCAATTGCCACTTCAAAACCATAGGAACATACACACACTACTGATTACTGACAACCTTCTGGTGGAACAAAAAGGTTCGAATAACAACAGCCCACATATTACTAGTCAGGCTGGAAAGACTCAACATTGTGGCTCCACTCAACTGCACAAAACACAATTCCGAGCTGATCTATGAATGTTATATTCGCGCTGAGAATGATGAAGAACTTAAGGAAAAAAGGACGGTAAAATTACCTTGAGAACCCAAGGAGTCATGGAGTATAAACAAAAGACTGAGAGTGTGTAGCCAGAGATGGCCCATATCTGAAAGCATGCACAAGCAAAATGGGTATGGTTTAAAAGACATAAATGAGACCGGGTGCCAATATGGTTATATATTACTCACCATATCTAAAGACCAGTTCACTGACCCTAGAGTCTGCAACTCAAATGCAGATCTGCAATAAACATAATTATGGAAAACTCTTTCGAAACTAAGGTGCCTTTTCCGTGAAGAAACCACCAAGAATGTGATCAAAAGGATACAGCTGAACCAAACTGAATAGCAACCCAAAAACACCCATCATCGACAACATCTCCATCTCCATCTCAATCTGGCCTCCATCCTTCACAATGAACTCCTGCAATTTTCAGCAGCGAAGTGAAGTACAACAATTGGATGATAGAACAATCTAGGCAAAAAGAACGCAATTCCAAATTACCTCGCTAACATTGGCGAAGGCAAACAAAATTGTTGCCCCAATCACGATCGTATCGCCCAAAAGAGGCATCGAGCCACCTGCGGTGTCAAGAATGCGCCATTAATCCTAATGGAGGTTAACTAAAGACAATGAAACATGATGAATCATTCTGATTTCTGATTTCTTCACCTCCACCGCCATCAGCATCTGATAAGAGCACTAGAGCAAGACCAAGTACACAAAGCGCTGAGCCAACCAACTGCAGGATTGAGTAGCGGGTGCCCAGGAACACCCGAGTTAGAACGATGGCCCATGGTATGGTAAAGCAAACCAGCAATGTGATGCTGGTGATTGAGGAAAACTGGTACGATTTGTTCACTAGCAAAGCACAGCATTACACAGAACTAATCGTCTGGTTACTGAATCATCCGGAATTAAAGGAACTGGGTTGTTCTCAATCAGACAAATTTTGAGCTGAAAATAGAAAGAAACTAAATTTACTTACGAAGAAAACTGGCCTGTACATCAAGAAATGCTACGAGGAGATACCAATACCAAGAAACCTGCAGTTTATGGCGTCGGTGCAGCAATAGGCCGCCATAAACCAAGGCCAAAGTGAAGTAATTGAAGCAGCCCTGAGCTATGGGCGCATCAACACCTGCCGAAATGAAACTCTTCAGTTAATGAACAGAGCGGGAAAGATACCCAATTGTCAATTGAACAGATACCACAAAAAAAGCGAGTAAGAACACTGAAGAATTGCATACAGACCCAGAGAAGCTAGAAGGGAAGTGCTGAAGCCGCTGAGAGCAAGGCATAACGAAACTCCCTGACCCAACAACATTGCCCACCATTTTCTACTCTTGCTGCTCCAGAAATCCATGGCTTTACGAGATCAGACTGCAGACGTCCTATTTGTATGGTGGGGATCGAATCAATCGATTGAGAAGCTAATCAAGAGCGGAGCAACCGAGAGAGCAAGAAGGATCAAAGAGCTTCAATGGCTGGGTCGCTCTCTGGTTCAAACAATGTATATGACTACTCATTTCTGGGTCCACAGAGAAGACCCAAGACAGAGTGGCCAAGAAAGAAAAACAAGAGAACAGAGAAGGTCGAATGACGACGGACTCCATAGATACTGATAAGCATCCAAACAACCTGCTTGATTTAATTGATTTGATATTACGCCTGCCAAATATTTTTAGAGGAGATTTAAAAAAAAAATTATAGGAGAGGAGATGCGAGGGCATCTTGCTCTGACGCCATGGCAGGCAGCACGGCGGTCGGCGGCAACTGTTTGCGGGCTTTCCCGAACAGACGATGGATGGGAAATGGGAATGAGATTCTACGTCTGACGAGAAGAAGGTAGGCTAGTACTTTCGGGCCAGGTGATCGGTGGATTAGGTGGAAATAGGCTGTGGGCCTGGTTAACAAATTTGGGCCAGAGATGGGTTAGTACTAGTGGCCAATACTACGGTGCCGCAATAAAAAGTGCGGCACCGATGACGCTTCTTGTTATTGGTCCACGTCAAGTGTGACATGGCATGGATGAATTCATTAAATAGCAACCCAACCCATTTAGCCCATAAGAAGTGGCACAAACCGTCTCTTCCAAAGTAACAGAAAAGTTGCTCCGTTATAACTCATATGTGTTTTTCTATTCTACCTCGATCCTCCTCTTCGGCGGTCTCTCCCGACGACTTCCCTGTCATCCATCCCATTTTCAGCTCCGACTTAACGTCTCGATTGAAATTTCTCATTGTTTCGTGCTAGATTTATACTGTAGACCAGAGAAGAGGCGAAGGAATCCCTCTGTCCCCATCAAACAGCCTGCCGGCTAAGTATCGAACGACCCGGCCCAAAGAGAGTCGCCCTCCCTCGATCTGCGTCATCCGCCTCGTTTTGCGTGGTTCTTTTGGGTACAACCAGCATATGTAGCTGTAATGCAGAGGGTCAACACTTCCAAAACTACGTCTCTAGCTTGGTTTGAATCTCTACTAATCTCAGGTGGCCTATGCACAGTGGGGATGCTCACAACTGTTGCCACTTACAGTTGCAATAAAGACGGATGGAGCTAGACCTCGGTCGGTGCTCGGATGTGTAGCAGAGGGCTCCGTCTAGCCCAATAACCGGACATAATTAACCGCGGCTAACCGGCTAACCGACCCTCACTGAAAATCCCCTTCTCCCCATCCCAAAACCATAGAGAATCCATCACCCCCAAATCGAATAACCTAATTCGACGACCCTTCCCTCCCCCATCTCCCCGATCGCGCGCCGCGCCTCACCTCCGACTCCACCCAGTTCGCGTGCGAACCTCCTCCGCCTTTGCATTCGTCGTCGTCGACTAGCAGAGCAGGCGAGCCTCCGCCTTCGCCAACTTCCGTCCCCTTAAGATTTGAGATAGAAAGTGTAGAAGAGCTTGAAAGGGAAGATCAGCGGGTGCAACTTCACCTGGTCGTACGCCCCTTCGAAAATCCCCGAGTCGCCGGTCACGGCCAGGAAGTTGTCCTCGTAGGTGAGGTACGCCCCCTGGACGACGATGTTGCCGTAATCTCCGAAGTAGAACCTGTAGATGGCCTCATAGCGGTCCCCTTTCATCTCTGGCTTGTGCTGGATCAACAAGCATATCCCCGACGTGATCCCGATTCGCCTGCTATAGAGCTATAATCCGATCGCACAGAGTGGAAACATAGTAAGTAAGATTTGAATCGGATTTTGTTTTTCTCAAGAAACAAACGGGGGCAAAATAATCAAAATCAAAAGGAAAACCAACTTTGTAGCTGAAAGGGACGAGATCGGGAATGGAGAGGTAGGATGAATAATTTTTTGGGGAGAGGAAAGGGTAGTAGCAGGAGATGGGAACAGGGAAGCATCGAGAATGGGAGGAAATAGATGGCCTAGCGATTACCATGGTTAAACCGAACCAAAACCAAAAACCGACCAGTCGGTGGTCTGTTTAACCGATAACCGAGAAATCGATTTTCGGTTAAACTGAAACCGACCGACTGACACCCCTACTCTACATAATAGATTGGTATATATATATATATATAAAACATTTCCCAAGTTTGTCAAGAAGTGTTCAGAACTTCCCTTCTCGATAAAATTTAATTAAGAATTAATGATACTTTCAACGATGCATATCAGCCAGCAGCCTATATTATATTACTCTCTCTGAGCTAGACCAAATGAAATTAAGATTGTCTATGTAATTACAAGCGAGCTCCCCTAGCACCTACAGCCCTCCACAAACTAGCAGTACAACATGACATTCTTCAGATTTTCCTTGATGCTTCGAAGCGGCTGGTCTGTTGACATCGATTCCCCTGATCGATGAACTGTCATCTGTTGCGGTTCCCTCGATCTATGTAGTACTCAGCTTCAAAAGCAGTCAGATGAGCACAGTAGGCCCGGTGGTACTGCAAATGAATGTAATGAGAGAATTAGCCCTTAATTAGTCATATTTAAGGGTAATGACGAATTCCCCTACTACGAATGTTTAGTTTTGAGATTCAATCACCAAGCCCAGACAGTTAGAAGATAAGTTACTTACCTACACAAACATAGCGAGTGCAACTATCATAATCCAGTAAAACAGGATCCAATGCCAAGTGCTAAGCTAAATCAAACCCTCCGAGATAGAGTAATTCCAATGAAAGACCACCTAAGCAAAAATAAACCTTAATCAAACTAGACAAGAAAGTTCAGTGACCTCGCATTTCCCATCTCATCCTCTTTCATTTGGCATCGAAAGAGACCAAACTGTCTAAAACGTACAACTCATATTCAACGGAGCAGTACATCAATAACGTACACATTCTGATTACTTTTAATTAAACACAAAATTTAGAGCATGACTACACGGGCCATAGGGTTTAAATTTGGATTAAACGAACCTAACCACTGCCACATATTAGTCCACGTGGACCAATAACAAGAAGTGTCACCAATGCCACACTTTTTATTGCGGCACCGTAGTATTGGCCTAGTACTTTTGGGAGAGTGATGGGATATTGCTAGTACATTCCGGGCCCATTAAAGTTTTGTTTTTATGGTTAGGCCCATTAAAGTTACTAATTATTAATTAATCAACCCCAGCGTTTGCTAATATGACAATTAAATTTTATCCTTAAATGTTGAGGAAAGTAAAAAATGACAAAAACATCCTTGGGAGAAGTTGTAGAAACTCAACTCACTGGGAATGTTGCACCCCAGACCTCCACCTAAACGGCTAAAACCCTCTCCCAACCTAAACCCCAAAAGTTCCGTTCACAGCTAACTCCCGCAACCACGCCTGCCGGAGGCGTCTCCGGTAGCCGTAGCACGTACTGCTGCCACCGTCGATATATGCACAAGTGACTGCAATAGGAGGACACTGGCGATCGAGAGCTTAATTTCATTGACCAATCAAATCAATGCGGAAGAACATGCTCCACATTCTTGCACAATCCTTCTTCTTGTATAGGATTCGCGTCTTGCCGAAGGAAAAGGTAGCTATTTTAGTTTTTCAATTCTTCAGCCCCGTGAATTTGTCGTCTCAAGGTTCACTTTCTGATTGCAACTCGAAGAAATTAGAACCCATGTAGCTGAATTAGCTTCGCAAGGTCTAAAGTCGGGGACTTGATATAATACTGTTCAGTTTTGTATGTCATGTCTGCTTCCCAGGTTCACTTACCGAAGTAATAGGATGAGGCTGGTGGTTTTGGTGGGTGTATGATTCTGGGTTCTAAGTTGGGGAATGCAGTATGAAGAGATATAGGTTCTTTGTACCCTTGAGTTTCACTTGGTTTACATTCTTTAAGATGTCAAGGAAACATTACTCTATTGATTTAAGTCACAGAATTAGGAATTGGATATGCAATTGAATCAGATTACTTATCAGTGGTTGTACAGGGGCTACTCAAGCAGCGGGTTTTACCCAGTATTTCCATTTCATTTCCTTGAAATCAGTTTGCATTTGTAAATGAACCCTATTGAAGAAGCTGAACTCTTCAGGTTTTCTGTTGATATCTAGTGTAATGCCTTTTCGCTTTTTCTGCCTGAAAATGATTATGAATCTTTTCTTACACGTTTACAGAACAGTGTCACATCCATTCCAGTTGGGGCTCCCTGGATTATGCCTCTCTTTGCTTGCATAACAGAAGTTGTCAGTAATTATAAGCAAATCTCCACCCAGACATCTCCAGAGGACGAGGAGTTCAGAGATGAGAACTGCTATCAAATTCTCAATGCTATGCAAAACGCTCCAACCTCTGCCAGAAAAATATGCAGTTCCCATATTACCAAGCTATGCAAGGCTGGTAATCTTTCTGCTGCTGCTAGATTGCTCCAGTTCTTAAGGGAGAGAAATATTTTTACTGCCCCAAACTTGTACAATACCCTCATGGAAGTAGCAGGTGAAAGGAACGACGTTGAGATTTTGTGCCAGGTCTTCAAAGATCTAGTTCTGTCTTGTAAATCCCTTCCTTCAACTTCTTACCGTACTCTAGCACGGGCCTTCTCTAGTATAAATGATCCTCTCTGTTTATTTCAACTCGCCAAAGATGTTTCGGAGCTGACATATCCAAGCAATACTCTAGTGATGAACAGACTCATCTGCGCCTTTGCTGAGTGTGGCCAGTCGGAGAAAGCCCTTATGATATTTGATGAGATAAAGAGTCTGAAGTATGAGCCTGATTTGGTCACCTATAATACTATTATGGATATGCTAGGTCGTTCCGGCCAGACTGATAAAATGGTGAACAAGTTTGCATCTTTAAAGGAGGCAGGAATTATCCCGGATTTTGTATCTTTCAATACGATATTGAATCACTTGAGGAAGAAGGGAAGATTAGATTTGTGCTTGGTATACTTAAAGGACATGTCAGCACTTGGAATTCAACCAGACTTACTTACATATACTGCTTTGATTAGTAGTTTTGGACAATCGGGAAACATTGAGGAAGCATTGAGACTCTTCAATGAGATGAAGATGAGACAGATCCGCCCTTCTGTTTATGTGTATAGATCACTAGTTAACTGCTTGAAGAAAATGGGGAAGCTAGAGTTGGCAATGACCATACTAGAGGAGATGAATGCATCTACAGGGAATCTTGCTGGTCCAAAGGAATTTAAGCGGAAAGGAAGATAGATAGAAATTAAATTTTGAATTTGGTTGTTCCGTATTATGGATAGATCTGAGTTCCTTAGCTTCACCAAGTTCGCTTCCTAAGGATAGAGGTTGAGCTTCATCAAATGCTTGGCTATATGCTGTCAGTGGTTGGAGCTTGTAATCTTTTGGAAAGACCTCAAATAACTCATCCAGTATATGATGACTTCTTGCTATGATCCTTGGGGACACTGCATGTGGTGGTTGCTTGTTTTTAAACTGAAGCAACACTTCTTGAACTGTGCATACACCCATGGTGATCGTGAAACTAGATGAAGCACTGAGCAGTTAAAAACATTGTTCAAACTGGCCTTTCTGATGTCACTGTTAAGATTTCTGCTCTCACAGGTACGTCATAAGTGATTATTCAATGTTTTGTGCTGTATATTTGACTGAAAATGTATGACCCAAGATTAGTGGATGTGATGGTGGTGGCATCTAGTTATAAAATTCGGGTATTCGCTTTAAAAGAAGTAATTTCTGCCATGACATATTTATATGTTTGCATGGTGTCAGGGAGTTCTCGTATACATTTTGTGACATGAAGACCTGCAATGCTGATGATTAAACTTCGCGGGTGCATTGGGGTCTTTATTTTGTTGTTTAGACTTTGTGATGGAGCGCAGAGAATAAGCTACTTCAGCAGTATTGAAGTTGAGTTCGGTTTGTTGGTTCAGTGATTGATGCCTTTCTCATTTAACTGAAAGTCGAAATCCAATACTTGTATCTCAGTCCAAAAATTTGCTTATTACTTTCGATGCCTGTACAGTATGTTGGCTTTTGTAGCAAACTAGCAACTGCTTGATATTGCTCTTTACGGCTTATTGTATGTGTCACTCAGTTGCAGAAAATAAGTACTAATTTACCCATTTTATCTTTTCCACTGACCACATTCTTTCTCTTAGCACCTTTGCTTAAAAGAACTGGCCATTGAGCGGAAGTTAGAGCCAGTAACAAAACATTGAGTAATCGAACTATTCCCTTCTGTTCTATGATCACCGCTTGATACCATTGTAAACAATCAAATGGAGGTTTGAGGCATTAAGTTGGTCTCCTGTTGGTTGGCCTGCATGTACTACAGGGATATGGCTATTTTAGGAGAGTCTGCACTGTACCTATCTGCAAAGAATAAAGATTTGAAGCACGAAATATGATGATTGATTGGATTCAGGAAATAAACTTGAAAGGTGAGATGTTCTCGATGTCTTGAACTGGTACCAACGCCTGGTAAGTTTCTGGTTCATCTCATAACTTGTTCAGCATTTAGAATTTTCATTCTGTAGCTGCTTTCTTGTCATAAGTGTTGTGCTTCCTTCACGTTTCCATAAAAACATCTGGTTTGCTGGCAGTTGACATTTTCACCAATCTAATGTGTACTCAGCATCATTGGTTTGTTCACTTCACTTCCATAGTTCCATTTAGATAGTCAACTGGATCACTTCCTTCCTGTTTCATAAGATAATAAGTTTTCCTGTCAACCATAGCTGATAATGCCAATGTTTGTAGCCATTGTTACGGGTATTATCTATGCCGAACCTAAACCTCAACTTATGAAAATTGCAAGGTTGCTGAAGTATTGAACTTTCTAAATGGGTTATGCAGAAGTGTTGCAATATGTGTTATTTGACACGGTGGGCCGAAGAATCAAATTCTATATGAATAGAGATTATCATTGGCTATCAGGTGTTTATCCAAAGGCAGACGTTAATGAAGGCACCAAAAGAACCTACGGATATTGTTGGTCTTACTTCAGTAATTGCTCGGTAGAGATGCTACGAACTCTTCTAGCTTAGCCAAGTTTGAGTTCCGTTCAAAAGTTGATAGGAAGAGTTCTGTCATTCCTAATTTCCTATGTTCTGTTTTTAGTTCATACCGAATTAACTCAGTGATGAAGCAATTGAAGCTACTGTAATGCAGCAAATAGGGTCAACACTGCTGCTGCCGCTTGGACAGATGGAGAATGCAAGGCATATGTCCAAGGTTTCAGCTTTGCTGGCATGTTGGGAAGAGACCCGATCATGGTAACATGTTGTTTGCAATTTCCAGTTGGTTTTCTTTCCATTTTCCTATCCAAGCCAGCTGTTTCAGATTTTATTAATTTTTACCTACTGTATTATGTCGGAAATGCAGCAATGAAGACTGAAGAGAAGAAGCAAAGTAAATTTTTTGCAATGGATGAAACTGAAACTGAAGATGAGATACTTTTCCAAAATCTTGTGATTTCTGAGGTGCCTGCTGCTGATAACAGTGATTGATTCTCCTGCTACGAGTGATCGCATGAAGCGAGTAGTAAACCGGGGTACTCTAGCTCCAAGGAAGCAAATGTCGTCGAGCCAGCGAATCTGACCAAATGCAGCTCTGTTCCAGATTGTAGCCATGCTGCAGGGGCATATGCAGTGAAAGCACCAAGGGCCTTTTCACCTGTATCCGGTGAGTAGATGTGATGTATCTGATGAGAAAGAGATGTTTTGCAAGCATCATTTGACTCTGTGACACACGTGATTTTCTATTTACAAATTGCTAAAGCAATGGAGGCATGCCACTTGTAGCACTCTGTACATTATGATAATGTCGTTGAGTCTTCAATTTTTTTTAAAAAAAATTGATTGAACTATTGAAGCATAAGAGAAGTCAATCATGATGTTTAGACCAATTGTACGTGAAATGGCCCCTGTTGCACATGGTGATCTCCAGATAATTGCTTGGCGGCAGATATTTGTTAATTGGCACAATAGATTGGCTGTAGGCTGTAAAGGTTGGTCATGATTGGCTGAGATAATGGGTTGGAGACTGTGGAAGAGCTGTAGTATCACAACCAATCGAGTGACACAACCACCCCACTCGACACAACCACCGCTTACTGGTCATTAGGCATGGCAATCAAACCCGCAATCAAACTTGCGATTGTGTACTTTGATCCAATCACATGGAGAATGTCTGTATTGATTGGATATGAGATGGATACTACGTAATCAAAGTATGAAACCCAAGCAATGATGGTCTAACTGGTCATCCTCTCATTAGGTAGAGATGGCAATTAAACCGGCGATTGTGGTACCCAGTCGATGTAGAAAATCTTTGTACTGACTTGACTAGTTATGGGGCGGGTATTGGGTAAAACCTGAACAAAGTCGATGAGTATGAGATGATATGGTAAGTTACTTCTATCTATGATAACCTCGATGTAAGAAACTAACTAGACAAATAATATTTTCTCTAAAGTCAAAACCAGGAACTCTAATTGAGTAGGATGATTACATTCCCTAACTTAGATAAGTAACTTTGTTAGTACTTGGTACTTTTTTTTCCTGTGTTGTGCCTACTAGAATTAGATAGCATTAGTAGAATGCTATAAGCTGTTTACTGAGGCTTCCCAAAAATGATTGCAACTTTCTAGTGGTAACCCAAAGAGAAGGGGACAGTTCTGTCATAGCAGGAGAAAATACAGGGAGAATTTAGTAACTTCCGAATACAATAATAGAAAAGATAAGACACCACACTAGTAGTACATGTTCCTCTGTTCTTAGTGTCCTGCAATCATTCCTAGGAACCGGCTAATAAGAGAACAGAGTGAAAAGCTCCAAACCGAATCTCTCTCTATCTACACTTCCTTTCTCTCTCTAGCTTAGTCCCTCACTAATTCCTTTACCTCCAAAATTGTCAAAGACCCACTAGGAACAAACAACAATGGAAGAAAGGAAGTCGATTCCAGCAGTTGCTTGTGTGGCGATGATGATGATTTCGCTTGCAGGATCGGCAGCCGCTTACAAGAACTACACGGTGGGTGATTCTCTGGGTTGGTATGATCTCTCCGAGAAACCCACCGCCGATTACCAGAAATGGGCCGATTCCCACAACTTCAGCTTGGGTGATTTCCTCAGTAAGTTCCCCTTTTCAGCTAATTTGTCAAGAAATTTCCTTTCTTTTCATACCCCTGTTTGGCTACCGCTTTTGTTTCCCTTCTTCTTTGTTTCCATGTCGATCTGAATTGCTTTTAGTGATCTAGCTTCACATGATCGTCTTAGTGTGATTAACTCCAACTTAGCTTTACTTTACTGCGTTGAAAAATACTATTTTGAGACGGTGGGAGTAATTAATTATTCCACCGCTGACCTCCCCTGAATTTAAGTGCTCTGTTCTGAAATGCTCTGGCTAACCGCTTCCTTTAAACTTTTGCTGAATAACTTTCACCTACAATCACACCGTCCAATTTTGGACAGCTGGGAATTTCGTGACTGATTTGGTTATTGGGTAAGAAGCATTTATGACATCTCCCATCTCAATCGTCTCTCTCCGCCATACTTTCTGAGTCAACTACATGCCGCATACAGAGTGTTAACAGTTGGGGAAATTCTGCCGGCTTTTAAGTTAGTTCACGGGGATAATTGACGATTCACTTGCACAATACGGTAACACAAAAACAAAGCTTCAGACTTTGAAAGGATGGAAGAAGAAGAATAGAGAACTTAGCGTGGGAATGTGTGTGATGTATATATCTTTCTTCTTCCTAACGTAAAGGTGTTTATTCCTGAAGATGAAAGGCGCACATGGCGGGTTTTCGCATGTGGTTCCTTTCTTGTAGTCTTGGCCCTTGGGGCGCGCAGACACTGACACCCAAGCCACATCCAAACCGACCCGGCCAGGTGAATGAATGTGGATAGAGTGCTGAGTGTGCTGGCTGTCCTTTTGCGGCCGCGAACAGTCGTTAGAGTCACATTAGAGTCATTTTGGGGTAATCCGAGCTTGTTAAGTGCTCTTAGTGGTCACTGCCCAATCCACGGGTAGACCTAGGAGACCAAAAATTCAAAAAATCTTTAGTAATCTTACGTAGTAGTAGTGTGAAGAATATGAACAACAAATTTTTGAAATATGAGGTAAATGTTACCTGTTTTACTACAGGTATTTGTTTCTTAAGTTTACAACACTAAATAGTTTCAACATTCAAATGAAACGCTACAAACTTTCGGTTTACAAACACTTTCTGATATGGTAACATTGAAAGATTCGTCGAAATTAAAAGAAATAATAAACTATCTATTATGATGGTGAAGATAAAAAGAAATATATGTCGTGTTCGCTAGCCTCAGCTTTCTTACGGAACTTGGTACATGTTTTATTAGTTGCAACTAAACATTTTAATAAAAGGACAATGAAATAATCATCGATTAATTTGCGAATGATTATTTGGCGGGGTATATTGTATAGGATCTACCTAATAATGTAGGCAATTAGTATATTTGATAGGGGTATAGTCAAGTCGGTTAGCGATTAATCGTTAATCGATATTGTGGTTGACAGTTATCCGCTAACTACAAAATTACTATCATTAGCCAACCCGTCAATTACTATCCGTCTGTGTATAACTTGATAAACCGATAAGGATTTTCCGACATCTGTTAAATGACTCCCACCCTTCTTAAACCGTTAACCATCGGTTAACGACGTGATTAACGGGTTAACCATCTAACCGATAATCATCACACCTAATATTTTATTGGCTAAAGACTACACTATCTCATCACACTATACTATACTTTACTCATATCCTTTTGTTTTTATTGCATCCCACTTTGATCGAATTACTGCAACCAACACCATTTTTTCAACTATTGTTTTTGTTTCCTTCTTCTGACCTTTTGCCGACACGCAGTTTTCAACACGAACACCAACCACTCGGTGATCCAGACGTCCAACCTGACCACCTACCAGCAGTGCGACTACGACAACTCCCTCGAAGCCGACACCACCCAATGGTCCTCCGGCGACCCTTCCAACACCGCCACCGCCCCCGTCACCGTCGCCGTCCCGCTCCTCAAGGAAGGCCCCGCCTTCTTCTTCTCCGGCGACTACGACGGCGACCAGTGCCGCGGCGGGCAGCGTTTCAAGATCCCCTCCGTCGCCCACGGCCAGGGCCTGCCGGACGGTCTCAAGCCGCCGTCGGAGCAGGCCCCGGCACCCAACAGCGACGACGTCGACAATGAGGATTCTGCGCCGGACACCACCGTCCCGGCCGATTTCAGCCACCCTAAGGGAGGGCCGGGGAGCGGCGGGAGCGACGCGGCCGTCGGCGGCGGTGATGATGATAGTGGTGATGATGACAAGGAGAAGTCAGCCAAGTCGTCGTTGAAGAACTCCGGCGAGCGCTTTGCCGTTTCGCCGTTGAAATTGGTGGTGAGTGGGATCTGTGTTTTGTTGGTCTTGCTAGTTATTACGATCGACGATTCAATGATATAAATACTCACTAGTTATTATTACAATCGACATCAATATATATATATAATAGCGAAATAAGAATATTGATCGCTTCCGAAGCAGCATGATAGTCGAATTCATTTTTGTCTTTCTTCACTCTTTTTATTGTTGTTGATGTGGGCGGTTCTATAAGAGAGATTGTTGCTATTCGTTTATTGTTTTGGGATGTCTAGAAGATAAAGAAGAAGAGATTATCATGATAACGGTTGTGGGGAAAGTAATAGGATGAATGCTTTCCATATTTGATTTTTGTGGTGGTGAGTTTGATCCTTTTTTGTATCTTGAACGTTCTCGCTTCAATCATAATCGATCGCGGTAGCTATGCAATGTTGGAATATATCTTGAAAAAGTTACTAACTTACTATGGCCACATGTTTATAAGCGGATTGGTTGATGTAATTAACGCGATGGTTGCATGAAGATATATAATTTGGTTGTTGGCTCTTCAAAAAGATCACTGAAATGTGCAGGAGGATGAGTTGATTGTGAGATCATTGATCTTCCTTTTACATCAATTAGGAAAACAACAGAAATTAGCTGAAATCAGTTAAATAATTTTAATTAGTTTTTTTTTTATTGTTTTCAAAAGTTGTTAGATCGTATTAGTTGTTTGAATAATTTCAATCAGAGAATTCTATGATCAAATCTCACTAACCCACTGTCTACATTTTTTTTTTTCCATCTCAATTTTCATATGTTTCATTTTCATCCCAAAATCTTAGTGTCAATATTATTTTCATATCTTTTTCTCTCTCGATTTTTTTTTGGGTTAATTGCATGATTGGTCACTCAGATTACTAAAAACGTTCATGTTTGGTCACTACAAATATTTAATTCCACTAATGGTCACTAAAATTAGTTTTATAGTTCATGTTTGGTCACTCTCCGTTACCTTTCGTCAACCTCCGTTAACACCGTCAGTTTTTTTTGCTGACGTGGCTAACAGAAGTACTTATTCACCAAATTTAAACTATTAAAAAATAAAACCCGACCTGTACAGTCAGCTAAACCCACCATATGAGATACCCACCCAACCCATAACTCAACCCTTCATCTTCTTCCTTTATTTGACCTGACGCAAAAAATCCCTAATAGCTCACCAAAAACAGTCCCCTGTAGACTAATTTGTCCTCATCGCTGCTTGCTCCTCATCCAATTTCAACGTCATCACATCAGAAGATAACCACCACCACCACCCCCCCTAAAAGCTCACCCTCTCCCCTGTGCATTTCAAGAAGAGATCAATAATATTATCTCTTGCTCACCAACTCCATCGCCAACACCACCAGCAAAGATCAGCTCGCCTCCGGGCCACTAAAGCTCGACCACAGCTATCCGTCCAAGCTCGCAATCCCTATCATAGGCAGCATCACTGACCGTTGCATCTCCTTCCCCGAACCCATTTCGCGGCAGAGGGTCGAAACATGGAATACAGAGTCGAAACCCAAATCTAAATCCAAACCCTCCAAATTCAATTTTTCCCGCACCCAAAATCTCATCTCTTTTATTTATGCCCCTGGCTCCTTCCCCTCAAATCCCTCTCTCGCCGTTCTCCTCCGTTGATTCCGCGTCTCGGCCTCCATGCACCCCCACCCAACGATTCGGATTCCCAGTTCTCTATCTTCCCTCGACCCCTCTCTGATAGTCGTACTCGCCGCCGTCGATTATTACTCTATGTGTCGTCGTGAACTAGAATGGAGGAGTGGAGTCGCGACACGGATCTTCTCTCTCCCGTCGTTCATTATCTCTCCAATCGCACCAGAACCGCCGCCAAATCCTCTTATTTGTCCAGGGACGGGAGCCATGTTGGCTTTAATCGGAGGTGCTGGTCGATCCGATAAGAAGCAGAGGAAAGGGAGATGGAGCAAGCTGTTGCGTGTTCATCTCAGCTGCGAAAGAAGTCGGAGGTTTGGGGCTTGAGTGGGTCGGTTATTGGGTTGGGTTTGGTTAAAGGGTTGGATTGGGCTGGGCAAGAAGACGTGGCGGGGGTTAGTACGTGGCGGGGTCATGTCTCATTATTTTAGGGTTTAATTAGGTTGATTGGATGATTCTGTCTGCCACACTCAGCACATAACGGTTTTCGTTAACGGAGATGGACGGAGAGTGACTAAACTTGAACTGTTTTACTAAATTTAGTGATCATTATTGAAATTAAATATTTATAGTGACCAAACATGAACGTTTTTAGTATCCTCAGTGATCAACCTTACAATTTACCCCAATTTTTTTATAACTCATCATCTCACTGTTTTAATATATTTTAAATTCTTTACCGTTCAAGACGAAACAATTTGTCGAATTTTAAAATAAAAAAAACTTCTCAAAAGGAAAATAATATCCACCCGAGACCCGACCCAATACGTCACCACATGTGGCAATATATCGTTGGTTCTCGGGCAACAACAATATATCTTTTTCGTTTGGGGGTACAACAATCACATGACAATAATGGATCACCACGTTAATTTGAAGATGCAATGTCCACATCCTCCATTAGCTGGCCCACCCGCAATCTTTAACACCCACACAACGCTGCTGCTGTCGTCTTCCCGATTCCAATCTCAACCCCGTGCCCACAACACCACAACAACAATGGTGTCGGTTTAAACTTTAAACCACACATAACCCAAAAACACATTAATTTTAAATGTTAATAATAAATAAAAAACTTTAATATCCCTTCATCCTCTGCCAGATTCAATCTGTTCTGGCTTTCCTCAGAGTAAAATGAAAACTCCACATTGATGATCAAAACGCTTCAAACACGATTACAACATCATAAAACGAGAAAATGACAAAGAACGAAGAACATCAAAACGCATAGAGTCAAAGTAACAGGACAGACATAGACGGACGGCCAAAATATTTCACATACCAAATATCATATGCTTCCCAGTCTCGGCGCAAACAAGTACTAGATCATTTCCCTCTCCACCAACTCTGCGCTCTTCATTTCCCCAAACTTACAGTTCATCACCTTCTTCCTCCTCTTCCTCGTAATCCAGCTCCTCGTCGGCGGTCGCGTCCTGGTACTGCTGATACTCCGACACCAGATCATTCATGTTGCTCTCCGCCTCGGTGAACTCCATCTCGTCCATCCCTTCCCCGGTGTACCAATGCAAGAAAGCCTTCCTCCTGAACATGGCAGTGAACTGCTCGCTCACCCTCCTGAACATCTCCTGGATCGAGGTCGAGTTCCCCACGAACGTCGACGCCATCGACAGGCCGCGCGGTGGGATGTCGCAGACACTGGACTTCACGTTGTTGGGGATCCACTCCACGAAGTAGGACGAGTTCTTGTTCTGCACGTTGATCATCTGCTCGTCCACTTCCTTGGTGCTCATCTTGCCCCTGAACATGGCCGAGGCGGTGAGGTACCTTCCATGGCGTGGATCGGCGGCGCACATCATGTTCTTGGAGTCCCACATCTGCTGGGTCAGCTCCGGGACAGTCAGGGCACGGTACATCTGCGACCCGCGGGAGGTCAGGGGAGCAAACCCGACCATGAAAAAGTGGAGACGCGGGAATGGGATCAGGTTCACCGCCAGCTTCCTGAGGTCGGAGTTGAGCTGGCCGGGGAAGCGCAGGCAGCATGTGACGCCGCTCATTGTTGCAGAGATCAGATGGTTCAGATCTCCAACTGCCCAAGATGTGAAAATCAAACATGTCAACAACATATATGTGACCTTTTGCTGTCAGTAGAGAACTATGAAGGATTACTTACAGCTGGGAGTGGTCAACTTGAGAGTTCTGAAGCAGATATCGTACAATGCCTCGTTATCAAGCACCATACATTCATCGGCATTCTCGACCAGCTGATGCACAGAGAGGGTGGCATTGTATGGCTCAACCACTGTATCGGAAACCTTAGGGGATGGGAAGACAGAGAAGGTAAGCATCATTCTGTCTGGGTATTCCTCCCTTATCTTGGAGATCAACAGGGTTCCCATTCCTGATCCAGTTCCTCCACCGAGAGAGTGGCATACTTGGAAACCTGTAATTTCATACACACCAAAACAATCAAGTTTCAATCACAATGGAGGATTCAAGAAACTAAGACCTGCCACTTCCTGATCCAAATGGTGTAATTCAAAGAAGGCACAAATTGAGTTCAGGCATGGCATATCCAATCTATGATAAACATCAGTGAACAACTACCCTAACAGCGGATTACAATGGAAAAAAAACGGAATCAAGTACGCAGAGGCGAATGTATACCTTGAAGACAGTCGCAGTTTTCAGCCTCCTTTCGGACAACATCCAGAACCGAATCAATGAGCTCAGCGCCCTCAGTGTAGTGACCTTTGGCCCAGTTGTTACCAGCACCAGATTGGCCGAAGACGAAGTTGTCAGGCCTGAAGATCTGGCCATAGGGACCAGTCCTCACGCTGTCCATGGTCCCAGGCTCGAGATCCATGAGCACAGCACGGGGAACAAACCGTCCACATGATGCTTCGTTGTAGTAGACGTTGACACGCTCCAGTTGCAGATCGGAGGTCCCGACGTACCTGCCGGTGGGGTCAATGCCGTGCTCATCGCAAACGACTTCCCAGAACTTGGAACCGATCTGGTTCCCGCACTGACCTCCTTGGATGTGCAAGATTTCTCTCATTTTCTAGGGTTTTCTGTAGACCAAACACCAGATGAGCGGGTTCAGAGTCCAATCATAACATCCATTGACGTATAAAGCACTGGTAGAAGGAGAAGACGAAGAAATCGGAGCCTAATTGACCTAATTCTCTGTAAATAAACCGCAATCGAGAGCAGATCTGAGAATCAATTAAGTTCGACGATAATGCTCGTCGCAATTTTAGCTACCTTCTAACAAGAGCAAGAGCACAACAGAATACTGATTGGATTCCGAGAAAGAATCGGAAGAATACACAAAAAACTTCGAAGAGAATCGCAATCGGAAAGTGGAAACACAGCGCACCATTGTTCCCTTCCCTTATCCAGGTATCTAAACAGAGACGAGCAGAAACAGTAAGCGGAGACTTACAGATGAGCGACCGGGGAGAACGGCAGCGGAAATGCGGAAGGCACGAACGGATCGCCGGCGGCGAGCGGCGAGCGACGACTGGACCGAGTCAGAGTGAGTAGAAAGCAATGGCAAGTAGAGTGAAGTGAGCGAGCGAAGTTGTCTGCAGGCTGCCAGGCTCGCAAGACGGCGTTATATAAGAAGACCATAGGGTAAGGGATTGAAGATCGGACGGCTGTGGTTGTTTCCCTCCTTTTCTATTTTGGCCCGTTTGGTGCCGTTCGATTGTGATGTTTGAACGGCGAAGATGGGACTTGGCGTTGGATATTTTAAATTTTTTTGAAACTTTAAGTGTAATGACAGTTCCAGCCCTTGGCAAATGACTAGTATCTCCTTCGTATAGTTACACAAGGCCGGCAGTAGTCCACGGGATAAATCGTAGACAACGACTCCGCTAAGATAATAATAAATTTGGGGTGGCCAAGTGATTAAAATGGTCACCTAAGTTTTAGCTTCTAACAAAAAGATCCCAAAATTTCAATAGGTCAACAAATTACCTTTTTTTTTGTGTGAACAAAATCAAATGACCATCTTAAACATATGTTAAGATAACATACTGATCATTTTTTTTTGTTAAATTTGCCCCGATCGTGAGTAGCTTAGCCACGATGTGACATTTAACCTAGCATTGTAATCACCACAAATGTTTTTTTGTTATAAAAGATAATCATATATTGATACTCAAGAATAGTTCATTACACCAAATGCCGTAATCAGACAACAAAATCAAAGGAATGACTCGCTATCGGGTACAAAGAAAGGACCTTGCGAGCCACCAAATTGGCTACCCTGTTATTACGGCGACCAACGAACCAAACACTAAACCCAGCTAAATAGAGCAACACCTCCAGGAAGATGTTGCCAGATCTACTATCACTCCCTTGCGCCAAGCTAAGCATGTCTACAACCACATTCGCATCCCCTTCAAACCGTACAACCAAAAACCCTCGGTTACGACACCAAAGGATAGCTTCACGGAGGACCAGGAGCTCCACAATCATAGGATCATCAATCTCGGGGAAGAAAACTCCTTTCGCACAAAGAACCTCCCCATCCTGGCCCAGAATCACCATCCCTCCCGCCGAATGGGAGCCATGCCTAGTCGCTCTCTCCCACCTATAGGTGATAGAGCCCTGACTAGTATGAGGCACCGACGAAATCCCTGCCACAGGTGCACTAACTACCACATCCTTAGGCTAGGAATTCCACTCATGCAACTGCTAATAGTATTGACGCATTAGAGCCGGAATCCCAAACTGTTTGCCTTCAAAGACAACCCAGTTACGAGACTTCCAAATCCGTCAGAGCACAGCCACAACCGCCATGACCTGATGGGGATCCATAATGATCGCCAGAAGTTGCTTGAGAAAGAGAGGGAAAGTATGACGAGGAAGTCCTTGTCCAATATGTTCCAAACCAGCATGATCTCACATCGCTCTAGCCACATAGCATTCGAAAAAAGGTGCTCCATCGTTTCAGGTGTAGCCCAACAAACCAGACATCTTGGATGGACCGAGACCTTCTTCTCAATAAGAGCCTCCGTAGTTGGGAGGAAATTGTGCTAAACTTGCTATAAGAAAATCCTCAGCTTGGGCGGAATCGCTGAGCTCCAAAACCGGATCCAACTGACCGTGGGACTCCATCCCCCAGATTGTTGATCCTGTAAAACTGCTAGATGGTAGACTGAATTCACAGTGAATATTTCATCGCCCGTAGCATGCCAGATGAACCTATCCTCTATACCCCTTCGTGGTAAAGGAATACTTCGGATAGCACGACAAATACCAGGAGGGAACCACTCGACAAGCTTATCAAGCAACCAAAAGCCCTCGACTGGACAAATTAAATCTACCACCCGAAGATCCACCCCATCTGGAAGCACCCGAGGATTAAACATGGGAGGGTCAGGATGTAACGAAGGGATCCAACTATCTTTTAAAGTAGACACCCCTCCCCTCCATCCCCAATCTGTCACCGAAGACCACACACCAACAGTTGTTGCCTCCCGTACAGGATGCTCTGCCAGCCCCCAGGAAGGGCGCGAGCACGCAGTAGCAGTCAAGAACGTACCACGTGGAAATATTTCCCTTATACACCTAAGCAAGAAGGGATTGGAGATCAGTCAATATGCGCCAGCCAATCTTAGCAAGTAAAGCCTGATTGAAATGTTCAAACCCTCGAAATTTCATCTCACCCTCATGCTTACTACGACACATCTTCCGCCAAGACATCCACCTAATACGTGAATGTCCATTCTCCACTCCCCACCAAAACCTCGCCACCAGTCTATCCAGAATTCTACAAAGAGAAAGCGACAGCTTAAAACAAGACATCACATGCACGATAGCGCAGAAGCAACGGATATCAGGGTTTCCCTAGCCGTCGCGGACAAAGATCGCTGAGCCCACCCCTGAAGACGTGCCACTAACCGGTCCTCCACGAAATGAAATGTAGCCATCTTAGACTGAGTAATGAGGGAGGGAAGACCCAGATATTTATCATGGACGCCCACAGCCCCCACCCCAAGACTTGAGCCAGAACCTCCTGATCCGGGATGACAATGTTCTTACTAAAATATACCGCCGATTTCCCCAAATTAACACGCTGCCCACTGAGTTCCTAATACTCATTAAGAACCTCAATCAGATTTTCACACTGCTACAGCGAACCTCCTAGAAATAAATACGAGTCATCGGCAAAAACCAAATGCGAGATCCTAGGAGCCGAGGAGCCACCTTCACTCCCTCTAGCTTACCCTCGTTAATGGATCTGCGGAGGAGGGCCACAAACCCTTCCGTACACAAAACAAACAAGAGAGGGGAAAGGGGGTCACCCTGCCGAAGACCACGAGTTGATCGAAAAAAATCCGACGGAGATCCATTCATCAGAATGGAGAAAGATGTCGAACTAAGACATTCCTGAATTTAGCCAATCCAAGTCTGGATGAAACCCAGTTTGGCCAGAACCCCAAGAAGAAAGGGTCATTCGACTCTATCATAGAATTTTTCCATGTCAACCTTTAGAGCCATGTATCATTTCTTCCCCCCGATTTTTAATCTTCGGGTAATGCATTAGTTCATGCCCCAAGAGCACATTCTCCACAATCTGGCGTTCTCTAATAAAAGGATTCTGGCCTTCCGAAATAATCTGAGGGAAGAACGGGGCCAGTCTCTCAGCCATAATCTTCGTAATCACCTTGTACATAAACTGGCAAAGACTAATTGGCCGCAACTGGCGAATGGATTCCACATTATCTACTTCATGGATCAAAGTAAGCCAAGTGTGGTTAAAACTGCGTAGCAGCCTGCTGGTTTGAAAGAAAAAGCAGACAACATCCACCACCGACGCACCCACAATATCCCAAAAGGATTTAAAAAAATTCTCAGTGAAATGATTGTAAAACCGTATCAAAAATTATATTGGATAAATCGATGTTGGGATATTTTATTCTTCAATCGTGGTTTATCAGTAGCTTAAATGTTTGATACACATTCAAATGACATTCCGACCAACAAGTCGGACAACAAGCTAGTTGTTGATAATGAAAGGAAAAGAAACAATTTGCCATAATGAAAACTTTTTTTTACAATAATTTCCCCCTTTACTATTTTATGTATTTCGTAACATTCAAAATATCCCAAAATTTGACCGCATGATTGAGTTTGGTCAGACCTAATTAGTGGCTGAAATGAAATGTACTAACTTATATCTATTAAAAACTCAAATTTCATTAAAAAATATACATATCTCACGATCCACCCAACATCTCCTTCCCTCTCTCTTCTTCTCCCTCTCTAACGATCGGACCCTTGATTTTGTAGAGTCCGTTTTGGAGCACGATTTTGGTCGGATCTAGTTCAAGCAACTGCCCGGTAGAGGTGTAACAACCTTGGTTGTAACACTCGTGAATAATCATTCATAACTTGTCTATTTAATGATGTAGTCACTTAGTTGCCTATGGTTGAAAAAAAAAAATTGGCACAACAAAAAGAGTTAGTCTGAAAAAAGCATAACATAAATAAATCTAAAAATCATATGACTTTTCCACTACTGTTAGCTAGCCCACTAACTCTCCGTCCCGTAAGTAAATTCTTGTTAATTTGATATTTGAATTTCCATATTTTGATTATTTTAATTTGAGTTTAATAAATTTAATTTCTGTCTATCTTATAAATGGAGGATAATTTTAAAATTGTAGCCCAAATATCTTGATTTGAATATTGCATATTGAATTGCAGTATTGAATGTGTAGATGTGATGTAGAATTCTTAACTTGGTATTAATTTTTTGACTAATAAAGCAATGATATTGTTATAAAAACTGCAAGTGACAAATTTTTGGAAATTTTTAGTTTGGATAATCGTTAAATTCTAAATCTCTTGATAATATGTCATGATTGAAAAAATTAGTGAGTTTAAAAGAACACAATTTCTGAATGCCATTTCTAGATGATTTCAATTATTCAAATATTTTATCTTATAGGATAATTGACTAGATGTGTCATTTATAGTTACTTAGTTTAATATGAAATACTCGCAGTACAAGACAAATCATGAAAGTCGGGCTGGAGTTTTCATAGATGCATTGACGTGGTCATGTGCATTATCAAGGTAGGTACAACATGATAGGTTTAATTTATTGGTTGAGTGAATAAGATTGTCCTTCAACTAAATTTAGAGTATGTTGCTTAATAAATAATTTTTTCATTACATAGAATATGGATGGAAAATGTTATTTTCTTACTAATTTTGTTATTGTATTGTGCATATACTTAAAGGTTTAGATATTGCTATTATGTATTCTTTCTCAAGCAAAATAAATAAATATTGACTAAAAGTCATCATCATGAGTTTCCTATTTATGCTACGCTTTTTCAGACAAACTCTTTTTATTTTGTTATGTCAATTTTCTTTTCAACCATAGGCAACTAAGTAACTACATCTATAAATAGACAAGTTATGAATAGTTATTTACGAGTGTTATAACCAAGGTTGTGACACCTCTATTGGACGGCAGGTTGGACTAGGTCCAACCAAAGTTGAACTCCAAAATGGGCTCTATAAAACCAAGGGTCTGATTGTTAGAGAGGGAGAAGAAGAGAGAGGGAAGGGACAGAGGGGATAGAGGTAAGGGGATGGTAGGTGGATCTTGAGAAAGGTATTTTTTATGGAATTTCAATATTTGAGTTTTTAATATATATAAGTTAGTACGTTCCATTTCAGACCCTAAATTTCTATTTTATATGTAAATATATTTAGAAAATGTGTACAACGGATCAAACAGGTTGGACCTTAATCAATCATTAAGCTTCAAACCACTTGCTTGACCGGCTCAACGACTTAAACCGGTTTGACAACTTTGGTTATAACCATTAAGATTACAATGTCCACAATTGATGAAAAGTTATAAGAATTTCAAAAATGGAAAAATAATTTTGATGTCACCTTTTCTTTACGATTTTTTTTTGACGAAAATTGATGTCATACGAAATTCAACATTTCTAATAATTTAAAAAATTTAAATACACATCATAAATACATTGTGTTCAAATGGCATTCCGACCAACAGGTCAGACAACAAGCTAGTAGTTAGAAAAGCACAGTTTCATGAAAATATTACAGGCACTAGGGTGGACACGTGGGTGGTTAACCCGTGGATTGATATCGATTCATCCACAAATAATTCGACCCGCAAACAGTGGGTGATTGATGTGGGTGGATTGCGGATTGATAAATCTCTCACCCGCACTTATTAGCCGATCATACTTCTTGCTTATTGTTTTCCGGCGGGAAAAACTGGTGTGTTGAATTAAATGATTTGCACCTTTACTTCTTGAACAACGATTAATAACACGGTTCACTCCTCTCCGAACAATGTTCGAACGAGGGTGTTTGATGTTTTGGATGGATTTTTGGGGACAAACTAAGTTAATTACACCTATTCCTATGGAGGTTCAGTGAGAGCTCCGAAAACTAAGGCTATGGCTAATTTGCAGAGGAAAAGATAAAGTTTGACATAGTGTGTCAAATGGTTGGTTATGGAACCATTGCTTCTTCTTCGTTTCTTCTATTTATAGCCACTAGGCGTAACTGCCTTGGTAACTGCTAGCTGGCCTCTTGCTCCAAATCGCCTCGGGTTCTTGCCGCCTTGGTGACTAGTTGGTAACCGTCGCCTTGGTCTTCACCTCCATTGCCTTGGAGCTCCTTGACCCGTCTTGTTGACTGGTTGATATTTGTGACCTCGACGCCCAACCGAATTGGTGTTGGTTTTGTCGCCTTGTCTTGACTGGATGAGGTTGAAGCCCTCAACCTTGCCTCCATGATGAAGTCTCGACCAAACCCTTGGCAGCCCCCAAGACTCCACACTTAGTTTTATTTCCCTTTCTTGCTCCCGCTTTTGTTGTGTCTTTGGCTTGATACCCCTACCTAGCCAGTCATGTTGGCTTGGTCTCCATACTTAGTTTTTGTAGCTTCGTCAAGTTGCTAAGTTGCACCCTGTCGGTTTGGTACCCCGTTAAGGTGCTACCAAGCCCGTCTTTGGACTTTGTCTCCATATGGCCTCATAAGGGCTGAGCTCGGCATCCTGGTCGATCCATCCATAGTTGGGTGGCCACCTCAACTAGTCACCATGCCTTAGTCGAATTTCTTGTCTTGTTGGCTTGATACCCTGATGTTTGGCTATCAAGTCCGCCTTGTCGGCTTGATACCCCCTTGGGGTCATGGTACCTTGTCACCTTGCTTGGCTGCCGGCTTGGTAGGGGTCTTGGTACCGAGGCTGCCTTGCTCGCCTGGTACCCCCTTAGCTCCATACTTAGCCAAATTCCATGTCTTGGTACCAAGCCCGCCTTGCCGGCATGGTACCCTCTTGGCCCCATACTTAGCCAATTTTCATATCTTTTGGCATCAAGCCTGCCTTGTCGGCTTGATACCCTTTTTGCTTCATACTTAGCCAAATTCTATGTCAAAGTACCTAACCGGCTTGATACCCTGTCGTTGACCCCCTTACTTGGTACCTGATCGTTTGCACCCCGTTGTGTCACCTTGTTTCCGCCGGCTTGATACCCCGTCGTTGACCCCCTTACTTGGTACCTGATCGTTTGGCACCCCGTTGTGTCACCTTGTTTCCAGACTTAGTTTTTGGATGGCCTCCTATTTGGTATCTAGCTTGGTACCCGGTCGTTTGGCACCCCGTTGTGTCGCCTTGTTCCCAGACGTACTTTTTGGATGGCCTCCTCTTTGGTATCCGGCTTGGTATCCGGTCGTTTGGCACCCCGTTGTGCCGCCTTGTTCCCAGACGTAGTTTTTGGATGACCTCCTCTTTGGTATCCGGCTTGGTACCCGGTCGTTTGGCACCCCGTTGTGCCGCCTTGTTCCCATACTTAGTTTTCCGCCTTGTTCCCAGACGTAGTTTTTGGATGGCCTCCTCTTTGGTATCCGGCTTGGTACCCGGTCGTTTGGCACCCCGTTGTGCCGCCTTGTTCCCAGACGTAGTTTTTGGATGACCTCCTCTTTGGTATCCAGCTTGGTACCCGGTCGTTTGGCACCCTGTTGTGCCGCCTTGTTCCCAGACTTAGTTTTCCGCCTTGTTCCCAGACGTAGTTTTTGGATAGCCTCCTCTTTGGTATCCGGCTTGGTACCCGGTCGTTTGGCACCCCGTTGTGTCGCCTTGTTCCCAGACTTAGTTTTTGGAGAGCCTCCTCTTTAGTATCCGGCTTAGTTTTTTGGAGAGCCAAATTTCATACCATGGGGTGGAAGCATCGTCCGGCTGTGGGGGCCACGGAGACGGGTTGGTCATCGTATAGAGAAGAAGGGGCTTGGCCATTTAAGCCCAAAAACCCAACCCAACAAGGCCTAGCTAGCTCTTCTAATTATTAATGTTGAGCTGACTTTATAATCCATTAAATTTCTTGTAATTAATAGATGTGGTACAAACTGATTTTTTTATGGGTAAACACTTATACTGGAAGAGTTTATAAATATTTTTTCCTTCCTTCTTTTGCTTCCTCTCGTTTATTTATCCTCGATATTAAACAATGGATTATCAAATCAACTTTTTTTTTTGGTGGAGAAACGGGATGCTAAGGGCATCCCAACCTTCAACTAATACTTATCAAATAAACTTTAACTATTTCTCATGATATCAAATGTGGATTATTAAATAAACTATAACCCCTATCTCTATAGCTAATATAAGGGCACAATTTTGTTTCAAATTCCACAACACGATAAAATAACGATACGAAACATACTAAGAACGTATTTTGGAACTACATTTCATTCAAGTGTTGGTGTATAAGTAAATAACAACCCATAAGCAAGCAGGCCATATATAATATAACCAAATGGTAAACACAAGTACATAAGCTCAAAATCAAATGAATCCTCTTATTCTGATACTTTAAACGTAGTAGGTGCAAAACGACACACTAATGCATCGAAGCATAACCCAAATATTAGTCCAGTAATTCACCCTCCTCTCTTTCAAATATGTGTATGCTCATAAGCTACCTATATTAGATTTCAAACTTTAGTATATGAACTTTTCCTGCCCTCTTTTCCTTCATGAAGCGCTGCAGAGCGGCATATGGTCCGGGCGGGGACGGATTCTGGCGTCGGTCGAATTCCCGTTCTTCACGATAACGACGGTTTCCATCCCCCACGTCGCATGTCGCTCCAGGTGGCAGTGCATAAACCAAACCCCTAACACAGCCCCAATTTCACTAATCAAATTCTTAGTCACAAAACAAATAGAAAGTAACTATACTTTTTTTTTTCTTCATCATAAATATAGTTTAATTAATTAATTACCAGGATTATTGGCCAGGAACCTGAAGGCGGCCCAGCCGTTCTTGGGTACGCCGATGGTGTTGACCTCCAGCGGGTCGACCAAGTTGTAGGATCCGGGGTGAGTCTTGACGTCGAAGTTTCCCTTGCCGGCGCCGACGAGGAAGAAGTTGTAGCCGTGGTAATGGATGGGGTGATTCTGAGCGGCGCCGAGGCTGGTCCCTTGCAACACGATCTCCACGGTGTCGCCGTACTCCACCATCATGGCCCTCGTGCCCCTCGCGGTGGCGCCGGAGACGCCCGCGTTGTTTCCGGTGAAGTTGAAGTAGGTCAGCGGCTCGCTTGGGAAATCCTGGTTGAATATCCCGTTCTGGTTGCTGCTTCCACAAAATTCCATTGCAATGTTGTTTTAAAGCATAATAATTCATTGAAATTTACGAATATCAAATATTATTCTAATTTCATCAATCTCAAAATTACTAATTTCAAACTAAATATCATCAAAATTATCAATCAAATAAATAGAAAAAAATACTTCTCCACAAATCATCCTCAAAATATATAAAAGAAAATAATGTTGTCAACACTCATGTAAAACAAATGAAGAAAAAAAAATCAAATATAATAACAACTAACTAAGAGAATATGATGTCTAAAAACACATTAACATACTAAAGCAACAAACTGAAACATGGCACGCCTAAACAGCCTACACATAACAAAATCATATGGGTGTGGGTTATCAAATAGTAAGGGAATGAGTTGTGTATAATTAGATAGTCATTTTTATTGTTGAGCGTCTGGTAGCAGTGAGGGAGAGAGTTTAACTGAGAGAGATAAAATACATACACTAGCTTATTATATTTCGATATTTCTCGCTATTTTGGAATATACCGGGATCTCAATCTTGTAATCTCTAATACCAGATAATACTTCAATTTCAATCTCATAATACAATACATGTATTCTACAATATCACATATTCGACAAATTCTGTATGATATTCGGTATATCCCAAATAACGGTAACAAACTGAAATGGAAAAAATTACCTGTAGTAGGCATCGAGAATGTCAACGCTCCTGCTAACAAAGCTCACATTGTTCAAGCTGGCCGCCATCCGATTCCCATCGGGCCCATCGCACGACGCATTAGCACACGGCAGCGCGTTCAACGCGATCGCGATCACAAACCTCTTCTTCACATCCTTGGGCACATTTACGGGATGCTCTTCGCTCGCCAAGCTCCTCAGCCCGGCAACAAACCCCTCCGCCGCGGCGCTGTCGTCGTACGCCGGCAGCACCGGGTACGGGACCGCCGACGGAGGAGGGTACACCCCCGAGTACTGCATGATGGCCGTAGCGGTGGTCTTGTCGAACGGCACGTCGCCGTCTTCGAACGGCGTGGAGACGACGTAGTAGTGGCTGACCGTCATGTTGGCGGTGACGAGGACGTCCATGGTTTGACCGGGAGAGATGACGACGAAAGGGGTGGGGTAAGGTTTGGTGTAGGAGCCGTCGCGGCCGACGACGGTGAGGGTGTGGTTGGCGATGCCGAAGAAGTGCTCCTCGTTCATCACGGCGTTGATGAGGCGGAGGAGGTAGGTTTGACCGGAGTTGACGGTGATGCGGGTGGTGGTTTGTTTTGAGCAGGGGTAGAGGTCGCCCGGCTCGCCGTTGATGGTGAAGGCGTCGGAGGCGCGTGGGTCGCCCCCCGTTGAGAGCGCGTCGTCGATTATGGTTTTTACGTCGCCCTTGAACCATGAGGCTGCATGTGGGTGAAAGTTTATTTTTTTTATTACAATGTTTCTCATTGGATAGGGAAAAAAATTGTACAAATTACTTCTATGCTAGTTCTTGAATTTTATTTTATATAATACGTACCGAGGACAATGGTTTGGTCAGCATAAGGAGCCGGGAAAGGGTAAGTCTTTCCCTGAGCCGGCAAGACGACGATGGCGCCGTGGACGGTGGCTCGGGTCCACTCGCTGTGGGCGTGCCACCACAGCGTCCCTTCTTCGTCGGAGAAGACAACCTCGTACGTGAAGTTGTTCCCGGGCTGAATCGGGCACTGGGTGATGTTTTCCGGCCCGTCCGACCACGGGTTCCTCGGCTGCTTCACCCCATGCCTGCCACGTCACCATTATTATACCATCGTTAACCCTAAAACGAACTAATCAATTTGGCTGCCGGCCGGACGTTCAAGTTTAATTAATTACCAGTGAAGGGTGACGCCATGCTCGCCGTGGTTGTGGACGTTGACGTAGGCGGTATCCCCTCTCCGGACCGTGATGGTTGGACCGGGAAACGATCCGTTGACGCTGATCATCGCCTTGGTGCTGCACAGCTTCGTGAAGTTGGACTCCTTCAGCTGAAAGCGATCGAGTTTCATTATTGGTGGAAATTAGGTATACATAAAAAAACAAATAGCTACGTGTGCGCGCATGCATTAGCAAGTTTAATTTCTTGTGTCTTTCTTAATCCCACCTAACGCAACATTTGCAGCCACTCAACGACGGTGCCTTGTTAGAGAGCTAGGTAATAGTTTTTTTTTTTTTTTTGCTTACAATGAACTCGTAGTAATGAGTGGCGGGCTGAGCAGAAGCGGCGTCAAGGGAGATCAGAGCGACGGCGATGAACAAAGCTGCTGTTATTAGCATCCGGCGGCCGCCGTGGCTTGTTGTTGGAATCATGATGATGATGATGATGAGTTTCCCCTGCATGCGCCACCGTCCTGGTTATCTCTTAACACGGCCAGAACTGATAAGAATCGCGGGCTTTATATATTGTCGTAAGCTAGTTGTTTTGATATTATAATAATAATATTGTTTACGTAAACGTGGACGTATTAGGGAGCCGACTCGGTCATGGTGTATTATTCGAGATATATACTTCAACGTTACGGTAGATGTATAGAAAAAAGAAGCAATAATATCTATCTGACGAGAAAATCTAGACAGTTCAGTGCAGCAAGAAAGAAAGAAATATAAAGAAATTAAGAGGAGAAATGGGGAGATTGGTAGCTAATTCCCTCGTAAGCAACTATCAGAAAAAGGTGGGGTAGTGGGATGGAATGTTTGGATTAACTTGGCACCCAAGATTTGTTTTTGTTTGTCAGTTTGGTTAATTACTAGACATAGTCAACGCATATACATATTCATGAACTTGGACTGAAACCTATAGCCAAGCCGTAGCTTGTTCCTTGTACATAAATACAGTGATACAACGAGTCACGGAAAATCATTTTATGGTCAGTTTTCTCACCAACAAAAGACCAAAATTCAAATTTAATTGATAATAAAATCAGCAACTTAATTAGGTCACATACATACATCGTTTTATATATGTTCCTAATTAGGCAATTCATTCATATTTTATGTACGGAAATGATTAATCAAGGTGATATGGGTCAGTCCACCTGCTTAGTGCTTAACGTGTCTACCACTTCTAGCTAGATAGCTAGGTTGCCGGGGACGACCGTTAATGATTATCTGGTAATCTGAATTCTTCAGTTTGGTGGTGGATAACCATCGGTGGAGCCCGACCGGCACTAATTCATAGGGGTGGAAGTTTGGGTTGCGGTTTGTGGATAAATCGCAAACCGCCCCAACTCGCACTTATTGTAGGTAGTCATATCCACAAGTTGTGGGTAGTGGCTTAGTGGGTTGGGTGTGCCGTGTGGGTAGTAAAATAAAAACTTTTGTGGTTAGTGGTTACCTACTGTCCATTGCGGTTAACTCACAAAATCTACAATAACTAACTAATCATATTTATTTACTAATAATACTTTTATAATATAATAGTATGTGAAAAGTTGTAGGTAAAAAAACTAAAGTAGTCAAATAATCAAATACCCATCTAAGCAGTTCAAAGTGAGAATTTTTTTAGTTTATAAAACACTATAATCGAGAGAGTGGAAAATAATCCATTCATTAAAAGTGGGCACATCTAGTAACACTTTTATCTGTATATTTTTGCTGTGATTTCCACCCCTACTAATTCATGTCACATACATACATGTACATGTATAATAGCGGGTCACTGTTAACTCCGTCGTCTGTAAATACGGTATCGAGCGGGGGCGGAGGTAGCATGTAAATAGGGTGTTCCATGGCACACCCTTGGATCGTGATTAGAACATCAAGAAATTGTTAACAATCACAGAAGCAGACAAATACGATTTGGAAAAGTAAACAGATACGAACACTGAAGTTTACATGGTATCCCTGGACGTGATCCAGGACTAATCCACGGAAGAGCTGGAATGCTCCTCAGTCTACTGTTTTTACTGTGATGAGAAGATGATACATGTTACAGCCGGCTGAACTTCTCCTAACCCTTATATATTAATGCCCTAGGTTTAGGATCAACAATGTACGTCCGAAACCTTGCATGGGCATGGGCCTAATTAATGAGCCAATTAATGAATGGGCTTAAACACTAATCACTCTAACACCACAATATAATCCGCAGCCCCTAGGCCCTTAGTTCGCTAACATCCTCCCCCAAATTGATGCCGATCTCTTAGCATCAATTTGTTTCCCAGATACCAGTGACGACTAGTAGAGAATGCCTTGGTGAATAGGTCTGCGACTTGTTCTTCTGTAGGAAGGTGATGTAGACTAATCGTGCCATCTCGAAGGAGATCTCGAACATAATGCACATGTATCTTGATGTGCTTGGTTCGGTCGTGAAGAACTGGATTAGCAGCAATGCGAATGGCACTGGTGTTGTCAACATAAAGAGTCATAGGTGCAGGACAGGCAACACCAAAATCGGATAGGAGCCTTCGTATCCATACCATCTCAGAGCCAACTTCGGACATAGCGCGATATTCTGCTTCTGTAGAAGATTTTGAAACTTTATCCTGTTTTTGCATCTCCAGGAAATGAAAGCACCGCCAAATTTAACACACCACCTAGAAGTGGAGCGATGAGTATCAATACACCCTGCATAGTCAGAATCAGAATAGGCAGTAATTTCAGCCGAACTAGTCAAAGGAAATAAAATCCCGACATCCTGAGCTCCTTGCAAATACCGCAGGATCCTGTGAACCGCAACAAGATGATCTACACAAGGAGCAGTCATGAATTGACTGACGATCTGAACTGCATATGAAATGTCAGGGCGAGTAGCTGATAGATTGATTAGACTTCCCACGATACTGTGATACTGAGATCCATCCTTCAACCTTTCACCAGAATCTTTCTGTAACTTTAAATTAAGCTCCATAGGAGTCTTAACTGAGTGGCAGTTGTCGAAATTGTGTTCACCCAATAGATCTGAAATATACTTTTTCTGGCTGAGCAAGATCCCTTGATCATTCCGGCTAACTTCCAGACCCAGAAAATAAGAAAGATTCCCGAGATCCTTGATGCTAAATGCTTGTTTCAAACCATCTTTAAGCTGATCAATCCCCGTCGGATCAGACCCTGTGATCACCATGTCATCAACATAGAGTAAAAGAACGACTATGCTAGTAAGAGATACCTTGGTGAATAGAGAAGGATCATTGAGACTCTGCTGAAAACCCAGATCGATAATCGTAGACTGAAATTTCTCAAACCAAACTCGAGGAGCCTGTTTGAGACCATAGAGAGACTTATGCAGTAAACAGACCTGATCTTCTCGTCCAACAGTGTAACCGGGTGGTCGTTCCATATAAATCACTTCTTCTAAATCCCCGTGAAGAAAAGCATTCTTCATGTCGAGTTGATAAAGTGGCCAGTTAGAGAGGGCTGCCACTGCAAGTAAAGTTCGAACAGTAGACATCTTCGCAACAGGAGCAAATGTCTCGTTGTAATCTACACCATGTTCCTGAGTATAGCCAAGTGCAACAAGCCTGGCTTTGTTGCGTTCAATAGTTCCATCGGGTAAAACCTTGATAGCATAGACCCATCGACATCCAATTGTGGGAGGACAAGGAACAAGCCGATCAACTACTGTCCATGTGCGGTTAGCTTCGAGAGCACTGAACTCCTCCTGCATAGCATTATCCCAAATCGGATTTCCATGAGCCTGTTTAAAAGTAGTAGGGACAATAAGAGTGTCAACTCCAAGGGCAAAGTAATCATCAAAATGAGCAGGGGGAATTCCTTTTGTTGAACGTGTTGATCGCCGAAGAGGAGGCTGTGCGGTGGGAGGTGAGGCCGCCGTGGAAGATGCAGATGCACTGCTCGACGAGGAAGACTGAGGGCTGGAAGGGCTGTTGGTCGCCAAAGTATGAGTGATGGGAGAGCTGCCGGCAGCGGAGGACAGAATCGGGGAAGGAGGAGTGACATCAGGATCATCGGATGGCTCACAAGTATCATCCAGTTCATCATCAACAAGGGCAGCCCATTTTTCCCACCAGGAAACTCGAGACCAGAAACCATTTTAGAAGGATAGTACCTAAGATGCTCAAAGAAGGCAACAGAGGCAGTTATTCTCATACGTTGGCTAGAAGGATCGAAGCAAAGATAACCTTTATGGACGCTACTATACCAAGGAACACACAACGAGCAGTTTTAGAGGTTAGTTTTGTTCGCTCACGCTTAGGCAGCAGAACAAAACACAAACAACCAAAAACTCTAAGCTGAGAGTATTTAGGATGACGACCATATAGAGAATAATAAGGACTCGTCTGAGCTAGGACCGGAGTAATTTGATAGTTGATAAGTTTCACAGCAGTAACGACGACCTCAGGCCAGAAACGACTAGGTACAGAAGAATCAAGAAGCAAGGCTCGAGTGAGTTCCATAACATGTCCATTTTTCCGTTCCACTAGACCGTTTTGTCGAGATATACCGGGACAAGACATTTGACTAATAATGCCACGAGAACGATAGACATCATACAAAGGAATGGAGCTAAACTCTCCTCCAGGATCTGAACGAATGATTTTGACAGTTTTGTTGAATTGAGTTTGAACCATATTAAGAAATTCAATGGCAACAGATCGGAGTTCAGATTTGAGACGAAGAAAGTATATCCAAGTGTATCTGGTGGCATGGTCTATAAAAAGAGCAAAATATCGGAAACCAAGACGAGAGACAGTAGGGACAGGTCCCCACAAATCAGTATGAATAAGATGGAAAGGCTCTTTTATAACAGTCGTGCTAGAAGGAAATGAAATAGTAGATGTTTTTGCTTCAACACAACTGGTACAAGAGTGTTCAGCAGGAATCCCAACAACATTCTTGCCTAAAAGAGACTGCTTAAACATGACTGAAAGACGACTTGAGTGTGGATGCCCCAGACGGGCATGCCAAAGTTCCCACACCTTATTTGATAAACAAGAAAATGCCGACGCACTATTAATGTAAGTTTCAAAAGACTGAGAAGGACTACTGACAGACCTAGACACCAACTGAGATTTAGACTGCTGACACGAAGGAAACACTGAACTGGTACTATCTTGAAGCTCTTCCAAGTGAAATATCCTCCCCTGTTTACTCCCCCTTTCCGATCTGCCTCCCCGTCTTCAGGTCCTGTATCACACATCCAGAAGGAGCAAACATAACAGAACATCCCTGCTCAGTAAGTTGACCAACTGAAACCAAGTTTGGAACTAAAGCAGGAACATGTAAGGTACGTGACAAGGATATATTTGGAGTAGTGACTTTACCAATTCCAGCAACTGGCATTCTATCACCATTAGCAACCGTCAAACCCTCATGATTAATAGATTTAATATTCTTGAGAGAGTTCTTATCATTATTCATGTGGTTATAACACCCTGAGTCAATCAACCAAGGTTTGGTTTTGAGTTTACCTTGCATATTAGTCAATGTCGAGCCTATTGCAGTTGGAAGAGAATTTTGTAGGGCGGCTACTGCTTGTACAAGTTGCTCAAGTTGAGCAGCAGTGACCCCTCCTGATGCCGAGCCACTTGATTCTCCAATTTCGGCTGCATAAGCTGGACGATAAGCACGACCAGGAGGACCTCGGGCTGGGTTACCTCGTCCACCACCAGCCTGCTGAGAATTCCCCGCAAATCTCTCGGCATTGCGCTCCCTAGTACGGCATTCCAAAATAATATGCCCCATTCTTTTGCAGTAGACACAATAGTTTCTTCTGCGACAATGTTTAACTAAATGTCCTTTTTCGTGGCAATGATGACATTCCAACTCGGCATTGGGAACACGATTTTGGAACTGCGGACGTGTAACAACGAGCTCTTGTGTATTCGAACCCATACCCGACCTCGCAGAGTGAGCAGAAGCAGCAGTAAATGTCTCTCCTTCTCCTGGACGAACATCAAATAGAGCTTGTGTTCGGAGTCTTGTCTCTTCACGAACAAGGGTGCTAATTACTCCATCAAAGGTAATCCTCTCCTGATTCAGAATGGTAGCTCGTACACTCTCAAATTCAGGTCTCAACCTCATGAGAAATTGCATCACACGAGATTGTTGACGTTCAGCCAGCATATCGTCAGTCACGAATTGGGGACGGAGAGCTAAATGAAGCATATCCTGCTCCGTCCATAACTCTTGAGCTGCATTAAAATACTCGGTGATTGTGCTATCTCCCTGCGTCAGACGAGCAAGGGCAGTCTCTACCTCAAATTGCCGAGCAGCACTTGTTGTGGAATGCAGCCCAGCCAGATGGCGCCACATTCGGTTGGCAGTAGGGAACAAACGGAGGCTAAGGTAGGTGGAAGGATCGACGGATCCCAGCATCCAGGAGCGGATTCGTGCGTCGCTTTGGGCCCAAGTCGAGACCTCTTGTGGCGTGGCTGACGCAGCGACAGGTTGAGGGATCGTGCCATCTAGGATTCCCAGCAATCCTCTTCCTTCCACAAAGACTCGAAACTGGAACTCCCAAAGCGAGTAGTTCGTCGAAGTGAGGCGCACGGTTGGCCTCTCAAAATCAGTCACGGTGGGCTCTGATACCATGTTAACAATCACAGAAGCAGACAAATACGATTCGAAAAAGTAAACAGATACGAACACCGGAGTTTACGTGGTATCCCTGGACGTGATCCAGGACTAATCCACGGAAGAGCTGGAATGCTCTTCAGGCTACTGATTTTACTGTGATGAGAAGATGATACATGTTACAGCCGGCTGAACTTCTCCTAACCCTTATATATCAATGCCCTAGGTTTAGGATCAACAATGTACGTCCGAAACCTTGCATTGGCATGAGCCTAATTAATGAGCCAATTAATGAATGGGCTTAAACACTAATCACTCTAACACCGCAATATAATCCGCAGCCCCTAGGCCCTTAGTTCGCTAACAGAAATAAGGGTATTAGTTTATGGCTTTATGCTATAACTAGGATTTGAACATGGAACCCCCTTATTATTAGCTTTGGTGTCTTACATTAAACTACAATTACTTATGTGATACACCAATACGTTTTATTGTATATATATAATTAATTTACGTTTACAAATAATTAGTAAATTAAAAAAATGATAATTGTATCCTTATTCAAGCAGTAATCGGAACGTTAGTCCTAACAAGCAAGACTCTCCCATTCCCACCTTTCATCTTCCTTTGTTCTTCTTTCCCTTTTGGCAATTAACTACGTGAAAAACATTCTTCGGAGTGGAATGAGTGACGATACCATGAATGATTTTTTGGTAGGATACATTGAGAGTGACATTTTTGATAGTCTGTTTGATGAATGTATTTTACAGAGTTTTCAAACTATGAGAATTCGTCATGGGCCACACTTAAAAATTGATAGTCACTTTAATTTTTTTAAGTTGGCACCCCCCTTACCCAAAATCCTGGCTACGCCACTGGTATCGAGTCTTTCTGACTAGCAACGACTGGAGGATCAGTTGTGCGAGATTTCATAATATCCCTTATCGGGTAAAAATTTCTAATCCAAACGACCCGAAAAGAATTTCAACCCTTTAGTACTCTCCGGTTAAAAAAAAATTGAAAAAGAAAACTAAATCATTGCTTTCTTTATTATTGTCGAAACATATTAGCACTTATCATCTATGTGTACTACATGAATACAACATCGAATTGTCTCACTCTAGCTACCGAAAACACTACTCGAAAGAAATCGAAACACATCAGAAGTTGACATTGGACCAGTAAGTCTGGCCGGGAGTCCATCCGTAGGGAATCACATTCTCCGCCACCACGCTCCTCTTCGACGTCGCCGACGTCAGCCGGAACGACAGCGGCGCCCTCAGCGCCGACCCGGAGTTGAGCTTCCACTGCGCCCCCCACGACCGCTGCATGGGAACCCACGGGTCCGAATTCGCCGCCTGCTTCATCTCCACGTACCCGAGCTCGCCGTCGCCGTTCTCGAACTCGATCACCGTCGCCAGGTAGAACTGGTTCGACCCGGCGTCCACCGCGAAGCTTATCGTCGTCCCCGGGTAAAAGCACGGCACCCTGCATTGCCACTAATACGTTAGTTAATCTACAAACATAAAAAGATCGCGGTTTCACTATACTTAAAAAGATAAAAATTCCAGAGGAGCTGAGCAGGTAACAAAAATTACAAATAATTGGTGTTTAAGAAAACCGGATCGAGCCGGTTGATCTGACCGGTAAAACCCTACAGCATTTGGTCACCAAATCGGCCAGGTTTCAGTGGTTGACCACTTGAAGGACGAACCGCGGCGACCAACCGGTTCACATTAAGGGGAACTTATTTTGTTTTGGATCTATAGTTTAGTGTATTATCTATTATGATATGTGTGTTTATTTATGATATTCTTATTTATAAGATATCAGTTTACTAACGAATTTTTACCGGATTAATATCGATTAAACCAGTAAAATATGAACCTTTCGTCCTACCGATTCATATTTTGTTTCGGTTTTAACAACATTACATATAATTAATTAATTAATTTATCAGTAAAATTATCGTGACTTCCAATCGATAATAGATAATTAGAATTCAACTCATAAGAACAAAGGTTTTGACGAAATTTGTAAGGAATGGTTTTAATTAATTAGATCTTTAATTACGAACCTGCGATGCTGGATTTGCAATTGGCCGGCGGCGCGGAGTTGGTCGGCGGCGCCTTGTTTGGCCATGGCGCCGAAGGCGGTGCCGCTGAGGTCGAAATGGGCGGATTCCGCGTCGCAGGGTCCGCCTGGGCACTGGTCGGCGATAACGACGGTGACCGGGGACCCTGAGCAGGCTTGGTTGGATGTGCATTTCACCTCATAACAAGCGCCGCATCCTTCGCCGCCTTGGAAGAGGGAATTCCCCCCGGCGGCTACCATCGAGTTCAACGGCGGGGATCTCACCGAACTGCCGAAACCACAAGCTCCACCTGCATGCATGGCGTATCCACGTGAATAAATAACAATAGACGTGATTGCATCATTAATCATTACTGTATGCGTGAATAAATATCAATATAATGTGAATAAACACAAATTTATAAGAAAAAACACAAAAAATGCATGAATTGGGTGTTGTGACGCTTTAGAAGCCACCGAACAAACATTTTTTTTTTCAATAAATAATTAAATCTCAAACTACATGGCCGAAATTACGCACCATCGGTACCGGCACCGGTAGGGGGCCCATACCAGGTGGCGCCGGCGTCTGACCAGTCGGCGCCGGCGGCCGATACGTTATGGACGGCATTCAAACCGACGCAGAACAGCGAAGTAGAAGAAGAAAGGGACAGAACAATAATAACTAGTTGAACAATGAACAAAGGAAAGGCATAATTAGTACAAGAAGCCATTGTAAATGCGAGGAGAATTAATTATTAGTATACTGTTACTATTCAGTATTAACTCAAGCTTATGATACAAAGCCCAGGGGATAAGAGCAGTAATATTTATAATGGATTCAATATGGCTTTAGAATATATTGATTTTGGTAATATTATTTTGGAGGTTCATATATGATTTATTACAATCCCATATGTCTATTCCAAAACAAGGTAAATTATCTTGGCCCTAAAAAAACAAGGTAACTTAATTATCAAAATTCATATGTATTATCTTGCTGTATTTGGATTACTTTTGCTTGGAAAATATTGTTCATGTAGTTTCCAAAAATTAAATCCAGGTTCCCATGTTTAAAAAAATGATATTTGTTTGATATTTAAATAAAATTTTGGCAAACAATTCATTACAAGTTGTCATAGTACATTCCCCCCTTGTGCCAGATAATTTTATTATTTCGGAAGAACTATAAATTTAATTATGGGTCTTTTTTGAATTTACCATATATGCATTGTAGTTTTCATGGAAATGGTAAATTTTTATAGCTTTACAACACAATAATAAAATTACTATGATAGGTTCTATTTTTAAGCTAGTTTTTTTTTTTTTTTTTTACAGTGAGGAATGGATAGTGTGTGAAGTATATGTGAATACTTTGTTACTTGGTTTAGTTGATAGATTGGGGTCATATTTATAAGCACAAGGTGGGATGAATGTGTGAAGAATACATGAATATGTAGTTGTAGTTAAGTACATGAATAATCACAGATATAATTTGATGTATGATATATAGTTACTAGGTAGGATAAATGTGTTGATTAATAGTATTTTTGTATACATGAGTTGAACAAATAAACATTGAGAAATGTCGTATGTGGGCTATTCTTTTTTCCTTCTCAATGATTTAGGTTCAATCCTGAAAAAATATCATAAATTTTGTATTTTTAGCTCTACTCATTGTAATTCGTGAATTCGGTACGCCAATGCGCAAAGGTTACCATGAAGAAGACTTCTACACATCCAATGATGGCCAACATATGCATTACACACAAGTTGTTATTCATTTTCTTGGTACTGGAGTTGCATACAAAATATGTATGGGCAACTGGTTCGGTAAAGCCGAACTGGACCAACATAAGAATATGACCACGTTGAAGCAGTAATTGAATCAGAAGATTAGTTCGGTAAACCCTAACTGGACCAACATATATACTCAACATATATACTCAAGTATTAACAATCTAGTGAATGAAAAAATGATTGATTTAGACAGTGGTTTGGAAAATGTTTTTTTGGATTTGTTTCCCCCTCAATATACAAATTATCCCATGTAAATTCAATCTAACTAACCAATTTCAAAACAAAGTCACATCCCGCTGTAATGATCAAAACTTAATTTGTACATTTTCGTACCATTGAACTCTATCAACTTTCAATTCTCAATCTTCATTTTTCACGTCTTGTTAAGTATTGAAAGTAATCAATTGTTCTCAAATTACAACCAAGATGGACCACACAAATTAATCATACTTTCTCGACGATTTATCTTAGTGATTCTCGTGTTTGGTGATCAAGGAAACCTAGGCGTCGTTTGGTTTTGGTGATTGTTTGATTGGGATAGTTACAATGCATGCATTATCCACAATGCTTTATTTTTTTTTTAATTTTCTGCACAAACTATACATGTATTGTTTGTTTGATGTGATGGAAACAATCACTCAAAATGAGTGATAGTACTATATCTCAAGTTTTTTGTGAGATTGTTTGTTTGAGATTGTTGGAGTGTTTTCTACTTCCAATTATGTCCCTACCTTTTGATGTGTTTTGCTTTTTTATATTAAAAACAAAGGGTAAAAGTGACATTTCACCCAGAAAGCAATATATCTTATTTAAATACTAGAATAACTATCACAGAAATCAAATGATATAAACTACAATACATCAATTTCTTATATATGGGTATATTATTATGCATGTATTGATAACAATGCATCTATTTAACTATCATCAAAACCAAACGACCCCTAGTGTTCAATGGAAATTTCAACAGAAGGGCATGTTTGATAATTTTTTCAAAGTACAGGGGCATATTTGATGTAAAAAATAGTAGAGGGGCATATTATACCTATAACCCTTTCTGAAAGGTAGGGTCTCTCCTTCGTGCCAGAAACAAGATAAACAAACACAAGAGATATTAGTTCAATCGCGAGAAATTCATAAATTAATTTATTTTAAAGAGATTTAGGATTTTATTTTTATCGAATATTCCATCATTCCAAACAATGAGTTTTTTGGTTCTTCATTAAAGCAAACAAAGGACGGAAGGATGTAATTAACTCAAATGAACTAACTAATCGAATAAACCAAACCCTACTAAAAAAATATAGAAATATGACGATAGCCGGTACTTGCCGAGCACAAATCACCCACAAAAAAACAATAGCAACGACGTGAAAATGAACCACATAAGAGTAGACCACAAAATATGGGGATAGCCGGTACTTGCAGAGCAAGCACTCGTCGGGATATAATCGTAAACTATCGGCTTTATTAGTGGGTAATTAACATAAATGGTCTCACACATTTGCACTTAGTACAAAACATTCACAAATCTTTAATTTGTAACGATATGGTAACAAAAGTTTTAAATTGTATGAAATGGTCACTTTTGCATAATTTGTGACCGTTTTGTATTAAGTGCAAAGGTTTTGTTACCGAGTCGTTACAACTTACAAATTAAATTTTGTGACCGTTTTGAGGTAGGATCGTGTGTTCATCAAGTATATGACACTAACCACTTGAATGACATGTGTTGTTGGGTCGTCTGTTCATCGATATACTAGTTTTGCCGAATAAGAATGTCATATATTTACCTTTCAATTCCAATACCAAGAACGTAAGAAAGCAATCCAAGTTTTTTCAACTAAAAAGCAACATGCAACCCATTTGTGAGTCGCTAAATTCCCTCGCCGTCATCCTTTGTTTTTTTTTCTTCATCTTATTAGTATTGTCATCCTGTGTTACGATCATATCATTCTGCATAAATTAACAAATCCACCATACCCCGACTGGAACGAATTGTGAGTGATTGCTCGTTTCAACCTTTGAACGGTGTACAAAACGGTCGATCGCCAAAAGTTTAATTTGTAACGACACGCGGTAACAAAAGTTTGAATTTAATCATTTTGTTTGTTTGCGACCGTTTTGTTACAAGTACAAACGTCTGTTACCATATCGTTACAAATTAAAAATTTGTTACCCTTTTCTACCTAAGTGCAACGGTTTATTCTAATAACCCCTCAAGTTATTCTATTTTCCTACACCCTTCTACACTTCTCGTAAATTCGGCGCGAGGGCATTCAGATCTAGGAGAAAGGGCGCCGAATCGAAGCAGTGATCGCTAGTTCTCCTTTCCCGATGTCTTCTTCTTCTTCTTCTTCTTCTTCTTCTTCAGACGGTGACGGGGATGTTAAATGTTCACCCTCTCTCTTTTCCTTTGGCTTGAGTCGTAATTTTTTTTTTCCAAGAAATGTCAAAAGAGAGAACTATACAAACTACCCGAACACCTCCCAACCTATTACATCAATGAAGCCACCCAACAAAATCGAAAGAACATAACTCAAGAGGAGAAAGAAGCAGGGCTTTCTGCGCCACTCTATGGGCAGCCCTGTTAGCAGTCCGAGGCACTGCTCTAAACTCTAAGGAGACAGAAGCAGAAGCAAGGAGAAGGAAGCAATCCCGAAGCACTGGTCCTCCTAAGGAATCAGAAGAATCACCCTGACGAAGCTGACGAACCACCACTTCAGAGTCTCCTTCGATGATGACACGAGGTAGAGACTTGGAGACCAACAGGGAAATGGCGTCTCTGGCAGCAAGAAGCTCTGCTAGGTAGGGATCAGTAATGCCAGAGTGCTGAAAGCCTACTGCCAAAGCTACATGCCCGTCTGCTCCACGAATTACTAGACCAGACGAACAACCGGAAACACGAACTGCAGCATCAAAGTTGATCTTCAAAAAATCATCAGGAGGAGGGACCCAGGAGAGGAGGCGAGAACTTGGAGGATGGCGAGGAGGGGCAGGCGCAGGAGGAAGAGAAGAAGAGACTTCACGGACATGGAAAAAACATTGGCGGGCTAGAGACTGGGCATGAGGTTGTAAATGCTCAAAAACCACCTTATTTCGAGACTTCCAGATTCTCCACAATACGCAAACGTACAGAAGAACATGGGTTTGGGGGTGCTCAGAAAGCATAACATGTCGCCACCAGAGACTGAAATTCACAGTCGGGGCCGAGGTAATAAAGTCATTTAGGCCCATAAGCGACCACAATCTGGTGGCCAAGGGGCATCTAAAGAATAGGTGTTCAATACTTTCTGGACTTCTCCAACAAACCGGGCACCGGGTACGACAATTAATCCCTCTAGACTCAAGTGCCACCACAGTTGGAAGAATTACTCTTAGACATTGCCAGATGAAGAATTTTAATTTTGGAGGAACCTCAATATCCCAAGTTTTCTTCCAGATAGGGGTATCTATAATTTGCACCAGGGGTTTCCGACTCGAGACTAAAGAAATTTCTAAAGCCAGGTGGTATCCCGATTTAACTGTATAGGCGCCATTTTTTGTAAAGTGCCAGATTCTTGTGTCTCTTTGTTGACATCTAGGAAGAGGAGTTTTGCAAATAAGACTAACAGTAATGGGATCAAAACAGTATTGAAGCCTTGGGATATGCCACTCTCCTCCACTTCCTCTAATAAAGAAGGAGACTCTTGGGGAGTTTGTTATATTCGAAAGGCGAACCAAAGGAGTGATGGGTTTCTCAGAAGCGACCCACTTGTCCTTGAAGGCTACAATGTCTTGTCCATCTCCAACTTGCCATCTTAACCCTTGGAGAAGGAGGTCTCTTCCAAACAAGATACTACGCCATCCCCAAGAGGGCTTGGAACCTAGGGTAGCATCTAGTATTGACCCTTGATGAAAATATCGACCTTTATATATCGATGCCAGAAGAGAATCCGGATTCTTCCAGATCCTCCAACATTGTTTAGCTAACAGAGCTTGGTTAAAGGCACCAAAGTCCCTGAATCCTAGACCACCTTGAAACTTACTATGTGCTAAACTTTTCCAGGAAACCCAGTGGATTGGATGGTCCACATTATCTGCCGAACCCCACCAAAATCTAGCTACGTGACTATTTAACCGCCGACAATTTTCTTTAGGGATCTTAAAACAAGACATGCCATGGACTGGTAGATTGGTAGCTGCTGTCCTAATCAAAATGTCTTTACCTGCTTTAGACAGGGTTCGTTGCTTCCATCCTTGAAGTTTTTTAATGAGCTTCTCTTCCATGAATTGAAAAGACTCCTTTTTTGATCTAGCAATAGTTGACGGAAGGCCCAAGTACCGGTCTTGTTCTCCAATGCTACCCACACCTAGTTGTGCCCCTAATTCTAAGGCCAGGTTTAGATCCATATTGCGGCTAAATAAGACCGCTGACTTTTGTAAGTTGACCCGCTGCCCACTCAATCCTTCATAGGCTTGGAAAAGAGAGAGAATTGTTGTGCAAGATTGCGAGGTAGCTTCTAAAAAGAGATAGGAGTCGTCTGCAAAGAATATGTGGGACACCATTGGGCATGATGCCCTGATCCTAACCCCCTCCACGTACCCCATATCTATTGTATGTCTTATCATTGCTGAAAAACCTTCTGCACAAATGGCAAATAGTAGGGATGAGAGAGGGTCTCCTTGCCGAAGGCCTCTTGATGGACGGAAGTAACTGGAGGGAATTCCGTTCACCAGTACCGAGTAGGAGACTGTAGTTACACATTCCTGTATCCAAGATATAAACTTTTGGTCGAAACCCAATTCCTTCATTATTTCGAAAAGGAATGGCCATTCCACTCGATCGTATGCCTTTTCCATATCCAATTTCAACGCCATCCAAGTTTTTCGTCCAGAGGGCATCGTTCGGAGATGATGAGTTACCTCATGGCTTATTAAAATACTGTCTGAGATTTGACGTCCTTTTATGAAACCATTTTGAGTCTGAGATATTATGCTTGGAAGGACTCGACTGAGTCTATTGGCCAGGATCTTAGCTATTATCTTATAAATTACTTGACAAAGACTAATGGGTCTGAGATTTCTCATGGATCTAACTTCCGTTGTTTTTGGGACAAGGGAAATCCATGTTCTATTGATAGATCGAAGGAGATGTCCAGAATGAAAGAAAGCTAGGACAGCTTGGATGACTTCATTGCCGACTATATCCCAATACGCTTGATAAAACCCTGCTGTAAAACCATCTGGACCCGGAGCTTGAGTCTTACCCATGCCAAAGATTACTTCTTTGACTTCTTCAGGTGTAACCGGATGAATGAGGGCCCGATTCTGTTCTTCAGTAACTAGTCCTTCAAACGGCAAGTTAGACAGGTTAATGCCTTCAGTGAGTTGGGTTTGAAATAAAGATTGATAAAATTCTACTGCTATGTTCAGTTTTTCATCCCCATCCGTGCACCAGAGACCTCTAGAATTCTCTAAGCCCCAAATGAAGTTGGCTTGCCGTCTAATTGCCGTTATCATGTGGAAATAAGGAGTATTGCGATCCCCTTCCGTTAGCCAGTTAACCCGAGATTTTTGTCTCCAATAGATTTCTTCCATTCTATACTGGAGATCAAGTCTTTCCTCCAGTTCTTGAATCAGTTTCCAATCAACTACTATGTTTTTCCTAGCATTATCAAGAGCTAGATTGAGGTCTTTTATTAATCTGCCTGAATTTGATGTTCCTCCTTTGCACCAATCTACTAATGCATGTCGGACTCTGAGTAGTTTATAAAACAAGCAAAATTGCAATGACCCATTTATTGGTGTATTCCAGACATAGTCAATGATGAGTTTTGTTTCAGGCATTCGGGCCCACCTTATGTCAAAATGAAATAGGCGTTTGGCTCTTGACATTTCTGGAATAGTCATAAGACACAGGAGTCTGTGATCTGATCCTTTATCAGAAAGATGATATAGGCAGGAATTAGGCCAGGTATGCCACCAATTTGTAGAAACAAAGGCTCTATCGATCTGTTGTTCTATCAAAACACCATTTCTGCCCCGATTAGTCCAAGTAAATTTGGGTCCTTGAATTCTTACTTCCAGAAGCCCCATGGAGTTGATAAATTCCCAAAGAGGTCGAGCTTTGTCCATCCGCCACAGAGCCCCTCCTGATTTCTCTAGCGGGGATAGTGAGCAATTAACATCTCCAATTATAAGAAAAGGATCTGACAATCTAGCACAGAAGTTCCTAAGATCCTCTAATTGGGATCGTCGTTTAGAAATTACATACGAGAGGTAAACACCAATTAGTACGAACCGGGGACAAGCACCATAGCAAAGGGAATTATTATTGATGACCGAAATGGCAATAAAGAAAGGGGTTGAGCCAATGATTGAGACTGAAGCTCCTCTTGGCCAACCAAATACTAGACCCCCCGACAAGCCGGAAGGGTTAACAGGAAAACAATCAGAAAAACCCAATCGAGACATAAAAGACTCTACTTTATCACTAGGAGACATAGTCTCACAAAGAAAGAGAAATGACTTAGCCAAATTTCGGTGAGCTTTTAGCGTTTGGAATGTCAAGGTACTCCCCACCCCTTGACAATTCCACGCGTAAACATTCATTTAGGATTTTGGGGCCAATTGGGGTTGGCTACCTCCACCCTTTTTCCTTTAACCTTGTCTTTCTCGCTTGGACTCTTTGGAAGGGAGTTAACCACTCCTTCTTCTGGCTCTTGGATACAGACCCCTACATTTCTCCGAATGTAGACTCTTGGGGACTCTGACGATTCTATCAATATCGCTTTCCCCTTTGATTTTCCATCCGCGACGCATCCTATTGGAGAGCATGAAATGGCTGTATCTAACCCATATGACGGGGATGGAGCTTGGACTTGGAGGGGTGTGGGCTCTAACACCAAGTGTTGAGCAATTTGGGCTGCTTCAGAATCTTTGGGCCCATTTTCTATTTCTTTGCAACCATCCTCATTCAAGGGTTGGCCCATTAGCTTCTCCGGCCCAGAGGAGGAGCCCAGCCCGTCCATCTTCGCCAATTGGCCCACCGGTCTGTCTGCACCTCGTCTCTCCCGACGGGAGTCCCGCGGCGGCAGCCCCTGCCCTCTTCCAACTGAGTTTTCTCCGCAGAACCGAGAAGCCGCCTCAATCAGCATCGTGTTGGATCGGGAATAAGGTGCGGCTCGAGCTCCGTGGCGCCACACGTTCCCGCCCCAATTCCTTCCTCCTTTCCGAGCGGTGGCGTAGGAATTTTCGTTTAATTTCGGACCTGTTCTGTTCCCGATAATCTCAGGGCCGAATCCATCCTCGCCTGTCACCAAATCGAATGAACAGAAGCTCTGGTTGTGCCCAATTCTTCGGCACCTGAAGCAAATAGTTTTGATGTTTTCGTACTTGAGAGATACCCGGAAAGGTTCTCCCAACGAGCCATCTGCGTTCCTCTTCCTGGCTTCCAACCGATGTTGCAAGGGGGATGAGACGTCGATCAACACTCTTGCTTTGAACACACAACCTGGGTTCTCCCAGACCGCGTACATCCCAGCGTCAACGACGGTACCCAACTGAGAGGCGAGGAGCCTTCCTAGCGCGACCGTTCTATACTCTTCAGGCAGATTCCAGAGTTGGACGAGGTAGGGGACGCGTGCAAGCTCTTGGAAAACTTGCTCAGAAGGTGTTTCCCACTTTTTTAAGGTGAGGATCTTCGAGTGGAGGAACCAGGGAGCTTTCCCCAGTGCTTCTTGGCGATCGGTGGCGTTCGAGAAGACTAATTCGAATAGTCCATGGTCTGCATCTAGGACTGTAACTGGAGCTCTCTTTGCCCACAAGTTGTTGGCGGTGTGCTGAACACGAGTTCTGGACGGGTGGGACGAGCACATCAGCCTTCCTACCAAGCTCAGGTGAGCCCTATTTTGGCCGGCTTCCAGCACTTCATCGTTGAACACAACTGGGCCTGCCATTGATTGGAAATGGTAAAACCAAGATGGCTCTGTTTTTCTTATCGGGAAACAGGGGAATATGCTAGGCACTGTAATGAGGAAAGTTGGGTCTATTTGGAAATTTTTTATAGAGCCTTCTTCTTTTAGGAAAGGGAGCCGGATTGAATTATGTTTCTGGGCAAAACTCTGGGCAAGTGTTTCGGGCTGCAATTGAGCAATTTGGGGATTGATTTTCAATTTCCGGCCGTTTTTTGACCCGTTTTCTGGGTTTTTAATGGAGTTCATTTCTCCATTAATTGAATTTTGCGCTTTGATTACGCAGTTTGGGGCAAGGATCGACCCCTTTGCGTCCCTAAGGGAGCGCTTTACAAGTTTGAGCAGAGCTCTGACTTCCTCAATTAAAGTCGGCAGGGGCATTAAACTCCTTAAATCCAATTCTAATATAGAAAGTAACGGCTGGGAGGTCATTGATTGTAATCGGCGGTCAGCCCATTCTTCGTCGGCGCGCGATCTTGGCTGGAATCCCTGAGTGCAATGGCGGACGATCTTGTCGAGATCAGTGGCGTGAAGAGTGGAGACGATTTCGTTCAGGGAAAGAAGGGATTAGATTTGGGAAGAGTGGAGTCGTAATTGTAATCCATGAAAGAAGGCCTCGCTCGATCTAGGGTTTTCGTTTTTTTTTTGGGCTGATTAGTGGTCTTTTTGTGAAGCAGGTTCTTGGGTAGGTGAAATGATCCGCGCTATACAGAAGATCGATGCTGAGAGAAAAGTGTTGATGGATGAGTTGTTTGCCGTTGACATCAGACTCGAGGAGAAGAAGAACGCATGGGCCGATGAATCAGAAATCGAAGCCCTGGAGGCTGACTTCGAGGAGATAATCCAGGTTATCCTCTCCAAACTGAAAAGCTTGGAAAAAATCACTGATGAATACGAGACCAGTTTCGGTAGGAAGCTTGAGGCTCTCAAAAAGGAATTTGAAGCTTTGTTAGAAAAGGCGGACCTTTAAGGAGTCCTTGTTGCGCTAGGGTTACTGTTCGCTTTTTCTGGTTTGTTTGTTCTTGGATGGATGATTTTCATCGATTCCAGCAACAGAGAGGGGGGCTGCACAGGGTTGTTTCTGTGCGGATTTCCGTTCTTCTTTCTCTCTCCCTCTCTCGTTTTGCTTCGGTTAATTTTTTTTAAACGTTTGGTTGGTCGTTTTATTAGTACGAAACACGGTGTACAGAATTACAATAACACTGAAAGGAAACAGTGGGATAACAAAGGCCCGAAGCCAAATAACCCAAACCCGGTCCAAACAAATGGACAAGCCCACCCTAGCAACCATAACCCAGCGGCCCAATCATCACAAGAAGAAGGCTGCCAACAGCATTCCCCTTCACCGATCCACCGCCACCTTCAACCTTTGCCACACATGGTCCTTGGCCGGAAAAACGTTGGAGGAAGCTGAGTCACTACTCCGAACACCGATGACTCCATAGAAAGACGGTGAACGGCCAGAAGAAGAAAACCGCAGAGCCGCCGAGGAGAACCGTACCCAGAACGGGATCCGAGATCCACCTGCAAACTCGAGAAACAATCCCGACCACGGACAGAAGAATGATGACAGAATCGCCACCGATCAGAGCAAATCGGCAGAAAACCAACTTCAAAGATAATTTCCCTGCTCACAAGCTCTCTGAAAAAACATCCAAGACAACAACGGTCCATACATCTCCGATTCATCCCCATTTATGGATGGATCTTGTGGAGGTAGATGATAGACCAGAGAGGAGCAAGCGAATCGACAAATCGGCCCCCTCAAACACCTACCATGGGAACATCCATATAGATCTGAAAAACAGACATATAGGGAGCAAAAGTATCTCATTGAGAGATAAGATAATCATCACCACTGGGATGGAAGAGGTGCCGAAAGGAAAAAAAATATCCCCAAAAGGGGAAGGAAGGAAAATGACAGAGCCAAGGGGAAAGAGACCGAAAACCAAAATGCAGAAAAGGGAAAAGGAACCTAACTAGAAACAAACGAAAAAGCACAAAAGGAAAGGCCCGCCCCCGGTCGCCGGAATCGGCGCCGGTGACAGCCCCGGGAAAACTTGCATGACAAGAACCCTAGAGGCTAGAGAGAAGGCAGAGAAATTTGAAAAAGGGGAGAGAAGCGTATCTCTATCTTTGTTACCTACTACTGTCATCCATCATTCGCTTCAGTGATTTTATGTAAAGCACTTTTGTAGTCTTCACGATAACTCCTCCGTGAATCTGTCTCGCTTTAGGCCAAGATTGTTAAATCCTTATTGAACCCCCGATTGGACTCAGTCTGACCATAGTCGTGTTTCAAACGGCCTCCGGAAAGCCCTCCGGTCTGACCCCTAAAGAGTGAGAAGAAGAGAAGGGGAAGAGAGGAAGAGAAACGAAGGAACGAGATTTGAGTTTATGTCATATTTCAGGGCTTAGCGTTGGCATCGAGACGAAGGAACGAGATTTGGGTCGAAAGGAGCAAGTGAGGTTTGAAGTGTGTTGGAGAACAAAAATACCCGGCCGGGTATTATTTGGCGATGACCGGGGACTGAAGCTTTGGGCGTCTTTGAGAAACAGAAGGGGGCCCGGGCAGGAGGCAAAAATCCCCGGTCGGGGATTCTTGGCCATGATCGGGGATTTTCCCCTGTCACCCGACGGTGCGTTTTGCACATACCGGGTCGCCACCCAAAATACCCGACCGGGTATTTAGGCCGGGGATTGCGACAAACAGCTTCTTAAGGGGAAAGAAGGCTAAAAATCAAGGGTTCCGAGTTTTAGAGAGACAGAGCGATTCCTAGAGAGAGAAAGCGACGAACCAGAGTTCCCAAGTGCCCTAGCTTGATCTTCATCGCCATTGGAGCCCGGCTTGAGCTTGGAGAAGTGTCGATCGACAACCAGGAGTAGAAATCCATCCTTCACAGTATGGTTTCCGCATCTGAATCTGCTTTTGCTTCTCTCTCCATGGAGTAGTTTTCCCATTCATCTGGGTATGGAGAACCCTAGATTTGTATGTTAGGTCTGATTGTATGAACCCAAGTACAAATTTTATGATTTGATTATATTCAATTGAGGCTTGAATGATTGAATGACTTGGATCCTGATCAAAACTATGTTATTTCTACTTTAGCCTAGAAAGAGAATATCTGCCTAGGTTAATAGAGCACCCTTAATTGAAGGTAGTGAATTGGCGACTTTAGTCGAGGAGCCAGTTCACTATTCTGTACCGAATTTGCTTCAATAGTGGAGGTGTGGTTCGTTAGGGCCTCAATCTGTTTACTCCGATGGAGGTTAGTCGCCCGCTGGGGACTCAGATTGAGAGGGTCTGGAGACCTTTAGTCGAGACTTCAGACTGTTTAAGAACCTTCCGCAGTATAACTATCATAGAAACTGAACTTGGTAATTGCAATCCGGCTTAACTGCAGTCTAGGGGGAACCATATCCGGGTGACCTCTCTCGACTTGATAACAACCGTTTAATTGCTTGCTTTACTTGTTTGCTTGTTTGAACCTGCACTAAAGTTTCACCGCTAGATAATAAGAATTCACTGAGTAGTCATCACATCTAGGACCCGAGTTGATATTAAAACCCAAACCCGCTATACTACGCTTTAGGAAGTGGTTACACTTGGTCATTTTCTAGAGTGACAGTAGGAGTGAGTCAGTTAGGTAGATTTATTTTGTAAAAAATAAGTTATTAATAGATATATGTAAGATATATTTTATTTCAGTCATTAAATCTTTAATTATTACCTTATTTGTACATGTATTTAGAAAACGCCTAAAACGGCTCAAACAGGCCGGATCCCGATCAGACCATTAAACCTCACACCCTTTGCTTAACCGGCTCAATGACTTAAACCAGTTTGATAACCTTGCTTTAGGCTCTAACGTTTCTCCACTCTCCATTAATAGTCTCGATATGAAGTAGTATTAGAACTACTTCGTTACTTATAATTACTATAATGTGGTTAATCTTGCGATATTGTTGAACACCGTGGCGTTGTTAAACTTGCAACATCACTCACACTGTGATCGATATTGCTCGCTGTGAAACCCGAGATGTTGTTTTCGAATCCAGCTTCAGAACGGAGGTGAATGCAACTAGGCACAGTTCAGAGAGTAAGGATGACAAGTCAAGTGTGAAAGTGTGGATTCCTGAACATGGTGAGAAATGGCAGAAATTAATTAGAGAAGATAGGTATGTTTGAACACGTATCTGATATGTTCCAACGTTTTTAAGCAAGTGGCCGCAAGAGTTGTGGTTGCTATCTTTATTATTATTAGTAGGATATTAAAATACCGGTTTGTACGGATCACTATTTCTTAGTGTCCATCTCAAGTCTAATGGGCACAATCTTATGGTTCTTCATTATCTACATATGGTCTCTTCTTCCTAAGTGTTCATTTTGTATGAACTTTTAGTTTAATGTTTCTATTCAGCGATAGTGGTTATTGGGAAGAACCTATTGAATCAATTATTCAGGCTCATAATAAATCAAAAGATAGCTCATGCTTTTAACATCCCATCGTCATATTCCGAGCTCCTAACAGAAGCACTCGATCTCCAACCTTACGAAATGAGAGGCCATCAATTGGAATGGTCTTTTTATTGGTCATTGAACTTTTTTTGTATGGACACCTACGAGGATTGGTGGGAGGGGGAGTAAGGTTTGTTGAACGTGGTATTTCTGATCCAGATTGCATCGTACTATTGTGATCTGAACAATATAGTATATGATATGGTGCATGATCTGTATTCTAACTTCTAAAAAACCGAACCCGAACGGACACCCCTACTCAGACCATCCACAATGTGGGAGGGTGGGAAAGGTGGGAAAAGAGGGAAATGAGAAGGTTTGGTCACAATGTTAGTATGGGAAAAGGGGGTAATTAGTTGAACACTTTTTTTATAAAATCAATTTATAGTTGATTTCAACATTTTATTTTTATATAATGATCATTATTTTTATATAGTTAGTGATAATTAATGAATACGAACATTTCGATATAATTTTTTTCTAATTTGAACATAATTTTTTCATCACTAATTAACGTCATTAATAACGAAATTGCAATAATTTATACAAGAAAGTTGTTACATTGATAGTTGAACCTAAACATAATTAAGAAGAAATAAAAGCAAACAAATAAACACTAAACCCTAAAAACAAACACTAAACTATTAAAATAATAACAAAAAATAAAATAAAAACAAACTTACGCGGCCCCACCCCTTCCACTTCCCCCACCTTTTGTCTTCTTCTGGTGGGGGAAGTGTCTGGTTGACTGGTTGAAACTGAGTAGATTTTCATCCTAGCATCTTCCTCGCTGCAAAATAGTGTCTGGTTGAAACTGAGTAGATTTTCATCCTAGCATCTTCCTCGCTGCAACAAGGATTTCTCATTACAACACTAAACCCAAAAACCCAATTCGAACGTAAATAGTAATTGCTCAAAATATACCTGCCAACGACCTGAGCTAGGGTTTTGATGTAGCTGTCGATGATGTCATCCCTAGTAGGGTCTCCCTCCGGCTTCTCCATCACCACGAGCCAATGCTCAAAATCGCAGCCATCCGGCAAAATTGTCTCCTTCGGGGGCCTGTTCGACCAGTTTGGGCTAGGATCGTTGAGCGAGGAAGAAGTCGTCCGTGTAGCCAGGCAGCGATCCGAGGCGGAGGCGGAGGCGGAGGCCGGGGAGCGATTCGCGGAGACGGCGGCAAGAGGTCGGAGAGCGCGGAATATAGGGTGAGGTCGGTGCGAGGAAGAGACAGCGGAAGAGAAAGATCGAGAGAGGAAAGGGTTGACGGCGTCCCGCCGGTGCAGGACGGAACGCGAGACGATTGAAGCGACGACCATGGCTGGCGAAATGAATCGAAGAAATCCCTTCTTCGGATTGAGAGTTTTGCTTTTGCTATTATCAATCAGCTGGGCTTTAGGGTTTATCAATTATCAACAATTTATAAATAGTTAAGTGACGATATGGCCACCGAACTATGAGATTATTCCTAAACAGGTCCCTTAAAATCTTTCTGTCTATCATTGCAGTCCCCCGTTTATTCAACATTTCGTAGATAGTAGTTGGTCTTTGGTTGGGCTTTCCTGTGCCTGGTTCCTACATATATTTGAGCCCATACTGGCACAATTCTTGCTCCAATCCTTCTAATGATACTAGCTAGCTTTGAGCCTGGCCCAGTTAGCCGGAAGATGAATTTTTGTCGTTAAGATAATTTGATTTATACTCAATAACAGTGTTTTGGAAATTCATCAAACTGTTATCTATCTATAGTCCCCAAATAATATATAGTACACTTTTGTGTACTTTTTTTTATTTCAAATTTCCTGCAACGAGAGTGAAAGTAGGAAGTACATTTTTGTCTTTACAATTAATTATTTATCTCACATAAAAAATATCAACATCAAGATTTGAACCCGGGTCTCTTCAAACAAAGACAACAATCACAACCATTTATGCTGAACAAATTTGTGTGTCTTTTTGAATACAAAATATACACGAAGCTCAACTCTCTGAAAATCACAGGACTTTCCATCATGATTAGCAAGCCCACTAAGTATACCGTATGTATTTTTATGGTGCTTGATACTTCAATTTTCATAGTAGAGTTTCATGTAATTTTCTCAATTTTAAAATTCTTTCTCTCTCCTAAATTTTTGCTAAAGGTAAATTGGCAATTGGCTAACATGGAAAAAACTAATTTTATCACTACGTGTTGTGTCCTTGCATTTTTCAATTTAAATTTGTGGTTTTATCTTTGTTCTTATCTCTTTCTAACTTCCTCAAAATTCCCTCCAACGTACAATAGTTTGCGCCCCTTTCACTTCCCAATACAAGGCCGCCTTTGAAAATCAATCATCCGATATCTCTTGGCACGTCGGTTGTATTGTTGCGGATTTAAGTTGGAAAAGTAAAAGAGTTTAATAAATAATGGAGTTGCAGAAGGAGGATTAGAAATTGAATTTTTTTATTGAAAATATCTCTTGAGATTAAAAAAAAATTGGCTGTACAAGGAAGAGTGGTGGCTATTGGGTCTTATGTTTATGGTTTTTACATCTGTCACAACCTATTTTTGTCTTAAAACGAGCAATCATTGATTGATTTATTGAAGTAGGTCGATTCTTTATTCAACCTACTGGAACTGATAGACAAGGAGTGTCTAATTTTGTGCCTTCTTACTTTGATTGAGTCTATTAGTGTGTTGGAGATAACCCTAATTTTGTCGTCTATTCTCAAGTTTTGATGGTCCCCTCTTAGCTTAGTTGTTAGTATATAGTTGACTTGAATCAACAACTCTCTATTTCTTTTTTATTAGTGGCATATTGTTCATAAAAGGAGCGCATTAAACCCTTATGTAGGATTGTGAGATTTAAGATTTAGTTTCAAACTATTTATGGGTCGTGTGGAATTTCACTGATCTTTTATACCCTCTTTCTTGAAAACCAACTAACCAATAACATTTTAACAAGGGCTTAATTAACATTATGAAAATGGAATTAATGATACATTTTATATTTTATATTCTTAAATGATGATAGTATTTCTCCGAATGTTAAACTATATTCTTTCTTTATGTATCATCTCGATCGAAGGATTGTCAATAAAATTAAACCGGTTGATTGACTTAAATGTAACATAAAAATATAAATAATCAAATATGAATATTCCGGCCAATGGGCCGGGTTATAAGCTAGTTTAATTAATAATGAGATGCGGAAACAGCAACCCCATTTCAAATTCGCTGCTTCCAGAGCGTTTTGCGGAAGGTTATTTTGGGGAGAAATTGACATGTCGAACTTCCGTATTCGGCTTTGTTTTTTATGGGCTTGCTTACTTTGTTGGGCTTCCTTCTTGACCCAGTATGCTATATGTGTTGGGCTTCCATCCTGTCTCAGTTTGGTATATTGTTGTGAATATTCACCCGTCTGTAGAGGTTATTATTTTTTTATTTTCTGTTTTTTGCACGTCCATTTATTATGTAACTGTCATCGTCTTTTAGTTCTATATTATTGTTTGCCAAATTCATCTCCTCTATCCGCCATGCTTCGAACTGAATTTTGGTTTTCTATTGTTTCGGCCCCATCTACTAATCTCTTATGATTGCTCATGCACAAAATCTTTAACGCCCCTCTCTTTCCCTTATATTTATGTTTCATTTTCTTTCTTCCGGGTTCTTAAATGTCAATCCCTGTTTAGTGTTCCAGGTATCGTCATCTCCTTCGATTTAAGCTATTTGGTAATGTATATTGGATTGGTAGTTTAAGCAATATCTATTCTGGATTCCATCTATTGTCGTCGCAGTAAGCGATCAATTTTTCGATTTGTTCTGTTGCATATAATAGGGTTGAATATTTATATGCGCTGGACTGGTTATTTCAATTATACTATGAACGATGTCTGCATCGTCCAGTAATTCTGAGGGTAATAATCAAATTGAGTATGGCCAGTCGAGTACTCAAGGTTCATTCTGCACAGCTCAATTATCTGGTCATGGAGGTATTTTTTATACTGTCTGTGTTTTGCATATTACATTTGTATCATTTATGTTGTGCATTGGGTGTTTGAAACATTGTTCTGTTGTAAAGTTGGGTTAGACGTTGAAGCTCGGAGCGATATTTCGTATTCACGGTCACAAAAGAAACGCTCCGTTGTACCATGTGAGTTTAAATAATATTATTGTTTCAATGTAGATGTACAGTGGAGTTATATTGTCTTTTATTTCGTATCGTGGATCAATAGGGAAAAGGAGAGCAGTTTTTATACAAAATGAAGATCATCAGCACCGCTACGGTATGTATGTCGTGGAGGAAGAGAAATTTGTTAAAGGTTTGTGGTGGTAATGATAGATGTCCTGGTAGTTGATCTTGATAGTATGATTGATGTACAATATATTCTGTGCAGAACAAGCAATGTTAAAGTCTGAGCTAAACCAGCTTAGTCAAAGCTTGGCTTTTGTTGCACGTCAAAGAAGATGTGTTATTCTTAAACGAAGGGGTCATGTGAGGCGAATGCGTATTAATAACAGAGGTTTATTTAATTAGGAATGTGTTATATATCATCCTTATGTTGGTGAACTGTATCCGTTGGTCCGTATACCTTGTTGTTGATTTGTTTATTATTTTAAATAGGTGTGGAAGTAACTTTTGCTTGGCTCTTGAGCAAACGTTCGAGATTAATGGGACGCATTTATCTACATAGAAAGAGATTTGGTCATCTCGATTTCCAGAATTTAGTATATCGGAGTATGTATATCCGATTTATGGACTATATAGATTATTTGTTACATTTTCTTGCTTATTGTTGTTTTCGATAGATATTTGTTTAGGAGATTATTAAGTTTATTTATTCCCCTTGGTGTTACTATTATATTTTTTTGTAGAGTTTGCTACTTTTTTTATAATTATCTCTGTTGATATTTTATTAGGTATCCCTGATGTGGAATTTTTCAACATTGGGCCGCCCCTATGTACCTGTCGGCATTGTGGAGCTGTTATGTGGCGGTTGGAGAGTACGTTAGCCACGCGAAATGATATGATTCCTTCTTTTGGACTGTGTTGCAAGAATGGCAAAGTTAAACTGTCAGGCCGTCGAGATCCTCCTACTTTTCTTCTCAGTTTGCTTACTGAGGACATTGCGGTGGCCCGTCATTTTCGGCTACACATTAGAGGTTATAACGGCGTTTTTTGCTTGGTTTCCATCTATGGTAAAATCAATCAGTCTATTAATTGTTGTTTTGTGTTATTATACTTTGAATTTTAATTAGTAGTAGGATATTCAAACACAGGTTCGTACGGATCACTATTTCTTAGTGTCCATCTCAAGTCTTATGGGCACAGGCATCCCAAGTAATTAAGTCTTATGGTTCTCCATTATATGTATATGGTCTCTTCTTCGATCTTAGGTGTTCATTTTGTATGAACTTTTAATTTAATGTTTCTATTTAACGATCGTGATTATTAGCAAGAACTTATTGATTCAATTATTTAGGTTCATAATAAATCAAAAGATGCTCATGCTTTCAACATCGAACCCACCGACATATTCGGAGCTCCTAACAGAAGCACTTGATCTCTAGCTTTACGAAATGAGGCCATCAATTGGAATGGTCTTTTTATTGGTCATTGAACCTTTTTTTTGTACGGACACCTAGTAGGATTGGTGAGAGGGGAAGTAAGGTTTGTTGAACGTGGTCTTTCTGGTCCAGATCACATCTACTATTGTAATCTGAACAATATAGTATATGATATGGTGCATGATCTTTATTCTAACTTATAAAAAACACATCTAATTAAAAATATGAAAGTTGTGGCTATTAATGTGTATCTTGCCTATTAAATAATATAGCAAATGAATGATAGTCCATTAATACAGAACATGTTTATTATTATTAATAATAGTTGTGTACTGGTGTCACAATTTCGAATGACATAAACTACTATCTTTTTTTCTTCTTTTCTTCGTCTTTTTGTCTCGTACTTAAATTACTATCGCTATGACTGACAATCGTTTTCCCAAATTCAGGGGTGTCCCAAACCTGCCCGCAGGTCCACCCTTATCACCTAGTGACACCAGATAGCCGGTTTGGAACTGACCGAACAGAACAACTGACTCGACTCTACTGTCACTCCAGGAATTGGCCAAGTGAAACCACTTCCTAATGTGTAGTATAGCGGGTTAGGTTTATATGTCAACCCGGGTCCTAGATCTGATGACTACTCAGTGAATTCTTGTTATCTAGCAATGAAACTGGAATGCAAGTCTAAACTATCAAACTAACAAAGCAAGTAAACTGTTGTATTCAGGTTAAAGAGGTCACCCGGATATGGTTCCCCCTAGACTGCAGTTAAGCCGGATTGTAATTACCAAGTTCAGTTTCTATGAAAGTTATACTGCGGAAGGTTCTTAAACAGCCTGAAGTCTCGACTAAAGGTCTTCAGACCCTCTCAATCTGAATCTCTAGCGGGCGACTAACCTCCACCGGAGTAGACAGATTGAGGCCCTAAGAACGAAACCTCCACTACCGGAGTAAATCCGGTACAGAATAGTGAGTTGGTTCCTCGACTAAAGGCACCAACTCCCTACCTTCAATCAAGGATACTCTATTAACCTAGGCAGATATTCTCATTCTAGGTTAAAGCAGAAACAACAGGAATTTGATCAGGATTCAAGTCATTCAATCATTAAAACCTCAATCGAATATAATCAATCATAGAATCAGTACTTGGGTTCATACAATCAAAGCCTAACATACAAATCTAGGGTTCTCCATACCCAGATGAATGGGAGAACTACTCCATGGAGAAAGAAGCAAAAGCAGAATCAGACGCGAAATTCATACTGTGAAGGATGGATTCCTGCTCCTGGACGTTGATTGGCACTCCTCCAAGCTCAAGCTGGCCTCCAATGGTGATGAAGATCAATCTAGGGCACTTGGAGACTCTTGTTCGTCGCTTTCTCTCTCTAGGAATCGTTCTCTCTCTCAAAAACTCGAATCCCCCTTGACTTGTGGCTGAAATTCTGCTTAAAAGGAGAAAATCCCGACTCACACGGCCAGGGTGGCACGGCCGTGCAGCTCCCCTAGTTGCCCGTGTGAGTCAAAACGCAGCGTATCATTTAGTTGAATTTCAGGCTCTTTGCACGGCCAGAATGCCACGGCCGTGTGAACTTCCCTTCCTGCCCGTGTTTGCTCTCGCAGAATGTGGCACGGCCAACCCGGCCACTTGCACGGCCGTGTGGATCTTCTGCTCTGCCCGTGTGTGCTCTCGGAAAAACTCGCACGGCCAGGCCATTCCTTCACACGGCCGTGTGAACATCAGGGTAGCCCGTGTGACCTCCTTTGTAACTCGCCTCGCGCCCGATCTTCGCCCAATCGACCCCGAACTCGCTCCTAAATCTTCATTCACTTGCCAGGACCTGAAATATCACAAACAAGCACAACCTAGCATGAAATCGGTCTAAAACACGAGAAACCACATCTCAAACGGTGTAAGAACAGGGGTGAAAACATGTGTAACTAACGGTCTATCAAACTCCCCCACACTTAACCGTTTGCTTGTCCCCAAGCAAACCTAACTCAAACCAATGCAACTCTACAGACCTCTATAGCAACAAACAACCCAGATCGTAGGTAGAGGACTTCCTAGATCATTTAGCAGCTTACGAGGTCAACCAACGCACAAGTCATCTCAAAGCTTCTTATCGAGCCGGCATCATGGCAAATAGTGAACAGAGGACAAATGAATCATGGATGAAGAGATTCTCAAAAACAAAGGATCATGGACTCACATTTTTCAAGGTGCTCTATTTTCTTTGAAGATGGTTGGAACCCCTTTTTTTCTGTTATTTTTCTTTTCTTTTCTTTTCAAGGGTCCCAACCTGCTCTTACCGGCCATGCCAGGAGCGGATGTCTCGAGCCTCGTGCGGGGGAAAGCCATGCAAGAGGGCTGGAGGTAGTAGGTGGAAATTGGGAACGGATTCCCGTCTCCCCTTACACACTTTCGCCCTATTCGCACGAGAGACGTTATTTTGAAGCATATTTTCGAGCACCTGTTAAACTCAAACCATGATACAAGAGTCCATGACAGGTAGAGAATCCACAACACCACACAATTCAAGGGTCCTAAGATCACTAATTCACTCAATCAACCAACACTATATGAAGAAGAAATGAGATTTCTTAAATGCATCAACATCCTCCATAGTGCTACACTACCTCCCTAGGTTGCACATTACTATAAAGACTGTCAATTCAAAGCATACTGAGCAGGCAATTGCAAGGAAACACGTACTTGGAGCCCTCAAATTTTAAAAATTTGGACAGTGGACTAGGCTCCAAGCACACAAACAGATCTAATGCAGTCAAAAGATAAACATCCCCCCACACTTAAGATCGACATTGCCCTCAATGGAGAAGAGGGAAGGAAAAGGGGAACGATGTTACCGATATGAACGGACTGCAGGAGACTGGAAACGGGCCAGTCGGGGCAAGCACAGCCAAAGGAAAACAGAAAAGCTCAAACACAATATGTTAGGTTCAATGGTCAGCCCAATAAAATATCATCCAAACCAAAAGAAAATAAACCAAACCCAACTGAGTTACAATCCGACTCAAAACACAAGAAAGAAAATCAAACCGTGGTGGGGTTGCCTCCCCACAAGCGCTTCTTTACCGTCTTTTAGCTGGACGCCCATGGTGGATACTCAGGGCGGTGCAGGAACAGGTGCCTTCAAGAGCGGATCCACGTCGCTCTTGAGGTACAGCTTGAGGTTGTGGCCATGCACCCGACGGATGCGACCACCCTCATCAGTCAACTCGACCTGCCCATCTGGCAGGATGCAGGCGAGTGAGTACCCGGACGGCCAGGGTGGTCGTGGTGCAGGAGGTGGGACCAGCTCATAGTGGTCTCCACTCTTCTTCCGTGCAGGCTTAGCAACCTGCTGCTTCGGCCGCCACTCCTCCTTGAGCTTTTTGTTCGGAGGCGAGGCTGGATGGAGTGGCGGCGAAGGAATGATAGGAGGGTCCTGCAAAATAGGAGGTGCAGAAGGGTACACGACAGACTCGTGTACCTGATCAGAAATGGCATGCACAGGCGTGACATCAATCATAGCACAGTGATCAAACTCAGTCACAGAAAAAGTAGCCTGTTCATCACCAGCACGCAGAATCAATTTACCATCATGCACATCAATAAGTGCCTTGGCGGTGGCAAGAAATGGCCTACCTAGAATCAAAGGCACATCCACATCCTCATGCACATCAAGAATAACAAAATCAACAGGATATGTGAATGCACCGACACTGACAAGCAGATCCTCTATGATTCCCCTAGGATGCACAATGGAACGATCAGCCAGCTGAATGCTCATCCTAGTAGGGCTAAGTTCACCTAGGTCTAGCTTTTTATACAACTTATATGGCATGACATTTATGCTAACGCCTAGGTCCGCCAAGGACTTGCCTACATGCATGCTGCCAATAGTAAGAGGGATAGTAAAACTCCCTGGATCCTTGCGCTTCTCGGGCAGCTTGTTCTGCAGGATAGCAGAACACTCCTCGCTCAGCATCACTGTCGAGAGATCCCCAAGTTTCTTCTTATTGGTGCAGAGATCTTTCATGAACTTGGCATACTTGGGCATCTTCGACAGTGCCTCCATGAACGGTATGCTGATGTTGAGCTGCTTCAACATTGCCATGAACTTGGCAAACTCAGTCTCCAGCTTGTCTTTGTGTAGGCGAGTGGGGAAGGGAAGCTGGGGCACATGCTCCTTAACCACTGGTTGTGGCTTGGGAGCAGGGGCTTCCTTCTCCACCCGCACTTCTGCATCGTCGGCTGGAAGTGCTGAAGCAGTCAGTGGTTCCTCCTGTCTGGCCGGGACAGGATCAGCAGATATGGTCTTACCGCTCCTGGTAAAAATGGCATCCAGCTGCTGATGCTGGTGAGGATCTCGAGGATTCGGGACAGTGGTGGCAGGCAAAGTCCCCGGTGCCCTGGTGGTGGTCTGGCGGGCCAAGATGCCCACTTGGGTCTGCAGATCCTGCAAAATGGCACCCTGGTTCCTCTGACCTGCCTCCAGTGAGGCTACACTCTGGTCCAACCTCGTGTTCGTCGCCTGAGTGCTCGTCATGAATGAAGCTAGAATGTTTTCCAGCTTCGTCATCCTGTCATCTGGGGCTGGAGCTACTGCTGGCTCGGCAAACTGGCGCTGGGGCTGCTGGAATGGCTGCCCCTGCCTAGGCTGGTAGGGCTGCTGCTGTGGGTCTGGCCCCTGGCGAGCCTGGAAGGGCTGCCTCTGCTGAAAACCACCTGCTGGTGCTGGGAAACCAGGTGGTTTAGTGGTGTTGCTGCTCCAGGCGAAGTTGGGATGCTGGCGCCACCCCTCATTATATGTGCTACTGTATGGATCGAGGCGCCGCGCATTGGCGATGAATGCCAACTGCTCCTGGGGTGTGGTAGACTCCCTCATAGCCTGGCAGTCCTCCACTAGGTGACTGGAGCTCTCACACCACTGACATTGAGCTACTGGAGGTGTAGCCAAACCTCTGCCCGGAGTGAGACTGTTGGGCTGCTTCAATGTCTGCACTAGCTCGGCTACCTGCTGCTCGAGCCCGGATCTGGTCTCCATGGCGTGCACTCCACGGTCCCTGGAATGTCTGCCTCTGCTGCTCTGCCCCCAGGAATGATCTCTGGCAGCCAAAGTATTAATCATCTGGTTCAGCTCTGGTGGAGTCTTAGTGAGAACATCCCCTCCTGGGCATAAAGACTCAATCACCCTCTGGCTATCTGGAGAGAGGGCACTGTAAAAGTTCCCCACAGTGAAAGCATCACTAAAGCCATGATGGGGACACTGCCAGAAGTATCCCATGTACCGCTCCCAAGCATCACGAAGTGACTCATCTGGCTCTTGGCGGAAGTGAGTGATCTCCCGCTGGATCTCTGTAGTCTTCGATGCTGGATAATACCTGTGCACGAACTTGTCCGCCAGATCGTCCCAAGAGGTGATGGACAATGGGGGCTGGGTCTCCAACCACCTCTTAGCATTCCCCGCCAGAGAATGGGGGAAGAGATGAAGGCGGATCGCATCATCCGGGACACCATTCAGCTTGAACCCGTTCGTCAGCTGCAGAAAATGGGAAAGATGTACCCTGGCCTCCTCATCCTTCAAGCCATGGAACTGGATAGAGGATGTGATGAGCTGAATCCAGTATGGCTTGATCTCGAAGTTGTTTGCTGGGATAGGCGGGTAGAGGATGACCGGGCGGATGTCAGCAATCCGCGGAGTGTAGTAGTACTCCAAGGTGGGACCCGGCTGCGGTGGATGATGAACTCCATGATCCTGGGGTATGGGGTTGTTCCCCAGGACCTGATTCACCGGAGGAGCCTGCTGAGGATTCCCCTGGTGTTGATTGTAGTCTTCCATCTCGTACTCCTCCTCAGAATCACTACTCACGTGGCCGTCTATGCGCTCTTCCGTAGCCAGTCTAGCTCGCTGTTTTCTCCTGAGCTGGCGACAGGTGCGGTCAATCTCTGGATTCAACGGCAGTAAACCTCCTGACTGGCTACGGGTCATGCACTACCTGCACACACTCAAGCTAGCAAACCCGTGAAGGCACAAGTGGGACAAGGCAAACAAAGCAAAAAAAAAGCTAAATTAACAGAAATCACTTTTCTTCAACAACCTAGCCGTCCCCGGCAACGGCGCCAAAAACTTGACTCGACTCTACTGTCACTCCAGGAATTGGCCAAGTGAAACCACTTCCTAAAGTGTAGTATAGCGGGTTAGGTTTATATGTCAACCCGGGTCCTAGATCTGATGACTACTCAGTGAATTCTTGTTATCTAGCAATGAAACTGGAATGCAAGTCTAAACTATCAAACTAACAAAGCAAGTAAACTGTTGTATTCAGGTTAAAGAGGTCACCCGGATATGGTTCCCCCTAGACTGCAGTTAAGCCGGATTGTAATTACCAAGTTCAGTTTCTATGAAAGTTATACTGCGGAAGGTTCTTAAACAGCCTGAAGTCTCGACTAAAGGTCTTCAGACCCTCTCAATCTGAATCTCTAGCGGGCGACTAATCTCCACCGGAGTAGACAGATTGAGGCCCTAAGAACGAAACCTCCACTACCGGAGTAAATCCGGTACAGAATAGTGAGTTGGTTCCTCGACTAAAGTCACCAACTCCCTACCTTCAATCAAGGTAGCGTATCATTTAGTTGAATTTCAGGCTCTTTGCACGGCCAGAATGCCACGGCCGTGTGAACTTCCCTTCCTGCCCGTGTTTGCTCTCGCAGAATGTGGCACGGCCAACCCGGCCACTTGCACGGCCGTGTGGATCTTCTGCTCTGCCCGTGTGTGCTCTCGGCAAAACTCGCACGGCCAGGCCATTCCTTCACACGGCCGTGTGAACATCAGGGCAGCCCGTGTGACCTCCTTTGTAACTCGCCTCGCGCCCGATCTTCGCCCAATCGACCCCGAACTCGCTCATAAACCTTCATTCACTTGCCAGGACCTGAAATATCACAAACAAGCACAACCTAGCGTGAAATCGGTCTAAAACACGAGAAACCACATCTCAAACGGTGTAAGAACATGGGTGAAAACATGTGTAACTAACGGTCTATCAACAACCGAACCGGACCGACCAATCGTTACTATATATCCTTAATCTACACATAATATAATACACCGAAGGGAAAAACGGGAGCCCCATTTCAAATTTCCTGCAACGAGAGTGAAAGTAGGAAGGACATTTTGGTCTTCACAATTACTTTTTTTATTCATTAAA